AAGCTGCGTAGCTTGTAAAAGCTCTTGGCTCGTGTGCTTGAGGCGCTCTTGCAAGCCTTTGACTTCGACAGCATGACGAGCATGCAGATCCCGTAGCTCAGCGCTACTTTCGCTGGCTCGAGGTTCCTGGATGCGTTCCTGAAGGTTATCCTGAGCTCTAGACAAGGATTCGCAGGTGATCTGATGGCGGGTGCGAAGCTCGTCGAGTTCGTCCTGCAATGACTGCAGCTGTCCTTGATATTCTGAAATGCGACGAGTAGAAGCAGCGGCTGGCTCATTGGATATTTCGGCGAGATTTTGCTCAAGTATAGCCAACCTTGCATCGCGAACTTCTAAAGTGGCTATCTTGTTTTCGAGTGCGCAGCGGGAAGATGAAAGTTGAGCTTGCAACGCCGCAACGTCTTGACGAGACTTCTCCAAGTTGCAGTCACTGCTGCTCAATGCCTCGCGTACAGTCGCAAGCGAGACCACTAGCTGATCCACTTCGGTACGTTCTTGTGACCGGAGAGCTTCAAGACAACTCAGTGATGCGACGCTCTCTGCCAAGTCTCGGATAAGCACTTCTTTCTCGCCAGCAAGCACTCCCATATCTTCAGAGAGTTTCGAGTTATGGGCTGTAAGAACAGCTATCTTGGACAACATCTGCGGTTCTTCGGCGAGGTGCTGGTCGACCATGCATTGGGCGCGGCGAGCATTCGACATCGCTTGAGCGACGATGGCTACCATTGACGATAGCTCATCACTGTGGGTGGCTTTGAGACCGTCGTTCTCCTCCTGCAACTTTTCCACCTCGAGCTCTGCTGCCTCAAGGTTGGTGACAGCTTGGTCGCGAGCATCTCTAGCTTCTGCACAATCTTCAACCATTGCCTCCTTTTGCGCCGACATCATCTCCAGCTCCGACATCATCTCGGAGATCCGTTCCTCCTGGAGCTTGAGGTTGGTCTCCAGGCGGCGAATGTCATGTTGGTGAATGCCGATCTGCTCCGTGCGACGGTTGACACGGCCTTCAAGTTCCTGTATCTGCTCACGAAGTGCGTGAGTTACCCCAGTTGCCGACATGGTAGATAACTGTTGCGCTTGCAGAGCGCTATAGCGGTTATGAGCGTCTGTCAATTCTTCCTGTGCAGCCTCTAAGTCTGTTTGGAGATTCGTGACTTGGAGGCTGAGTGAATTACGTTCCGATTCGATGTTTTGGTACGCTCTTGTAAACTCAGCTAGTCGTTCCTCTGTTTGCTGGAGCCCATCGCGGGTGTCCTCGTGAGATGACTCCGCCGCCTGTACTTCGACAGTCAGAGACTGGACTTTAGCTTCCAGCTCTGTGACCAGCAGGAGCAAGTGGCTACGTGACTCTTCTGATGCAGTCAACTGTTGGCACGATACCTCAAACTTGCTTTGAAGCTCTCGTAAAGTAGCATCTCGTTCTGCGACTGATTGGGAGTGGTTAAGGACTTGGTTTTGCTCGGCAGCATGCAAACGACTCCGTAGGTGATTCACAACGACGCCCAGGGCTGTGATGAAAAGGACAAGACGCTTGTTTTGCTGATTGTAGGCCGAGACCCCATCTGCTTCCTGGGTGAGCGTGTGGATGCGCTTCTCCAAAGTCTGGACTGTGATTTGAGCCTCGGTCTCGGAGAATTCGAGGGCACGTCGTAGGTCATCTCGCTCGCTTCGTATTCTGTCTACAGCCCTGAGCAAAGTTTCAATGTAATTGGCGAGCGTTGCTTCATCGGGGTGAGTAGAATCGTTGGTATTGGTCGGTGGCAGCGGAGTAGAGCAATTTGGGTATAGAAAGCTGCTGTCGAAGTTAGATCGGATGTCCTCAACATCAATATCCATATGATCCTGATCACTGGCCGTCGAATGCCGCGTCGACTCCTCATTGCACCGGAGGTCCATAAGCTCTTGTTGTAATCCACTAGTTCAATATCAGCAATCCATCGGGCTAGTGGCCAAGTATTGCATACCTCTCAGTGACTATCAGAGCTCTAACGCGCTCCTCGCTGTCATGGAGCAGCCGATCTGCTCTGTCCAGCTCCTGACGTAAATTAGCGCATGCGTCTTGTGCTTCCTTTTTCTCCTCCATGAGGTCTCGCACTCTCTTCTCTGAGCAGGTAAGCTTCTCCGACTCAGCACGTAGCCTTCTTTGCAGCTTATCGTACGCTGCCTGCGTGGGTCCACTCTGCTGCTCGCGTAGTTGACTCTCCAATGTCTCTATCTTCACTTCATCTTCGTCGATCCTCTTCAACAACTCTTCCTCCCTCTCCATTGCGTTCCCCGCGCCTTGACTTGATTTCAGTATCTCCAACTCCTCATCCTTGTCCTCTATTACTGATCTGAGCTCCGCGATACGGGCCTGCATAGTCTTCTCTGCTGAAAATTGCGTATTTTGTGTCTTGACAAGATCTTCCTGAGCTCGAGCGAGTTTCACTTCCATGTCGCGCAAAAGCTTCTCTTTATCCGCCAGAAGAACCTTCGTATCGTTGAGTTCTTGCTCCAATGCTGGTGATCTGAAACTAGACACAGAGGAAGACCGAGGCCTCCCACCTCGCTGTGGCAATCGAGAATTAGTCGTGGGCTGAGGTTTTGTATTTTCCAGCATCCTCTCTAGCTCACGCACGCGAGACTCCATATTTCGCTTCTCTGTCTCCAGTTTGGAAGTCTGAGCCCTGACTGACTCCGATTGGCAAGACATGGTGTCAAGCGTTGCCTCGAGCTCCCGTGCTGCTCGTTCCTCAGCTTTCAGTCTGTCCTGCGCAGCAAGAAGTGCAGCTTCTCCATTCCTAGAGGCCATTTTCTCGATCTTGAGTTCGTCTGAGCGCCGCGCCAGATCGCTTTCAAGCCTGAGAGCACGGCCGGCCTCGGCGCTGAGCTGTTAAGCTATGAAGTGAGTGGACGTGGATGATCAAGTAGACAGAAGTCAAAATGACCTTGTACAATGTTTCATTTAACGACGTCTTTATCTCCTCTAGTTCGGCCTCTCTCTTCATTAGGCGGCTTCGCAAGCCTGCATTCTCAGTGTCTGAGCAGCAAGTCAGGAAAGATTGTTAGATTACGCGCTAAAAGTGTACCTTGGCTTGCTAATTTATCTTTGCGAGCTTGCGCCTCTTCAGACACGTCGTACTTTCCGATGTCCTTGAGGGACATGACTGTTGTGGTCGAACACTAAGAAAGTACTCTAGTGCTAGTGGCAGGATCACGGAAAGAATGCCAGCACAGAAACCAAACATAGTTCAACAGACCGACGCGTCGTGTCACGTGATCGTGTTTCTTTCCACCATCTCCGAGTCGAATTCGGGTCTGTTCTGACTGTCACAGTACTAGTGTGCATATGTCCGACTTATTTCGTTGTGCCCCTCGGGGCAACATCTGGGCTAGTAACACATCACATGGTCCCGTGGTGCACATCGTGCGCGAGTTTGTGCGGTTCACAATTCGCAGATTTGCGTGAGTTATGTATCATTTTCTACTTTCCTTCCACAACAAATGTTTGCTTCAACTTGCCTGGTCTTAATACGAAGTAATAATTATATTCCTTCGATAGATCTAGCTATGGGAGACTACCGCCTGATGGGCGATGAACCTATTATACAATTGACACTCCTCGTATCATTGTCCGTCCAAGGTGATCAAAATGAAAATTCCAAAGCGTCACATGCTACATACTCTAAACTTTCATCGAGAAGGTGCAAACGTAGACGCGAACAACCGAGCAGAAACCAATGCCGACAGCATGTAAGGCGGCAGGCCACAACTACGGCTAAACAAACTCGACACTGAAAGGTGTCACGTTGATTGCATGCCTTGTGAATTCAGCGAGTAACACTTGGACGACCAATCAAAGCAAGCAGCCGCTCTGATTCAACAGCAATCACTGCGGCTGGCCTTGGCTGGTTTACATTGTGTCAGGTTGTGTCCGACCCACGAGGCCTGAGGCTTTGGATGTCCAAGCCAACTCACCAAATATACGTCGTAAGTACTTCAGTTTGAATTGTTGGTCTATTATCCAAGTCTCCCTTGTTCAAGCGGCGTTAGGAACCAATCATGCATCGTACCATCGATGCGAAAGCAGGTACGACTCACTAGCTAGTCCCCACACTCCGGAATTTGGCACAAAGATTTAACCACACTTATTTCTACTAGGGCCAAACTGGTCAGGAGTCAATCCTGGATGCAAATCAAACTAACTTATATTTACACTGTCAGGGAGGTACGTTGAAACACATCTACTTACTTTTTACGTGCTGAGAATAGTACTTACTCAGGGCGGAACTCACTGCAAGAGTGTGTAGGCAAAGTCAAACAGCTTATGACATTGTGCTCGTACTTATGTGCCAGCAGATTACAAGCAGACCTCAAATTTTATTGTCGCTGATATCCTATCGGCGGAAACCTTACAAAACATGGTTTTCCATTCCAGTCCGCTGCCGCGTGTGTGAAGACCCAGAAATCCATACCACACTGTAGTCGAAGCTTTTGAAGTCTGAACTTGTCAACGGTACAGATAAGTACAGGCGCCCTTAGTCAGACTGAATATGGAAGGAAGACAGTCGTTGTGTATAACGGCCCCGTGTAGTCCTGAACGCTTTATGGTGATGATCAAGCCCTATAAATATTTACTGGATGTGAGATTGCCAGCAATTTGTAGTCAACATTTTCACGTTCTGTCATCATGATACTTTCACCTTGAGTTAACTTTCTGACGAAGGCCTCGCAAGACTAGTACGTGGCAAAGCTCACCTTTCACTTCGGTACTCGTCTGTGGTTAGTTTTTAAAAGGTGGATGTCAAACCCGAAAGGACTGCACTAAACCTTACGGAGAGCGTACGACCGTTGACAATTCAATGTTCGATATCCGTGGTGTCAACGGAAAGACAACGGATTCCTAAGAGCAAAATCTCGAATGATCCTGAACTGCAAATCCTAGTCAGAGTGCACGCCAGCAATCTGATTGAATGGTCAATATAAACATGAAGGGACATCAATTGGAAAGTAGAATTGCAATCGCACCTTGGTCATATACCAAGTGGCACCCCGACTAGGACCCCGAAGAAAAACCAACCAACAAAGCGCCCTAAGGCGACAAAAGACGCCCAACGGCGCACAGCAAACCCCACCCAACTCCAAAACCAATAAAAACACCCTTGCAAATGACTATACCAAAGAAAATCACCAACAAAGGTACTGGAACGCCGACAGAAAGCACCTCACCCTCAGCGACGATCGCTACCACACGTCAAACCAGGAGATCGAACCTCTCCCAGGAAGACATCGAGGCGCTACCAAGTACCATCAAAAACATCGAAAATGCAGAAGAATACCTAAACAAAAATCTATTGTGCCATGTCGACGAACCATTTACACTAACCCACTTAATCTCAGTAATGTTCCATATCACCCAACTCAAGTCAATTCCCCTAACCGGCAGTAGAAGCCATTAGAGCGGTAGCGTACATAATGAAAAAGCACGAAGCAAACGAAATAGCGGAAAATATAACTAACCAAATCACTAACAACCTCTCTCCCAGAATCACAGAACATGTCATAGCAGCAATTGCCCCGCACGTAGCAAAGATCTTATCAACATCGGAAGGACTAGACAACACGCTGAAAGAAGCAGAAAGATTAAAGGCAAAGATGGAAAGGGAAATAGAAGAGAAAAGAGACGATACGGCGACAGCAGCAGAGCGCTTTGAAGAAGCAGCAGACGCCCTACACGAATCCATGAACAACTGCAGCAAAACACTGAAATCCTTCGAACCAAACCTCACCAAGGCCCAGGAACGCATCAACGAGTTATCCCAGCAGCTAACATCCAACGCCAACACATCTCAGAACGCCAACACACCACCCTCCATTCAGCAACAACAACAACAACCCCAGCAACCCTCATACAGCTCAGTTACTGCAGCCAATCTCCCACCATCAATAGATAAAGCAGTAGCAAGAGCAGCGTTACGAGCCTGCCAAATCATCCTCGACCCCCTTCCGGGAGGAAACGTCTTCACGCCAGAAACCACCCACACAGACGTTGTCAAACTGATCAAGGACGCCCTAGCCAACATCAAAGACGACTCATCCCCACAAGGAGACGTCCGATCTGTGACCACCTTCCGCAACGGAGGCCTCCTAGTGGAACTAGACAATGAAGCCCTAGCGACATGGATCAGGAAACCGATCAACAGCAAAGCACTCACCAGCAAGTTAGGCCCAACAGTATCGTTCCGCAGTAGCGCTTTCCCAATAGTCATTGAATACTTACCTATCCGCATACAGATTGAAAACGAACAGTTCCTCAGAACGACCGAGAAAGAAACGACCTCCCAGAAAACTCCCTCATCACATCAAATTGGATCAAACCGGTCAACAGACGCACCCAAGTTCAACAGAAAGCCTTCGCCATCCTACAAGCAATAAACGCTCCAACGGCCAACGACATCATCAAGAAAGGACTCTGCATCCAAAACGAACGCTTCACCATACGCAAAGACAAGAAAGAACCAATGAGATGCGCCAAATGTCAAAACTTCGGCCACATAGCCAGAAACTGCAAAGCGGCCTCAGACACATGCGGAACTTGCGGCGCTCAACACCGGAACCTCAGAATGCCAACGCCCTCAAGACCGAATTCTGCTCCAACTGCAACAACGACCAACACACCAGCTGGAGCCGCAAATGTCCAGAGTTCAAACGACGCCCTCGAAATCCTTAACGATAGCTACCCAGAAAATAGAATGCCCTACTACCCTACCGAAATCCCATGGACCCAGATAGCGCACCCCCAGCAAATACAAACCGCCGCCATCTCCCTCCCGCCCCGCCCCCCGCCCTCATCAAACACACCAATCGAAGTTCTCCACCCGCCCACTAACCCGCTTTACCCAATCTACCCTAGATCATCAAAAACACCCCCCCAGACGCCGATTGCAAATCCCCCAAAACTACACACCACCGCCATTCACCAACCCTTTCGCCCATCTCCCATTAGAAGAATCCAACGAGCTCAACATAGACACCTCCGGCTGGGATGCCTGAAGAACCCACCAACAACATAAATAACGGAAGTCTACGAATATGGCAGCAAAACTTAAACGCTTCGATGGCCGCACAAGAAGCCCTCCTCAACGGCCCCCAAGATCATGGAATGGGATATCATCGTTATTTCAAGAACCGTACATCAAACTTCTTACGCAACACAAGGGCCAACCACAGATGGCACGTTCTCTACCCTTCGCACCACTACACACAACCTCAGAAACGATCACGAGCGGTAACATTAATCAACGCCAAGCTAGATACTAACTCCTGGACCCAGATCAACTTCCCATCATCAGACATAGTTCTACTACAACTCACCAGCCCGCTCGGCAAATGTACCATCTTCAACATATACAACGACGGTGAGAAGCAAGACACACTCGCAGCCATGGACGCCTACCTAGAACAAAACATCGCAACCCTCCGCCCAACCACCGAAGACCACATGCTATGGTTAGGCGACTTCAACAGACACCATCCCCTCTGGGAAGAAATCCGCAACCGCCACCTCTTCAACTACAACACATCCCAACCGCTCATCAACTTACTCGCCGACTATGGAATGCTACAACTGCTCCCGCTAGGCCTCCCGACCCTTCAATCCTCAAGCACGAAAAACTGGACCAGACCAGACAAACTCCTTCGGAATCGGAACACCTCCTCGACGCGATCATCTCATGTACCACAGCCCCAGAACTGAGAGGACCCAAGACCGACCAATACCAATCCAACTCGTTCTCGACATGAACATCCCGAAAACACACGCGGAACCACGCAAGAACTGGAGAGAAGTAGATTGGGAGGAATTCAACCAACGCTAAGCAACTCTCCTCGCAAATCACCCCCGCTACCTCTGGCGTCTGACGAGGAATTTCAACTCACCGCAGAACTCATCACCGTAGTATAACACAAGCTATGAAGAAACACAGTACCCAACTCAAAACCCTGCCCGCACTCAAAACGATGGTGGACCAAAGACCTCAGCAAAATACGCAAAAAAGTAATGAAACTACACCGCAACCGCCTATCAGATGAGAAGCCTCTCCCACCACGAAGTCCACGAAGAACTGAAGAAGACGAAGAACGAATACGCGAACCTTATCCACGAACCAAGAAGCAACACTGGCAAGACTGGCCTAGAGGACATCGAGGGCAACGATATCTGGACCGCCCAACCGCTACGTCACATCGACCCCAAACGACGGAGGAAAAACAAGAATCCCCCACCTTAACGAAAGCAACACCCCGACGGAACGACTACCACAGCAAGCACGAACGAAGAGAAGAGCCAAATGATAGCCCAAGCCCTATTCCCATTACCTCCGCTAACAGACAATGTACCGACTGACTACGCCTACCCAGATCCAATAGCAAGACACACCCCCATTTACCAAGGACCAAATCACCAAAGCCATAACGAACCTCAGCGGATTCAAAGCTCCAGGACCAGACGGCATCTGCAACATCGTGTTCAAGCGCTGCTCCGAAACCCTAACCCCATACCTCGTACACCTCTTCAACGGAGTCTTCTCGCATGGAACATATTACGACCCTTGGAGACAGTTCACGACGGTAGTTCTACGCAAACCAGGCAAGCCAAGCTACACCACCCCCAAGGCATATAGACCCATAGCACTACTTAATACAACGGGTAAGCTACTAACAGCAGTAGTAGCAGAGCAAATGACCTTCCTACCTCGAACGACACCAACTCCTCCCCAACACGCACTTCGGCGGTCGCCCGGGACGATCAACCTCCGACTCCCTCCATCTACTCGAAAGAAACAATCCGCAACGCCTGGAGAACAAAGAAAGTAGCATCAGTATTATTTCTCGACATCGAAGGAGCTTTCCCGAACGCAGTAAGAACAAAACGCCTACTACACAACATGAAAAAGCGCAGACTACCACGACAGTTAATCGACTTCACGGAACGACTACTAACTAACAGGAAAACGCAACTAAGATTCGACGACTACACATCTGAATGGATCCCCATCAATAACGGTATAGGCCAAGGGGACCCCCTATCCATGATACTCTATATAATTTATAACTCTGACCTTGTAGAAGTAGCCAAGCCCAGAACGGGAAGGCAGGCGCTCAAAGAACTAACTCTGGCTTTTGTAGACGATACGGCATTCATAGCAATAGGCAAGGACTTCGAAACGACGCACCGAATCCTCAAGGACATGTTAGAACGAGACGGAGGAGGCTTCGAATGGTCCAGAAATCACAACTCCCGCTTCGAAACCAGCAAATTCGCACTAATAGATTTTTCAATGAACAGGAACAAAGAACGCCCGAACATGACACTCAAGATATAACGATACGGCCCCTCCCCACCCACAAATTCCTCGGAGTCATTCTAGACCAGGAGCTACGCTGGAAAGCCCAAATAGATAACGCAGTAGCGAAAGGAACGGCGTACGTACTTCAAATCCGAAGACTCTCAACGATGGCCAAAGGAATACCGACCCATCTCATGCGCCAACTATATCAAGCAGTCGCCATACCCAAGATGATATACGCAGCCGACCTTTGGTTCTCCCCGGCATTCAGAGACGGCTCAGACACAACCCCAGAAAGGCTCCCTAGGAACAGCAAAGCGACTAACATCAGTCCAAACGAATCGCACTCTTAGCAATAACGGGAGCAATGAGAAGTACCGCCACTGACCTACTAGAAGTCCACGCTAACGTCCTCCCAATTACCCTACTCCTCCAGAATTTCTGCCACAGAGCCATCGTCCGCATATCCGCACTCCCAAAAACTCATCCGCTACACGGACCAGTCAGAACGCGCTGCAGGACGCTACGTAACGTCTCACCGCTCCTCGCTCCACAGACTCACACATCTCTTTGCTATCAACCCAGACGAGATAGAATCACTCAAACCAACGACAATAGCGCCGTCCTCACCATGCCCCTACAAAACCCAAATATCAGAAAGAAAGAAGGCCATAGAAGAACACGCGAACTTAGAGGACGAGATCCAGGTCTATTGCGACGGATCTGGATATAAGAAAAACATAGGCGCGGCAGCCATATTATTCAGAGCAGGCGCAAGACCCAGAATCCTAAGATTTCACCTAGGTAACGAAGACGAACACACAGTCTACGAAGCGGAAGAGGGTAGGATTAACATTAGCAGCGAAACTAATCTCAACAGAACCAAATCTAACCTTCCCGCTATCAATTTCCATCGACAATCAAGCAGCGCTTAAATCAGGAGAGAACTCGCGAGCACGCCCTGGCTCATACATCGCAAACTGTTTCGTCAGAGAAATGCGCAAACTAGCAAGAACATACCCCAACTTTGACGTCACTCTCCGGTGGTCACCAGGACATGAAGACATTCACGGAAACGAGATGGCCGACATCGAAGCAAAGAAAGCAGCGACAAGCAGCGACAACAACAGCCCACGCGAAGACCTTCCAACTTACCTGCGCCATGGATCACTCCCTCTCAGTATATCAGCGTTAAAGCAGGCACATCACCAAGAAACTCACACAAGATGGACGAGACTATGGACCAAGTCTCCTAGATACGCACGTTTTCAACAAATAGACCCAAATGTTATCAACCGAGCGTTCATCAAACTAACTGCTAACTTCCCAAAGCGTCTCACAGGACTCCTCATGACCCTCCGCTCTCAACATATCCCATTAAACCGCCATCTCCACCGAATCAACAAAACCGAAAACCCGCATTGCCCCCACTGCCCAGACACAGAAGAAACCGTTCACCACTATCTGCTAGAATGCCCTCATTATCAGAAACAAAGACACATGCTACAAAACGAACTCGGCCGAGACGCATCATCCATACCCTTTCTCCTAACAAGCGCAGAAGCCATTGCTCATTTAGTCAAATATGTCAACGAAACCAAACGCCTCAAGAACACTTTCGGTGAAGTACCCATGTCCAAAAAACGCAAGACCTGACCCACCCTGTAGAAATAAGATAACACACTCAACGCACTCAATGTAACACCCCACATCGCACAAACAAATGTAGCAACCACCAGCATCAACATATACCCAAGACTACTCTACAAACACCATAATCCTACAGTATACCTCATAACCATCACCAACCTAACACCTCGTACACATGGAAACCAGCCGCACCTTGAAAGGCGCCTCGGAGATATGGAGAATAGATCACAACGGAACACTAACATCTTCTCCCTCAAAACACGCTCCACTAGATTCCTGTTACTCCGCGAAAGCGGACGAGATAAGCGTACCATCACCACAAGCACTATATCATCACAAACGCAGAATTATATCTCATCTCATCACATGAAGGGCGCGTCTAAAACGGCCGGCGGGAACGGCGGACTGATGGGGGCACGCCCCACATCAGGGCATTCGCGACTTCAGAGACCAAAGGACACCGGGGGTCCTATAGATTAGAAAGCACTGTCCTACATAGAGTATTCCTCTCAATGGACAAAAAACTGGATTAAAAAAAAAAAAAAAAAAAAAAAAGTAGAATTGCAAAACAAATTTTAGATAGGGCGCGAAAATTTGGCACTACAAGACCCACTACCAAGGTGGCGGAAATCTAGATATTATGTTTCAAAACAACTTGGCCCTTCACCAATTCCAGCACTTCTTCTGCAGCACCCCAAGACCTCTGGTAACCTGCCGGTCTTGTGAAGGCGTGTTATTAGGCAATCACATTCAAACTTTCTAGGGGAAAGCTTACCCAAAACCGTACGCATGTACAACGAGCATGGATTGTTCACGGTCACGGTCACTTGTGGGATTCCCATTCCACGGAATAAGGTCATGCGTGCTTTGCAAGGGCAGCGCGATTCGCTCTAGCTCGACTCGTGGCCCTTCTTCTCTTCCAGGTCTTAAACCAACATTATGTTTCAGGATTCTCGACTCGGCACTCTTCAAACAAGGGGCCAATGCGGCGCAGCGATCAAATATTCCTCTCGCAATCTGCATATCTAAAGATGTGTCCCAATTCCTGGACTGGAATGTCCCACCGAGGATTGCAGTGTCAGGTTGACCTTTTCCGGGACGGGGAATGATGTATGTAGATTCCTCGGTCTCTGGATCGCAGGGCTTTAACGGGGAACTGATTACCACTGCTCATTCCGGATACGCACCTGACTGTACAATCAAACACTCCTGCAGACCTGGCGCATGTACCAGGATCGTTTGTCCGCGAATGGGGTATAGTTTCGTGTCTTCCACTCCGATAATGGATCTCGAACCTTCGGGCTGATGTTACGAGAGGAACTTCTGAAAGAAACCCCTTACCAAGCGAAGACGCATTCACTAGAATACCATCGGTCCCCACCAGGCTCCTCAACTCGTCTAAACTCCTCACATTTCTGCGTTCAAAGGTGACTCCGCAGGAAATCAGTTCGGATTGGAGCCATGGAAGATATTCAGCTGGATTAACTGAAACTGTGTCGAATGCGACTCCAGCTTTGAATGGCTCGGGGACGTCAGAGGGGGAAAGTATCCTGATCTGCCCCCATGTTTATCCCAGTGTCCGCAGTCATGAATAAACTACATACATTTTGCACCAAGTCTTTCCACCACAAATCTGAAATATTTCCCCTTTGCGCGGCATAAAGCCTTGTGGGTAATAGCTGGGTTGCTCCTTACTCACGATTGAGGATGACTGAAGGGGTCTAGACTAACCTTAACCAACCCTGTTGGGATCATGTCCCATAACTTATTACTTGGTTGTTGCAGGATCAGCTGGCATGTATCTCTCAATCAAAGACCACACGTACAAAGTTTTCTCCTCCCACTTCCTAACTCGTTCATCTATGCCTCCAAGTTCCATGGGAGACCAATTAGCGCCCTCGTTGTCCTCCATAAGTTGTCAGACGTATGTCATTATAAACAAAACTTACAGCGTATGGACTAGTCCAACCTTGAGAATCCGTATCTGAGTCGGGCAGTTCCCTAGCAATGACCCTGATATTGAATGAGACATCGTCGTCAGGGCAGCGAGGTACGCAATCGTTAGCCCAAGCACACCTGCTCCAAGGACGACGAGAGATTGCTCTGCCTTCGTGGTAGACATCGCTGATAGCAAGGGTCTGTAGTGGGGGCGGTTAATTAGCATATAGACACAACAATGACTCGATGACAAACTCACCAGGCACGACTAGAGTCACCGGACCGTCCAATTTGAAGTTCCTTCTTGGTCTCAAACTCATGATAAGCGGTCTTCCGCTTTGTAGCGCTCTAATCTCGTGTGTATTAGTATGGTTAAGAGTTAACTGTTTACATAACATAGTGCTAACCTCTGCTAACCCTCGTCTCTCACGTGTCAGCAGAAGCAACCCACTGTGAGCTCCCTTAATAATTAGATCTTTCAAGTCGACACATTCATGCAAACCTTCGACACCACAACGCCATAAAAGCCGCAGAGGCTGGGAAGTCCACCCGCCGTCGACATACCCACAAGCTCATTCTTGAAGAGGTTGGCAACTTGGCATTGCTGCACGGGATCTTGAAGCATCCTCCACCTTCGCTCTTGACCGAGCCTCGTAATGCAGACTCGACGCCCTTCTTGCAGGTCCGCAGTATCTTGCCCGACGACGTTGCCGCTGAATTTACAGCTCTTTAAGAATTGAAAAGGACTGAAGAAGTTCAGAGCATTGGCGAAGTTGAAGTGCTCGAAGGAAATGCTTTTGATTTTGGCGAGTTGGAGGGATAATACCAAAGGCTCAGATTCTAGATGGGTTTGAAGTAGTCATTGGCACTTATGGACGGATCCTTCAAGGTCATTAAATAGTAATAGCCAACTGGCACAATCTGGTGCAGATTCGAAACAGATGATTTTCCTGCTTTGAGTCAAACATTCCCTCAATGGACGGAAGTACTTCTCTCGCGTTTAAATACCGCAACATGCCGTTGCCAAAAGACGATGTCTGCCTTACGTCATCCAGTACTGTGGCACCTGCTTTTACAGTGCCCTTCTTGAAGCTTCTGAAGATGCGATGGAGTGTAAAACCTGTGAGCTGAGACAACGTCAGTACTATTGCGCAAACTGTCTGAGAAACCAGTACGCAAAACACTTGTCATGAAGCCCAACCCGTGCTGACCTTGCCTGACACACAGTCTACGCGATTTCCGCCTTCAAATTCATCATTTTTCCTCAGACAGAAATGACCATGTTGCTCGTGCATCCCGGGCATTCAAGTCTATTGAATCTGGTCGCCTCCTTCGTGCAGAGATTGCACGAGTGGACCACAACCTCGACCAATTAGCAGATAGCCTTGCTAAAGTGAGAAGAGACTGCGAGAGCAGTACGTGCCTTACCCTTGCTCCTGTGTACTGTTCTAAGCGATCTAGAGCGCGACCGCCTCCGTACCCTCCGAGAGACCCTTGCTCAACGCAGACGCACACTTAACGCTGCACGCCTCCTTCCACCCCAATCACAAACACTTACCAAGGAATCTCAGGAGCTCTCTGTCCTGAGCCAAACTATTGCTAGAGCGCGCTCAGGCCTCGTCCAGGAGCTAGTGGAGGTATTTAATGTCGTCGAAGTTGGTGGACGACCTGCAGTAGGCGGACGACCAGGCGCAAGGGGAGAATGGACTGTTAGCGGACTGGTTCTTCCAGTACCGGGAGATGTTAGACGTACGTTACAATTGCTTACTACTCCAAGAATCTGTTCACAGGGTGTATCATAGGATACCCACCGGATCACATCAACGCCGTGATAACACATACCATTCACTTTCTGGGACTTCTTACTTTCTACCTAGGCATCAAACTCCCTTTTGAAGTTTCGTGGTCTTGCAAAAGATTTGGTGTCGGTATGCCTTGGATCGGAGCAGGACGAGGGAGTGAATCTTGGGCAAAGTGCGTCTACTGTTCTCACTGTATTTCTGGCTTGAGTTTTCACCAATCATTATCTCCTCCCACGGATAGATGGACAGCCCAACACCCTTTGCACCTCACCTCAATCCTTCCTCTACTCCATCTTCTCCTCTCCTCCTCGCCATCTCCTACACCACCCGCCTCACTAGCTGACTCAGAAGCTCCAGAACAAGCTCCAGCACACGGCCAAAACCAATCGTTCACGACCGGCCTTGCAATGCTTCTCTACAATGTGTGTTATCTTGCTCATAGCCAAGGTGTCGAGATTCCTTTGTCCCAGGCGGGCGATGCATTGAGTAATTTGTGGGCTGTTTGCTGTAGTGGAGAGCTTGGGCGGTGAGTCTTCGGCGTTTCTATTCCTGTTTCGTCATTTATTCATTTTGTCATCCGAAATGCACGTTCTCCCATCACAGTCGATCGCACTCTACCACCCCGCTCCTCTTACCTCCAACCCCTCCCTCATTTACGCTCGACTTTGCCCAGGTCCTTCAAGCCACTGCTGCTAGTCCTGCTCGGGCAGCACGAATACGGCCGGGACGTTCAGCGCAAGAAGCTGGCATCAGTAGAATGAGGAGTGAACGTATCATAGAGGAGGAAGATGGCTGGGATGTGGTGGAGCTTGGTGGAGAAGAGGGATTTGGATAGATGCACGAGCTGGGAGAGATGGTCAGTGATTAGATGGTGACTTGATGTTTGGGACAGTTCGAATTATGACTCCGCAGGAGACCATTGGATTTGCATTAATTTTGGTGAGTGCATGTGTACATAAACAATTGGCATCGGCCTGTATCTTATCCTGCTAGCTCTGTATCTACTTAGAAGCCTATGATCATAGCGCTGGCAAGCATATATCTCGTACTCATATATTGCTCATATATCTTGCATCTTGGGACGCGTATTTGGTTTCACTACTCACAGGGCCAGTTCAAAAAAAAACCAGCCTGAGCATGGCACCGAACTCGACACAAGAGCCGCCCTGCCGCCCTGGACTATTATCATGAGGCCTCGTCTTTGAAACTTGGGTAGTTTCACCTCCTGACTATTCAGAACTTGGTGCACGCTGTTTGCTCCCACACCGAAACCACCACCGATGTCATCAGCGCCTGCTGCGTGCTTCTCAGTTTTCCCCCGTGCGAGGGGCTGCTGCTCCGACGGACGAAAATCTGCGGGGATGAGAACCGAGGGAAGGAGAAGGGAGAGATGGGGGCAAATTTATAGCGGGGCGCATTGTTCTGGGAGCCTGGATTCCCATCTGGAATAACCAGATGATATGGTTAAATGTGAGGTAGGCTCAACTAGCAGAACTTCCATCTAATGATGGCCGTGTTCGATGTTAAGCCGAGGTCCGTACATGGTCTCAGTACTAGATGTATCCATGAGGGATACGAGCTATCATACCATGAGTTTGAAGGCCCGAGAGGCTTGACGGTGATTGTTATTTTCAATTGTTTCGCTCCTGCGCAAGCTTGAAATGGCATTAATGGTATCTCACTTCGACAGTGATGCACGGTCGAGAGCTTTATGAAAAGGCAAAATCTGGATCTAAATTTTACGAAAGACGTTATGAGACGCGGAGAAGCAAAGTAGCGAGCACTGACACACGCTGCTTCATGCGCTTGAGACCTCCATTTATCAGCAGGAAGCCGTAGGAAGTGCGCTGCGTAGAATATGCATAGGTCTGCATTAATTATACTGTCGCCGTGTTGCCTGTGGTATGCGTGAATGGGAAAATAAGTGGGATCCAGAGAAGTCGTCCGCCAGGACCTTCCCCTGGAGTGAAGAGCATGAATCGGGTTGGGTGAGAACGAAATTACAGATGCGAAGCCAAAGTCTAGCATGAAGATTGCATCATCACGGCCCTAAGTTTGTGTGACTTACACTTGAACGCCGTACAAAAAGTCGTACCTCGCCGTCTACTCTGACACCAAAGCCCTAGCTGTAATGATGCTGTCATCGTCAGCTTTACTCACAAATCGATCCCACTGATCCCTCAAGATTCTCATGCCTATGCAATGACCGGGAAAATCACATAGAAATAAGTATTATGACGCCGGGTACTCGTCGTAGGGTTCTCACCGACAGACTGACGACAAATGTAGAATAAATCGAGGGCCGAAGCTATAGCTTACGCCGCTTCCCAAATCCGCTCTGGTCAGCCGCTGCACTTTTCCGTTTGACGCTCTCAACGAGGTTCTTGAGGCTGGTGTCATCCACCTTTGTGGGGAGTCGTGCGCTTGTCTCATCTTCAGGGCGACTCCTTTTTTGGCGCTTAGTTCGTTCGTCAATAAGTGCCGCCATACTTTTCGTCTTTTTGAAGCTGTGAACACATCAGCGTCATTGGATCACGCAAAATAACGAGTACTGACTGAGGATTGCTGGGATCGATGGCGAATTGGTAGTCCTCGTGGATTGCCTTGAACCGGTCATCTTTAACGTCGATAATGAAGTCGTCCTGGACTTCATCATCATCATCATCATCGATCACTTTCTTTTTGCCCCTTTTCTTTTTTCCCTTTTTACCTGCTTTGACGTCTGACTTTATCTCCTGGCGTAGCACTGGCTTGTCGACATCCCGTGTTCTTGACACCCGCTTCGCTGACTTCGATGCATTCCCCGCCTCAGATTCTCCCTCACTGCCACTTACGCCCTCGAAGAAGTCGTCATCAAAAGAGACATTTTTCCCAGGTTGCCCTCGACCTTCATTATTCGTGACTGTCGTAGCTTTCTCTTTGACCTCTTCCTTTCTCTTTTTGCGCTTCTCCCTCATCTTTCTTTGATATGCCTCCATTGTCGTCTCGTCTTCGGGATTTTTGGCCTCAGTGAGACCAGGGGTGAACGTGATCTCCATGTCCACATCGTCATGTTTTCCTGCGTCGTCATCCCGGCCCCACCCTTCTGGAAGGTCGTCATCGTCTCCGGCAAGAAGTAATGTGCGAAGCTTGTCTCTCTGGGCGTTCTTCTTGCTCCTCTTCTTCGACACAGGATCTGGATCATCATCGGACCCAGAAGATGATGATGCGATATATGCCTTGAAGTCGGCTTCTTCGATCTCTTTTTTGGTTAGTGATCGTCTAGTAATGTGATTGCGCTCCGGGTCATCATCGTCCCAAGTGAGCTTGACTTTTGAATGACGGAGAGCCTGAGAGTGCAAAATGGGTGAGAAATACAGAATGACAATGAAATTCCCCTACATCTGTCACGAACTCTACTGCTCGATACCGTGTTCCAGGATCATCTCTCGCCTCGTCGCTGTACGTGACTCCGGTTAGATGAATCTCCAAATATAATGTCAAATTGGACTCGCCGATATTCTTCATCGAACGTCATCTCATCGGGCACAAAGCTGAGATCGAACACGTTTGCTGAACGCTCAAGCTCAGTACCTTCGAGTTCGTTGTAGATGTGCACGGCAGCTTCGGCGGTATCACATTCAACAATGGCGTAGTAATACCTTTGATTGAGCATTTCGTTGAACACTGCACCAAAAATATATAAGGAGGCAGCGCACCGTAATCTCTCTAACTGATACTTTCTCAAAGCGTCTTCGTCGTAGTCCGCTCCGTCTCCGGTTTCGTGGATGGTCCGTTCATTGACATCCTCTTCATTTTCTGCTTTCTTTTTGAACACCTCTACAGGTGGTCCCTCCTTTTCCTCCCTTGCGATGCGCTCTTTCCCGAACTCACTTGGATAGACGCGGACACTCAGCACCTTTCCTCTTGCGACCGTCGCCTTTGCGCTTTTCGTGTTCTTGAGAGACTTTTCATCCTTGAGTGGCACTGGCACGGACGCCGGAAGGGTAGCAGGCGCAGCTGGCAAAACAAGTGACGAAAATATCTTGTAAAGATGTGCTGCACGGACATGGTCCCAATCAAGATTAACAACAGCTAGTCTTCTGGTCTTCTCCGTAGCTTCTTTACTGTTGTCCTCCGGGGCTATCCTCGCATATGCAGCAACCTGTGCGTCCAGATCGGCAAATGTGCTCTCATCAAGATCGATCTCATCTTCTTCGTCGAGGTTTCTGCCTAATGTGACAAATCCGGGGCCATCGCTCTCGTCGTCAGAGTCACCCGCACCCTGACTTTCCGCCTCTGATTCGGAGGAGGACTCCATGAGGACGCCACCACGAGCATAGTCGGGTATCGTGGAGGTTGGAGCATCTGCCTCCTCATCTTCCTCGTGTTCCAGCCGATAAAACCGCCTGAGGTTGTCCTTTTCATGAGTTTCAGAAATTTTACGACCAAATTTATCTACTCGGCCTGTAGCAACAATACGAGGTGAGAAGCAGTAGACGATAGAGTTTGAGGCGCACCTAGTTTTTCCTTTCCTTTGCCTTTTTGTTTCAATGTCTTTTTTCCCGCCTTGTCTTCGTCAAAAATTCCTTTGAAACGCTCGTCGACTACAACTTTTGAATTGTGTTTCTTGAGGCGTCGGAAACGGGGGTCAGTATTCAACCGCGCAAATCGTGGGTCAGACATGGTATGGCGATCTGTCGACTGGACAAGCCACAGACGATAAACCGATGGTGCTATCAGTGCGCGACGAATGAAAATATTATTCGGCAACTATGCACGAACGCTACCATGAACACTCACAAATGAGTGTTACTTATTGTCGCGGATGGCAGTCAACTTGAGTGTGTTCGTTTGGCCAACGCGATGATTCAGAATAGATTCGAAGGACGTGTGAGTAGTACTAGATCAAATGTGCAATGTGCATGTGTGTCAGAATCATCATGTATTATTTTGGATCCTTGCACACATTTACGACATCCTTATGCGAAGGACATTAGTTAGACTTCTTGCTCGTACGTTTCTTCCCAACCCACATCAATGACATGATCGTTGCCTTTCTCACTTTCATCATCCTCTCCTTCCTCACCATGTTCTTCTTGATGTAGCCGGGTACTGGTCGTTGACTTCCAGTGCCTCCTCCGTCTTCCTCAAGAACAACCCCATGCCCTCTCCGTCGCACTTATCATCCATAGTATATGAATTATCTTTGTCGTCGAGGGATGGAGCTTGTGGTCCGTTGACGAAAAGGTCCGCAGGGCGCATCCCGTTTACCGTGACTGTATTTGGGATTTTTCTTGATATGATCCCGCACTGATTCTGCTGCTGTATTTCCAGGCGGCATTGAGTCGTTGTGCTGTTTGGTGCTGCACCGTTCCACATCTGACACAGAAGCCATTTCCGGCAGCTGCACCATACTCGTCACTCCATAACAGTCCCTCGGCAATCCGTGCATACCATCATTACCTTGTTTACAAGGTCACTAGAACCGATAATTGTGACTCAGAAAGTTGAAGTTTGTACACCCGGGTCATGAAGCGGTTTACCACAACAGAATCAAAATCTGTATCTCTTGGGCTGGCAGGTTTCGAATCTTGCCGACGACAAGGTTTTTTTCTATCGGAACACACCTTGACATTCACTCATGGATGGTGTCGTCGGAGGTTCACCTTAACTGGTCCAAGTGGTTACCACAACAGAATTAAAATCTGTTTCTCTTGGACTGCACAAGGCTGACTCGGAACGACAGGCCTACGTTTTTTCTATCAGAACACACCTTCAAGTGACATTGACTCATTAATGGTTTCCTTGGAGGTCTATTCAACTGGTCCTAGCCAAGTGGTTACCAGAAACAGAGTTAAAATCTATTTCTTGGAGTTGGTTCGAAACCTGCTGACAACATTTTTGCGGTGTATAGATGCGCGTCGGAGGTCCATCTTAACTTAGTAGGCCCAGTCATCGCACCGAAACCTCCTTTTTTATGTGATAGTTTGTCCATGAAAAGGAATTCACCTTCACACCCCACGAGGATTGTCTTGGAAACATAAGATATATCACCGAGGTGCGTACGTGCCAATGTAGATTCTCGACAGACTCGGATTCACCGCCAAGCGAAAAAATGTCAATCGTTGGGACCGGAGGCCAGAAGAATGCGCGCAGGCTCAGGACAGAGTGAGTCTGATAGTCGCGAAAATTCTGTGGGGCATAGTAGCAGGAGATTGGAGGCAGCAGGAGGAGGAGAGGAAGAGATGACGGAGGCCAGAAGAACGCCCGCAAGCTAAGGACAGAGTGAGTCAGACAGTCACGAAAAAAATTCTGATGTGTGTAGTCTGCGTGCGCTCGTGTTTTATGTCGATATCAAGGCGGAACAAAAAACTATTTACCTTCGATTGCCGCGACAAGAGCCGGGCACAGATGTCAACAGCGAGGTCAATGCAAAACCTCATAACGGAAAGCTCAAGATACAATGCAGGAGTGGCCCACCGAGGCATACATGACGGGAAACAGGGGCTTGGCGACTCGGAGAACTGAGACGACTCGACAAGCCCCTAACAAATAAGGTCAAATTATTGTAACTGAAAAGGTGGTGTAGCCAACAGAGGTTTTGGGAGATGAGAAACCGATCGTGTTCGACAAGAGTCCTCTTCCACTAACATTGGGAGTCGGGGACCGGCAATAGATAGTACTCCGATGGGTCAACATGATGGAAACCGATGGAAATCACAGTATCGAACAAAGGTCTAGCTCAATACGCTTAAGATAGCTCAGATGGTGTGGCGTATGGCATGGGAAACATACGTTCCGCATGGTCTCTGGCACATCCTCACCAGTGATCTTATGATATAGAGCAGGCACAGCTCAGGTTGAAGGTAGTCGAAGAATTATATTAGCAACGAATTAGGTTATATCTATAATTAGCACCCTGCCTGCGCCCTGCACGTTCTCCTTCAGTAGAGATGGCTCCTCGATAACCACACCCAAGGATCTTTGGTAACCTGTGGCTCTGGAACTAAAAGTCAGAACCCGTACGAATCTTGGATAGCTATCTCACCCCATTCCATGTGCATGAATTACCGGTATTTCCTGCTGCTCTTCTTCTGCATTCTCGATCACGTATGGAGCCAAGTCGGCGCTTTGCCTAAGAGGAAGCGAGATCCGTTCAACTTCCGCACGTGGACTTCCCTCTTTGACAGGTCTAAAGCCGACACTGTGCCTCAGAAATCAAGATATCAGTCCCTTCTTTCAGATATGGCTCCAGTAGGCTCCAGCACGGAGCACCGCTCAAATATCCACTTTGCAGCCGACATACAAAAGGGTATGTGTGCCTATTTGATAGGTTCCATTTAGAAGTGCAGCATTCACTTCGATCATTCCAGGTCAAATGATAGATGTCACATGTTCCGACATCCCGGTACCTGCGCACAACTGCATGTCAAGATGATAGCGACGGTACAACCGTTGATATAACTGACCAGACCGTGCTCTACCAGGCTCTACCGAGGTCATTTCTTTCGACTATAGTAGATTGTCCCCTGATTGGAAAAGGGCTGCATCTTCTATTCCGATGGACCGTGGACCTTTGAATCCGGCCATCAATGACTATAGAAGGACGACTGGTGTGTGCTCACCGAAAGACGTTGCATTAACCAACAACCCGGTTTTCTAAACTCCTTGCGTATTTGCGGCGGAAGACTCGAGCTTTGACCGAAGCCATGGTAGATACCCCAATGGGTTGACACAGACTGTATCATATGCAATTTCAACTTTGTATGGTGCAGGGATTTGAAAATCTGAGAGCAAGCTGAACTATAATCCCTTTTGGTGTCTAAAGAACGGCAAGCAAAAGAAGACGTACATCGCGCACAAGGTCTTTCTACCCTTTGGTGGAAAGACCGTCATCCGTCTCTGCAAATATCCTAGACGGTAATCTCTAGAACCCCTGAGGATCAGCCATGTACCAGTCAAGAAGTATTCAATCAAGACCGACTTTGACTAGGCCCGACGGTGTCATTTCTCATAACCTATCACTGAAAAGTTTTCTCCATAAACCTCGCAACATTGCGTATCACAAGATGCCTGCTCCTATCTTCACACACACTTGTCTGTGGCACCCAACGGCATTAGAGACCAATTCGCACCCTAGATAAGATTGTTATAAGAAAGTACTTCAAGAATGCTCAAAAGGAACATACAGCGAATGGACTTGCCCGGGCTTATGAACCTGAATCACAAGGCATATCTCTCGCAATGATCGTGGTCACAAGCAGCAAGGTAGGCGTTGGTGAGTCCGGTCACCTCCGCTCCGAGGATAATTAGAGGCACACAAGAATTGGAAGCAGAAGACATGGCTCCTGTAGGGATGTCGATAATAGAGATAAGGTAGGGGACAATAACTTTCGCTTCTGAACTCGGAGTATGAGCGCCCCTTGGGGTATAAATAAATGTATCTGCGATGAACGGACAATCTGGATTTGAACGAACAAACTTGAATCGTCGGTGTGGGATTTCTGGCAAGGGCTCTGCCTTGTCATGAATGTCAACCAAACATAAAGATAGTCCTCGATGGTAGATTTAACATCGTCCGAGGGGCATAAATAGCGCATGTTCAGGGGTTGAATGCCCATCTGACCGGCAGTCAGCCCCACAGTGTCAGCTTTCTTAGCTGCACATTCCTCTCCTCTGAGGATCTATGTGCGACAAAGAGCGCGCCCAAACGTGTAGCTAATGATGAATGAGACAGAAGATAAATGATAATCTGGTGTGATTGCGCACCACCTGCAAATTCGCCTTCCATACATGGCGTCGCGACAAGGCCTGCTGCTTTGAGAGCGACCATAACCTGCCCATATGTCCCGCGGAACAGTGTGTCGCGGCTACGATAATCGGGAACGTTCGTCGAGACATCCATCTGTTCCTCAAGTGCGGAGGGAGTATCCATGCCTGCCTCGACAACAGCACTAGTAATCGTTTTTTGCAGACGCACAAGTCGGCTTCGGGATGATGCACGCGGATCGCATGGGGGCGTGGCAAATTGTATGTGGAGCCCGTCCACATGGATGCCTTCAGGTTCTTGCTGGGGCACGGGGGGAAGGGGTTTCGGAACGTGCGCAGGTACATAACACCACGTGTCGATTGGGTTGCTGGATGCATTTTGGTTTGTCGAGTAAGGTTTGTGTGTGCTTGGATGAGATTTCTGGTGTTTCCCGCTTGAAGAATGAAGATGCTGACCGCATACCAGGCGCGGAACGAGATAAGGATACAAGGCGCGAAATGGATGAACGGGTCTTTAGTGGGGATTCTAGCATACATTGCGAGATATGACAAAAAGAAGATGATGAGCTTGTAGCAGATGGGCATGAGTAGGTCAGAGATTGCTCCGAGACAGAAGCAGATTTCTCTGGTACAGGAAAGCTCGTGAGTGTATCTTCTGAAGGAGATACCGTTCTACGAGGCGTGAACGATACGTTGTTGAACTCCACCACATACGGGATACCAAACGGAGTCCAATGAATTTGCTGGGGCATTTCAAAATGCCTTACTGAGCTATTCAGATAGATGAGAGCTCGAAGTGGTGAATGGATATCTCGCCGCTAATCCAGTAGCGGTCAACAGCGATAAACTCGGAGGACAGACTGTAAGGCGTAATGATCAATGGAAGTAACCTGCTGACCGGGAGCAAGGGAGCCACATGTCTGGGTAGTGTAATGCGAGCCAAACACGTTGCAGCAGCATTACATCGATGAGAAATTATAGGGTCTGCGACTCGTAAATGCTGGTAGGTGTCACGAGACTAATCTCGAGATCAATGCCAAGTTTGCGAAATATCACAATTTGGGGTGTCTATGATGTGCGATTAATATTTCTGTGAGACGAGTAATTTTTGGAAAGTATGGCGTCTGAGTCAGTGAACGAGCGTCAATTGAAATTAACACAGCTTTTGACTCGGAAGGTTATGAAGAAACGTTTGCAGGAGGGATAGAGGGTATTACTTGACTGGATCACCCCGGAGCAGCGGTAGATTCAATTCAAGTACTTACTCGACAAATATTGATGCTGTGGCCTCCAAACAGATTCTCTCCAAGTTGTCACGCAGCCAGCATCGTGAGACATTTGTGACGGTCCCGTCGGTGCTTTTCGTTTGAATATTCAAATATTCAAATCTCAGATGCGGCTTGACATCTTCGGTGACAAATTGCGAGCGCTACAGGTTGGCGTTATAGGTGCTGTCCGTCCGGATGCTGCCGGCCCCCGGGTGCCGCGGCGTGGGCAGAGTATTTCACGTTCTTCAAGATCCTTTGTTCTTACACTCATGTATCCGTGTCTTGTGGGGCCCAAGTAGTACTATTCTGTCACAGTACTCGAGCTCGCGAGGGGAAGCGGCTGAAAATGTATCCGATTGTCACGGTGATGTGGACTAGGCGCCGTCGCCGTCGATGTGACCTTGCTCACTACTCAAATTCTCTTTCCGCCTTACAGTGCAGGTGCTTTGTAAGCTATCGAACAACTAGACAGGAGAGTGCGCCGCGGGTCAGATGAGGCATATATATAGAATGAGCTGGGACCCTCAGTGGATGAATCAGTGCAGATAGAAGAGAATTCATCAAGATAACATTAAATTTGATGGCACAATTTTGAATTTGAACCAGCTCCTATAGCTAGTACCTAACGAACCAGCCCAGTGGCAAATTGAAGCGAACAAAGAAGCGGCCAGTGGCAAATATCTAATAATCACATGACATCAGTTAAAGCCATGACGTCGTTCAAGTTGCCCAACTTTCCTCTTTGGGAAAAACTCTCCAAATTTCAAGCTGTATCGTCGAATAAAACCATGCTCCACGGAGTGGCAACACATCTTGGCGCTACCGCCGTTCGAAAAAGATAACAGTTCATCGGCACAGCGAACGTCGTATAAAGGTTGGCATATCGTTCTTTGTTTACTCACAAACCCCATTTCTACCATCTTCAAACTTTCACTCCTCTTCAAATGAACGCTGATTACTTCCCTCCTACACTTGCCATTCATCCAGTAGATCATATATCTATGGCTGAGACAGCACCAGCAACCAATGGAACCCACAATACTGCCAACGCTGATGGCGCGGTTGCCCAAGCAAATGGCTCTGTTGCCACTTACAGTGCACCCTCTCGCGTCACTCTTCATCTCGGACACTTGCCAAGCAAGAAAGATATCAAGGCTCCATGGCCGCGCACACCCTCACGGGTCGGTAAAAACATGAGTTGTCACCCGAAGAGTTCATCTGACGTTTATCGGAATATCTTCTGCCAGGTTGATCCCAACAACCCTCCGTGGCCAGCGTACCGTGGCTATCACGAGTACTCGTTCGCACATGCAACGATGGGGGTTCGTTTACCGACCATCCTTGGCAAAGCTATAGACGATGCATCGCGAACTCTAAATGAGCAGTATGCCGAAGACAAGATTGTTGACCTTGTAGAATGTTTGGAGAGAATGGACACCCTCATGGCCGACCTCAGTGGAAATGCTAAGCTTAGACCAATCGTTGACGACGGCGAAGGTGACGTGGCACTGTGGAATAAGGAAATTGCAAAGTTCTTCCAGGGTATGATGTTCGTCATATGCACCACGCATCTTGGCTGACAATCCACATTTTAGGCAAGGATTTCATGAATGCGCCTTGGTTGTTCGCCGAAGCCTATAAGTACCGTCGTCTGCATGAGTGCTTCAGTGTAAGCAAGTACTGGCATCACTATGATGTTTTCTACCGTCAAAAGGTATGAACCAGACTTGATTCATTTTTCCAGTCTGACAGCGCTTCCAGTGTGACACTTTTTCAAGATCAACAGACGCTGTCTTTGAGCTGTCTATGCGCTTTGCTGATCCTTTCAAGCAGCCAGATAACATGTCGGACAAAGAGAAAGCAGAAAGCGAGAGACTCATGTTTTTGGAGTTGACTCAAGGTGATGATAAGAGTTTCTCAAATTCGTGCTGCTCACATGTTATGCAAGTGTGTCTTTGGGGCAACTCGACTGACCTTTCACTCTTGATCAACATGACGGAAGAACAGATCAAATCTCTCCAGTCGACTGGAGGAGACCACCTTGCTGCAACTGAAAAGAATATTCTTGGCAACCATCTAAACCAACTTTGGGAGACTGTCAAAGTCCTCCGCGAAAAGACTGGTGGACGAATTGACTTCGTGTTGGATAACGCCGGGTTTGAATTGTATTGCGATTTCGTGTACGGTGCGTTCAAGAAACGACTCTTGGTGGAGAGATTGACTAATTTTTATCAGCTGATTTCCTCATACAGACTGGTCTTGCTAAGCAGATTCGGTTCCATGGCAAGCGTTACCCATGGTTCGTGTCTGATGTGACGCGAAAAGACTGGGACTGGTTACTGAACACCATGGTATATGGACACTTGTTCCCAAAAGCCTCCGAGGCTGAGCGAGAGTCGCTACGGAGACTCGGGGCCCGGTGGAAGGTAGGGGTAGTTTTTCGGCGCTTGAAGTTTCACTCACGTTCGATAGCAATACGAGAAAGATGGCAGATGGCAATATGAGCAACATCCTTTCTGGTGCACTGGATATACGTTCTGGGACCTTCACAGCGAGGCACCAGATCTCTTCCTCCACCTGTCTCGCTCAGATCTCGTCTACTTCAAAGGCGATCTGAACCACAGGAAGTTGACGTATGATTGTGCTGCACCAGCCAGCATTCCATTTGACATTGCCATTGGACCCATGGCTAGCGCTGCTGGAGCTCCAAAGATCTGCAGTTTGCGGACAATAAAAGTGACGTTGTTGTTGGGCTAGGAGACAATGGCGACGCCACAGCAGAGCGGTTAGACAAGGAAGAGCCAGGTTGGAAGATCAGCGGGAAATATGTGCGTACTTTCAGCAGTTATGGTTCCATGTACTGAGCGTCCACTTCATTCAGGCTGTCGTACTCCTGTCAGAAGGTCGACCGGGGGAGAAAGTGCGGTTTGCTTGAGCGAAGTAAATTCCACTGGTAGAAAAGCGTCATTATCCTGGGTGGTTAGCTCTCCCATGTGCCAGGCACTTCCTCGTCGCTTACTATAGCTGTTGGACTCCTATCGGAAGAGTCTGGATAGAGTACTACCAAATCTCCGTTCTCTACATATGTATGCATTCCCACTATCTCTCGCTATTTTTGTAACTATACATTTTTATGAGATACTTATATGTTGTCAATTTTACCGCTTCGAGAAGCAGGACGAGCAATACTATGACATTTCATCCACAAGACAAAATGCGCCGAGCAATGTGCGTATTTTGGTCCGCTCGGAATCCACCATGGTAAGCTTTGATTGTGTAAACATAGAAAGCATACTATAATACAGTAGCTTACACCCACTGCGTACTGCCGCCCGAAGGGGATCACTTGTTCATATGTAGACTGCCTCGCATACCAGGTCTATGCTAGTCAAGGGTTCCGGTCAAGCACATACATCCTGGTTGTACATGGCTCGCTTGTAGCATTTTTCGCTAATGGCGGCCGGTGGAACGATGCAAAGGAGATATTCGCTAAATGATCACTTAAAGATCGACGTCCACCTATGTATTGCGCAGTCAACGTTCAACCCAAGGTGCCGGGCAGATAACATATGGCACGGATCATGGCCGCTGTGAAATTTATGTCCCAACCACCTCGCGGCGCGCTTCAGAGAGAATGAGAGAATGTACCTTTGCATGAGCTCTCCAACACCATTCCACACAAGATGTCAAATCCATGAGGGCGTCGGAGACTCGATCGGTGAAACCTATTTGCATTGCGCAAGGAAAGATATATAAAAAAAGGTCTTCCCCCGACGTATTCTTGTGCTTTGTGCTTTGAGTTGCAAACTGCATTCTAGATTAGAAGGGACGTATATAGTTGGGCGTACACGCCCACCGCATGACCCCCATTCCGCCCTTACTAAACATGGTGACTGCGGATAATCGTCGGACTTTGAACTAAGCCTTGCGGCACGCAGCACCGAACAAGCTTGTCGAGAATTGCCTGCTCAACCTAAACCTTGCCTCAACCTCAGTAGTCCTTGACCTCACAGTCCTAAACCTTTTCGACCTTTTCCACACGGTATATATGGTCCAGTACATAGGAGGTCGTGTCATGTCAAAACCGGTGAGGTTTGGGGATGTGACGCCAAAGATTAGGTTTAGCAAACAGTTCGGCACTGCGCGCCGCAAGGTTTAGTCTAAAGTCCGACAATTATCTAAGGTTACTGTTTTTAGTATACGGGGTGGGTGAGTAGGCGCGCGGTCACCGCCGTGCGTGTGCGCCAAACTTTGAACGTCGCATAGTAACTGTTAAAAAATTGTAGCCGGCACTCATGTAACTTACACTTCAGTATTCTTCAGTTTGGTACTCACGTTGTTCCACCCGCTCGCCGCGTCTGAATCAAGATTATGGCATTATACTGAAGAACCAATGCGGTGCAAAGCTCCAGAATTATGCCCCCGCCGCTGTCGCATGCAGAAAAGGAGATGTCGATGAAGCAGCATTGGAGCTACATTGACCATAGGCAGCGATTTGTTGACCTTGAGCCAGATTCCCATGAAAGGGAAAATGATTCAGCGCTCTCGTGCAGATTAACCAGTGATGTGATCCGTCGGAACTGTGTGAGAGCTTATTGCAAACAGCAATTACAAATTAGTAGTTACAAACATGATCGATTGATCCCATCATACTGACGCATGACCAATATTTATCGCTGCGACTCACTCCTTCACAAGCACACGGATACTGGTATCTTTGAATCATATCTGGCGGCTCCGTAGTGAGGTGCTCGAGGGATGTAGCGCGAATACAACCGAAGTATGTGACTATGGCATATGCACCTGCCGGGGGTCCCGACCAGGAACAAGTACTGCCAGGACTGCTGGACCCGGCCACAAGCTTGTGGCATGTATCATTCGTGCAAAGTTATGCAGCCCTAATCTCCCCCATTTCCAAACAGTAGTGATTAGGGCAAGAGCATCGGTACCATCATGCTCACCATTTGCCACGAAAAGGCAAATTCTTGCATCACCATCTTGTTCGTTGTTTCCCATCTAGACAAATTTCTTTCTTCTCCAGACAAAATGGCCTCGGTTGGTCGCGAGATTGATGCCCCAGGATTCAGTTGCGGGGCATATATGCTCCAGGGAACCTGATTCTCCATCCTATCTCTCCTTGACAGCAACACTCCACAACTGAATTTGTGTGTCGAGCCAGCGAGTATTCATGTATTCACATCAGTGTGGCAAATTTTCAATGTGACATCATCAAGCCCGGGCGCCATTCTTCCTAGCAATGCTTAGCCTCTCCAGTAGTCTGCATAGTGCAGTCTCGAAAGTGATGCACCCGGCAATGATGTACTGCGAAGGACCGAGGGTGGATTCGTCAAGCGCGCCGAGTTTCACCATGTAAGGTAAGCACTCCCTAAATATCGGTCCACGAATAAACTGGTGGAATAGCACATCCTCATGGATGTAGTTCCTCTTACTCACGGCCAAAAACAGGCTACTTGTCCCGCTATGTCGGTTTCGATCCAAGATATGCGCACAACGAGTCGATTGTTTAGCTATTCCTGTTTTCGGTTTCTTTACGTGTGGGGGCGCGTTCCATACGGTTCAGTCCTCTGAGGATGAGATTAACCATGTGCTCACCTTTCAGCATAGTCTACCAGCACATATATAATGGGCTTCGAAATGTGGTATGATCATTGGCTTCCAGTATCGTTCAATCATGTTTCCAGCTGCATCCCTATTGACGACTCTCCTCTTGGCCTTGTCCATCGCGGCATCGCCTGTTGAAATTCGCAACTCCCCCATCACCCTCCCCATTGCCAGGAGGCTAAACACCTCTGGTGGTACCATCAACCTCTTGCAGCACGATCAATCTCGCGCAGCCGCCCTCAAAAATGTCGGCGAAAGCACTCTCAGTCGTCGTACTGGTAGCATTACTGTGACAAACGATGCTGTAAGCTACATCGCAGCAGTTGGCGTTGGCAGCCCCGCCACAACCTGTGAGTTCAACACTGAGAAAACATGCGGTTACTAATGTATTAGTACAGACTACTTGATTGTCGACACCGGTAGCTCGAACACATGGGTTGGTGCCGACACTGCATACGTGAAGACCAGCACTAGCGTCGACACTGGTGAGGCTGTAGCGGTCGACTACGGTTCTGGCTCCTTCTCTGGTATGACATATGATGATATCACAAGTTGAAGACACCTACGATTATCTATAGGAACTGAGTACACCGACACCGTCACTCTCGGTGATGGGCTCACTATCACCGCGCAGTCGATTGGTGTTGCCGATCGTTCGGAGGGCTTCACCGGTGTTGACGGTATCATTGGCATTGGGCCCCTGGACTTGACAGAGGGGACCTTGACAAAGGAACCGGACACGACGATCCCAACTGTCACTGACAACCTGTATAGCCAAGGCATCATTTCTGAGACAGTTGTTGGTGTCTCTTTCGAGCCCACCACTTCGGAGTCAGACGCAAATGGAGAGCTTACTTCGGTGGAACTGACGCTACCAAGTACACCGGCGACATTGCATACACGTAAGTTGCTGCAGCTCGAAGATCAATCCGGACTGACAGTAATTGCTGATTTCAGTCCTCTCACCACCACCTACCCTGCATCCTACTACTGGGGTATCAACGAGAGCATCGCTTACGGCTCCACGACCATCTTGGCTGAGACGGCTGGTATCGTTGACACTGGCACTACCCTCATCCTCATTGCTAGCAGTGCGTATCTCGAGTACAGCGAGGGATCTTAATCTGACCAGTGTTCAATAGACGCCTACAGCATGTACCAGTCTGCAACCGTGCTACTGAGGACGACACGACTGGTCTTCTCCGCATTACCACCACCCAGTACGATGACCTCGAGGACCTGAACTTCGTTGTTGGCAGCGTACGCCCTTTCTGTCCCAAATATTAATGCTCCTTGTTCACCGTTTTGCACAGAACACCTACGCTCTCACTCCTAACGGCCAGATCTGGCCTCGTGCCCTTAACACCTATATCGGTGGTAGCACCGACTACATCTACCTCATTGTCAGCTCCATTGGCACTCCCAGTGGTGAAGGTCTCGACTTCATCAACGGCTACACTTTCCTTGAGCGCTTCTACTCCGTGTTCGATACCACCACCTCCCAAGTCGGTTTTGCCACAACCGCATACACGGATGCCACCACCAACTGATGCAATTTTTTTTCTTGGGCATTGGGCATTTGTATATCACAATGTAACATTTCTCACAACCTATATATCAAGTCTTCTGGAAACATTCCTGGAAATCGAATGTTAGCTATTGCTGTTCCATGAAGACACCCCAGCTCCACATGCCCTAAATCGTGAGACCACCCACCCAGCGTAGACCGCTAAGCATCTAGATTCAAAAAGGGCTGCAACAAGGGACGAATGATCTTCTAATGATCAATCTCGCGGACACTGATTGATCAAGCTCTTCCCTGAGACATGTGTGCTCATGTCTATGCCGATACTGGCGAACTGTAACCATGAATAGTTTAGTTGCGGACCGTTGATGTTTTGATGACGCACATATGTAACAGAGAAGGAGAGTTGTTCGCAGGGAAGTTGATGGTCTGGTAAACAGGTAACGCGTGTGTGCGATCGACGGGTTCTTGCATTCTTTGCAAGTGCGCTGGAGAGGACGTAAAATCACACGACCCAACCACGTTGTCACCAGCTTGCCAAACGCAGTTAGACGTATGTACTTTCAGGCTGAAACATCATCTTGAAATCAAAGACAAGCTTATCATTGGGCCCCTCCGCCAGGGCAGATTTGCCCGCGTGGGCAAGCCAGCAGGTTTCGGTGAATTAAGAATGACCGAGTGGGGTAAGGGCGTGGTGGAGAAAACGACTCGGAATCGTGGCAGCAATGAGCAGCAGGAGAATCGCTACAAAATAGATGGTCACACTGATAGAAAGATGTGGTGCATGAGGCGGCGTGGTACAGTTATCGAGCTACTTGAAGGATACTAGCTGTAAGCATCACTCGTCCTTGTTTGATGGTGTTGTAAATACAAACCTTCATTTTTGAATGCGAAAAGTACTCCAGTGTTGTTCTTGGGTTGCTTGGCACATCATGGTGATAGGACACACATGACGAGCTACAGAACACGTATGACGCACATGGCAGGAAGATTAAGAAGACGTTGCATGTGCGCACGGGAAGACGACACACATGGTGCACCCAGTGCATGCGCCAAGGACAAGCGAGTTCCCGCAACAAAAGTTGGAAGTAGCGGGCTTTGCCGCGTCAGCTGGCCCTACAGGTAAGGAGGTTCATGGCGACTGGTCGAAATTCTACCTCGGTGCTCTAATCAATTCCTTTTTTTTTTGTATAAAACATATTTATTGTCCTTTGGGTCGATGACCCTATATCGGATCCCACTGCAGGGCTTAATGTTAAATTACTTAATCATTGACGTCCGCCTCAAAACAGGTGATGGCGGCACGGGTGCGGCAAATAACTCAGTACTTCTTCAAGTTCTTGAATCTTGTCTACCATATGTTTGGATCAAACGAATACCGATGATTAATCTATCAGTGGATTTCCAGTTCCCAGGATAAGGCTTCTCGATAAGGTCCTCAAACATGATCATCGTATGTGCAACACTCGAGGACCATAATTGCATGAAGTGATTCTGAGACTGAGTCTTGGCCCCTTAGACGATACCTGTAGGTGGCCATGCATTACACATATGCTTTCAGAGCGCTGATTCCGAATGGGAGTCTGAGACTGATGTGCGCAGGCTACGGGATAACATCTACAGTATACACTGGTTTCCTTCGTGGTCGAGGGACCGACTCGGACTCTGTAGTCATGCGAACCTCCAGCAATATCTTGATAGTGTCATTCTACTCCATGGTTTTGTGCCGAGCTGGCAAATAGCGTCAGTTCAACAATTCTCATCAGTCATCATCAGGCCAGGCACAACCGCTCTCCTCAGCAACGCTTGCTACACTAACATTGGCACTGACGACCTGCCGTCGACGTTGTATTCATAATGGGCGAGCATCTCTATGGAAATGAAATCAATGGACCGTGCGTAAACGAATTGTAAATTCCTGCCCCCTGGGATCAAAAACAAACCTCTTGTCATATTTTGTTGAGAAGTCGAATCCTTGCACTCGTGATGACTCGGACCGCGATCATCTCGTCATCGCTTTTTCGAGGAGGAACGTCTCATACGTGGCTGAGGTGTCCAGCATTCGCGTTCACCAGAGCATATATAATGGGCCACTGAGTATGTGAGTATGATATTGCTTTCCAGTAAGCCATGTTCCCTGCTGCATCCTTGTTGACAATTTTCCTCCTGGCATTGTCTATTGTGGCATCGCCTGTTGAAATTCGCGACTCCCCCATCACCCTCCCCATTGCCAGGAGGCTAAACGTCTTCGATGGTACTACTAACTTCTTGCAGTACGATAAAGCTCGCGTGGCTGCCCTTAAGGACGGCCGTCAAATTAGTGGCACTTCTGTGACAAACGAAGTTACAAGCTACATCGCAGCAGTTGGCGTTGGCAGTCCCCCCACAACCTGTGAGTTCAACACTGAGAAAATATGCGGCTGCTAATGTATTATTGAAGACAACTTGATTGTCGACACCGGTAGCTCGAACACATGGGTTGGTGCCGGCACTGCGTACGTGAAGACCAGTACTAGCGTCAACACTGGTCAGCCTGTGGCAGTCGGCTATGGTTCTGGCTCCTTCTCTGGTATGACATACAACGATATCATGAGTTGAAAATACCTACGATTTTCTATAGGAACTGAGTACACCGACACCGTCACTCTCGGGAGTGGGCTCACCATCACCAAGCAGTCGATTGGTGTTGCTTCTACTGCGTCGGGCTTCACCGGTGTTGACGGTATCCTTGGCATCGGGCCCGTAGACTTGACCGAGGGTACCTTGACGAATTCGCCGACAGCGACGATCCCGACTGTCACTGACAACCTGGACAGCCAAGGCACCATTTCTCAGAAAGTTGTTAGTGTCTTTTTCGGGCCCACCACTTCGCAGACAATCACCAATGGAGAGCTCACCTTCGGTGGAACTGACGCTGCCAAGTACACCGGCGATATTGGATACACGTAAGCTATCTCGGCTCCTCGATCAATCCAGACTGATAGTAATTGTTTTGTTTCAGTCCTTCCACCACCACCAGCCCTGCATCGACCTATTGGGGTATCGACCAGAGCATCACCTACGGCTCCACGACGATCTTGTCCTCCACTGCTGGCATCGTCGATACTGGCACCACCCTCCTTTACATTGCCACCGGTATGTATCTAGAGTGCAGCGAGTGATCATGGTCTAATCAGCGTTCGATAGATGCCTACACCAAGTACCAGTCTGAAACCGGCGCTACTGTGGATGGGACGACTGGTCTTCTCCTCGTTTCTTCTGCCCAGTACAGTGCACTCAAGAACCTGAACTTCAATATTGGCAGTGTACGCCATTTCTGTCAGCCCTTACACCCCTTGTTCACCATTTTACACAGAATACCTACAGTCTCACCCCTAACGCCCAAATCTGGCCTCGTTCTCTCAACACCAATCTTGGCGGTAGTAGCACAGCTATATATCTCATCGTTACCGACATTGGCACAAACAGTGGCACAGGGTTTGACTTTATTAACGGCTACACATTCCTCGAGCGCTTCTACTCTGTGTTCGATACCACCAACTCCCGTGTCGGTTTTGCCACAACCTCGTACACTGATGCTACCACTAACTAACATGAAATTGCAAGTACACAAAGGATCGTTTTTCAGATGCAAAGCAGCATACGGATTTGAAGGTTGTATTAATAAGTAGGCTATGGAGGTCTTATTCCTCGGTTTATAACAATAGCATCACATCTGGTTAGGATGCGTGAAATCCCCTCTATCTAGAGTACGATCACATACTTCTGGTACTATACACCTGATATACATCCCAGAGCATGCTATGATCTTCTTCGCAGCTTCTAGAATCATCACTCTCCCACAATATGAAAATTGTACAGCTTATTAGCTTCTCCTGGCAGTGACGGACAGGTGTGCAGACGTGACCCAGCGGTGATGCAGTGCCAGATCCTAACAAGCGGTTAGGTCAACATCCTCGATACCCCTGCCACCTGCACGACCACAGTTATCACAAATTGTGAGGGACAATGACGGGCTGTCGTAGATGCAGTTGAGGGCGGCAGAGTACACATGGAGAGCTGTGAATGACGGTAAGACCTTTTAAATGTTTTCGAAAACTCCGTGTTTGTCGAGTTATAGAGCAGTTGTGAGCAATTTTACGTTGTCATCACGCCAGTGTGCAAGATAGGCAAACCAACACACTGAGATCACGTTAGCAAACGGGCATGAAACAGGGGCATATATCGTGATGCGCATGCATCAAAGTAGGGTTGCCGAAAGACACGAAATGGAGGAAGAAGAAACTTGAAGGAAAGGGGTGACTTCTGGAATGAAGTATTTGAGTTTGCGTGAAGAACTTGGCAAAAAAAGGTGGCAGACATACTTTTGACGCTGCATGGAGCCTGGCAGGGTTGAGAAATAACCGTTACACACTGATAAAAACAGACGTGCTTTTGAGTTTGAAAAAGAGGCTCTCTTGCGGAGTCAAAGTCTGGTTGGTCGCGATAATCCTCCAAAATACCTAGCCTCCCTCATGGTATAGAAGGAAGACAGTCCGTTCTTGATTACAGACACGCAGCCGGACGGAGACACGGAAATTCGGACTGCCAGACTTTCTGGCAAAGTTTTGTCATCGAGCGGTGTTTAATCTTAACTGGACTCTGCTTACAGGTACTTCCCGATGGGCGGCTGGACTTGTCTGCCCCGGATAAGACTTACATAAACAAGTGCTTGTCCAAATCCCTGACTTTCTGCCAACTCCATGGTCATGCGAACCTCCAGTAAATTTTCCCGTTTGCATAAATACCAACCATTAATGGATCGCGGGTCAACAGCAGACGTGCTTCAGAAAATTGCCAGCTTCGTCTTATTTTGATAGCGTCATTTTATTCAATGATTTTGTGTCCAGCTGGCAAATGGCATTCAACCATTCGATCATCTTCAGGCCCTGGACGACCCTGGACAACCGCTCTCCTCAGCAACGCTTGCTACACTAACATTGGCACTGACGACCTGCCGTCGACAGTGTATTCAAAATGGGCGAGCATCTCTATGGAAATGAAGTCAATGAACCATGTGTAAACGAATTGTAAATTCCTGCCACCTGGGATCATAAACAAACCTCTTGTCACATTTTGTAGAGAAGTCGAATCCTTGCACTCGTGATGACTCGGACCGCGACTGTCTCGTCATCGCTTTTTCCGGGAGGAAAATTTTATACGTGGCTGAGGTGTCTAACATTCGCGCTCGCCAGCGTATATATAATGGGCCATTGAGTATGTGAGTATGATATTATTTTTCAGTAAGGCATGTTCTCCGTTGCATCCTTATTGACAATCATTCTCCTGGCCTTGTCCATCGCGGCATCGCCTTTTGAAATTCGCGACTCCCTCATCACCCTCCCCATTTCCAGGAGGTTGAACGTCTCCGATGGTCCTATTCAACTCTTGCAGCACGATCAAGCTCGTGTAGCTGCCCTTAAGGCCGGCCACCATCTTGGTAGCCCCCCTGTGACAAACGTTGTTGTAAGCTACATTGCAAAAGTTGGAGTTGGCAGCCCCCCTACAACCTGTAAGTTCAACACTGAGAAAATATGCTGCTGCTAATGTATCATTGAAGACAACTTGATTGTCGACACCGGTAGCTCGAACACATGGGTTGGTGCCGGCACTGCGTACGTGAAGACCAGTACTAGCGTCAACACTGGTCAGCCTGTGGCAGTCGGCTATGGTTCTGGCTCCTTCTCTGGTATGACATACAACGATATCATGAGTTGAAAATACCTACGATTATCTATAGGAACTGAGTACACCGACACCGTCACTCTCGGGAGTGGGCTCACCATCACCAAGCAGTCGATTGGTGTTGCTTCTACTGCGTCGGGCTTCACCGGTGTTGACGGTATCCTTGGCATCGGGCCCGTAGACTTGACCGAGGGTACCTTGACGAATTCGCCGACAGCGACGATCCCGACTGTCACTGACAACCTGGACAGCCAAGGCACCATTTCTCAGAAAGTTGTCAGTGTCTTTTTCGGGCCCACCACTTCGCAGACAATCACCAATGGAGAGCTCACCTTCGGTGGAACTGATGCTGCCAAGTACACCGGCGATATTGGATACACGTAAGCTATCTCGGCTCCTCGATCAATCCAAACTGATAGTAATTGTTTTGTTTCAGTCCTTCCACCACCACCAGCCCTGCATCGACCTATTGGGGTATCGACCAGAGCATCACCTACGGCTCCACGACGATCTTGTCCTCCACTGCTGGTATCGTCGATACTGGCACCACCTTCCTTTACATTGCCACCGGTGTGTATCTAGAGTGCAGCAAGTAATCATGGTCTAATCAGCGTTCGATAGATGCCTATACCAAGTACAAGTCTGAAACCGGTGGTACTGTGGATGGGGCGACTGGTCTCCTCTCCGTTTCTTCTGCCAAGTACAGTGCACTCAAGAACCTGAACTTCCATATTGGCAGTGTACGCCATTTCGATCAGCCTTCACACCCCTTGTTCACCATTTTACACAGAATACCTACACTCTCACCCCTAACGCCCAAATCTGGCCTCGTTCTCTCAATACCAATATTGGTGGTAGTAGCAAAGCTATATATCTCATCGTTTACGATATTGGCACGGACACTGGCGCAGGGTTTGATTTTGTTAACGGCTACACGTTCCTCGAGCGCTTCTACTCTGTGTTCGATACCACTAACTCCCGTGTCGGTTTTGCCACAACGTCGTACACTGATGCCACCACCAACTAACATGGAATTGCCGAAGTACACAAAGGACCATTTTCCAGATGTAAAGCAGCATACGGATTTGAAGGTTGTATGGGCTTAAGTAGGCTATGGAAATCTTATTCCTCGGTCGATTTTGCGTATGATTGGATTACAGCAATAGTATCACATCTGGTTAGGAAGCGTAAAATCTCCTCTGTTTAGAGTCATACTTCTGGTACTGCTGTGGACCTGACATACATCCCAGAGCATGCCATGATCTTCTTCCGCAGCTCCTAGAAGTATCACCCTCCCATGATGTAAAGATAGTACAGTTTATCAGCTTCTCCTGCCAGTGGAGGACGGGTGTGTGGACATGACCCAGTGGCGATGCAATGCCAGATTAACAAGCGGTTAGGTCAATATCCTCGACACCGCTGGCACAGTTATCACATATTGTGGGGGACACTGACGGGCTGTCGTAGATACAATCGAGAGCGTTAGAGTGCACATGGAGAGTTGTGAGTGGCGGTAAGACCTTTTAAATGTTTACGAAAACTCCATGTTTACCGCAAGTTAGAAAGCAGTTATGTAGTGTCAAGAGCGATTTTACGTTGTCGTCACGCCAGCGTTAAACCAAGTGCAAGATAGACAAAACCAACGCGCTGAGATCACGTTAGCAAGTGGGCGTGGCGTGAAACAGGGGCATATAGTGATGCGCATGCATCAAAGTGGAGTTTTTTTTAAAAAAAATCCAATTTGTGTCCTTTCAGAGCGGGCTCTATGTAGGACATAACAATCTAGTCTATGGGCCCCCCGTGCCCTGTTCGCATCTCTGAATCCGCGAATGCCTTGGTGTAAGGCGTACCCCACCAGTCCGCCGCTCCGGCCGGCCGTTTTAGACGCGCGATTCAACGAAGACGAGATGACTTTTAGGTAAACGTGCGTGAATAATAATTAACTATGGTGTGGAGAGTGTAACGCGTACTCAGCCTTTGCAGGCTGGTACAGGAATCGGTCTGAATACAGTGAGTAGGTTAAAAGGACCGGGGTGTTGACGGTGGGTCCTTTTGGTGTCGCTGATTTATTCCATCAAAGTGGAGTTGCCGAAAGAGACAAGATGACGGAAGAAGGAAGTAACGACGCGGCCTCTAGGATGAAGTATTTGAGTTTGCATGAAGAACTTGGAGAAAAAAGGTGGAAGATATATTTATTGACGCTGTATGGAGCCTGGTGGCAGGGTCGAGAAATAATGCACGCTAGTACTGGTAAAAATGGACGTGCTTTTGAGTCTGAAGAGAAGCTGTCAAAGGTGGCCTTGTTGGTCGTGATAGTCCTCGGAATACCTAGCCTCCCCTAGTCAGACCTGGAAGACCTGAATACAGTGACGAGAGTCTGTTTACGGTTGCTACAGGAGTCCATACCTTGTTTTGGACTTCAAATATCCTGCAAGTCGTGTTTGTGTCTAGTATTCAGTACGCACGACATGGTACGTTTTACGTCGGGATCTTCAAGCAATCCCGCTCTATATGATTAAAAAGTCGTTGAGTGATTGCTTGTAGGAAATAAAATAATTCCACACGCGCTGACTTCTGCAGTCAGCAACAACACACAGTATTAGTGGGTGACTTCCCGTAAGAATTTACAGAAAAAGACGTCTGTGAACTTTATGTTTGCTGTCGTGCAGCGGTTTCAGTAGTGGTAGCGAGAACAAAATGAAATATCTGCGTTATTGAAGCAAATAGTTTTGGATTAGGTGGAAGCCCCGAGGGGCGACCCGGCCATGATAGCGGCCCCAACCTGTACAAGAGAGAGCGGAGGTGAGCTGCGAGGGCGGGCAGATAGCCCCGCAGCCTCAGACTCAGCAGGTCTCCACCGGGGCCCCTGGAAGAGGGATGTACTACATAGTATGTAGTTGAAGCTGACTATCTTTAGGTGTCAGTAACAATGTAGGCTGCGAGAATACGAGAGACAACGAGGACAAGGGCTCGAGTGGTGGGGAAAAGAAAAGCAGAAGGCAGCAGGCAGGTTTGCCTGCTGGAGATCGGAGGCCACTGGCACGTGCTTCAACACTGCCGCTGTCATGTAATACGTACGCTGAGGATTCACAGAAATTCATCTGTAAAGCCTTGTGGAAAGTCACTCAAGTTACCCACTGGTTCTTTGACGGTGGGCAGCTTGCACCTTATCTCTAGTAGAGGGAGAATTTTCGTATCAACAATTCCCCCAGTAGATCATTTGGCTTGCCGGTCACAGAGCAAGAACATCCAAAGACTCCGCACGTCGGAAAGTTTATATAGCATTCTTTATGTTTACAATTTGTAAGAAGGAAAGTGAGGTCCGAACGGCATCAGAAAATATATGCATATCTAGAATAGACCGCCCGCAAGTTATGCCGCGGTCTAAGAAACTGAGTCGAAACGAAGTCAATGCTCGATTAGTCTGTCTCTTCGTCCCAGCGCCCAGGGAATGGTGGTGTACTGCCTGGGGACTCGTTGGACATTCCCGCGCGACGTGCTCCTCTTAAACTTGAATTCCTACCCTGAGATGATGAACTGCCAGCCGCTCTCGAGCTACCTCCCCCAAACAATGAGTGGAACAATCCTCCACCAGTACGACCTGAGTTCCCAGGCGATCGTGGACGTGGCGGAGCTGATGATGGGCTTGTTGGGCGGTTACTGGGTCCACTTCCTGGTCCCGGGGGGCTGCCTGGTGGGCGTGGCTGTTGTGCTTGCTCTATAAGAGCATACCTTTTGCTCGACGTAAGACGATGATGGAGATGGACATGAAAAATAACCCACCGGCAAACAGGGCATGTTCCGCTAGATTTTAACCATGGCAATATACAAGGCTGGTGAAATGGGTGTTTGCATGGAAGAGTTACAATAACCTGCTCTTCCGGGTCTTCAGTTCCAAGTTGGAACTGTTCTTTACATACGGCGCAATCTTTATCCAATAGTGGAGCTAGTACCACAGGAAAGTGAGCAGCGAGTGGAGGATACAATAGTCAATGACAAACATCGATCCGAAAGAACTTCTCGCGGGAGATTGTTGACGATGTCTTCTGTTGCTGGAATAGGCCGTGAAGCAGAATTTTCCATTATCTGCGTGATCACTTGGTCCAATGCTACCCAATTTTTGTCAGGCTTTACAAAACATTTGTTGGAGACACACACCCTCTTGATTGAAAACATAGTCACCCCATCGTCCACCCGGTCCTCCTTCGGGACTAAGGGAGAACATTTCAGCAAAAGGGTCTGCGCCTCTACCTTGTCCTAGTAAAGCCAATAAATATTGTGCCATCATTGGGCCAGTGATGTCTCCGGGATGTCGTGGACCACTTTGATTTTCACGACGCAGGAACCTACACCAAATCATGCGTATAAGATTTCGAGACGATCGTAGTGGACATACTCGGACATGTTAGGAACTTCACGATCGCGCTGCTCCGGAGAGCGCGGACGATTAAGGGTGTTGGGACCTCCAAGAAACAAGGTTCTTGTGGCACCGTGACTAGGTCCAGTACTATGAAACTCAAGACGGATACCACCCTAATCGTATTATGAGCTTTCTTGCAGCATGTATAGAAGATGACCGACCGATCCTCCATCAAGGCTACGAGGGAAGGTAGGTGAGCGAGGTCGAGGACTTCCCGTCAAGGCAGCTGTGGGCGTTTCCTTCCATGTAAGGCCTTACTGCATGCATGAATGAACGCGCACCTAGCAAACCACCTATATTATTCGGGGGCATTTCATCATCGAAGTCTCCTCTCGGAGCGTGCTGCTGATATGCCCGAGGATCATCGCTTGGATCCTCTATCTGCACAAGATTATGATACATCATTATCATCAACTGGGAGTACGAAGATCGGGGTACGCACCTTCTCAACGAACGTGCCCTGACATGATGCACAGATTGGATCCGGTTGCTAATAGATCAGTTATGCGTTAACATCGGAAGTCAGCTGAGGATCTGCTAACCATGAGTGGTCTCATCTCAGCATGACACTATTGCAATGTTATGTTAGTATCGGACGTGCAAGTTGTTCTCAAGGACAAACTTCGTGACAATACCACATTGGCTCTCTGGAAGACATGGTAGCAAAGGCCTAAGCGCAGAGCTTGAGCAAGTGGATGATGGTGGAAATGCAAGCAGGTTTCGGCACAGCGTTGTGATGACGCCACAGCATGCACTGGCAGCCGCCAGCGACCCGGGAATCCGCCCAATTTAGTACATCAGTTTGGTGAAGTATTACAAACTCCGCCGGAGTTTACTCTCTCACCACGATCCTCACAAGAAAAATGATTAACTTGAATTCACTAGGTGAGGCTGATACCATCATCCTGAATCATGATGAATATTCTGGTTCCCTATTATACGAATGCTCTTATTGATAGAGACACGAGATCAATACCGGGTTTTCCTGAACGTTCCAGCTATGATTAGAATCAACGTCGAACCTACTGAAGTCCTATCTTTTGCTCAGGTTAACCGCGCTGTCATCCCAAACAAAAGTCATATACCCTGAAGAAACCCATATGCAATCAATGATTATACTAGTGATAGTGTACAGCATACAGTCAACGTTCCATGGAAGCAAACAATTGTGGCCAGTCCGCACTCTTTCTACACATCTCCCGGAAAGCCCCTCCGACCTTCGCCAAAAGTATTTTTGGCTTATCAAACTCAATAATCTCCCCAGCATCTAGCACCAAAATGCGATCGTAATCGATGATCGTTTTGAGGCGATGCGCGATGGTAATAACAAGCGCACCGGAAAGTTCTTCACGAATTGTCGTTTGGATCTATAGGTGTACACTGGTGAGATGCAGGACTGAAGTAACGCGTCAACTAACCTGATCATCCAAATGCGAATCTATTTGAGACGTTGCTTCATCCATAATGATGATATTGGTTTTTCGTAGAACTGCCCGAGCAAGTGCAACCAGCTGCCTCTCTCCTGCGCTGAGCGAGCCACCTTGGCTGATAGGCATCTCAAGCGTGAAGCCACCTTTTTCAATCGCCCGACTGAGCAATCTCGTTAAATGACATCGCTCGAGCACATCCCAGCATTCCTGGTCGGTGTGCTCCTCGAATGGGTCCAAGTTACTTCTGAGTGTGCCGGAAAACAACGAAACGTCCTGACTAACAATGGTCTGGGAACAAATTAGTTATTTCGTAAAGGGCCAAATAATCGACGCACTATCCGTGACCGAAGATCTTCTAGGCCAATTGTTGATATATCTATTCCGTCAATGCTGCCAAAGTATTTAGACGCTGGAACAAGGAGCAAGACACCGACAATAACATACATTATTCTTCCAGCGCTGGCCTCTATCATGCGCAGCAAGGACAAAGCCAAGCTTGATTTTCCAGAGCCCGTCCGTCCGACCTGTCAATAATAATGAACAATTGGGAATGCTAAATGTTCCAAGAATGTGACAAACCACCCCAATTTTTTCAGACGGTTGGACAACAAATGATATATTTTTGAGCACGTCTGGTAGGTCAGGGCTGTACCTGACAACAAGGTTCTCGACCACCAACTGACCGTCGCTTGATGGCCAGTATGCCGGAGGTCTGTTCTTCTCGATAATGGCAGGTGCCTCCTGTGGTACATCAAGATACTCGACCACACGTTCGACCGCATTAAAGTCAAGCTCGAGCTGTGCAAGAACCCGCACTAGTTGGCGGGATGCCTCGGCAAAGACACCGGCTTGCACGATAACGACCGCAGCTGACCCATTGGAAACTCCTTGCGAAAGAGCGAAGAGAGTCGTGAGATACACCACGACTGAGCCGAGACCTGGAAGGCGTTTGAGTCAAACATAATGGAAGAGAGACAAGCCACACACAGTCATATCTCCAGCGGAGCCAGCCGTTGACAAGCCACTGGCGAAGGGGTTAGTCAAAGCATTGCAGGGTGAGGGGCGCATCTCCTTACGTATACGTGGTCAAACGATTGAAATTTGTCCACTTTGTCATAGAACCCATCTTGGTATCTCGACTCCATTGCAAATGCACGAACATGTGACAAGCCACGTAGAAGTTCATCGAAACCGGCGAATGCAGGCGACAAGGAGACGCTCTCAAGCCGACGCAGGTCTCGTTGAGCTTGTACAAAACGAGGAGCGATGCGGATATACAACCATGCTATTACCAAAGCGAAAGGCGCGAGCGCGGGTATAACCACAATTATGACAGTGAAAGAAGCCAAGAAATTAAGGACGCCTGATAATGCGGCGCGGGCGGAGGTTTGCAGAGCTCCGTCAATGGTATTGATGTCTGTCGTGAAACGGTTGAGAATCCTCCCGATGGGTGTGGTATCAAAGAACCGAGCCGGCGCTCTTGTAAGCCTTTGGAGTAGTCTGAAGAACAGGGAACGGGAGGCCTGGAGACTTGCGTAATAGCCCAATGAGATGTAAGCCAGTACTGAGAATGCCCCTGCGATAGAGATATAGAGGTAAATCAAAAGCCATGGTTTGACGTTGACATCAGGAGGGGGTAAGTCATCCCAAGGATACTTGACGCTTGGGAGGAAAACCGAAGCGGAGACGTCGTAAGATTCACCCCATTTGGCTAAGAACACCTTGAAAACAATTGGTAATGTGTATGGGGTCAACAGCTACAACCGTACCTGATTCCCAATGTTGATCATGCGGATCATGAGCATCAAGACGAGAGTCAGTGCCCAGGACATTAAACCTGCTGCCTTGATGTAAACCCAATATGTTCTGAAAGGCACCCGGCCTTCTGCTCGAACTTCCGCTTCCACTAGTTTTCTAACAATTTGAGACGGCCGTTGCTTGGGAAGAACATCCACGGCTATGTCGTCATTTGGGGTTTGAGTTCCCGAAGTACCGACTTCTGTTTCTTCATCGTCAACCTCATTCAGAAGATCAAGCTCTCCGATATCTTGGAACACCTCTTTATCGCCAGCACGGGCAATGCTGCCGCGAGACAGCTCAACCACATAAGATGCAATCGGCAAACACAGACTTATATGGTGGGTCACCAGGATAATTGTCCGATTACGAGCCAGTTCCCCGGACAAACAGTGCTGCACAATATGTTGTGCAGTATGCATATCGACGGCGGCAAGTCTAAGGAACATTCAGAAAAAATAGCCACCTTGACAGAAAATACCTACGGATCATCAAGTAGGATGCACTATCCAGTAACGAAGTCGGTTAAGATGATGGAGCAATGGACTGGCAGAAGACTCACATTAGCTTCCGAGTACATAGCGCGTGCCAAGGCAATACGAGCTCTCTGTCCACCAGATAGTGTGATGCCCTTCTCGCCGATTTCTGGGGTTCAAAGTAATGCCTTGGCAATAATGGATAAAAAAGAGAACTCTTACCAGTCATATCACCCGCTTCGAATACAACAAGATCACGTTCAAGAGCACACGCCTCGACGACTGTGTGATATCGTTCCTCATCGAAGCCGAGCTTAGAGCCGAAAATGATGTTGTCCCTTATGGTTGCGTGTTCAAGCCCTGCATATCAATTGGAGTGAGCAACTAGGCTGCGCTATGATGACATCACTTGCAGGGAGTTTGGGCGCAGTAAGCCACTTGGTGCTTCCTCTTGTTTATGGATACATCACCAGACAAACAGTGCATTTCTAAAATGAACGCATCTAAGGGCCGAGCTGTGACCGCCAAGGATGCACTGACCACCAAGGAGCGCTGTGAGCATGGCACTTTTCCCAGCACCAGTCGCACCGCTGATAAGGCTCAGCTGGCCTTTCGGAAACTTGATGTCCAGAGGTCCAAGTTGGAAGTGAGCTTCAGTCATCGATCCTTTGTGAACTCCATGCCATTCAAAGGTTGCATTGTTAAAGCCGGTGTCCAAGAAATCCGCTTCAGAGCCGGTATCCACTGTCGATAGAGATGAAGCCCATTCAGGAACCTCTTGCTCCGCAAGGAGCCCCTCAATACGCTGCATCGATACGTAAGCTGTAACAGATAAGAATTGCATATCCGATTGTAGTATCGCATGACAAACCATGAAGCATCGCAAAGAACTGTCCAGGAAGAGCGGTCATCGGCTCCTGTAGCTGTGAGAACAAAGCGACTGCAGTAAACGCCTTGGATACTGTCAGTTGCTCTTGTTCGCCCAAAGTGTACCAAGAGAATGTTGCAAGGGCTGTTGCTGAAGGTATCCACGTCCTATGAAATGTCGTGTGTATGCGCGAAGTCTGGACAACGAACAGCCTACCATATAAACGAGATGATAGTGTCGACGACATTCTCTTTAACCCTCCAGCTGAGTTCCTCTTCTCGTGCCTGATGAGCAGTGCGTGACCACTGATTTTCTATGAAACGCTAGTTAAGTAGAACCATCTGTCGGCTTCTGCTCACCCACCCCAACCATAAAACTTCAAAAATCTGATATTTTGGAGTAGTTCGTTCACGACATTCATCCTTTTGTCCTTGGCCTTCCATGAGGCTCGTGTAATCTGTGCCATATTAGCCAGGAAGATCAAACAGCGGAGACTCCGAACCTTGATGTTGTATGTCGCCAATGGGTAGTTCAGAATATAGGCAAAAAGAATCACAACGACGCCTGACATCGCGCTCCACCCCAATATCCTAAGGTATTGCTTAGCTCGATATCTCAGGGAAACTGTGACTCACCTGTAGAGGAAGACCAGCGCTATCACCAGCCGTAGAGGAGATGAGAAGATCGCGGCAAAATCCCAAAACCGCTGAGCGACAGCATATGCATCGCCTCTTCAGGGTGGAGTGAGTTAGTCACAGGAGACTATAACCCTGGGTGAGACATACTGCATGAGATTCACAATTTTTCCAAGGTCAGCACTTCCTTCTTCGTCGCTAGAAGTTTTTCCGCTGATGTCCCTGCGGCGCAGTGCTTTGTAGTGCAAAGCACAGAATAGCTGGCCGCGAGTTCGTTCGTAACATCGGCGAGTATGCCAGTTTTTGAAGAGATCAACTTGCGCAAAAGACAAATGGGCTAAAAATGTAAGGAAAGCCCAGTATTTGGCATTCGCTACTGCGTCGGGAGTAGGATTATCCAACGATGATAGAATCATCCGGAGTGCATAAGCCGGCACGAACCCTGCGGATCAATTATTAATCTACCCGGATCAATCCATATCTCAGCATAATACACGCACCGACAACGGCACCCCACATTTCCAATGCGAGGTCCAAGATTAGATCGAGAGAGTTAGATACCAGCAAAAAGCGCAGTAGAGAGTGCGTCGGATAGCTAACTGCATATAAGAGACTGACCTATGTAGAAGACAGTGTTTGCCTACCGTGAACGGTAATCGAGGCATTTGTTGAACAAGTTCTTGTGCCGGAAGAACGGCGACAAGCACCAGACATCGGCATCATTCAATGTTCGCTTCCACGCCAAGTCCAATATGGGTTCTACAAATGATACAGTACACCATGACCAAAGGTTTGCGTCATCTTCGGGAGAAGAATGATTGGATGACGGAATCTAATCTCCAGGGTCAGTATGTGGGTCTGGGACATAGTTGAACGAACAGACGTCACTTGAGCTGGCGACGTTGAGCGCGGGTCGCACAGCCTGCAGTGGCAAAAGGCCAGCCACGTAGACGAAGGTTGCTGAAATTATTGTCCGACTTAGAAAAGCGATCATGGGACCGGCAGCATAATTCGGCAATGAAGAGTAGTAAACGCATGCAGTAGCAATTTGCGAAACTGCAAGTAGAATAAGCAAATACGGAGGTGTGGACGGTGCTCTCAACAGGAGTCTCAGGGTCGTATAAAACTGCCATCACAAATCAAAACGTGAATTTGACGTGTAATAAAATATTGAACAATCCTACCCATGCAATTGATGCCACTAAGGCGTTGGTCCAGGGTTCCCGCAGGGCGATGGCATACCCAAAATATGCAAGCCAGCCAATTGAGCAAACGAGCGCGACAGAGACAAGCACTCGAATTATCCGAACCTGTTTGGGAAAGTCATCATCGAAGGGACCCTCGACGTCGTCTAGAGTGATAAAGTTGCGAAAAGGTGCGCTTAGGGCACTCCAAACGACTTGGATGATTTTTGGAAGCTGCCTGTGCGCTAGAAAGTCGATGACGATCGTTAGGATAATGATAGCAGTGGGACACCAGGTTCCAAACGGAACGTTATGGAGTTGCCCACTGAACCACGGTTCCTGCAGCAGAGCGGTCAGCACAGACCACGTAGGATAATAAATGGCTACCTGAACAGAATGCATAATTGAGATCAGCCACGAAGCAAAGGCCAAACGCCTTAAAAGTCGCGGATTCAGAAGAAGTTGCCGATCGTGTAAGGAATTCAAGCTTTAGAAGGTGAGCAATCACGTCATTTCTCACGAAAGGCAGAGCAGCCTGGCTTGCGTCACTCCCAGTGGATGATAAAGGCCGTTCGGACAAGAAAATGTTATTTATTTAAAATTCATTTAAAAATTGTAGGGTCGCTCGCATGAGGTCAATTTGTTATTGAGGAACTGATTTCTTAGCCACGTGACCGACGTCGCGAACACACGTTTACATAAATCTCCGAACCTCGTAAAAGGCTCATACATAGCAGTCAGTAATTTCAATGAGGTATCAGCACGCTCTAATCCAGATCTCTGGAGTAATCGCGATTGCACTGCCAACTGCGGATTATGACTTGAGCGTGCATTCCGGAAGGGACTTACTCGGTATGCTCGCGGGCACTGCTGGCAGTGGCACAGACTCGCCTGCAGTATCAGACACGTTCCCTCTTAGCTCACCTTCATCTCCTATCCATCCTGGCTTGAAAGATCTGGGAGGCCTGTTCACAGATCCGGTACTCCCCACGGCATCCTCAGTGGGAAAGGTCGATCCAGCGACTCCCACAAGCTTCGGTGTTACGTCGTCCACAGGCTCTCTAAAGCCTTCTCCGGAACAAATAACACCTACATCCACCGCAAGGTCAGCGAGTTATCCAAATACCTCATCGGCCGCTATGACCGAAAACGCCTCCGCTGACAACAAGACCTGGAAAATCATTGGGATCGTCTTCATCGCAATTTTGATCATAGCAATAGCGATTACATCCAGCATGTTCTTCGATCGCTGGTGGAAGGTTGCGCGGGAGATCTTGTGCTGCAAGGGTCGAAGGAACAGTGGCATCGAACAGTTCGTCCCTGACTGGGAGAAGCAGACCTGGGAAGTCAAACTAGGTCCAGAAGAGCGTGATTATAGACAGCGAACATCGTTTATATCTTTTCCGTTTGATACGGGAACAGATCATGTGAAGGAGGGAGAGATGCATACGATGAGAAACTCCGCGGACCACACTATCCCTACCCTGCCAGTCGCGGTGCCACCTCCGTTACTCAGAGTCGTCTCTCCATCAGACACTCGAGAGCTTCCTTGGGATGCCAACAATCTCCATAAGTGCGCTCTTCACCGTCAGCTTTCCGCACGCAGCGGTCGCCACGGAGACATGTAATGAGAGCGTGGAATTTGCCTGTAGCTCCTTCATGCCACACCCTGCCCTAATACTACCCCATTTTCCCATTTCTTTCCCAACAAGCAAAGCATGTCCAGCTCACGCTACGATCGGCGACTATCACATTCACTATCCACCCAATCATTTTGTATAATTGCTCATGCTGTACCTGCCGCGTTCCGGGACGATGGGGGCGCGGCATGACTGGGCGCGGTCCTCGGCGGTGTCACTGGATACCTCTTTTCCAAGTAGTCGGACACATAAATTCCTACTGCGCCCACCGAGCATACAGCCATGGAGACGTATAGTCGTGTCCGGGCTGGAAGAGCTTGAGAGAGTTGTCTGAGCAGATCTAGAACTAAGAAAATTAGTTACACACCTTTGTATGATTGCCACAATGATCTAGCGACCACTGGCTCCGCAGATGGCGGTAATTTCCTGGAAGTCATTCCGTACAATCGTCTGGAGAGACAGTAATTCTAGACAACAGCGAAAAAATGTCTCCCCTACAAATCTCTAAACACGAGAGAATTGGACGAGTTTGGTAACCGTCAGTCTTCTTTAAGGTCAGATCTGACTACAGGAGACTAACGTTATAACTTGGACATGTTTACTGGTCTGGCAAGTACTACTTCAATTCTATGCTATTCGTTCCCTGTAACTTGACTGCCTCAGATCGAACACCTTGGAACAGTGTCTGTCATCCACCGGGATGATGGTGGTTGTGCTTTAACCATATCACAGTCGGCGCCTATCTTAGTGGACTGTCACATTGGTGACTCCATAGCCGTCAATGGGGCATGTTTGACAGTTGTTGAATTCGATGTCGAGCGTGATGGAGGATATTTTAAAATATGGCTAGCCAACGAGACTCTCAGCAGGACTGATCTGGGTGAGTGACCAGAGGCAAACTAATGCAGGCGCTCATAGGTAATCAAGGCGACCGCAAGGTTGGTGATCAGGTGAACCTTGAGCGCGCCATGGGTGCCCATGTTCGATTCGGTGGTCACTTCGTGCAGGTGCGCTCTTTCTGATGGCGTACAAATCATCATTAATGAATCATTTCTCATATCAGGCTCATGTTGATATAACCGCGACCATTCTCAAGAGAGCTCTTGATGGCGATTCGTTGCGTCTTTGGTTCCAACTTCCAGAACCAACCGCAGAAAGACCTTCTCTTCTTCCTTACATTATCCCCAAGGGTTATGTCACTATAGACGGTGCTTCCCTAACCGTTACTTCCGTCGATGATGCCCAAAGGATGTTCGGTGTTATGCTTATCCAACACACACAGCAGAAGATCACCTTGGCAAAAAAGGCCAATGGCGAGAGAGTAAACATCGAGGTTGACATGGTGGGCAAGTACGTAGAAAAGAGCGTATTGGCCGCTCTGGAGGGTGGTGGTGGAGAGGCCATGCGGACCTTCGTCCAGAGAATTGTGGAGGAAACGCTCGTCAACAAGGGTATTCTACCTTCTGCTCTAGCCTCTAATGACAGTGGTAATGCTCAGTAGTTAAACGAGGCCACTGAGTATGTGCGTTATTTTGACATGTACAATAAACGCCAGTGTGGCCTTTTGATGCTCGGCTATCGCAAATACATCCGACAGTCAATATTAATGAAGTGACTATTTTGTGGACACAGTAGGCCAAGTGCTATTTAGTGGTTCATTCTTTCAAGCACTGTAACTATCATCTGCAAAGCTCCAGCACGCGTGGTAACACCCAACGACCCAGCAGGTTTCTTTTTATCGCGTGTTTCATGAAGGAGCCACCGTTGAAGAGAAAAGTGAGCGTTGTGCTCATATGCCGCGATAGTCCATGAAACTTACATGCAGTGAACAGGTCACCGCGAAACTCGACTACAATGGCGGTCATGCACCTCTTCGTTTCAATTCACCATCTAGACCAGCATCACCGACAAAGCAGCCGTTGCAGTCATCTCTCTCGCCGCCAGGCTTCCGTCCGACAGCCAAGGTCAGCTCCAATGCAACCAGTGCCCGGAGACTGTCAAGTTCGGCTTCATTGAATAACATCAACAAAGTAACACACTCTCGACCTGGGTCGCCTTCGAAACCAGTCCAAAGTTCCAGCCCTTCCATAGTCACGAATCCCGTCAAAGCTCGCGTCACGGCGCGGCCCGCATCCAAATCCACTACCACATCTCCTGTGTCCAGTACATCGCCTCTAGAGTCACGTCAGCGATCATCCACTACTATTGTGTCAAAGCTACGACTTCCGCCCCAGGAAGATCGATCACGTAGTGGTAGTGTTGCCCTACATCATGCTCAATCTACCTCAGCATTACAGAGGAATTCACCATCGCCCCGAACTCCGCTCTCTTCCGAACTTCCACTCGTACGCGTCGACCAAGACCGTGCCAGTGTATCGCCATCGGCTCCCATCAAGATTAAATCCAAGATTTCTGGGTTAGCCAAATCTAATAGTATTGAGACAGATCCCACTCGCTCGTTATCCCCACCATGGGTTACCACTAGGTCCGTTCATACAAGACCACCCATACCTTCACTTTCCTCAAGCTTCTCATTAAACGCGCCTCCAAGTCCTCCTGATTCGACTACAGTGCCAACTTTCTATCCCATAACGACCGCAGCTCCTGCTGCTAATCCCCATAGGTATCCCTCGCCACGGCGCGGCCCCTCACCCACACTCTATCCATATCAAACATTCACTCCACCTGAAGGACCTTCGAAAGCAGCCAGGCAGGTCCTGAAAGCTAAGGTCGACCCTGCTTCCATTCCTCTTCCTCCACATTCACCATCAATATCTGCATTATCATTATCTTCAAAGTCATCTGTGTCTAGAAGCTCATTGTCTCTGGATCCTTCTCATGCAAGCGCACCAACGTTCAACTCTCACACGAACAAGCGTTTGGATACTGAATCTGCTCGAGCCAATAATGGCCGTTCTATTCAGAGCGATCATGACGACACAATTTCGCCTACAATCAATGGTGGACAATCTAGCCAAGATCGGGATAGCGACTTTGACTCTGAAAATTCGGAGCACAAGGCGAGGGCTGCAGCCAAGTCTAATCGAAAGGTCGTATTCATACTAATGTCATTAGTACTGGGCTGACTTGTACTTCAGATTGCCGACTTGGAAATAACGAATAAGTCCCTGCTTCTTATCAATGCATCCCTTGAAACTACGAAGAACCGTCAAGCCAAAGAAATTCGAGACCTCAAGCGGAAACTTCGTGAATCTCGACTTATTCTTCCCCCTAGAACATTCAGGGCCGTTGAGTCCCTTGCCCGCGAAGAGCAAGAAGAAGAAGAAGGGGAGGATAATGATAGTGCGGAGGGTGAGGAGGGTGAGGATGAGCCTGACGAGGCTTATGCGAGGGTGAAGGATATGCTGGAGGGCCTTCTGGAATCAGGCAGGAAAGCCTTGGAAAAGACTCCCGATGATTTCCGGCAGGGCCTCTTCGCAAAGGTCCTAAATGCCGATGAAGTCCGCTCATGGAGAGATTCAGGGCAGGAAATTGGCGCCGTCCTTGATGACCACAGCAAAGGGGACAGTAGGGAGATCCAGACTACAGTCCACCTCTCTCCCTCACACGTTGCTGTGCCTGACAGTGATGATGACGACCTCTCGGAGGACGAAGTCGAACGGCTGACCTTGGAACCAGATACGCCACCACCCAGGCATTTGCCTCCAATCAGGATTGCTCCTTCATAAGTTTATGGCGTCACGTTTATCACGCTCTACGTCCTGCAATGCTTCATTATGTAGACCTCGGAAATCATTTCTTGATACCCCACAAGCATTTCACTAACATTTCGCGTCCCTATCGCATTATCCAATATGTTTACTGAGACTGAATTTCACATTTCTAATTCCACGTTTCTACATAGTAAAAGTCTTTGAAATGGTATTGTATGGAATCAAATAATTAATTAGATCACTCATCGGCTATCTTCTGTGCACGCTTCGCGAGCTGGATGGTTATATATATTAGATGTCATCCTCAAGGCAGCTAATGTAACTTACCGCAGCAGCCAAGTCCATCTGACCAGCAGGTGCACTAGGCTTGGAAATCTTCGGTGGCGCAGCGCCGGCACCTGCTCGCGGGGCCGTGGGTATAGGTGGCTTAGGAGGTGGCTTGCCACCGCTTGGCTTCGATGCGATAGGTGGTGGCACAGGTTTAGGTTTAGTAGCCACTGGAGGAGGGGGTTTTACTCCTAATGAACTCGAAGGGCGAGAGCTCGCGGGTGTACTGCTTGGTGACCCATTAGCTGATACAGCTGCAGACTTCTTCCAAGGCGCTGCGGAGCCATTCGATGGCGCAAGGCCAGGGAAAACAGCCACGGGCTTAGCCGACGCGTCTGCTGCCAATGACTTCACAGACATAGCCGAAACAGTTGGTTTTGAAGCTGAAGCAGGGGTAGGAGCGGCAACGACTGCTAGCGGAGCTGAAGGTGGTGGCGGCGGTCGAGGTGGAGGGGAGCGTACTGGTAGGTGCCGCTTTGGGTTTTGGCGGCACAAGTTCTAGGTAATTGTTTGGGGCCCAGCCCTCTTGCCCATCCTTCCTTACAAGCCACCACCCATTGTCATCCTTCTCAACCAGTTCCACGGTATCATCCTTCTTCAAAGATATCTCGCCTTCTTGACCTTCAAAAGCGAACTTTGCCTTGTATAATTCTACCTCGGGCTCCTTGGGCGGCGGTGGCGGTGGCGGTGGAACTGAATTACGAGTAGGAGGCGAAGGGGCTGATTTAGGAGGCGCCACCGGTGTTGGCCTGACGGCAGCAAATTGTGCAGATTTCCCTGGCAGTGGTTGAGCGGCTGGCTTCGGCCTGGATATCTTCCCCTTCTGGAGTTGATCGTGAGAAGACAGAAATCACAATCTGACACAAAACTCACATCCGAGGGGCCACCAGCGCGAAGGAGCTTTCCTTGGGTGATGGGTCTAACAATACCAGGTTTTCTTCTTGCAGCAGGTCGAGAGGTGCTCGACGGAGGTTCGCCAGACGGGACGTGCACAGCGTGGCTTTTGTATACATCATCTTTTGCGATCGTCTCGTCTCTGACAAATTGGATCTGTGCCTTCTTGTCCTTCTTTTTCGCATATTCGATCCTTCCGAGCAAGTGAGACAAAGGTAAAGTGAAACCAATCAAACACGCACGACGGGCCAACCAAGACGTTGATACTAGTTTGCGTGAGCGTAAGAAGATTCGCGGTCAACTCCGTCTTGAAATAGCAATGAAGAATTGGATCTCCCTCTTCAGAGGCATTACAGTTCAATGCCTGATATAGAGTTAGCGATACGCTGAGGACGGATAGGAGGACCAACCAGCCAATCATCCCTTAAATTAGACATCGATATACTTTTGATTGTTACCAAGGGAATTTTGCGTTCAAGCGAGGTTTGTATCTGACCATCCTTCTGAGAAGTGGCCGCGATGTACACAGCTTTTGCAGTCTACCATGATGCATGTCAGACGAAGCGAGGCAATGAGGTACATTGATACATACCACTACAAGGAAACGTGGGCTAACTTTGCTGGACCGACCAAATTTGGACACCAATATTTGCACTTTTGAGCTGAATGTAGCCTGTTCCGCTGTGCGACATGTGAGACGATGAGACGACATGAAATAACTAGAAGGCTTACTACCAAGACCACAGGCAGAGCGCAGGTCAGATCCAACGATGTTCTTGCCATTGACATCAAGATAGTCGCCCAGAAAACGGCGATAGCTGAGGAGACTGTAACGCCTGCGTTCTTTTCTTCCTGCTAATACCTGATGACCATAGTCGCGGACTTTGGCATATTCGAGGGCTTCTTTGTTATTCTTCCAGAACCTCTGAATGCGCCTAGCACACTCATTCTTATAGCGCCAGTAGTTTCTCCAGGCTCGCTGAATACGTGCCGCCATGTTATGCCAATAGCGGTCACGCATAGTCTCTAACGCAAACAGCTGTATTGACGACGTCAATTCCATTTTTTTGTGCTGCTGCATGGCGTACTCACTGTTTCGGGATTCTTGATGAAGGCCTTTGTAACCCCCATCTGCCATTCGTCCTTGGCTATCCCCGTGTCCTTGAGAATTTGCTCGCAGCCAGATTTCGCATCTCCCTGCCATGTATATTCACCAGCGTACGACGTTGAAGGCGACAAAAGGTAGAAGCGTTCCACCATTTTTTCGAAGGTGTTCCTATACGCAAATCCTGCGCGACGTACACGAATATTTTCTTGTAATCCAAGGTATTTGATTTGATGCAAGATGGCCTTGGTATCATATTCACTCGGGCTACGGTTCTGGTTTGGTTTGATTGTTCGGATATAAGAAGGCTGAGCTTTCATCAAATTATCCACGAGAGCACCTGCCGACGCCTTTCTAGGATATGAATGATCTATTCTAACCAATAAAAGAGCAATGTGAGATACCTTGATCCTGTCACCAGCAGTGGGCGGTCTCTTCTTGCTTGAGGGATCGGGTCTGTCGGAGAACAATGTCTGAAGGAACTGGTTGCCGCTACTACCGACCAAGTCAAAAAGATCCTTTACAAGTGCATCTTTGTTCTTGTCTGTCATGCCCGCGATGTTGTACATGACATCTCCGGCGTAGTGACGAACCAAAAACTGAGATCCCCGGGCCTCGAAGTGGACATTGGAAGACAGCATGGCCGTCCGCTGGACGAAACTGTTATCTGCCGCGGCTGGATCGGCGTGCGCTGTTGCGCAAGCGTCGTTTAAAGCAGCAAATATTCCAGGGGGTTTGCGCTCTTCAATGAGGTCGCAGACAATCTTGTTGTTGAAGTATTTGATAGGATTCCACTTGATCTGCTCCCTGACGTACTCCTCCTGTTCGGTCTTAAGTGTCAATTCGATAAAAATCTGCTGGAGTTTCTCGTTGACATAGTTGATGCATAGTTGCTCGAAAGAGTTATCCTGCAGAGCTCCGTGAATGAGGCGGTTTGAGGCATACATTTTAATTATACCTCGAAAATTTCAAAACCAAAGATATCCTGTCAACGCCTCAATTGTTGGTCAAACCAATAGCAAAGCGTCACCTACCAGTATACCAATGACTTGTGCCGAGGCACTTCGAGCTTTCATCGACACATTGATTCTCGAAACAATCCACTCGAAGAGATTGTTGTAAATCGCCTTTGCGAGTGCGTCCCTTCCAGCGGTTGCTTGCGCGGGATTCAGGGGAACGTCGTAAACAGAACCTCGCCGTCCCCCTCGCTGAGTTTCGACAACTCTTGACGTCAGAACCTTCTGAACCATCGCCGAGTCTACTTCTATGAGATACGCAATAAAATCTGTTATTCCAGTGTCAGAGATGGCCGAATTTCCATCATCCATCTCATGGAAGGAGACATTCCCCAGCCATAGAACGACTGCGAGCATCCGAAAAATTTCGTTCTGCTCTTCATTGCTGAGGCCAATGATCCTCATGGCATTCTGACCATGTTTGAGTGATGATACAGGACAACAGGCAAATACTCACCAGTGTGTCCGCATAGTCGTTTGAATCGTTGATGCCCTGAACCTCTAAGCAATTGCTCCTGGCGGTATAATTATATGTTTCTGGGCCCTGCAACCCAAATTGTTCTACAAATATTCATGAGAACTCAGTGTGGACGGACAGGCAAGACGCACCTCGCTGCTCGTCTGACGCAGCATTTGTAAACTGATAGAAGATGTGGAAATTGCGCTCGTGCTCTAACTGTCCTACCACTCGGCCTTTCTCAAGTAGATAATTCGTTATCTGAGCCCCGATCGGCTCGCCATGGGTATTGAACATAATCTCCAGATATTTACCCTGGGGGGCCATGAAATCAAGATCAAGGTACATTTGTAAAACAGTCATTCACGCACATGACGACTTGAATTATTGTTGCGAAGGGTCTTTGCACAACCAAAGCTCTCTAATAGAGGATTGGTAGCCAACACCATTTCTTTGATCTCTTGTATACTGCCATCCTCCCCTCCTGACACGGCCGCGATGTATTGCATGATGCGTTTGGCAGCCTCGGTTTTTCCAGCACCAGACTCGCCGGATATAATAACACATTGGTTTTCGTGGTATGCATTCATGTTATAGTATGCAGATTCTGCGATACTGAATACATGCGGAGGAACTTCGAGTCGATTCTTGCCCTTGTACTTCTGGAGGGTTTCATCCGTATAGATTCCTAGATCTGAGAGGCATTTCGTCCCAATGTTAGAAACAAAAGTTTGAACATATAAAGCCTCACCTTTAAAAGGGTTTACGGATATTAATACGCCACCGATGTAAGTGTAGATCTCTCCGGCGGTCCAACGCTTCTGAAGGTTTCCATTGATGTTATTGTCGTCGATAGTTGTCAGAAGCGTCATATCGGATACTCCGGCTTGTTTCTTTTTGAATCCTTCTTTCCAATCTGCCTGTTTGTACCGATATCATGGCTGCCCGTGGGTGTGACGATGTCTGAGAGCGCACCTTGGCAACTTTAGTCGCCCCACCTGACTTCGGGGCAGTCTTCTTGCCTGCCTTCTTAGATATAGCCTACATGCACATGCCGATCAATCATTCAGCATTTCAAGGCAACTTAAATCTCACCATGGCCGACGCGCCTTAGCTTGAATGAGGGAACGTAGTAAAGTTGCTGGGAGAAGTCCGCAGGCACAGCGGAGAACGGCAATGCCCGTGGCAGTACTATGACCCGGTGGTAAATGATTAACTCCTGGATAAGTCGGGATTTGTACCCTTACCACAAGTTAACTCCGGACAATCAAGTGCTGGTTCGGACACTTCGCAAAAACTTACACAATAAACTATATATTCAATACCCCACTGCTACATATCATTTCACACCTATTATAAAGTAGGGCCAGTACAAAAAGCAACAAGCAGTCTCAACTCGGTTTATTAGACAGTGTACTAGCTGTTCACCGGTTTTCTAAGCTCAATCAGATGCTCCAAAACCTCAGCAGCAGGAGTAGTTACAGCGGTGTCAAATGATCCAAGTTCACCTTTCAGCAATCTGGCCATGACATTCACCAAACCAGCCTTCTCTACTTCTTCTGCGAGCGATATACGAGGGAGGGCGTGCTGGGGATCGAGAATGTGGCAAAGGCATACAACTCCACGGTGCACAAGCCCCTGATTTCTGGCTACTTCGTCGTCATCAGGGTCGTCATCCTCCAAAGTGACAGATGGGTCAATAAGACGGGCAATAATTGAAAATGCTCGGTGACGATCCAACTGAAGTTCAAATACTGCCTGGCAAGCAGTAGACGCACTGGTCACTGTTGCCAAAGCACCCGATGCAGCGAGTCTCGTTGGAAGGTCATCCATGTCCGACATCGCAAGAAGCACTTGTAACTTGGACTTCGTTGCATGAACATCCGGAGAACCGCCATACCTAAAAAAGGCCTTCTCTGAGCCCCCGATAAGGTTGCATAGCAGCTCGGTGGCTGCCCGGCGGATGAGTGTATGGTCCTCCAACATGAGGAGCTCGACTTTGTTAAGAAGCTGAGGAGTGCTAAAGATGCGATCGGTACACCCTGTGCTCTGTGAAGCAAGATTTGTTAAGGCCATTAAGGCTTCGAATTGTTGCAGGAGGTTTGAGGATGAATGCAGCAGCAGTTGTGACAGTGGCCTTATTGCATCAAGCATAGCGCCATCAGCGGGCCCGAAGACTTGAAGGGGAGAAGATGTGATGGTCAATTTCGCCAAAGCCTGGATCGCAGGGAGAAGAGAGGTATCAATCGGTGTGGATGATGATGTGGAGTACGACGACTGTATAACACGAGAAAGACTCCGTACACCTCCGCTCTGGAGGACCTTTCCTCTGTTATCTTTGTCCTCCACGATGTTTAGGTAGATTTTACCCAAAGCAAGTCTGATGCCTTGGCTCTCTACACCAGAAGCCAAAGACAAGACATCAAGGGCGCCACTTGCAAGAGCTTGACGACATCTGGACCTAACTGTAGCATCATCTTCCAATACATTTAGCGGTTCCTCGGACGTCGTCTTGTTGGATCCATTACCAGCCTTAGCCATGCGTTTCAGCTTGGCGACCTGAGCGTCTTCCTGACTAAGGCGAGGACGATAGGCACAGAGGTTGGATATGATGAGAAGAATGCCAAAGAGGAGGCTAGAATTACTGGTAGACGTTGGCAGTGGCTTATTTCTAGGAACTAAGTGTGAAGAGCTGTTGCAAGAACTTGGGATCATTCGCCAGGGCATGCTTGACGCTTGGGTCAACACTGAGGTATGCAAGGCCTTCAACAACGTCGTTAAGGGAGGATAGAGAATCCTTGTCACTGATGACCATTCCTTTCAGTAGATTTGATAGCTCCATATCCTTGGAGGTAGATGACGCTGCCTGAGATGCATCCGCGCCTTCTGAGGCATCCGTTGCCGCTCCTCGAGATAATTTTACGAGGGCAATAGCTGCTGCTGCGCGCAAGTTTTTGTCGGCAGCCTGACGTGACTTGTTCCCAAGCCAGGTGACGATTTCCTCGGGTATCAGAGCCCGGCATGCCTTGTGTCCACTAGCTTGGCCGATCATACGAGCGACCTCTAAGGCAACTGAAGCTGATGATGGAAATAAATCAAGGGCATCTGTCACGTATTCCACTACGCCGTCTTGCGCAAAAACACGAGAAGCGGACTGCCAGTCGACGTGGAATAATGCAGAGAAGAAAGATAGTCCAATGACTATAGCATCCTGCTCTTGATGATTGGAAATACGGGAGATGATAAGATCCTGGAAAACTTTCTCTAGTATTTCCGTGGCAGACTTGTTTGATCCAGGATCCTGAGGATTTTGCGAACGCATTCCTTGACAGAACGCAGAGAGCACGAGATACGCTTTCGAGCGCGATGGTTCTGGCTGAGAAGGCGCGAAAGCTTCTACGAGGTAAGAGAGCTCATCAGGAAGGAAGGCGGCAACATCCTGAGATTTTCTCATTAATAAATCTAAGTTGAGGTCTCCATTCTGAGTGTTCATCGCAATAAGTGATGAAGTAGTGTAGACTTTGAGCAAAGTGAGATGTTGGAACTTGGTGGAGGGCAGTCACGAATCGCTCACGATAGTACTAAGTTTCCGAACACGGTGTGACTCACAACGGATCATTTCTTTCGTAACACAGTGACTCTATCCAAATTTGTCGGTGGACCGTTGGCGTCCCATGGATATCCCTGACTGCGAAGATGCAACAAGCGCCCTGAATACATTCAAGGCGACCACCATCCAGTCAGGACATACGGTTCTGCTCAGACTACCTAATGGCGAGACCAAAGGCTTCAAGGTGGAAAAGGATGCGTGAGTGGTTTTTTTGTCTTGTTTCCTACCATTACTGAACTGAGTCGAGAAGTAATGTTTCTATAGGGAGAGTCGGCTCCTTTCGCGCAAACGAGCTGATCGGTCATCCATACGGATTGACGTATGAGATTCGTGGCAAAGAACTCACCGTCCAGCCGCCCCATACTCTACAAGAAGTAGGTAAGGGATTTGATAAACACTGCCAAAATTTCTATGTATGACTAGTGGTTACGAAGAGGAAACGGATGCTACAAACGAGCTCATCAACGATGGTGAATTCGTGCAGCCACTTACCCTTAGCGAGATTGAAGGGTTGAAAAAATCTGGCGTGCATGCCTCTGTGCGTCCTGGGCCTTATTTCATGCAGAATCGCAGTATAATCTATTTCCGCAGGACATCATAAAGGCTCAGATCGAACAACATGCTAATTATTCCATGAAAACTGAATATAGCAAGGAGAAATATAAGCAACGCAAGGAAGCCAAGTATGCTATTCCTGATTTGTTGACAATTTAATTGACATACCGAGCAGATACTCCAAGACCTTCAGTACGGTTGAACCGACAATTTACAATGTTTGTGACCACTGGTTCAAAAAAGACCAGAACAGGATTCGTGATATCAGACCGGATACACTGTCTCAAATATTGAATCTGGCGAATGTTCGCCCCGGCGGCAGGTACATTGCTGTTGACGACGCGTCTGGGCTTCTTGTATCGGCAATCCTTGAGAGACTGGGAGGTGAGTGGCTGAGAGCTGTTGGTTCTGTATGAGTCAAGGATCTAATTCTTGCAGGGGAGGGACGACTGATTTCCATCTGCGATGTCGATTCACCACCCGCGTATCCTGTCATGACCCTGATGAATTTTCGCAAAGACGTCGTTACAAAAATACACTCGTCATTGAATTGGGCAACTGCCCAGGAAGACTATACACCAGGTTAGTGAGCCTGACTAGTTTTTTTGCGGATACGCCATACTTCCCATCCAGTGGCAGCTGTAGCACAAGAGTCATCGTCGGAAGTGGGAAAATCAGAACGACATAGGATTCGCCTTGATAAACGGAAGAATGCGGCAGATTCTCTTTTAAACGCAAGAGAGGAGTTATTTGCTGGTGAATATGATGCGTGAGTGCCATCAAATAACGTCATATCTCTTCCGACGCTTGGCAGGCTTTTAATCGCTAGCGATTACGACCCGTTGGAGATCCTACAAAACTTGATTCTATATGTAGCGGGATCAGGATCCATAGTCGTTCAAAGCCCATTTAGCCAGGTATGTTGTGCTTCCCATTAATGAACAAGTTCAGCTGGATACCTGGATATTAGCCTCTCACGGAACTACAATCGAATTTGCGCCTTGACCCAAGCTATCTTGCACCATCAATTACAGAATCGTGGCTGCGACGCTATCAAGTTCTACCAGGTCGCACACACCCGACGATGAACACGTCAGGATCGGGAGGTTTCTTATTACACGCAATCAAAGTGTAAGTGTAAGAACGAGTCAACTCGCGAATGAATGCTTACCGATTGCTTACCAGATATGATGACCCGAATGCTTCCAAAGTGTCATCTCATCGACAATCAAAACGACGGAAGAAGGAAGCTGACGAAGGAGATTCGTCGGTGCCTCAAACCCTAGAATCATATGAAACTACGGAGCTCAAGGAAGACGACACAACAGTAGCTGACCAAGCTAGCCTAACCAACAAGATGGAACCAACAGGCTAGCCTTTTGGTATTGGGTTAACGGATCGTACAACAGTGGTAACAAAGTAATCTACCTTCCACGATAACTAGTATCAAACAAAACTATTTATTAATATAAGTTTTCAGATGTCAGGGCTCAGGAAACATTGCAGCGACAATCTGAACAAGTTCGTGAGCAACATCCTCTGCAGTTTAATGAAAAACACACCTCGTCGACGATGGTGTAGGCAATGTGTTGGTTCAAGCGCTTGTTCTGCAGGACGGCAAATATTCGTCTTGCTCCTCGCCGAGCGTTTGACCGACCTATCATGTTGGCAGCAAGATCTATAGATCGTGGTGTTAATCCATACTTTTAGGGGAGAAAACCCCAGCAAACCTGGCACTAAAGCGGAGAGCTTGCGGTTTGCTTCGTCGCGACTACGTGTTACCTCCTCGGTTGACCGTGGTTGACCAGGCGGTTTCAGCTTACCACCTGGCCAAAGAGAATCTTTGAAAAAGGCCAAGATAGGCATAATGCGACTTTCTTCAAACAACGACTTGATACTTTGGCGGATTTGGCTTTAATCACGTCAGGGGAGTGAAAAGACTATGCAAGATTTGGGCTCACCGCTCGATGGTGCCACCCAGTACTTGCTGGAGGATGATCACAATCGCTTGTCGCCGGAGCCAGTTGTCCTTCTTGTTGAGCTCAAAGATAGCAAGGACAAGGTCGCATATAGGAGCAGAGAACGTTGACGTGCTAGTTTCTCCTTCCAAAGGACGCAAGTCACTAGACATGTGCATGAACGTGTCCTCCGACGTAGACTTCCCAAACGCTTTCAGTGCCTGAGCGACGAGGGTCCTCATCGTGAACCGCCGATCCCGACTATGCCAGCGAATTCTGCGGCTTGTCGGGTAAGCCTTTGAATCATAACATCCAACATTGACGGGCCAAAGAACATATCATCAATGCTCTCTGCCACTGAGCGATAAACAGATCGAACTAGGTTTTTCCCTGAGAAGCCAGCGGTTCCTTTGGGGACATCCTCTTGGACTTCGGACGCAATGAATGGTGAATCGCGGGACAGAAATGCGCGAAGGTCATTGCTTTCGCAGACGACAGGTATAGCAATCAGATTCTGCTACTGTAAGTATGCGAAGGAAGTAGACTTCGGCGAGCTCCTCACCTGCAAATATTTCTCAAGCGCATGTCTCCTTGTGTCTACGAAACTGCCGGACAGCGAAGCAACAAGCCTCTTGCCTGGGAAATCGAGACCCTTGACAAGCGCGTACCGATCGCGCAGTTTGTTATGCATCCTAAGGAACTCGTTGTATCTCCTTGCAACAACCCACCCAGAGGCAAATGTTCCGTCGGGTGCAAGCTGCTGGACCTCAACGAGGTATCGCACTACGGATTTCCCCTCTTCTTCTCCCACTGTCGAACTAACGATAGAAACCTTCGTTCGATGGGAGACAAGACGGTTTGCGGATTCTTGCTGTTCATACTGGGTCTTCTGGAAACGCAACTCTCGAAGTTCGCGGGTCATAGACGACTTTGATTTTTGAAGCAAACGCAGTTCCTGAGCGTCGCCTGTTAGCTCTGCTTTCTTGATAAGCGTGTCGAGCATGGCATCGTGGGCCTCCAGTTTGGTGATCTTATCACCAAGGCGTGCAATCTCGTACGAGAGCTGAAGGTCTCCAGGGCCGGCTAGCTGAAATGCTCCTTGTTCCGTATCCACAGAACCTTCAGCTCTGTCGTCATCTTCGTCGATCATATCTTCTTCTTCTTCACCGAAAATGTCCTTCTTGTTGTCGAGTGAAGTCGCGCTGAGGTGGCGATTCCTGCCTCTGTCCTGGCTTCGAGGGAGGAAACTGTGGGGAAGTTGCTCAGTGGCAATGATGTCCGTTAGCGCGGCCTGGATGGCTCTCATTCTCTCTGCTTCATCTGCGCTTTGGGCATCTTCTGGATCATCGAAGAGAGGAGCTCTGGACGTATTTGATGATGTATCTGAAACCGGAGACATGAGCACATCAATGTTGGTCCGTGGAGCAGTGGGTGGACTCGTCCGTGGGTATTCTATGCGCTGAATCACAGAGCTCAAGGAAGGGGAAGATTCAGAGCGGAAGATGTGGACAGATCCAATGCCGAGAGGACGTGACACCGGCAGTGGCGGGGGTGACATCGAACGTACTGGGATACGACCTGCAGGGGGCTCCAGCAATTTAGCACTAGCCCGATTGAAATCCTCGACTATTCGGAACCACAGTTCAGATCTCTGAAGGTCCTCAAAGTCTTGTTCCATCGCCTGTTCAACCTGTCTCTGCGCCAACATGACGCTACGACGAACTTTCTTGTCCTCCAAAGGTCCCGGAGGGATCTCACTTTGTGCGTAAGAGCGTATCATATCGATGTACTTCTTAGAGATGGATGATAAAGCAGGATGAGGTGGTGTGACGGAGAAGTAAAGATCCTTAATCATTGAAATGTCCTCTTTGAGCGTCGAGGAGCTTGAAGGACCTTGTAAAGGCTCATCTTCATCCCCAGATGAGCTTGAGTCTATTGACTCCAATGGGTTTTTGAAGCTTTCTACTGTTAGCCAAAACTGAACCAGGAGTGAGCGGTGCCGACGATCCATAAACTCCATGAAGTAGGACAGTGATGTCGGGTTGCTCAAGATGTCACGTAGAGCGACTTGGGTCCGCAAACCAGACTCAGGCGAGGCAGCTGACTTCTACGATTATTTGCATGAGCAGAAGTTATGAATCTCGTAGAGCAGCTTACCGAATCTTCGCCACCCAAGATTACTATTCGTTGTTCGACAGTCCTTTTGGCAGTATAAAGCCTGTCAAGGAAAGCTACTACGTCTTCTGTCTTCTCGCCACTTATCCAATCCTCCTTCTCGTGATTAGCTGTGGGAGCGTCAACATAAAATGTAGTAAACTATTTGAATAAACTAACCAAGAAGTAACCTCGTTCTCCGAATTTCTCCCATGATATCATTCTTCAGGCGACGAGCATCCAGAAGTGACGAACAACGATTGATACTCCGGAGGAACGACTCAAACTGTCGCATATCAGTTCTAACCGTGATGGTGTCTCCAGTTGAAATTGTTGAAGGAAGCCGGTTGTGCCGGCGGGGTGATTGTGCTTCTAAAACATTTCTCACTTGAGATATGAGTTTCCTGTATGTGCATTGTTAAAAGTGTGAAAAAAAAAGTTCGAGCACGTTGGCCACATACTGCTGGTGTATTGCGGCGCCAGCCTATCTCGGGGTCAATGACTGCGTTCGCACTTGAGTTGAGGACATAACATACCACTTGCTCAATCATCCGATTCCAGAAATCAGGATCGCTCACCATATCCATGATCGGATACAGCACCGCGCATACTAAGATTTCTCGGACAACTACTCTCAGAACCTTACTGTGGGCCTCCTGTTCCGGAAGAACATGCGAGAGCATCCGCTCCGCAATTGTTCTGAGATGTATTTCTTCGTTCTGTTTCGTAAATGTAGAAGACAGATTCTCCACTGCAGGATGTAGTTTGCTGCCCTTGCCAGCGTATCTACTTGCCAACAACATATCCAACTCCTCGGATTGCGTGAGACGACGTTCCAGGGCTGCACCGCGAAGTGTGACCTCCGATTGGCGGAATTGCTCAATATGCACAGTGACTTTGGGCAAAATTCGCTTTACTAGGAGAGCAGAAAGGTCAACAGTTGCGGTTGTTTGTAGAAGCCGCTCAAGGGAATCATGAAGTACTGAAGAAACTGCCGTAGGAAAGGAAGGGGATGGTGATATGTCTTTGTACCAGGTGAGCACGAAGTCGCGTACGACGAAAATCATGATATCGTTGAGGGTAGATGACACAACAGGTAGGTCAGGGTACAAAGGTGACAATGATTGTGGAGTTTTCTGCGACCAGTTAGAACGAGTGAGGACTGCCTGCCATGCTGCGGGAGTTGAGAAGGCAAGAGGTCTAGCTGCATGTATGAGCGCGTTCCTATGAACTGGTTGCCTGTCCAAGGCAACTCCGACGAGAATGTTCGCGACAAAACACGAGATCGCCACAAAAAGTATGATCACAGGAGAAAGGAGGATGAGGTATATCGGAGACGAGAACGCACGCGTGACGACAGGAAATACAACGGCGAGAAATGCAACAGCCAAAGCAGACCTGGCACTAATGAATGAGTGCATGTCACGGCGAAGTTGGTACATTACTATCAGCTAGAACACATTATTCGTCAGAGTCATGTTCAGATGAACGGTTAACTCGGAGGTCACCAACCGTCACGTTCGCTCAGAGGACTTGAGCGACACTTGCCATATCCGGCAACACTCTTTCAGCTTGAACTCCGACTCGATGTCAAATGGTAGACTCTAATTGACCAGCTGTACTTGCGCGCCATTCTGGCCGGTAGCATTCTGGTATGGCTTCTTCTACTATGCTACTGCCTTTCTCTACGCTTGAAAGTTTTATTTGCGGTGGACTGGCGGGATGCATAGCCGTCACTGTCAGTAATGCCGTCCTGCAGGAGTAGCCAAGACGCGTTTGCAACTCCAAAGTACGTTGCGATGGCGTGAATTATAAAACATGATATATTGGCATGCAGGCAGGTGAGCTTGTCAAAGGTGGAAAAAAGAGTGTCTATAAGGATGCTTTGGATGTTCTGGCAAAACTTGGAGAAACGAGGGCATCCGAGGCTCGCAAAAAGGACTCGGACCCGCAGTGTCTATATTCATTTTTGCTCTGTCTGATAGCCTTCTAGCACGTTTACCATCATAAGCTTCAGGGATGCTCTTTCGATATTTATATTTATACCTTATGGCAGACACTTTTGAGAGTCACGTCTAGGTAAGCGACTTATTCAGCCTTGCTGTCCAGACTTTCTCTGAGTTATTACTACAGGGTTCTACGAGTCGTTTCGACGAGCAATCAACTGTTCGATAGGTAAATCCATCACCGACCAGATATCATTGACTTCTGTTGTAGCTGATGCCGCAAATGGCTAATAGGAAGTATAGTGACATTTGGTCTGACACGGATATTATTTTCTTATTCGCATGTAACAGCTTCATTAGGGAACCCACTCTTCTTGATAAAGGTACAAATGCAGGTACGTGCGACATGCTCTCGCATTGTTTGATATCAATGACAGCGTCAATAGGCTTACTCCCCTATACTGCCAGTTGGGACACAACATCACTGCAAGAACTCGTTTGACGTATGGATCACTATTTTTAGGACAGATAAGTTTTGGGGTCTATTACGTGGTGTGGATGCAGCCATTCTACGAACAGCTATGGGATCTTCGGTTCAGCTTCCTACATACAAATGGGCTAAAAATCAACTTGGCTCGCATGGATTATATCCTTCAAACAGCATATTGACTTACCTCGCTAGTTCGTCCGTGTCTGGAATTTGCGTGGTGTTTTTACTCTATCAAGTAGCCAACAACTGTAGTCTGACACCGCGTAGTGCATTGTCACGCAGCCTGCCGATACGGTCAGTTGGCTCCCTGCTTGAAGCGGGAATTTTTGCCTTATCGATATCCATGTCCAGGCCCCAACCCGAGTATACAACCAACCAACAACGTGCACACCTGATGGACGTTTAGCAGGGACACTACAGGAATCTCATTGACTGTATCTGGAAGGTTCGGGTGGTACAAGGATATGTAGCGGCATGCATACAGCGACAAGTCTTATTAAAAATATCCATCTAGGTCAACTGCAGTTTCTTCGTGTTGCGCCTCATACGTGAGTTGTTCTCGGCTTGCAAGATTCACGCCCTTCTGACTGTCATTCATAGCATTATTACCCTTACTGTGAACGATATTATCTTAGGTTTGTATAAGGACATCCATGATCTAGATCATGACCTCAACCTGATACCTTCATACGTACTGAGCGAAAGACTAAGCACGCTGTATGGTACGTAGTCGATGTGAGAATCTAATGTGACAAGAAGACCCGTGGTAGAACGCAGAATCTGTTCGTTTCAAACAAACACCATGATGAACTCCAGTACAGTGCGGGTCACAGAATTCGGGTCAGGAAATCAGCTTTCTTGTTGAACGCCTGTCCCTTGGGAGTATCCTACAACAAAGTGACCTCGGGTCTGATTCATCGATCGCTCACTCTCGAGCCCCACGCAGGAGGAGCTTTTCCATCCGAGAGAAGGTACCGCGAGTCGTACAGTTGGCATGTTAGAATTATATGACTATGGCTCATCAATCGCCGAGAGTGGGGGCATGATGGGAGTGCACGGGAGTGCACAAGGTCCGTGATGTACGTACGAGCTGAGTGCTGTAAGTTATCTGTGTTAATCAACTCCACAGTAATTCGGCCGGAGCACTGAAGCCGGCTCCCTCGACAGCTTGTGGTACAATTCTATTGTGAATATATCTGTACCACCACAATAGGTGTGGATTTAAATTGTGGATGTTCACAGACCACATCCCGCCTCCATAAAAGCACCCCACTTGCTTTTTATCTTTATTTTATACAAGCTCGTCAGTCCCAACGACCAGCACCATTTTTCTCTATCTGAGTGTCCGTGTGCCAAAGATAACACTACGCAGAATGAACGACGTATCCCTTCATCACGACGCGCACACATCTAACCACCTGACCCTGGCTACATGTCCGGGGACACTTGACATGGACGAAGCTACACTTCGTAAGCTCACCCGTGCAAAGCTGCAAAAGCTCGCGAAGGTGTGTGTCGCAATTTTTTTTTGAATGCCACACAGTGAATGATTAGGAAACAGGAAAATAAGATTAAGGCTAACATGAAGAGCGAGACAATTATCCAAGAGCTCCTAGTGCTCTACAAGGTTGTTCCGCAAAAGTAGGTGCCCTTCATGCTCGGCGTAATGAACCGTTCTGATGGTGGTTCAGTCAGGATGAAGGGAGTGAAGAGCCTCCGAGGAAGAGGTTGAGAACTAGCATGCAAGACCAGCCTCCTTCTGGATCAATAAGAAGAGCTAGCGAGGAAATTCCTCCAGTCGCTGGTCCATCAACACAAATCATAGACGTACCTGTTAACACAAGTTGTGAGTGTCATGTACCATGTCGCAGTGCAAAAAAAACTGACATTTATCCAGTTGATTATCCTCCTACGCAGGAAGGGTCTCAGAAATCTGTGCTCAGTGCAGAAAAAAGTGCTCCGATTACAGTAGCCAGAGATGCTACTGATGCCGCCACTGTAAATTCAGCAGCAATATTGCAAGGCCCTTCACCGGTACCGGAAAGTCACACTGGGCACTTGACTCCGGACGATGACACCAGCGATGTTGATTTATCCTATGCGAGTCAGCATGGCTCCCCCCTCAACTCGCATTCAGGAACCCCCCCGCTCGAAAAACCACAGATGCTAAACCGGGCGGTGGGAATTATGAACCAGATCACATCCAACGATCAGCGTACTCTCGCTCAGGTTGCCGTTCTACGCAAGAGAGTGAAAATGCTGAGGGAGCAGGCGAAGAATGTGAGGGATGTGGTGCGCGCAGAGCAAGGGCGACGTAAGAGATTGGGGACATACTTCACGTACTGGAGGGAGATCTCGCCTACATGGCCAAAGGAATGGATATATGATGAAGGCGAAGAAGAGTAGATCAGAGGGTACCTGAGGACCATGACACACACATACACGCTTAGCGTAAATTCTGCATAATTTCGTAATTTCGACGAATGAGGACACCTTGAATCTTACTGTAACTTACGGAGACCCAAGAAACCTTGTTTGTGCTTTCAAGGACATCGATGGAATTGGACTGCTATAAAGTGACCACCGTCCCCGCATTCCAAGTTTTTATTCAGAGAAAGCCGGTATATCTACCTGCTTACCAAGAATAAGGTAGAAGCTCGTTCAAATCCATCCTATGTCACGTGACAAAGTGTGACAATTGCATGTAAATTCACCATTAATCAACAACTAAGCAAGATCCTTAATGGCTACACGAAAAATCTTGCAATTAAGAATGAGAAATTTTCGCTTTTCCCGTTTGTTTGTACGAGCTCTGATGATGATGTTCTGGAATTTTGAGTCTTAGCTGGCTTATAGCCGAAGCGGCAAGAGGGAACAAACAGTCGGCTAGCAACTGTACTCACGGCAGTCCGAGTGGCTGCACTTACACTAAGATTTCCGAGTCATGGCCTTCAAGAATCCGTCGCAGCTCAAGCGCCTTCGAAAATCATGGAGCTGCAATTTAGAGAAAGCTCAAGCAAAGAAGCAACAAAAGACTCACCACGTTGAAGAGCTGAGTTGCACAATAATCATCTACATTTTATCAAAATGCGAGCTGCATGGGCAGTGAAAAAATATCGTGGCCAATCGAGTTCTTCCAGAGTCACTTGATGCATGATTTTGACACCACAAGTATCTCAAATTCCATCTGAGTAGTTTCATTATCATTTGTGACTTTTTTCGCTACATTACAACTCATATTCACTTACTACTGCTCGTATTTACTTACTACCAGTATGCTCGGCATACTCGGCAGACTTATCCAACTTCTTGGTCACACTGGGTCACGCCACGTGATGTAGGATGGATTTGAACGAGCTCTACCTTAGAAGACGAACCTATCTTCAACTTGAAGATACCCTCCGAGACTCGTTAACCATTCTTTCTAATTTCGAAGGAAAGACTGTCTTCCTTCTGCCTATCATATCAGATTAAATGATCTTCGGTTCCTCTGTGATGTGCAGTCATTGGTTCCATGGCGAAGCCCTCCCGTACACCTCGCTCTCGAAAGAGGTTCGTGATAGTACCATGTGCTTCAGTGGGCCTTTCGGCCGGCGAGTTGCCACCTATGTCGAAGTGTACTTGCAGAATGATGAGGCAAAATGTGATCCCCTGAACAAAATTGCTGTGAATCACTTGGGTCTAAGCTCTGTAAACTCACCACAATGGGAGTGATAATATCCAGCATGGTGTATTGGCCATTGGATCCAATGAAGAATGTTAAGAGGAGCATAAGGATACTCGTGGAATAAAATGCGCCGCTCTCGATGACGACCAGAAAAACGGGTAGAAACGCGGCAAAGCCCTCTGGCATGAAATAGCGGGTACGATATATGCGCCAAGCATTCAAACCTGCATCACCATGTTCATCAGGAGCATGCGGATTGGATCCAATCGACATACTGGTACTGGTAACACTGAGACCCATGGTCAATGCATCGAACGTGGCGATACACCCATAGTCGACGAGGGGGACATTAGACAGCAAACGGGCCCGAGAAAGGGACCCGATACCATAGAATCCAGTGGCTGCGAAATGTTTCGGGATAAGACGATGGTCGGATAGTACCTTTCGAGATACTCACCCACGCTGGCTAAGAGCATGATACAACCAGGAATGGCAACCAACAGACTTCTGTCGTTGAGTACATAGCATCGCCAAACCTACGGCCCTACTTAGAGGGGGAAATGAACATGCTATGTGGAGAAACTCACAACTATCGCATCGGCGAGAATGGTTTGCGTGATGCAAAGTGCCGTTGATGCAACAAACAATGGCGAAGCAAAGTTGGAATAGTAGTCACTTGCATCAATCGTATCCACCTTGAATACAAATGCCTCTAACGCTCGAACAAAATCAATGATTAAATGCTGAAAGTGGTCATGTTGAGCTACTCCCCGAAGAGGTTCGACTACACTCAGCGACTTACGGCCGTTGCAATGCATAACAACAAGGATGCCACTGGGAGAAGGAGTTGCCGTTGAATGCCGGTCTTCTTGAGTAGAATGAACAACGTGAACCAGTATAAAGTGAGGAACACGCCTGTTTGGGATAGTGAAGTTTGGTACTATGACCTTTCCACTAGTGATCGGTTACGCACCATACAATAGGGTCTCGAGAAATAAACCTAACAAAGCAGCCGTATCCATATGTATGCCCATGATTACAGTCGTGCAAGCCAGTGTGAGGTTTCTCAGATGGTCGAGCGTAGGCAACTACCTTGTGAAAGGGCAGAAACTCGAGAGCATAAATATTTCGTCGCGAGAAGCTGTGTTGGGTCCATATAAAGGATTTATGGCCAACGCCCGTGCTGTAGTGCATGCAAAGAATTCTGATACCAACTAACGCTGAATGAAATTACCGGCCATCTCCTGACGCCAGTGTCCAACTGTTCCCAGAGTAGTCTGGTTCACCCCGTGCCGTTCGCAACCATCTGATAGCTGCATCAAACACTGTTACAGGCGACAAACTACTGATCCGTGGGGTAGAGTTGTGTTCGCATTTAGGCAGTAAGATTGACTCACTCTATTCGATACTTGCCTTAGTAGCATGTACTAGCACATAGCGGTAAGGAACTACTGTTGTCGATAATCGAGCATTATCTTTGAAAGAAAATTTGCAATAACTCACCTGCCTCTGATCGGAACAATTTAAATGACCAAATCCCTCGGCGGTTTTGACCAAACCAGCCAACTTGCACGTTGATACTGCTCTGCAGTTGATATGAAATACTTACTATACTTATCACAGGCTGGTGGCAGGATTAGTACCTACTGAGCGAGATTAAGACGTCCTCCACGCAAGGGGCGGTGATTGACTCCGACGACACGCCACAAGTTGAATCCTGTATTGATAGGCAATATCATTGGCCCGGGGCACCGTGACACCGAATGTACACCGTGCAGTGGAATAGCAACAGCGTGCTTGTGAATAACTTGCACTGTAGTCGGATCAGCATAGGCACAAGATCCGATAGCCATGCTCAAATTCTGTGAATAGACATAGTACCCTATAAGCAGTTTGTTATGTCGGTGCCGAGTTCATAGCCGGTCCGGATGGTACATGATGTTTGTTTTTGATTTATCAGCTCTTTCGTCTTCGTCCTCTCTCTGAAGGTCTGCGGCCGCCGTCATATGAAACATGGATGCCTTGATGTGGACTGCAGCGTTCCTTGTATGTTGTATGTTGAAGATATGCCGTCTTCATGGCGATGGTGGCGAGTTAGACGAGAACGATGATAATAATTATAACTCAGATGACTTGGTAGCTAAAAGGAGAGATATAAAAAAGCAGGTTAGGGTTGGAATAGTCTGGATAGGCACAAGTGAGAAAGCAAACCCGAAAAAAGGGTGGAACGAGAAAGAAATAAAGGGTCCAGGGTTGCCCGGAGGCCGTGAATATGTGCACTGGCAGAAGCCACCATGCTGATACGCGGACAAGGTGCACGTTTTTCACACAAAAAAGTGAACCCGACCCGGATTGAACGGATGACCTTATGGATGTCCGGAACTTGAAGTTCAGCTGGAATCATACGCGCTACCACTGCGCCACGGGTTCATGGGATTATTGAATGCATGTGATCGATAGTACTAGTACTTGGAGCTGAAGAGATTTGAACAGCATGCGAGTGCTCTCGGCTCTGCGTATACGAGTCACTAAAGGGCTAAAGTCGTCGACAGTCAACAACAAATCGTGAGTGTTGGAAGACGCAGCGGTGCCCACCCTCTAGCTCGTAGCTTATTACTACTAGTAGCGCCCCTGAGTTCCCGACTCCACTGGCCACTTCCCTTTTGTCGCTGTTGATTCGGAATGTTAATCCAGGCGTCATCCGCCGCCATTCGTATATTTCCCTTAACCTATCGAACATTCTGCATAAAGATCGTCCTGCAACCCAAAAAACTCCCAATACGTCAAAAAGACTTGCTGAAAGTTTTATTTGCTAGCTCCAGAGGGAGTCGTTGAAGATGAACAACCTGTGCTGCATGAAACGATAAGTCGACGAATAACAGATCACTGCGCAATTTTGATTCTTGAAACCAATGACAGCCAGGTTCCCACCGTTTGCAGAGAAGTTCCGGCACGTTTGCTGTAGATAGACTCTCCACTCATCGTGAGAGTCGAGAATTGGTTCACTGATGCAGGGTCTTTTCGGAGCGAGGCAGAAGCATGTCAGAAGAGTGTCCAAGCAGCCGGTCTTTTTACTAGTAGCCCTAGTAACCCCTCAAGCCCAAGGAAGTTGGTGGCTATGTAAGTTTGATATTCTGAGTTCTCGGCCTGCTATCTTTCTTTCTTTCTTTTTTCCTCGTCGTCGACGACGATGGCCATCCTTCCACAGAATCACCGGCACCACTCGCCCACTTTTCCTCTCATACCCTTGACGCAGTAGCCTACTCACAACTGCACCCTATTCAACACACCCAACTACAGCCACTTACAGCACTGAGGCCGTCATCGAAGTGGCGGTTAACGTTGACCTCTCGCTGCCATCCATGCCTCATATTAATGGCAACCTCGAGCTTAACCAGGAGCTTCTTCGTACTCCCTCAACCTCCTGTGGCCCTGGCGCTGTCACCGATACAACCTACCACGTTTCTACAGCCTCATACTCGAAGGGCGGCGTCCCCCGGCACGCCAACACAGACCCCTCCTCACCCTTTCATAAATATGGCGCTTCCCGCACTCAACCATGACCTTTCTTGTGCTCTCGCTAACCTGACGCTTCTGCCACCACTTACCACGATCTCTCGCTGCTCACTTCGACCTCCCCCACCTTCCTGTCATCGCGCAGCCGTCTAGTACTTCCTCGCTATCCGGTGTTCGCCTGCAAGATCCCGTGGTCAGCACCCTGATCCTGTGCTCTTCGTCTCATTACGCTCACATTACCCATGCCTATACCTATACATTTTTTCAATTTATGTTGCATCATATGGTTAGATATATGTTTTTAAACACAATGTCATTGCTGACTTGAGTTGGAGTTGAGTGTTGAGTACTTGAGTATCGAGTGCTAGTTTGCATACACCACGAAAAGAACACTCGCGCGTTTTTCATATGGAGTAGGCTTAGAGTTATGGTTAAGCCACTACAAAATAATACTAATCTCATGCATATAAATTCATACGAAGATGAACGATGAACGATTTTCATTGACTGACTACGCTACTGATGCAAACATGCATTGCGTGATAATACTAAACAGACAACACAGAAAGAAGAAAACGCGGAAGAGGGATGATGCACAGCAAAAAGGAATACAGGCAGCAGCGCCCGCCACAGGAATTCGGCGAAGGTGGAAGTAGTAAGGCATATAATGGGAACAACATGTCGGAGGAGCTTGATGAGCATCGGGGGAAGGAAAGCAGAGATGCCTATGCTGGCATATATACTAGCAGGCGGCGAGGGTATACCTTGAAGCGAACATATCAGAGGTGTCCTGGGGTCTTAAGCTTAAACTCTTGAAGGGTGTTCGCACTTTTTGCGGGGGTACTGCAAACTCATGGCGATTTCGCATAACGGGCTAGGTCTGAACTGAAATCAAGAAGTGCAGGACCGTGCCGTAGACAAGCGAAACTCATTGCTGCGAGTGCTTGCTTCTTCCATTCACACTTGAGGCTTTCCGCAGCACTGAATCGACTTCTGCCGATAACAGAGATGGCGGCCGCGGCCTCGACTGTCACTTAAAACGGAGTGTTCTTGCAAACCATCCTAATTCAAGCTGTAAATGAGCTGGTCAATGAGGGCCGGCGCTATTGGATAGGTATTTTAGGCGGCCAAAATTTCGCCCACAGGTGGACGTACCCACCTCCAGTCCAGTAGGCACAAACTAAGTAGACCTACGCTACCCGTTCCCTGGCATGTCATACAGCAACACATCAGGTACGGCGATAGATACGCAGAAGGGTTCGATTCCAGTACCAGTGTAAGAGTTTTCATCTTTCTCGCTTTTTAAACATTCAGCAAGATGTATCGTTTCAGATATCGTCATGCAGCACCCTCGGGACCATGGCCTTGGGTCAATTTCAATACCGACTTTTCATCTGCTGAGCCGCCATTTCGAAAAGGTGAACATGAATGGCGCGGATACCCGCAAGAACTTTTTGGCAACTGGAGTCCGATTCCAGTGGCACGAAGCGAGATGTTGACACAATGTACGCGCACCGTGAAACCGTGCGTCATATATGGCATTGACGTAACGGGCGACGGTCAATTCAAAATACGGGAGCAAGGGCTGCATCGCGTTGAGGTATCGGAAGAGAAAGAAAACGAATTCTGGTCGAAATTACAGGAGGAGGAAAGTATTGTTCTACCCCATCTCAACAAATTGATGAGTGATTATGACCACAATCAGGTCCGGAAGAACGTCCGCGTTCGAGCGTTATTCGTGGATAACTTGTCGGAATCCGTTTTGAAGATGTTGGGGACGAAGTTCGTACTCCGGCTTGGATGATGGTTTTCCGATTCGGCACTGGAATTTCCTTTTATAGGTATAACATAGAGGCATTCTTCTTTTCATCCTCCACAAACTGGATTCCCTCGCGATACCGGGAAGAGGTTCGACATGGCGTGGGGGATCGTACGTCTGATGACTACCTTTTGGTTCAGCTGAGGTTGTTAATCTGTTGTTCCGGTAGATATCACAGTTATCCTTCCTTTTATTCGGACCACGGAGAAGAAAAAGAAGAGCAAAAGTTCGTCACTTGTTCGACAGTTGATCGCTTCTCATCACAAAACATACAGAATGTAATGAAAGGAAGAATACCATATATGTCATGGCACCCCTTAACCTACACGGTAATCCGTACTTGCTTTTACTACGGCTTTGTCTGAGTCCTTTCATAGGCGAACATGTCCTTCTCATCGACCTTCTGGCAGTCCATATGATCCGCGAGAAGAATTCCTCTACGATCATAACCTATCATCCTCCGCTGCGTGATCGCACTACCGCCGAGCGCTTATATCAGGTTATGGAGCGCGCAGGTGGAAGTGTTTACTGGAATAGAATATTCGCGGCATCTGAAGATCCAACCTTTTTCTTTCTGGTAATCCTATGGTATGCGCTGTATGCGTGGGATGAGACATTTGAAGTGCTGTATAACCGCATCAAGGATATGGTGTGTATGCAATCTGTTCGAGTTGTGGGTAAGGCTCATCATAATACATACCCAGGAGGTAATCTTAAATGGCTCCGACTTCACTGCTATGTCCGACCTCAACCATAGCCTCCACAGCCTTCAAGCGCACCTACTCCAGTACCAAGCCCTCCTTCATGATTTCGAGAAATCGGTCGCATTTGTACTGGAGACTCCAAACCCTGCAATGGAAGATTCAGAAAATAGGGCAACTACAGAAGAGCTGATGCAACGAGAATGCAAGAACCTCCTTTCTGAAGTCGACAGGTTGCACAGGAGATGTTCGATGTTCATCAGTCGTTTAAAGAATGCCATAGATTTGGCATTCGCGACTGTAAACATCGAGGACAGTCGTCACACGCACAGGATAACTATGGCAACCCTTCGAGACTCTGCTGCAATGAAACTGGTGCGCTGGCAGTTACACATGCACCGACAGAGCTCACGCCTTCTGCAGATATCATACCTGACCATGGTCTTCTTGCCCGCCAGTTTAACTGCTGTATGTGTTTGAATGTACAACACGAAGAAGCGCTCACTGATTGAACAGTCGGTCTTTGGGATGAACGTGCGCGAAATTTATCCCGGCACCCTAGAAACGATCGCGCGCTATGTTTGGGTGACTTTGACGCTGATTCTTGTCACGACATGGACCGTTATCGCTTTACAACCATACAGCACAATTCACCAGCCTGGAGCTAGTAGGTGGCAGAGGGCTGCTTGGCTGCATTTTTCCTCCCCCATATAATTATTGAGTCCACCAAGCCCTTCTGGATCAAAGGCAAGAAGACCTCGCCGCAAGAAAACAATACCTCCTCTGGTCCAATTCGCGGGAGAGGAGGTAATTCTTCTACGTTGATATTCGACGACGCAATGTTTGAAGAGGATGTGGTTGGTGGTTGATTTTCCATGTAGTAAGTGTCTACGGATATGATTGCACTTTAGAAAGTGAAGGGCCTGGTTTACAATCCACTTGTAGATTACAACAAGGTAGAACACACTGCACGGACTCGTGCATAATACATACACCAGTAAGATCCCGGTATCATTCATGTGCCCCAGTTTACACATAATCCAGTCTCTCTTTCGCCTCTTCACATTTGACATCCCAATGAGATAACGATCTCCCTTCATCTGAATCTGCAGAGAAGAGAGTGATTCACCGACCTGTGGGTTTGTTAGTCAACAAATCGCTGCAATGTTGCACTCCTTACTGCTTGATGCTATAGTCCACGGCACGTCTTCTTCGCAGCCCATCAAGTTGTGCCTCCTGCGCACCGCGTGCGTGTTCCATCACCAAGCACCTGGTCCAAGCTATGTCGTTTGTGTCGATGCCTGCTCACTAGCTTGCGAATCAACGAATTAGGTGATGTATACACCGCAGGATATTCCCAAAAGTATGTATAACCAACTTGCGGCTCTCCCGCAGGCATATCTACGGACGTTGAGGCACACAGTCCTTCTCTGTCCAAAACCGACTGTCATGTAGCAACAAAAAGGAGGCCAGCGTATGCTCATTCTGCCTAACCTGGATATACTGTATATATGTTTCAACACCAGACTTGCCGATCGTGGCACGGGGGTCTCCTTCGCCTCATGATCAAGCCATGGATATATTTATTGAACAAGCTGATGCCGGACGTAGGCAAATATTTTTCCTTTCATTCACGTGTGTCACTCACAGAGCTTTGGCCTGGAACACAATGAATTACTATCGTGATCATGTCCACGAAATCCTTTCGTTCGGTGTCTCTGTTTCACCAGTTATCCAGGAGATCTTAAGACTGCACCATCTTGACCAGCACGCAGTTCACGGACGTTGCGAACTTGTGACCTTCAAAATATAAAGTATAAGATTTGTCTAAATTTACGTTGGACTGTCGAAAGTAATCCAACGTCCGTCGGAACTTTCTGCGTGGAGTCATGCAGTCGTGCATGTTGCGTTGCTTAAGCCTTGACCCAGGTCATCGAGTGTCGGATTTATCCTGACACCATCTCGTACTGGGACTTCCACAACGTATACGGGTCTGTTTGGCGCCAGTCTGGAACAAATGTCAGTTTTCACGCGAGAAAATGACTCAGATGATGTCTCGCTTTGGTCACAAGGCTTCAGGAATCAGGATGTCAAGGTGACATCGAACCAATGCAGTCAGAGAGCGAGCATAGCGTCGTGCACAGATTCCTCCAGTGTATGGAAAGCAGACATGGTGCTAGGGATGTTCATCTGGTTGCAGGAAACCCGACGCTGTTCCCACGGGTTTGATCTCGGGCGGGCGGGTGGCGGCGGCAGTCAAGGGAGGGAAGGCATAAAGCACATTGTCAAAATAAGTTGAGGATGAAAGCCCATTCTTCAGGTCTAACCACGTCGACAATGTAGGTAGATCCGGGTCCTGCTCCGAAAGCAATTCGTAATCAATAAATCTCGAAGAAACAAAAAATAGATCTGATCTGTAGAAGTTCCTCAATATTCAATAACGGGATTGGACCACCATGGAGGTAAAATGATTCGGATACGGGGAATCGAACCCCGAGCAACCGCGCACCCTGCGATGAGAGGCGGATATGTTACCTTTACACCATATCCGACTGACAGAGCTGTGCGTACAGTATTACAAGCTTGCTCAGTGTCAGTAGGCTTATTCAACAACTCCTTGACGAAATGGAGGTCGCCTGCGAAGGTTGCCTTGAGCATATAATATCATTACACCTCGATCTATGCACTACACCTAATAACAAGTCTCACTCTCACGTAATCGTCCGCTCATGGCAACCTTTTCCACCTAGAATTCTTTGTGGTGGCGAGATACACTTCAGATCCAGGGCCACGGTCCATCCAAGCAGATACTTGCTTGGGCATCAAATTTGTCACCTGGCGTAGTCGTTAGACGAGACTCCTACTCCTCTGAAAAACACATCACTCACGAGGAACTTCTGGCCCAATTTAAACTCTCCTGCTTGGGATCCTTCAGCAATCGACAAGTTGAGTACATCCCAGACGGTTAGCTGGGCTTTGCGACCATTGTCACCACCTCGTGTGGGTGTATATGCATCCTTCACGATGATAACACGGAAACTGCGTACTTCCCGAGGGGGACATTTGTCCTGGGGAAGCGCTCAGTAAAAACAACTTTATGCAAATGTCAAACTTACTAGTAATTCTCGCTCGATATCTCCCGCGACAGCTTCACGATCCCGGAGAAGCTTCTCTCTGATGTGTACAGCAAGACTGCCTGCTTCAAGGCGGCTGAGCCGTGAGAGTATCACTTGGGCTTGATGACGGTCACTCTCTTCCAAGGATTCGTATAAATCGTCAAGGTTGTCCGGCATTTCTAAAATGGAGCATGAGCAACACACAACCTTGTTCACGACCTTCTCACCTTCGTTTTTGACACTGAAGCCCGGACCCACACGTTGTTCAAGCCTATCTGCAAACCTCATCATCAACGCCGCTCGTCTTTCAAGATCTGACCAAATCTTTGAGGCAGCGAGTTCGCGCTTCCTCTGATATAGAATGTAAGCGCTGGACTTGGTGCAGAGCCCTTCATCTCACCTTCCATTTTTCACTCAAGGCATTTTCATCCTTCGCACTGCGGGGACCCTCCATCCGCTTTCCATTTTCGTCCTCGAAGAATTCAATATATGCGATGGGATGAATCTTTGAACTAGAGTCAGCTATATCTGGGTGTTACACACTCATCCTACCTTGATAACTTCGACAGCTGCAACGGCCACATTGCCACCGTCCGCCGTGAGGCTGTTGAACGTCGCAATGAATGGACTTCGCTGGAAGCCAAGCTTTGCGTGCCAGGGGGCCATATGAGACGAGTTACCTGTCAGCACCAGGACATTCGAATCATATGCCTCGAGGACTTCTTGTCCATCTTTGCGCTCTGCAGAGAGCTGCACGGAAAGTCGATTAATATCACGATGTGGGGTAATTCCAGTCTCTTACCTTGGTTCCAGTAACAGCGATTTTCCTCCCGATCTTGATATGACCCTTACGGATGGCTCTTGCAAGTGGCTTATCGACCCTCGCACGCAGTCTGTACCATCCGTCTGTCACCTCTAACTCAGGATGTGGAGGAATGGGAAAACCGTCGTCAGTCTCTCCAGCTGGTGACCAAGTCACATTTGACACGCAGAGGACCATCGGGGATGCAGCAGGTGCATCTCTTGTGGTAACCAGTCGTAATGGTGGTCGTGTTGATCCGTTCAAGTCTCGTTCGTATCTGCGCCAGTGGTTGGTCAGGGAAGAAACGGATAGGTAGACGGCACAAACCTGTACAGTAGCTGGCGGATCACTTCAGGCCAGCACCATCGTTTGCGATCGGGATCAGACTCTGCTTCTGGTTCGAGTGAGACCATTCCAGCAAGCTTCCAGAGGATAAGCGGCCAATGGTTATTGACCCATTCCTGTGTGGCCAACGAACATCCTCTTGCGTGGAGTTCTTCTAGAGCAGCAGTAGGTCCGAGAGGCTTTGCGTCCGAGGGCTGAACACCTTCGTTTGGAGTAGTAGATGGCGTATAAAACGAGTAAAAGAGAGCAGTAGCTGGCGTTATCTGGGATAGTTCTGTGACATTTCTATGTGGAAGCGTGTTAGGAATCCAGTGTTGCAGCTGAACTGACTGACTGACATTCCCTGATCCTCAAGCTCTGCAGTTGTGTAGGCCTGAGGTGTAAGACCAGAACTGGCAAGTGACGTCCTTCCTGCAGGAGGGACTGTAACAAGAGTGATAAGTTGACCGGTGGATCACTGCAGTGAAACACCTACTAAGGTTGAATACTTTGCCTGTACCCTTTTCGGGAGCTGTCTTTATTGGTCTAGGAGACTGGGTTGCTGAGGGCGGATACATAGGTCGTTGTAAGCTGGGACTTGGGGCAGCAGACGACGGTGTGGCTGATACCGCATTGTTCAATTCTGGAGGTTTGACGCCTGGTTTGAAAGGTGTCACGAACTTGTTCTTGACTAGACCACCACGTAAATTTCGCGGCGTAAGACCCAGCGGTCGAAATGCGCCCCCATGATTAACCGATACCGGGGGACGGACAGGCGTTCCTGGTGCAGCGGCACTAGATGGAGTCATATGAGAAGATGCGGACGCAAAGCCCTGACGATGAGGGTTGAGGGGAGAGTGGACATATGTAGAACTGGCTATCCCCGCGATAGACTGTCGTGATGGTACGGAGGTGATCAAAGGAGATTTGAACGGTTTCTGCTTTCCCTTGAAGTCACTGATACCAAGTGTTGGTGCGCCAAGTGTCGATCGTGCTCCAGCTTCAAATGACTTGCGAGTAGCCATTGCAGGAGTCGGCGTATCTGGGACTTGAGGCGACAAGGAATTGTGCACTGCACCCAGAATGGTGCGCTGGGGCGAGGGTGGTTGTGCCGAGGAAGGGGGCACAAACCCTCCAGAATGTTGGGAGGAACTCGAATCATCGACCTCTCCCTGCCACAGCTTGATCTTTTCCTCGGCCTTCCGTAATGCAGCGGTTGATGGGATGATAAGTTTTCCTTTCCCGACGGACTTAAAACCTATAGGTGTGAGGTGACTGTCAGTTGCCTCAGGGACATTCTCTTTGGTTTTGTCGAGGCGAGACGCAGCAGATTGAAAGCCTACAAAACTTGCAGGAGGAGCCGAAGTAAACCACGAAGAGTAATCGACTTCAGGGTGTACCTCGGGTGAAGGTGAACGGTGTGAGTCATCCACATTCTGGATGGGCAAAGCCGATGCAGACTTGAAGCCTACTGGAGGGAGAACGGCAGATGCTTTGGTAAAAGATGGATATACGGCTTGTTTCAGGGCATTCGAATCAGAAAATGGGTCAGAAACGAAAGGATTGTTGTCGCCTTGAGAAGCTGTGTCCTGTGAAGAAAGTAGGTCCTGATCGGACGAAGTGCTACGATCTCCAGCTTCGCCAGAGCTGAGCCTGGTGTTCGAGTTTGTTGGTAGGGGTATTTTGTGAAGTGGAGGAGCTGGCTGAGAGAGGCGTGCCTCTATGGCATCGAAAGCGCTTATATCGTCTTGACTCAGGTCATCGACTTGTTCATCATAGGTCGGAGAAGACATTCTCATTTTCTTCCTAGGCGGACTAGGAGAGGAATCTACAAAGTCGCATGTCAAACCTAAACCGAAGATCCCTTGAAGTGTCTCACCTAAATTATACATCTTTTGTTACAGTTACAAAGTCGTTTGGATGTTTGTGTCAAGAGCCACATCTACGCGACGCGTCTTAAAATCTGATCACGTGTGGCATTACATCAGCCTAAGCGGAATATGCGTTCCACAGCTGTGGACCTACTGGCACTAGTGAAGAAGACTTTGACTTGCTGGTATGATCTAACATTGTTTTGATGCCGGGTTATGGTTTTAGAGTCTCCGTAGAATTTTGAACAATAAAATTTATTTCATTGAGATTGGTCTCGGCCGGCCTATTAGTACGCCCATAGTCGAAACGCAAATATAATATATAGATCATCTTCTTCTATTAAACGCCAGTGTAGTCCATGACCTTCCGTACATTCCGTCTTGTTTGAAAATTTGTTGTTAATCACTGGCAATCTGGTCTGGCCAAACAAAAAGCCCTCAGCTAACCTCCACGCACTCAAAACATTGCTTTCCTAAAGTTCTTCATACCTTGTATCCCTCGCCGACCGCGCAGGTCCACTAGCACGACGTCTGGGGATCAAATACCTATGAACGGTACAAACATCCTTCCCAGTCAGAATGCAATAGGTTCGCGGCCAGCCAAACCTCCTCCAACGGGTCTCGCTCCTTCTGCGCCTTCCGTCGCGCCTCCGCTTCTTCCTAATCATCCGAATTCACCCAGTCCAAATCGAACTCTACCACCTCATTCCAATAACGCCGTTGTTAATGGGAATTATACACACAATCAGAAAGGAAAGAAAAAGAATGATACGCCTGTCGATCCTGCTGCCATGTACGAGTCTCTGAAGAGCAGGATCGCAGCTCTGGAAGAGGAGGAGGTGCTCGAGGAGGAGGAGGAGAAGATATTTGGTGCGTGTGTCCTGCCTCTCAAATTGATACATCACTCATGCGTACATCAGCCGAGGAGGCTGTAAAGTCGGTGAAAGGCATGGAGGAGAATGCAGTTCATGCCAAGTACATTGAACTCGTGCGTTATCATTCCCATGTCCGATATGTGCATTTCTGAATCACGGAACTGCAGTTCGCAGAACTAAAGCGATTAGAACGCGACCATGCAAAGGAAAAACAGAAATTGGTCAAGGACAAGGATTCTGGTACGTCTGATTGACCCATTCCGTTCTAAAATACTCATACCCCACTATATTCATCAAGCAAAGAGTCAACTGACGAAGGCTAACCAGACTAAAGTTAAAATGGAGAATTTGGCACGCGAGCTCCAAAAGGTTAGCAGACTCATGACCTGTTTCTATTTTCCTAACCGACTTTCGTGCAGGACAACAAAAGACTACGGGTATGCATGACTGCGAAACGAGGTTCATCCACTATGCTTACACCGGCCTAGGAGGACAGTAAACGTCTAGCACAATGCATAGAAGAGGCACAAGAAGAGGTTTGTGTTACTTCTTCCGCTAGTAGCTTCACCGACGCTGCCTCCAGATAATGCAAATGAAATCCGACATGGCAAAACGAGTGGACAAAGCCAAAACGCAAGACGTCAAATATCGCGAAATGCCTGACATTGTTGTGAAAGTAGTCTGCCGATATCGAGCCGAGCTCTTCTTCAAAATCTCACGCAAGACCAAGTTCTCCCGACTGTTCAATGCGTGGACGGACAGAATGGAGGTGACAGGCGGGAAGAAGGACGAGGGAAAAACATCGGTGAGCGGGAAGCAGATGAATGGCAGTGCCAAGTCGGAAGCCGCCAGCACGCACACCGTCGGATCCAATGCGTCATCTTCCATGCAATTCATTTTCTCCCACAATGGTCGGACAATAGATGCAGACCAGACACCAGAAGAGCAGGGAGTAGAAGACGGAGATGAGATTCTTGCTGTAGAGCTCATGGACCTTACCGAAGGACCTGGGCTGGATGACTGGGTGAGTGATGATACGAATCGTGTTGGAAACTGAGGGCAAGAGATGTACTATACAGGATGACCTGCCAGAATCTCGTCGTCAGCGCCTCAGGAAGAACTGGACGGATGATCCACAAGAGTGGGCTCCCTCGCTCTCTTGATTCGCTCAACTGACACTGTGATTAGCGCTCGGCGGTCATTAGAAGATATCTTCGATGGCGTGTGCGTATTCCATCATTAAGAATACTTACCCACTTAACTGCGACTATAGCGTACGAGAACGACTGAAGGAAGTTCTCCGACAGTATGAGCTTCGGGAACGACATTTTGAATGTGTTATCCGTTCAAAAGAACTAGAGGTTCTCCTATCTCGCGCTCGAGCAGCCGAGCAGAAGCAACTGGCTGAGGGGGAGAAATCCCGTGCCGACAGAGTGGACGACGAGGTAATTCAAATTCCATTTATAATTACAGTACATTCCCCTCAACTTTTCTCGACATCAATCCAGAATCAGAATCTCCGAAAGGAGTTGGAAGATGCGCAGAACGGACAAACAATGTTGATCGATAAGCTCATTACCTGCTGCAAGGAGGTGTGTGCATCTATGCCATGCAGCAGTGCGTCTTCGATTTGACGTACCGATACAGCCAAATGCCGAGCGGACCCAACGCCTATTCGCTTCTCTTCGAGATGAGTTGGAAAAGCGGGGAGCCAAACTTGCAGATGGCGGCCCTGTAGGAGGTTGAACGTCATTATATTTATTGTTGTTCAGCTCGTTTCCTAGGGGCAGCGAATCACTACTGATATCAAATGATCGGGTGTACAAGTAAGGTGTATTGATTGAAAAACCGAAAGATGTCCATGTACCGATGCGAAAGAGTAGTCGTACAAAAAAGTCCACGGCATCTCATCTTATCCAAACTCGATTAGAGGTCCATGAAGATATACTATACCGACTAGAGAAGGGCATCGAGCTCCTCGGGGTTTTCAACGTAACCCGACCTGGTGAAGGTCTTGCCCTTCACAAACTCCAGGCCCTCGCCAGCATAGCTGACACATGGCGAGAGTTCGATCTCTACACCATCCTTGACCTGGGCACCAGCCCTCTCCAGGAACCGTTTGTGCTGCGCGAGCAGGTCGCGGCGACTAGTCTCTGGGTCATCTGCACCAGTCCCAGGCGCGTTTTTGAGCGGACTGAACTCCTCATTACGAGCAACTTCCAAAACTGCAAAGCGTTTCGTGAAGGGGAAGACGTCAAACACAAACAGCTCCAGCTTCATGCCATTAGGTTTGCTCGGCTTCACTGCTTCCCCAGTCTTGAGATCAACTGTGGGAATCTTCTTGCGAGCGATGTGGAATGCAAGGTCATCTTCAAACGATTCGACAGATTTGAGATAGCTTGTTGTGTAGAAGTGGTTGGCGATGTTGGCGGCATTGAAAGCTAGCTCTCCGGTTTTGGAGTTACGAAGTTCAGCTTGTTCCTTGGAGATCTCTGAGTACTCGACAACGCTGAACTTTTCTCCCCTACGAGCGACAACACCAACCGACTCCGAAGGAGAGGCCTTGGGAACCACTTTGGCAGCACAGTCAGCCTGCTTGGATATGCAGTAGCCGAGGAAAACGGGGTCGGCAACTTTGACAAGGCAGTTGTCGACGCAGTATGCATGAACGTATAGGACTCCGCGATCAGTCAAGTCGGAAAGAACCGTTGAATTGTTAGACTTGGATAGAGGTGCGCGTGTAGCGGCATACAGCCCGCCGTTACCGTCAGGAGCGACCGCAACACGTGATGTGCTCTCGAGCATGATCTTGCCCTCTGCAGTCAAGCATGGGAGAGTGCCTGAAGACGCCGATCAACATAAATGAGGTACAAGGAATAAATATTGTTACCTTGTTCGAAGAAGACGACATTCTTTGAATTCAATCCGAAGAACTTGTTCTTCGTGAAGAATGCCTCGGTCTCACGACGCGTCGGACCGCTGGTCATGACATACCACGGCATAACAACTGAACCTGCAGGTTTGTTGCATTCCTTCTCAGCAACAACTTGAAGGCGAGCAATACGCTCAGCCTGGTACTGGAAGAGACTTTTGTGTGAAGGCAAGCCGATGTCATAACAGCCCTTGGGCGCTGAACTGCCCAGACGGGTACCTTGGCCGCCCGCCATAAGGAGGACGCCCACCTCCCCACGTGCGATTGCCTGAAGACCCTCACTACGCCATCTCTTCTCGCTCGCAGGATCATTAACGATAGACTCACACGCCCCAACGGGAAGGGGTTCAATAGGCTCGGGGTCAGCTGCTTCTTTCTCAGAGGCGATAGCCTTCTTGTAGATCCTGTTCACGCGATTGACGTCAAGGTTTTCGAGTTGGCGGGAGAGGGATTCGCGTTCCGATTCTTCAAGGGTTGACCAGAAAGTGAATAGATGGTCATGACCAGCAGTCTGGTATCTGTCGCGGACATTACCAACGGCCATTCTGATCTAAGCGATGTATGAAACTTTTTGAGATGAAGGATCAGAAGATGTTGAACTGAAAGAAGGACGTGGGGCTAGAGCTGGACAGGAAGACTTGCTATTTATTACAGATGAGTAGCAATTCCGGTACTAGCCGTTTGTTCTTGCCACCGTGAAACTGCCTTCGTGGTTGCCAAGCCCAAATATTGTGCCCACAGCCTTTCCAACATAGCCCTGGTGACAATCCTTTTACTTCCCCTGAGTCAAATGGTGGTGATCACTGATCAGCGCTTTACTCGTTGACGAGCTCATCCTCTCACTGGCACATCGTAGGTGCTTTCATTGTTCCGTAACCGACGTACATAATATGACGCATATACTATAGGATTAAGTATAGCCTAGCGCGCGTGCGCCCATCTATGTTTATTCAAATCTATTGTAAGTCTAGAATAAAATTAGCTAAACGAAGCGCATCGATGGCAACGTTGACGATGATTGCGTGGAGTGACTTCCGTTGTTCGGCCAATTCAAGGATGCGCAAAAATGATTGCGGTACACCACGATGATGTGACTTTCTGATCGACCATGCACAACTTGAATGCACGTGCCATTGTGGGGGCAATTTCTGAATTTCACGTCAACGATGTGTCAATTTCGGCACGTGAAGGGAGCTAGAACTCCCCTGCGGTTCAAGTATGTAATTCTTTTTTATGTGAGTGCCTTCTCGCAACCAGCGAATATATAATCCCTTGCTCACTTCAAACTTGACCAGTGTCCATCGACATATATACAAGTCTTCAATTGAATATATGTCAACATGGATCATCATCGATGCGACCGCGTCAGCGTCTACGGATTAGATTTTCAAGGTTGATCCATTTCTATCGATCTTCCTGAACCGATTTCATTCGGATCACAAGCGAAGGTGACAATATTACTAGTGCAAGTGATTCCTCATATAAAAGTTTTAAAGGCGGGCTTCATAATATAGCACCCACGTTTATCCCTCACCCCAGCTGCGAGGATAACATGCCACTGCTGAATCGCTTGTTTAGTCTTGCCGTGCTTGGGATTTCCGCAGTTCCATCCGTGCTGTCCTTCCAGCCGGGCTTTGACTATGGTTCCGAAAAAGTACGAGGTGTCAATCTTGGCGGCTGGCTTGTCCTAGAGGTAAAGAACCCATACGCATTGTGATACTTTCTTTTAATTTGTATCCAGCCTTGGATCACTCCAAGTATATTCGAGAACACTGGCAACGATGATATTGTCGATGAGTGGACCTTCGGCGAGTACCAGGACTACGACACCGCACTGGCGGTTTTACAAGACCATTGGAACTCTTGGATCACCGAAGATGACTTTGAAGCCATTGCAGCAGCTGGGTATGGTCTAATCAATGCTCATCGAATTCCCTCTGAAATATTCTACAGCTTGAACCATGTTCGTCTCCCCATCGGTTACTGGGCATTTGCGGTCGGTTCAGGAGAACCGTACATAACTGGTCAGCAAGAATATTTGAAGAAGGCCATTACCTGGGCGGCGAACCACGACCTCAAGCTCATCATCGACCTGCATGGTGCCCCTGGCAGTCAGAACGGGTGAATCCAACAGTAATAACATCTCGACATCACGTGTCGTGCTAATATTTCCTCTCGCAGTTTTGATAATTCTGGTCATAGAATGTCGTATCCAACATGGCAGTCTAACCAGACCAACATCGATAGGACAGATGACATTATCAAGACCATTATTTCTATGGTCGATTCGGAGTACGAAACAGTGCCTATCATCGCACCATTGAATGAGTAAGTTCCCTTCCATCCTGGTTTACTCTCAGCTGGCTTAATGAGTCATAGACCTGCAGGATATGACGGTGACGAAATGCTCGAAGTCGTGAAGCAATATTGGTATGACTCGTATGGGAACATCAGGCAAGGACTTGGCCCTCGTCCTAATTTCATTCAATAACAACCGGAATTTATAGATATCCTTACAATTCATCTACAGAAAGTAATACTGTTGAACTCATTCATGACGCGTTCCAAAGTCTCAGTTATTGGGATGGCTTTATGGTTGACGGATACGACGGCGTCGCAATGGACACTCACATCTACCAGATGTTTTCAGACGAGGTATGCACCCTTTCTTCCATGACGCAACAACGTATTAACGATGTGAACAGGAAGTTGCCTACAACTATTCTCAGCACATCACAGAGGCGTGCAGTTATGGGTCTAGCCTCGCCGACTTTGACCTGTGGATAATTGTTGGTGAATGGACCCCTGCATCCACAGACTGCGCGAAATGGTTGAATGGTCGCGGCACTGGATCACGCTATGACGGAACCTATTCAGGCTCGACCTACGTCGGCAGCTGTACGGGCAAAACAGGCAATGCTACGTCCTTTAGCTCAGATTACAAGACCTTCATGCGCCAATACTGGGAAGCTCAGGTCATCACCTACGAGAAAGGTAGTGGATGGATTCAATGGACCTGGAAGGCTGAGAATGCGGATGATTGGACTTACCAGGCTGGGTTGAAGTATGGATGGATACCACAGGACCCAACTGACTTGGAATACCCGGACATTTGCGATTGAAAAACGGCAGCAACGCCAGACAATTTATTAGCGCGGATTCATGATGTCAACCTGCATATACCAGCATATATACCCGTACTTTTTGTCTCGTTTAATCGATCTTTCGTTTGACAACATTAATCTGCGGTGTTAGCCTTGGGGACTAGATGTTTTAGGAAGTGGAGACAACTTCCCGCAAGCGCTTGCCCAGGAACTGCTTGTTTCTGTCGAGACTACTAAATTGTGATGTAATAGGCTCGCCTTGACCCCATAAGTGAATTCATAAACTTCAACAAGTTCGAGCACAACTCCGCACTCCATACTTCCATCCAGTGAACAGTCCATTCTTGGTCCACTCCGTAGAAGAACTGGATCGCGCCGAGACGGACCCTAGATCTGTTATCCTCTGTTGTGGCGTGCCTCCGCGGCGCCATCTCGACTCGGTGTTCATCTTTGGAGTTGACTGGACAATATTGCTGTGCTACAAGCTCCAGCAAAGCTCAGGGTGCATTTCTGCCAGATTCCAGTATGTAACAAATTAACAATCGGAGTCCATATGCTATATACTATGCGGCGCATCCCAATCGAGTTGCCCAGGAGGTCTGAGTGGCTTTTCTGCAATTTGTATTCTTCAAATCCCGGGACGATCCACATTGATCCATGAATGCATTCTCCATTCGATCACAATACCTCGCTTCTGATTGGCCTGATTGGTCTAGGAGTTCTGTTCCCTGTGCTCTGACCCGGGGATCCAAATCTATACCACCGGAACGGCAGCTGCAGTGGAGCCTCAGCTTGCGCACGAAAAAGTCCCTACCGACATGGTGCTGAACACGTGCGGAGGGGTGAAAGCACTTTGGCAGCCTTCTCTGCTTCCTGCCAGCTCCATCTAATAATTTCCGAGGTCGATGGAGCAGCCATAAAACCCTAATAAAATGCGGCTGGGCCTGGTTCGATGGATTGATGTCCACTAATTTTCCGATGCACTCTGCGTTTTTGGCCCTCGTCGGGCTGTCTCTACTTCACTCCGTGTCGTCTCAATTTTCTCCCGGTTTCCCTTATGGTTCTCAGAAGGTGCGAGGCGTCAGCCTTGGAGGTTGGCTCGTACTCGAGGTACGTGCAATAATGACGGACGACGGTCTTTACTGATAATTATGCTTGGACGTAGCCATGGATCACCCCCAGCATATTCGACAACACAGGAAATCCTAATATCATCGATGAATGGACATTTGGGCAATACTATGACCGTACTACTGCAGCAAACGTACTACAGAACCACTGGAACACCTGGATTACACAGAATGATTTTGCAAATATTGCTGCTGCCGGGTACGCGCTTGACCCCGCAAGCATACACATCATAATTGAATCGTGTCGGCATACTACAGATTGAACCATGTGAGACTGCCTATCGGGTACTGGGCCTTTGAAGTTGGCCCTGGTGAGCCATACATACAGGGCCAGCTGCCTTACCTTCAGAACGCTGTGCAATGGGCTGGCCAATACGGACTCATGTTGATCGTCGATCTTCATGGGGCTCCCGGAAGCCAAAACGGGCACGTACTAATTGTGTCTGGTGTCTCCTGAAAGCTCACGCAAAATTGTAGGTACGATAATTCTGGGCACAGCATGCCATACCCTACATGGCAGTCAAACCAAACGAATATTGCCCGGACAGACGCGATCATCAAACAGATTGCTTCCATGTTTGCTGGTCAGGCCAATGTTGTTCCTATCATCGCGCCCTTGAACGAGTGAGTGTACCTAAGAGAGCGTTCTTGAACGAATGTGACGTGCTTTTTTCAGGCCAGCTGGATATTACGGATCATCTGTTTCTAACACCTTTGAGACAATATTACTATGATTCTTATGGAAATATCAGGTAGAAATACCACCTCATTGTCTGCTCATAGAAGAGTGCTGATGCATCATGCAGGTATCCGTACGGCACATCGACGCAGAGCAATACTGTCGTTCTACTTCATGATGCTTTCCAGCCTCTGAGTTATTGGAACGGATTTGAGACCGCACCCGACTTCCAGGGCGTGGCGATGGATACGCACATCTACCAGGTGTTTTCCAACGCGGTATGTCCCCAAGATAGAGAGCCTTTTCCAATCCTCATACCGTACGTTTTCGTAGGATGTCCAAATGTCCTGGCAGAGCCATATCAATACTGCGTGTGGTACTCAATCCACTCTTTCCGATTTCGACCTTTGGCTTATGGTCGGTGAATGGTCACCTGCCATTACCGACTGTGCCACCTACCTCAACGGCAGGGGCAACGGGGCCCGTTACGATGGTTCCTACCCTGGTTCCACTTATGTCGGAAGTTGCACCGGGCTTACTGGGAGCGCATCTACTTTCAGCTCGAGCTATAAGACTTTCCTTCGTCAGTTCTGGGAAGCGCAGGTTATTTCCTACGAGAAATCAAACGGATGGTTGATGTGGACGTGGAAGACAGAGAGTGCAGATGAATGGTCATACCTGGCTGGATTACAAAACGGCTGGATACCCTGGTCTCCTACTGACCTCCAATACCCCACTATTTGCGGGTAGACGCACCTGCTTGTCGGCGAGCGTTTTCCGCAGACGTTGCGTACTGGATGTTGCCGATATCAGTTGTGGAATACTTGAACAAAACCTCCTTGACTCGATAGACTCAATAATAAATATCACGACTCACGAGTTGATCTGCCCATTACTAGGTGTATTCCTAACTTTCTTTAGTGGACACCAGAGTACGCAGATCGTGCAAATATGTACTTCAATGGAACTTTAATGAACCCTGGCCTGCGGTGGACAACGGGGGCAGGCTCATTGTGTGCTGTCAGGGTCTCTACGCATGGGTGATGGAAGCAATTAACTTGATTATGCACTATGTCGCTGCTGGAGATTTGTTTCCGGTGATTGAGGTAAATCACTGAGTTCGATGCTCGTGAGTGGTACTGTCATAGGTAAGCCATGAAGTCAGTACGATACCAAGCGTCAACCACACTGCTGCACACAAAGTTCTCATCAGGAGCGCTTTGATCGCGTCATGGCTAGGATTGCTTATTGATACCGTTTTGGTTGAAATGCCTCGTCCTACGAAGGCACACCTCGTATGCATGTATGATGAAACAATTTGTTGCAATGACCGTTGGCTGAAATTAAGTACCGAAGATATACAGAGATCTAAGCGTTCAAACCTTCATGCTCCTGCGACACCATATTTTTTAAGCGTCGCCTTCCAATCTCCTATATCCCCACGCCCCATCGTCAAAATCGTGGCCTTGTTTCCAGACGAAGGTGCGAATAGTCTAGTAGCGACGCGGCGCACGCAGTCAGGAGTCACCTTGTCTATGGCCGCAGTCATATCAGTCACAGGAATCTTTCGACCGTGAACAAGCAACTAGATTAACACGTGAGTATGCGGGTATGTCTATGATAAAAGTTTGTCGTACCTGTCGGCCAAGATCCTCCACCTCCACTGCCCGACTCTCGAGAGCCATCATCAGACTCGATTTGAGCTGATTCTTGGCACGCTCGAGCTCAACTTTGGGAACAGATTGGTATATCAGCAGGCTAAGCTGATTGGCTAGGTGGGGCAGCATTTGTGCAGGAGTGTTGCCTCTCTGGCCGGGAATATTGGGGACGAATGAGGCAAAGACGCCAAAGAGCGAGGAATCCGTGTAAATATGATGGAAGGAAGCACAGTGGTCAATTTGAGTGTAGTGATTCAGGATGTGTGTGTAAAGTCGGGAGTACATGCCCTTGCCAGGACCACCTGCAAGAAGTTAAATAAAGCGTGTGACGCAGGGAAGTGATTGCTCACCAGCTGAGAAACTTCCACCACCTCCAAGGAGGACTTGCATAGTGGCGAGGATATATATATCCTCGTCATGAATACCTACACCTTCAAAGGCAAGGTAAAGTTGATCGAACTCTGTTGAACTCGGGATGTGATGGATGCCACCAACGTAATTAGAGTGAGGGTTCAGAGGAGGAAGCGGTGGGTCGTTAGAAAGGGACGTAGGGTACAGGTATGTTGATGCAGCGCGAGTTAATGACTTGTAGAGCGAGGGTGAGGACGAGGGAAGTAAGTGGGGTGGTAAATTTTGAGTAACTGACGGCTGAAGTGACGAAACTGATGGTGTTGGCGCAGATTTGAGGGATGAGAAATACTTGTCGGCCAACTCCACTAGTCGTTCGTGATGCATCCCAGCACCAGCAATCACCATCCTCTCCGGGCGGTACCAGTTTGTAATGCAGTCCCGAAGTAGGTCTCCGGTGACTGCGTCTATTCGCTCCTCTGGGCATAAGAGGGGATTCCCAAGTGTTTTTCTGCCGTATGCAACCTCATGCAAGATCTCTGGCAAAATCATCTCGGGCTTCTGACTAATTTCTCGGATCTCATAACGAGCGGCATCTCGCTGGGCGTCAAGTTCCTCGGGTAGAAATGCGGAATTCAAGATGGTGTCTGATATGAGCGAAAGCGCGAGAGGTGTAGCTTGGTCGAAGTTGGACGATTGGTACATGATGGATTCGCGTGATGAAGAGCACATGATTTGACCACCTAGCTTGTCCATTGCGGTCGCCATATCCTCCGTGGAGCGAGAGCTAGTGGTCTGAGCAATAGAGGACTGTGAACACTGACACAAATACTACCTGAAGCTACGCACCTTGAAGGCCATCCTGTCCATAAAATGGCTAACGCCCGAGGTCGATGAGTCTTCATACCTGGATCCCGCATCTACGTACAGTCCAACGGATGAAAAATGACCGGGAGTCGACTCAGTAGCAACTCTGATCTTGTTGGGCAGGGTTGTGATCTGCAATGGAGGATGTACTGCTTGGGAAAATTGCCGCTGGCTGCGACGGACGAGCGACGTTGTTGCTCTCCGCATGATGAGTAAAGTCAAGGGTTGAAAAACGCCGAACGTCCAAATATTAACGGGAGCATAATTACGTAAATTACCAGCAAAAAACAGACCCCACCGTGGTTCGAACACGGGACCGCACGATCTGCAATCGTATGCTCTACCACTGAGCTATGGAGTCCTGTGTCATGACGCCAAATTTAGTCAGCTAAGTATACATACAAACTAATTCTCAAGAACCGTTGGTAGTGCATGTAATCCGAGTAAGTAAGATAAATGAATCTATCCAACGACATCGCCTACACTCCATTTGGCAAACTCCAGGACTTCAATACCTCCTTCGCCATCCTGGACAAGACCTTGTCGTTTACTCCAGTTCTCTATGGCCAGCCGTACTGGCTCATTTACACACTCCCCTCCGAGCATCATGAACGGTTGGTTGTAAAGTGCCGTCTCGTCACCATCCGATGACTTGATCGAGCAAGTGTCAAAGCCAGTGATTTGCCGTGCAAGTGCACGTTCAAGTCGCTCGAGATCTTTGACGAAAGTCTCGCTCTCAAGGCGACGTGCAAGCTCTGGAGATTGAAGAGCGAGCACAGCCAAAGACCCGATGCGACCCTGAGGAGCGGAGCCAACAGATCCGTGCAGATAGGACGCGAGACGCAGACCAAGATTGGGAGACTGTCCCAAAAACGGGTTTTGCACGACTGTCACAGCTCTTTTCAGAGAAACCTTCTCACCCACTTTGGCGATGAGGTCTCTAATAGAGCTTGACACTGTGGATGACGAATGAGATGAGGGGTTGTTTTGAGATAATAGAGGGGCATCGTTCAAAATGTCCAGCGAACAAGATCTGATGATAGTCGAAGAGTCAGTCGGTTCCGTGATAAACGCGGCGGTATGAGCTATATCCGCTGCTAATTGACCGAATAGGGTATTTCTTCCAACAAAATCTGTTTCGCAGTTCAATTCAACCATGGCTGCCCGTATACCGCCGCCACCCAAGGCTGTTTTTCCCCCTGCTGCCTCCAGAGAGTGTGCAGACACTAACAAGTCCTTCTCGAGTCTCCCGAGACTGGACGTTCGCGGCCTTTTTTATGCCCGACGCTGCGAGATCATTTTTCACCCATTCGAGGGCTTGTTGTATGTCGTTATTAGTTTGACTGAGGGCTTCTCGTGCTTTTGAAATTGAGACCTCCGTCAGTTTGCGCAGCTGCGCGACATGCTGCAGGGAGGGCTTGGATGGAGCTGTAGAATAACACGACTGGCCAATGCGTGAGAGCCTGGACGCATGAAACGGTTTCGATGAGCGAAGAAATTGGGCTATCATCGTGAAAGATATCGATGGAACAAGAAGGGTTCTATGCAAAATTTTGTGCGACGCGCAACTGGGAACGCTCACGTGACGCCCGAATTTCTTTTGGGACATGCCGCTTCGCTATCCATTTTCCTGTCGCCCGTCATGGATTTTCAGTTCAAAGTCCCCGAGTCGGTCCCCCAGGATATACTCCTTATTCAAGAAATTGTCGGAGTTATCCCTCCGCCAAAAGCAGATGTCTGGAAGGATGTCCACAAGTCCGCAGACTCGAGCGATGACTCCATCGCAAGCTCGTCCAGCGAGATTGACAGTGAGGACGAGGTTGAAGCCGATTTAATGATTCCAGAGGAGGAATCTTCCAACCTTACACCTGTTTTGTGAGTCTCTTAACACTATAAGTCAGCTGATATTTTGAGACTATTACCAGGCCAGGATCACCAGAGTCAGACTCAAGCTCAGACTCTGATTCCTCGGACTCGGATTCCGAGTCAGACGAGGATGAAACTGCTGATAAAGCAGGAGATAAAAATGCGCTGAACCCTCGAAAACCACAGATTGATGTGGACGATGACGAGGAGTCAGGCGCTACAGCTGTTGCATCATATGTACAGACCAAAAATGAGATTATCGAAACAGACATCGTTGTCCCTTCTGTATCAGAAGTCGGACCCGAAGAAGTATTGGAAAAAGTTGGCGATGTGATGAACATTATCGGGAACGTAGTAATTGTGAAAGGCCTTCCTGCTGACTCTTCCAGAACTGCATCTGAAAAGACACTAGATGTCGAGACATTACTTGTCTTCGACGATCGACAAGTTCTCGGACATGTGCGTATTTTGTATTCTCGGGACACGTCTTCTGACCTTTTGTAGGTATATGAAACGTTCGGACCCACTTCCCAGCCCTTGTATCAAATAAAATTTAACCAGAGCTACCCACTGGATACTGAGAAGATTCGAGTCGCTCGCGAAGTTTACCATATACCGCAACGAAGTAATTTCGTCTTCATGGAATACCTTAAAAAGCTTCGCGGCAGTGACGCAAGTAACATTCATGATGAGGAGCCCGGTGAAGATGAAATGGAGTTCTCGGATGACGAACAAGAAGCCGCGTTCAAGCAGGCACGAAAGAAAAAGTATGTGCGTACACTCAAAAATGTTCTCATTCTCATTCATTCTCGGCAGACGTGGCATGTCTGTGTCATCGTCTCGACGGACAACACCTGCGCCGTCGCAGTCTCACTACAACGATGATATTGATAAAATTTTCTACGGGGCGAACCCATACGATGCGCATGGCCCATATGATGACGGCTACCGGGTAGCCGGGCCGTCGCGTCCAGCGCCTATCCCATACGACGACCCGTATGCCGACGAGGTCAAAGTGGACATTGTGAAGTATGAAGAAGACCTGAGTGGCCCTTCCACTGAGGCTCGTATGTCCGGTAGGGAACCCGAGAGACACTTTGGAGACAGCAGAGGACGGGGCCGGGGGCGTGGTAGAGGTCACGATAGAGTTGGAGGGGCTCGTGATCGTGGAAGGGGTCGTGGGTATGGGCGGCCAGATCGCGGACGACGTTCGTGGGGAGAATCTAGATGGTCTCAACAAAACCCTACGGCTCCTTCAATGGAACCGTACAATTCAAGCACCTCGATCCCACCATCGCCTACATCTGACGAGATAGAGCGCGAAACAAATCAACCAGTCAGAATCCCCGGCTATTCTTCACAGCCTTTTTCATCTTCACCAACGTGGGGTTATCCGCCAGGCGATTTTCAAGTTCACCAATTTGGACAACAACAACAACAACAACAATCCGTACAGCCGCACATCAATCCTCGATTCGCGTCCACTTTTGGATTCAATGGTCCTCCTGCATGGTTTGGGAATCAGGAAGCTCGGTTCAACTCTTATCAGGTACAACAGCCCTCTCAACCATGGATGAATCAGTGGTTGGTGCATGGGCAGGAGTATGAAAACGCGGAAAGCGATGCGTACACCCCGATTTAGTAGGCTCATCCATCCCTATTCGGCAGGTTCTTTCAATTGCATACGTTTGACGGTATTCTCACCGAAGTCATACCTGTGAGCCTATAAAGCACGATCGTGCCAGTATCGAATAAAGCCAGTCGCCTGTCGAACTTTCCCATCTTTGGCATGAGCCATGTGCGTACTTTGTCCGTGCTTCCTTCTAATTTTTTTATTTTTATTTATTTTTAAATCCAATTTGTGTCCATTGAGGATAATACTTTCTAATCTATGGGACCCCCCGGTGTCCCTTCTAATCTCTGAAGTCGCGAATGCCCAGATGTGAGGCGTACCCCCATCAGTCCGCCGTTCCCGCCGGTTCCTTCTAATTTGCAATGCAACGTTATGTTTCTCAAAATACGCCCCACGTTCGCTCAGGGAATTCATATTATACTCGTATCCCACGTCCTTTTAAAACATAGCAGGCTGACATTGTACACCGGTCAAACCTTGCTCCCGAAGTTTCCCTTCGTGACATATAAATATTCAGACAGCTGCAGTTCTCTCCTCCTTGTACAAAATGTCTGTCTCATCACTTGTCCTGTCGTCCCTCCTCGGAGCGTCCTACATTAACCCGATGAACGTCTTCCAGAGCCCTGGTGGCTCAGGCTGTGGGAATTCTGGTCCCGCATCGTGCCAAAGTACGAACACGCCCGCCGCCGATACCTGCTGTTATGAAAGTCCTGGAGTACGTCCCTGCTCTAGTCTCAATCAGTGATAATTTGCCCTAACTAGCTCTAGGGCCTGATCATGCAGACACAAGTTCGTTCAGTTTGCCTTGTTTAACACGTGGAGCCAGAAATAACTTCTTTCAGGTTTGGGACACAGATGTCGCTGGTAGTCCCGAGGACAGTTGGACTATTCATGGTATGGAATTGATAGCGTCCTGATTTTGTTCTGACATGAGAAATTCAGGTCTGTGGCCTGATAAGTAAGTCACAGTAGCTGGACTACTAGGGTACAGAATTTGAATATATCGTAGCTGCGACGGCACTTACATTGAGGACTGTGATCCCTCTCGCGATTACAAGAACATTGCCGGGGTCAGTTGGTCTCTTCGATACAAAGACACCCCAGCTGATGTCCCACAGCTACTCGAATCCCAGGGTGCATCGTCCACATTAGAGTTCATGCAACAGTATTGGCTTAACGATGATGGGTCTAATGAAAGATTCTGGGAGGTACGTGAGACTCGGAGCTTCCGTTTCGTTCGAACGCTTATTGTCGAGCATTATAGCATGAGTGGGCTACACACGGCACATGCTATAGGTACAGGGTCTAGACGGTCCGGAATTTTGACGCATATTCATTTTAACCTTTTTTTAGCACACTGAATGTTGATTGTCTTCCCAGCGACAGCCCTACGGGTGCCGAGGTAAGTAGGCGTGATCTATGGAAGTATTTGCCCTGAGCGCTATCATTATGCAAGGCCGTGGCATTCTTTGAGACTGTGGTGAGGGTCTTCAAGACCCTCCCCACGTATGACTGGCTCGCTCAGGCAGGTATCACTCCGTCATACAGCCAGACTTATTCCCTTTCGGACTTGTTGTCGGCTCTCGAAGCTGGCTCTGGAGGAGTAGGTTTCATATTTTGCTTAAAAATACATCCTCATAACGTTTATTTTCCAGTACACTCCAACTTTGAGCTGCTCTCGATCGCACAAACTCAGCTCGGTTAGCTGGTACTTCAATCTCAAGGGCTCTGTCATCGATGGCGATTTCGTCCCGATAAGTACGTTACATGTATCAGTGGCAGACCAACCGTTTACGTGCTTCCAGACACCCCTGAGGATACTAGTTGCCCCTCGAGTGGTATTAAGTACCTTCCCAAAGAAGGATGATACCATTCAAGGACGAGTTCACTAGTGATAGAGAAGTATGTTTCGATGCCACCAAGCAAAATCTATAATTGTACATGGCTTCTTGATCGTTCGAGCTTCCATCCTGTTAGTACTGTCGTGATACACTTAAGCTAGACTATCTAGTGATAACATGCCTCCACCCCTCAACCATCCGAGTTTGGAACTTGAGCTACTGGCTCAGACCTTCTTCGTTAAGCAGTTCCCAGTAGATGCAGGCGTTCCAGCTGCAATTGCGAGCGGGCTGAATGCTGCTCAACAAACTCCAGGGGTCTTCTCCATCACCAGAACAGGAGAAGAGATTTCCGTTGTTGGTGAAGCTGTTGATGACGACGGTGAATGGAAATGCATCAAGATAGCAGGGCCCATGGAATTTGGTGTCTCCCCTACATTTGTTGGTGACGGGAAGGGAATCTAATCTTCGTTTGCTAACAGGGTTGACTGGCGTAATGTGTAATTTCACGACGCCGCTGAAAGATGCTAATGTTCCGGTGTTCGCAGTTTCGACATGGTTAGCGCTCGTAGCAGACATAATCCACTTGTGTGATGCTTATCCCTTGATAGGAATACCGATTATGTTCTGGTCCCCAAAGAGAAGGCTGACGCTGCCGTTGCAGCACTAACGAAGGATGGCTGGAGGTTCCGAGAAATTGCTGGGGCTCCAAGAGGTGCATAGTCTGGAGATATTGTAGGCAGAAAACGCGAGATTTGCATAAAAACATAAATTGTGGACTGTAATTGATGGCTTCTACGGCGGTCAACGAAAGAAAGTTTTATTTTTCAGTTTATGACCGTTTCCTCTCGATCGCTTCACGCACCTCTCTCATAAACTCTAGGAGCTGGAGACCTGCGACATTTGGTACAGGCAGAAGTCTAAAAGTCTGAGACTAGTAATAGCCTAGAGTGCACCGTTGTTGCTACTACTCTCGAACTGGCGACTGCTACTAGTACGGCTAGGAGCTAGGACTTCCTATGGCAGATTCATCCGAATTTTCAAGCCTAAAACCTCGACAGAAACGTGTCCTACCCTCCCGTTCACGTCGTGGTGGTCCTGGAATAGGAAGCTGTGATGTTGACCTCATGATATTGGACGCGCAGAGACGAAGATGTTCGTTGCGCTTTTTTGCTCTACCTAGTTCATATACTGACATCCTTATCGCAGTTGAAAATGAGCCGCTCATTCCGGCAAATACGCAGTTCTTGTTGACCACAAATTCTGCCCTCGTACCCCAGCCTCAACCCTCATCTTCGACTGGCTTCGGACTCAATAGTCATGCGAATCAACGCTATTTCGACAGGCCAGATGTTATTCAAGCTTACCGAGAACAACAAATCATACAAACACCTGAATTCACTACTTTGTCAGAGGATGCTAGCGTTGGGGGTAGATTCAGGCCGAGAATTTCTGCGGAGGTGCGTTGAAACGCAAGTCTTAAACTTTGGCATAGGCTCATGCCAGAAATTATCTCTACCTAGCTCCCTGAGTCGGCAGACACTTCTGATGCTGTATATGAAAAGCGCCATCGGAAGTACGAGACGTTTGAAAAGCGTCAGCGTCTCCGTGAAAAGGAGAAGCTGAAGCATGAGCAGTACAAACTCAAGGAGAGGATAGAACAGTTGAGGGCGATGGACGGAACTGCATTCCTCGGATTACCCGCAGCATCTTTCCCCCCACCATCTGATATAGTTCGGGTCGAAGACGGCCGAGACGCGAGCCTTGCGGCAATTCACGTCGACGGGACAGTCATGTGTAACGAGGGAGAGAGGCGACGGCAGGAGATGCTTGAGGTAGCTTACATCTTGGAAGATCGGTACCGCACCCTGTTACCGTCGGACAAGAAGAACTATTTCGATCAGAGGAAGGCGAGCAGGCAGAGTAGTGTCAATATCCCTCCTTCCTCCGACATCCACCCGCAAGACGAGTCGATCGTTAATGGCCGAGCTTCCGCCGCCATTTTACCTACCAAAGCCAGCACCTCACTTGTCTTGAAAATCAAGATGCCCAAACAGTCGAGCTTTTCCCCATCAGTATCCAGCACCCCAGCACCCAAGCCTACAACTTATTTATTATCTTCTTCACCACCCAAGTCCAAATCAGTATCCAGAGCGTCTCCAGCGAAACCAATTTCCAGAGCCTCTTCTGATACAGAGTCCGTCGAATCTGAACGACCGCGCAAACGCGCAAGACCGTCACACCTCGATGAGGCATACTCTCCACACTCTACTCCGGAACATCGTCCACCACGCCATCACCACCACGCACTAGCGCCGAAACCAGAACCATGCGTTCTCATGCAGGCTGCTATCCGCGCCTCATCCGCGCCAACGGCTCGTAAAACGCATAGGCATGTAACTGCGTTTGGCGCAAAAGTACCACAAGAGATTGAGGAACTCAGGGACTTCGAACTTCCTGAATGGATAGTCCCTACCCAACTCGAGTATACGGATTCGGCGGGTCATACACCAGAGCCTGTAATCATTGCAGAAGAACAGCTCGGGATGAATGGTGCTGCGCCTGTTTGATCCTTAGCACTTTTTAATCATACCCTCATGCACTCTTATGATAGATATACTTTGACTGTTTTCTGGTGTAACTTATGGCTATTTTTGTCCCGGGACATGTATTTAGTATAGTGGTCATATTTTTCACGCTTCGATGAAACAAAATTTTATTATGAACAAGGCTGATCAAAGTCACAACGAAGTTGCAGAGACTGCCAAGTTCTGATTGAGTTTTTGCCTTCAATATAGTAAAGTCTCGCATACCTGACGTGGAACTGAGTCCTGCTTGACGCATGAGCTCCACGGCAGCGCGCCTCGGCTTCAATCCAACTTCTCTCCTACGAGCCAAAATCAGCTTCGCGTAATCTATCGACCCTTGCGTCTGTGTTGTTGATTCAACGTCCCCTGGAAGATATCGCGAGTAATCGCCGGCGCGTTCTCTCAAGAGTTGCACCCGAGAGTCAATGCGTGACTGGGCAACGGATGGCTGAGCGACATATGGAATGAGGGTTGGTGAACTGAACAGCTCCGACAAGTCTGTGTTGTTGAAGCTAACATGCAATGGTGGCGGAGCGGATTTGTCGACTTCATTAAGATCCCCGACGGGAGATGTAGGCTTAACAAGGCGGCTTGGCTTTGGAACTCTTGGGCCTTCCCTCCGTCGGTCTGTGCGCATTTCTGCTGGCGCCGACCTAGTCTCCGTTGGCGCCGACCTGGTCTCTGCTGGTGCCGACCTAGTTTCGGCAGGAAGGGGCCGTCTCAGACGAGGGTGAGCGACAGTTTGCGGGTTCGAGGGTCCATCATTGGAACGTCTCTCCCCATCTTTCGAGGGTCTTTGAGACCTTCTAGATAGCAAAGAACCTGCAGCAGGCGAGGCTGGCTTCGGTGGGTCTACAACTTTAGCCTCGATCTTTTTGGGCGCAGCCTCAACCAGCAATCTTTTCTGCCTCTGAGCAGCACGTGCAGCAAACAGAGAAGTGGTAGATGATGGAATGATAGAGGCTAAAATCACTGTTTAAAGTCAGATATCGCGGGCCGAGTAAGGTTACGCACGAATTTCTATGTCTCCCAACGAACTAAGTCTTGGGGCACTCCGATGTGTTCCTTCTACCGAAGCTGCTACTGACTCTGGAACCTTTACATCTGAAATAAAAGATGCAAATGGACTGTTCGTGGAGTATGACCGGGCTACCTGCTTGTAGCAGCGTCCTGGATTGCAGAACCCAGTAAGAGCCCTTGAATGCTGCATGATGAAAGAGCAAAAGCAGTGAAACCGCAAATACACTATATCCAGGTGAAATTTCCTTTCTCGGAACCCTGGCTTCGCACAGTCTTTGGCCAGTGGTAGCTACTTTCTACGTTCACAGTTCGTCTTACCCGGATTTTGTTCGACCTCACACCAAGACATGCACCCCATCTTGGGGCGCATTGCCATTTGCTTTGTGTTATTTCTCATTCTTTTCCCTACCTTGACTTGCCAAATCTACATCATATGGCCTTGGTATGGGCGTGAGCTGTCCGTAGAGCTCATAACTCTTCTCTTGCCATTCAAGTGAGCTTCATTAATTCCGGATATGCTTTGAAATTTATGCTCCAATAGTGTCCTTGCTGCATCGCTACTATGGAACTACTACCTGTGCATAGTTACTGATCCCGGAGAGGTTCCGGATGGTTGGGTACGCCCAAGGCTCAGCCGCAGTCATTCTGATCGATGACACTATCCCTCAGAAACCGGACACGCAATCAAGTCGAAGGGTATGAGGTTAAAAGACTGACAGGTCGACCTCGGTTTTGCCGTACCTGTGAAAAGTTTAAGCCTCCAAGGTCCCATCATTGTAAACAATGCAACAGGTAAGTAGGAGCTGTCGGGGAAATACTGCGATGCTGACTGCTCGGTAGATGTGTGCTGAGAATGGGTAAGCACTTTCGGGGATCCTTTTCTTCACATTCTGACTGCCACAGACCACCATTGTCCTTGGACAAATAACTGCATCGGCCATTTCAATTATGGACACTTTATTCGTTTTCTATTTTACGTGGATGTAACTTGCTCGTATCACCTCGCTATGGTCTCATACCGGGTCATGGCCGCATCTGGCAGACGGTACTATGTGAGTTGTTTCCCGAAGTATTGAACCTGTAACTGAACACAGAGCAACTCAGGATGAGCCGACGGGTGCCGAACTTATCTTCATCATATTGAACTACGTTTTTGTCGTCCCCGTGATCCTTGTAGTTGGAGGGTTCAGGTATTGCTACTTTGCATGCAGAATTACAGGTTGCTCACCGTGACTATACAGTCTTTATCATTTCCATAGTCTGTCGGGCAACACCACAACTATCGAAGGCTGGGAGAAAGACAAAGCTGCGATGCTACGACGACACGGCAAAATTGAAGAGGTAAGCCTTTCCTCTAAGTAAGCTGTAGCGAATTAACTAACTGTATCACGTACAGGTCAAGTTCCCATACGCAAGTATTTGTTTCATGTTGACAAACAAATTGCTGATGTATTGCAGAACCTCGGCACGAGGCGTAATATTGCCTCAATTCTCGGAAACAATCCACTTTTGTGGTGTTGTCCAACCGTCCCTCCTGGGACTGGCCTTAAATACCAGCTTTCAGTTGCTGATGGTGAGTGGAATGAACAGGCTGCAGCACAGAGTCGCCGAAGGAGAGTGGACGATCTGGAACTGTGACTGTTACCAGATGTAGCTGTCATTTTCCTCTTACGTCCTCGTTCTGTCGTGTCAGTACGCTCATTGCAGCTGTGTCATCATGTTTGATATGGCGTCTCACTAACTGATCTATTGATATAGAACATTATAACTGGCCTCCTCGAGACCCGGCTTTGTCTGACCAGCCACCATTCAAACTCCCTGACAGTCCATGGACGTACGAGAACGGGGATGTCAATCCCAATCTACGTCCAACAAATGGTCAACTACGTGGTGTCAATGGTAACCGGTATAAATCCACGCAAGATCCTGTCTCTGTTTTACCACCTTACCATGCAGATTACGAGGATCCTGGGGTTGATACCCATCCTGGACGACCATATTCTCCTGACAGTGATTCAGATTACTCAGAAGAGGGATTCTCCGGAGCTATCAGGATGCGTCGGGGCTCGGAGGGGTACGAGGTGCGCCCCGTAAATCGGGGGCAGTTGTTTCAAGAATACGTGCAGGACCAGATTAATGAGGCTGGCCGATACCAAGTGTATGAACCTGAGCACACTCTAGAGAGTGACGAGGATTTTCGAGGAGCATGAGTTCGAGGAGGACATGGATGAGTTATCTAGAGAGGTTGGAGATGCTGGCATAATCTCGGACGATGATGTTCCTCTCGGATTACGATGATTGGTATTGGACTTTTGTTGACTCTTTGGAAACGGACTGCGTATTGTATTACAAGCGCGATTAATAGAGAGAATATAGGTAGATAAAGGCTGGAATCTAAAGTGGGGGTCGACAAGTACAACCGCTATATGATGGAAACTCTCTCCAAGTACACTTTCCATACGTGTCCACCCTTCTCACCAACTTCCAAAACATTTGAACCAACTTGAAGGTCCATATTCCACACGCCATCCTCGAGCTTTTCATTCATAGCAGTACCGTTAAGGTTGACCAGTATGCTCTCCTGTTGAGGCGTAGGCGCGTTCTGAGCTTTCTTCTGTTCAGCTTTCTTCGCTAGTGCAGCCGCCTTGGCTTTCGCTTTCGGATTCTTGGGCGGACGGCCACGACCACGCTTCCTGGGACTAGGTTCTTCCTCCTCCTCTTCATCATCTGGTTGTTCATCGTTCCCATCGCCTTCATCATCTCCGGTTTCGTCATCATCTCCGAAGAATCTGATCTCTGCAACGGATATCGATTTCTCGCCCTGGCCAAGCCGTATCGCCCAGGATTTGACTCCATCACGATGATCAAGCCAGAAGGGTCTGCCACGAGGCTTGGTTATCAAGAAAATGCCCTTGAGCGCTCGGTGTCCAGTCAATACAGGTGCAGGTGATCTTGAAACTGATTGAGGTGTCTGAACCTGAGGCGCTGGCTGTGTTCGTATTGCGGAGGATGGTATTGCAGGTGTCGGAGGAGCCGGAGCCGGGTGGGTGTATTGGTGATAGGTGGCATTGGGATAATACTGAGGTTTAGTTACTGTGGGCTGATACTGCAATGGCTGTGTCGAGACTTGTGGTGATGGTGCAGCTTTTGTTTGTGTTGCTTGCACTGCTGGCGTCGGTAGAGGAGTAGGGACTTGAGCAGGAGGAGCTGCAGCGACAAACGATTGAGGTGTGGGGGCGGGTTTAGGTACAGGTGCAGCGATGGGTTTTAAGCCTTGCACAGGTGTAGTCGTTGGAATAGGCACTCCAGCTCCAGGTGGCAGCTGATTGATCGAGGATTGTGCTGGACTCTTGGCATTTCCGCCACTTGCAGGAAGGCGTAACGTTAGCGATCCTCCAGTAGCGCCTTCTTTTTCTGGTGGTTTGGCTGACGAAGAAGCGACAGTCGTAGAGGATCCGGCAGTCGCAGCCGCTGTCCCCGGAACTTTCAATTTGATCTTTGCCGGAGGCCTCGCGTACTGTGATAGCGCGTGCGGCTCTGGCATGTCAGACATGAGTTGACGGAAGTAATCCTGTTAACGTATGAATGAATGAGGATACTACTCAGGGTATACGATACTTACTCGAAGAACGATCGCATCCTCCCAGATTTGGCTGTGGTCTTGGTTGAACTCGAGAGCGTTAGAGAACACAAGCTCGACATCGGTTGCAAAATCTAGAGAGTTTTGATATTCCTTGCGCTTCAGGTGTTTCTGGTGATGTCGTGAACACATACTCCAGAGTTAAAGTATGTGTGACTTACAAAGATGGTCTCTATGCACATTGGACGTTTGATTTGTGTATAATACATTGGATAATCCTTCTTCGACGGCATCTCCATGAAAACGTTAGACAGCACACGGTGTCTGTCACTTGAATCAAAAACAAATTGTAGTCGAGAATAAAGGTGAACTCACGTCTCTTCGTCAGCTTTATCGACAACCTTCTGCAATCTAGCCTTCAAGAGGCGGGTCAAGTTAGGCTGTTTGTTCTTCTTCTCGCTGTCTCCGCCGTCAGCAGGTTTGTCCTCATCATCGTCTCCATCGCTATTCTTCTTGACTTTCTTTCCGGTCATCTTCGTATACTCCTTGTTTACGAATTTCTGCTCAAGGGTGAACTCATCAGTGCAAACATAGGACAAAGGGCAAACTCACCAGCATGAATTTAGCGTCGAGCCAGATTTGACTGTTCTTCTGATTGTACTTTTTGGCGTTTGAAAAACAGAGGTCGAAATCTTGTCTGATATCGTCGAGAGAGTTGTATAAGCCATCATCTATTTTCTGCTTGATATCGTCCAAGCAAATTGGTTGTTGAATGAAGACATAATAATCAGGATAATGGCGCTTTGAGGGCAAGCGCATGAATGCTGGAGAGCATATGTAACCTCTGTGTGATATACGGAAGAAATGTTAGCGAGATCAGAAAGGAAAATGGCTTGAGGCGGCTGTGATTGCGTCTGAGCTCAAGTTGGGTTTGTTACTCACTCTTTATTGACCACGTCCTTCAACATCTGCCACAACTTTGTTCCCTGCTCCTTCAACCCAGCTACACCAGAACTGCTACTTTCTCCAGTGTCCATCTGAATGTCTCCATTAGCCGTATTTCGTATGGCAGTTCCTGTAGCGGCTTGGCCAGATGATGCTCCAACTTGCTTTTGTCGCTTTGTTCGAGAGCCGTCCATGTCTTCATAATTCGACATATGTCCAATCTCTCTCTTCATCATCGTCATACAGTCGTAGCCGTTGGTTCTGGCCAAAAAAAACCGGATTCCAAAGGAAATAGCGACGAACTTCAGCTTGTATGGGTCTCGGACGCTCAACAAAGACGAAAATGGACTTTAGAGTCACGTGACTAGTTGGCGCGAGTGATCTACTACGGGACCCTGCCAAATTGAAATATTGCGCATGTTCTAGATGGACAAAGATGTTTAACCATTACACTAGTGTCTAACTGCAAAATGGACTTCTTTCGCTAATTCTTGCAACTCGCAACTCGCGCATCTGGCGCTTCGTCGCACCTCCGTGGTTGCTCAGCCCGCCTCTAACTTGAAAAGCCTATGAAGTACTAGTATGTCTCCATTTCTCTTTCCTTGTCGTCTATGCCTATTCTGGAGTAGTCCTGAAGCAACGTTGCTCCCCCTGGCTGTCAAAATTGCTTATGTTAATATAACTTCATGAGATTGACATGTGTGATCCACTCACTTCAAGATACTTGGACACGTCAACGAAGAAACCGTCGATACTGAGTAAATAAGCGCGTAATCGCTCGGTAATATATGCCTTGGCTTGTTAAAAGTTTGTAATTCCATTCATCAGAATTTCGTCTATCCGTGATCACATGATGAATCCTCTGGTGCATGTAGAATCTAGCTTCGTGAATATCTTGCGACCTAGTCCGTCAGATGCTCTTTATAAGTCCCAAAAATGAAGTACAGCGGTGATCCATTTTACAGGATCCCAATCCAGTCGAGAAGGGCCAGAACGATAGTCACGAGGGAATGCAGACTGAGACAAGGCGTATTATATATACATGCTACAAGCTAATCAGACATTTCATAAAATATGGGTATATAGTCAAGTACGTGCAAACTTGAAGTTGTGATCTCTCTCCCTACCCGTCAGGATAGCCAACACCTAAACAAATCAAGGACTCGTGAAACAAGGACACGCACGCACAAGATTACCCCTGGACGTCTCCTCGTCTGAGTATGGTTGTAGTCCATTCCAGTGCGCCAGCCTAATCTCTGGTCAGTCGATCCGCTTGAAGAAATTAAAGAGGTCGCACGAGTTTACGAGGAAAGTGCAATGCCAGACTACAACAGTATCAGACCATATTCTCATTGAGTTTCCATTACCTACCGGCAAGCTTAGTGACTAGGCTACCACATACGAAGGCACCCACTGGATCTCTCCGGAGGGAACCAAGGGCTACGGGAACTATGTACCTAAAAAAATCGCGAGAAGAACTGTAGGAATGCTTCAGCAAACGTTATCCATGATTTTCTGCCGCGAGCGCCTCGCTATGATACTGGTGCTGAAACCCCACGACTGCGGATGATACATTGGTTGTCCTAATTTACGCACGACTCACCCGGGTCCCGGCCTAGATCTTCGCAAGCAACCAACTTGACGCGCTCATATACGGGCTTGAAGAAGATCCAGCCCATGCGAGAATAGAACAAGCCACAAGTGGCTGCGTACCTAAAGATGCATCAATTAATCTCCTGCTAGTAAATTGGCCTTCAGTCATGAACGTTTGAACAATCGACTTACGAGTCGTGCTGAAGATCGATCGATCATCCGTGAAGCGCTGTAGAATTCAGATCCGTGTTCCAATAAAGTCGGCAAATGATATATATGATGCATTCGATGTCGGAGGCACTTGAATTCATTGATATGATCAAAACGACATGCATTACAACGTTTATATAGACACCGCCAGTACTGCGCCCGTTCATGGAGATCGACTCAACGTCAATTTCAACGGAGCTCTCACCTTGATTGACCCTTGAAATGCACTGCACCCGAGAGCAGCCAAAATGACACGCACATACACATTTGCTTTGAACGCACGATGCAACCAAAGCCTATGATAGCCAATTGTGATTCTTGGCGAAACCGCAAGTCCGTTTCTACGAGGCCAGTGGCAGGGTGATCTTACCCAAAATCAACAAGTTGCCAGTAGAGGAATGCCATGAGCATGGTCTCAGGTAGACGCACATGACTACAGCAATGTGAGTAGAAACAAATAATATGGCATTACTCCACCATATTTTCACTGTAAGAGCAGGATGCTGTAACGAAGACATCTTGTTAGAAAACGTGGTTGATGTTTTGGGAGTAAGTTCAAGGTTCAATGACCTTACAATGCCTAGATATCTAAGAAAAGTTCCACCTAAGTCTGGTAGGTTGACTCCTCGACTTCAGAGCAGACTATACCCAGGAAACACTATTAGTTGGATCAAGATTCCTGATTTTGGTCTAATTCCCTACTCAGTATAGGTACAGTCATGCTTCCTTAAAGGAATCGATGACATCTTTGACTGCGCGGATTGCGCTTGCACTTGTCCGCCAAATTCCCCATTCACTGGCTTCGCCAATGCCCATGCCCATTCCGTCTCGACGCCACACTGAGGCTCCATCGATCCAACATCCACCGCTCATATGCACTTCGCGCAGCCCGTGGGGCAGTAATGCCTGACATAAAGCGCCGACTGTGGATGAATTAATGCCAGATCCTGGAAGAATTTCGACGCGTGGATCCTGAGATTTTGCAAGGTCTAGTAGATCCTTCAAGATATCCAGAGAACTGGCCGAGGTGGCGGTCGTGCCCTGACCGCTTGGAAGAAGTGTCAAACATCGACTTGGATTCAGCTACCTTGAATATTTGTAATGCTTACCTCGTCAGGATGCGGGTTAGTCCATCAATCTTGGATAACTGGTGCCATGCTACAGTAGACAATCAGTACAAGCTTAACAGCTAAGCCTATATTTTGCCTTGCCATTCTTCATGTCACGAGTCATGTCAAACGCTCGGTGAAAACAGACTACGTCAATAAGTCTAGGGAAAAAAGAATGATGGACAGTTAACATTACCTTGCAGAGGCAAAGCTTCCAAGACAAGACTAGAATGAACGTTGGCGCTCTAGGGCTTCAGGAGCACAATAAGAAGGTCTACCGCTGAGTACGGGTTACGTCCACATCTCCTTCTGGAGTGAGAACGCCGAACACGACGCCTTGGACGCTATTCTCTCTAAAGCAACGTATATCCTCGACTATCACGTCGAATTCGGCCTCAGTGTATACAAAGTCACCAGTCCGAGGTCTGATCATAACCTGGTGGGGCAAACTCGTCAGTAGCAAGAAAGAGCCCAGATAACGGTGATGTCGGCTACCATGATCGGAATTGTAGGTACCACCTTTCGAATAGCTTTCAACAGCCCAAGGCTGGGAGTAGTTCCTCCGCCAAGACCTAGATTGCTGCAGAGTTCAAGACGATCTGCTCCCGCTTCAACGGCTCTGAAAGTGACCAGTAGTAACCGGCTGCTCTTGCAATCGAAATACAAGGATTCGCACTCACGCCAAAGTAGACTCAATCGAGTCAACGCAAACTTCAAGAGTCAAGGGCATGAACACGAAAGTAATATGGCTGGTTGTGAAATAGTAATATGTAAACGGTTCCGGACAGTGTAGCCGAAAAGGGACTTCTGTTAGGCTGGTGTTTTTCTGTTCACGATCCATCACAGCCCACGACGTAGTCTTCCCTAGACGGATCACAGAGAAAAAAGACAGTCTAGTACTACGACATTGAGCACCAGTACTAATAGATCGATGGGGTCGAAGCAGGATGTAGAGGCTGGCTCAAAAGCAAAATACGGCGCATATAACGACGCACTTGTTGAGCCAGAACGCGAATTACTCCTACCTACAGGATTAGACTCGCCCACAGCTAGTACCGTCAGCACGCCACGGTACAGCCTTGTGCACCTTGTATGTGCCTTTGTCGGAGGTGCTGCCTTATGCATCGGTGCACGCTTCCTGCTCGACGTCTCAGGTATTGCTGGGCCACCTCCACTGGGAGACGATGTGAGGGTACAAGCACCACCGTACGTTGGCTCTACGGAAGTGCACCATTTCCCACCTGTAGCCCCTACAAATGCTTTCCCTGACCTCTTTCCAACAAGGTGTGCTTCATTCAAGTCAGTTGAACAAAACTAACATAACCTGCAGCGTTGGGTATCCAGGTGGTACTCCTACTGGCGCAGAGCCTGGCCTCATTGCAACTGCGCCCTCCCTCCCTTTGCAGACCGGCGCAGCCCAACTTGTCGCACCTCCAAAGATTTACAAGCACATACACTCTACGCATGGTGACGATATGGAAGAAGAAGAGGAAGAATCCCGCAAACACTATAAATCCGACCGTCCTTTTAACCTTTTCCGAAGCTGGGGCAACCTTTCTCCGTGGTACAGCGTCTCCCGTGGAGCATTCGGCATCGATGACACCGCAGAGCCTCCTGCTGGATGTGTTGTTACTGGCCTTCACTTACTTCACCGTCACGGTGCCCGTTATCCGACCGCGTGGAGTGCGTTTTTTCCTTCCGTTACAACACTGATAGTAATATACTGCCGTCAACAGCGAATTTCGGTGGTCCTGCCAAGTTTGCTACCCGTCTACACGAGAGCGCATCGCAATGGGAGGCGACTGGGCAACTAGCATTCTTGAACGAGTGGTAAGCTGTCCTGCTCTATTCTTTCGACTTGAATCCCACGAAGGCTTGTGCATAGGACTTACAAGCTAGGCGAGGAAGGTATGAACTTCACAAGTACAGTAATATGCAATGTTCATTCTTCAATCAGTGCTCACTCCCTTTGGCCGACAACAACTATGTGTGTCCATTTTCTCCTCACCTGAAAAGCTCTTATCGTGCGCATATAGACGACCTTGGCGTATCTATGCGTCTCAAGTACGGCTTCCTACTCAAGGTCTGTCTGCTCTCCTCGTGCTACTAAATCCGCAAGATAACATCGAGGAAATGCTAGAACTTTACGGAGACGAATACGATCCCTGTATTCCGGACAGAGTCTCAGTAAGTGATCTGATTTACTTTATCAGACCATAACACTACCTATTTCTTTACTCGATTTTGTTAATTCTTCTAGTCTGCATTTCCCTCTTTCCGATAGTAAACTAAACGGTTAAACCCGCAGGGATCGCATGCTTGCTTCGGCACTCAACTTTGCAATTGGGTTCTTTGGCTACCCTTTTGAGGGGCAGTACCAACAGTTGATTACGATCGAAGCTAACGGAGTGAGTTGTATCTTGTTTTACTTGTTTCGTTGTCTCGCTACCGTATGCTGCTAACAATTGGAATTTCGTTTATCCTCTTCTGGTACCTCTTCTGATCTGCCCCTTTCCCTGCGCATAGTACCTTCCCCAAAAGACACAATACTCACTCTGATATATTTTGTCAGTTTAACAACACCTTCGCCCCCTACAAGACCTGCCCGAATGCTAACGCCGCCGGCAAAGCGGACCGCTCGTTACCCTACGTCAAAGAATGGGTTTCTCACTTCCTGGCGGAAGCCCGGGAACGTCTTTCAAGGGCCATGATTGGAAAGGACGGTCTGCAGGGTGAGTTCGATTGGACCGGGGAGGAAGTGTACGAGATGATGCAGATGTGTGCCTATGAGGTACGCCCACTTGTGGTGGAACGTTCTACCTGTTGTAGCTGACTATGTTATTGATAGACTGTTGCTCTCGGTTACTCCAAATTCTGTGATCTCTTCACGGAAGAAGAGTGGGAGGGATTCAATTATGCGTATGTCCTGTTTCTTCACTTTTTGTCTCCTGTAGTACCATATACTGACCGTCACCTATGCGTCATTATAGGCTTGACTTGACATTCTGGTCAGCAAACGTGCTTGCGTCTGTAGGTTTTTTACTGACCATGTTCTTTCTCCGACTGTTCGGACTGTGATTTGCCCCAAACTCGTAGGTATGACTCTGCTTTCGGTTCACCTGTTGCTCGCGTCCAGGGTGTCGGCTATCTCCAAGAGCTCGTCGCGCGACTTACCCACACCCCGATCGCGACCCACAACAGCAGTACTAACGCCACACTTCATACGCCTGAGACTTTCCCGCTAGATCATGCTCTCTATGTAGATGCTACGCATGAAGTTGTTGTTCTCAATAGTACGTGCACTTGCATGTTATACGTCGTACTTGCCCATATGATGGCTGATCGGTTACCGGCACGCAGTTATGACGGCGCTTAACCTGAGCACACTCGCAGCAAGCGGTCCTCTCCCTGCAGACCATATCCCTAAAGACCGTTCATTCCGTTCCGCAGATCTCGCACCTTTCGCAACTAATATGCAGTTCCAGCGTGAGCAATTTGTGATTGCTTCTATCTTGGAGTTTTGCTAAGCTACATTTTGTTCTCTCCCACGGTGATCCTACGCTCCGTACCTACTTTTCAGTCCTCTCCTGCGCATCTACCCCGGAACCCCAAATCCGGATCATCATCAACGATGGCGTCGTTCCTCTCCATGGGATTCGTACCTGCCCGTATGATGACAAGCACGGAATGTGCCCACTTCCCGCGTTCATTGAAGCTCAGCAGGAAACGATCCGGGGGACAGACTGGGCGTGGGGATGTCATGGAGACTGGGAGGTACCCCCAGGCAGTGCGTGGAATTCAACTACGGGGGACGCGCCCAAGGCATAGAACAGTTCAAACGGAAAGACGTTTCTGTGCTGTGCATACACAATACTATTCAATTCAGTTACACCTAATACACATCGTTAACTGTTTATAGTGAAAAACATAAAATAACAAATGAAGTTCAGTGTCCCAAGCTTTCGTAAAACTTCACCATCCTACGTACATCCGGGCATAACGCAAGGCGTACCCGTTCACAGTCCTGTACAACACCCTGCCCTTTCAGCTCAATCCAAGTGCCCAAGCTTCCGGTCAACGGAAATGCTGAATTCCCCAATCCCAGGGAACCACTCATGCCTCGCACCTCGTTGGCCAGTTTATCTCGCTGAATGGACCACTTGAGCTTTCTAACCACAGGTAACAAAGACCGCGAAACAGAGAGCAACGACGATTCAACGTCAGGCAGAATATGAGAGTGATACAACAATTTGAGGCCAACAAGTGCAGGCGCACGTCTTCGAAGATGAGAAGCAATGATATGACCAGTACGTTCGCGTTGTAGTCGCAGGCCGCTGTCGTACTGATCCACAGACTACACGTGATTGTCAGTGGTTGGAATTATCCGAGCAGAGTCTAGACGCGTTCTTACGTGTTCTGTGTATATATACAAGCCCATGCGCAACCTTCTTTCGATGTTATGTCCGCGGATGACATGTCTATGCACGAGGTCCGTGATAGTTGGTCTAAGCAAGGTACCGTCAGGGCTTCGCGCGAATAGGGAATGACCGACGCGTGATGGCGCGACTACTCGGAGTCGTATGAGATGCAGCACTGGGTCTGCTGCCAAAAGAGCGAGATAACCATGAAGTTTGGAGAGTGTTGCGAGGTCGGGTAGATCCAGAAATGACACTATGATTGATCACAGCGCGGGGTACCGGTTAACATGGGGAGAGTAGCAGTAATATTACAGTGACTTACGAATATAAAGGATTATTTCTTGCGGCAGGTCAAGCAGATTGAATACGCGAACACTGTTCATCGTTCGCACTGTTGTACAAGTCATACATACATGAGGGGGAGCAACAACTGCGGATCTAAACTTGCGGAGAAAACGTGCCCTTAAGAACACTCGGACGATCCAACGGAATTGGACCTGCAACGCGGGTGCAATTTGACTCAGCAATTATGGAGGCACTTGGGTTCACACTGCCAGGGTGAAGTTGCTTAGACAATGTCCTGTGCCAGTTGGCGCGTATGGGTTGCGTATTGGGTCACAAAAATACATGGTATAGACAGAACGAGTATCAAAGAACGGGAACGGCAGAAGCGGGTATAAAACCCGAGGAGTTTTTATGTACTTGAAAACCTTGGGTAGTCCGGAACCAGGAGAAGCTAAAAGTACATGATTAAACGTTGATGTACGTACGCGCTGCACGGGATCCGAGGGACAGCATGGCGTAGTCTAGTGAATGCAAGTGCACAATGCACGAACCGTCCTTTGCGTGGATATCAATGAGAATCTGGAATCAATGCAATGCGATCCGGAGCAGAAATGGGAACTTGAATGGGGAGCGCAGAGCCGGCTGGACCGGGCTGGTGCTCGTTTGGATATATGGTCCTCATATCGTGGACGTTGTCTTCTCTATGTCAATCCTAATCCCTGAGACGGCCGACATGCCAGCTGCTCCACTCTCGTCTGTCGCGCTTCCTGGCCGAGCATTAAACCCCATCTCGATCGAGTTGTAGGCGGGGGCTGGTGTAGCATTTTCCACCGAACCCAGTGACTCGGAGCGCGTACTATCTCCACCATAGCCCATCCCGAGCTCAAAGTGCATCTCGTCAAGCTCCACCTCAGCGGCTTCAAGATCGGGAGGAATGCTTCCTATGGTGCTCAACATAACATTTGAAGTGATCGTCGAGCCTGGGCCGCGGTGGCGTCCGCGGCCAGGCTTTCCGCGGTGACCAGCATTGGAAGTAATCACACCGGATTTTGTTGCAAATGCGCTAACGCCCGTTCCTTCTGAATGGGAGACGGTCTCCGCGCCACGTTCACGAAGATCAAGGATCTGAGAAGAACGAATGAGGATGCTTTTAAATATATATATCGGCAATCGAGCGTACCAAACGACATGCCAACAATGGCGCCATCATAACGCTGAGTGGGATGTTGAGCGCAGATATCACTTGACGAGGTCTGTGGATAAACATAAACAATAACGAAATGCACTATCACCATGCCACTGACTGAAGGTAGAAAATCCCATTGATCTGGAGTAATGATTAGTTTACGAGAGCAAGTCTGAAATGAAAATTAGGCATACCAAGTTGGCAATAGAGATGAGAATATAGTAAAAAACACCTGATTTTTGAGTTAGTAAGTTGTATACGTTAAGCATACGAGTCATGGCGAACCTTCTCGAAGGAAAGTTTGAATGAGTTTGCTACTCGGTCCGCCACTGCGGCGGCGAATTGCAAATGCTTTCCAGACAGTGATAGCAGTAACTATAGTGTCGAACAAAAGTGGGGCAATCTACAAACGTTATAGACTAATCAAGGTTGACGAGAGTGAAACTCACGAAGAAACCTAGAAGTTCGATAAGTAAGGAAAAATACAAGTTAGCTGCGAATGAGAACTCACCGAGCAAGTGAGCTGAATGGGGCCTAGAAATGGGGAAACATGGCCCCTCCGTCTATGCCAGCGGTTTTAGATTTTCCCCTCAAGTTACGAGAGTGACTCACAAAGGGCGGAGTGACAAAAGGAAGAACTGGTAGTTTTGTTAGAGTGAAATTGAAACCATCATTGCTGAGGAACATACGCATCATTTCAGAAGTATCGACGAAAAGTTGATACCCGACGACACCAGCTAGCGCACATACAAGTGCTGCCAGTAGGTAGTTATTGCGGTTGAAAAACGCGTAAGTACGAATGAGCAGAACAGCTGGCATATACGGCCGGATATTAATATGTGAAAACTGGGAGAACGCTAAGGAAAGACAGACACTCGGATCCGACTTGGTTCCACATGGCCAATGCGACAGGAATCTTACGGCGGGATTTGAGTGATAATTTGCGGGATATATGCGCCTTACTGACCTTGTAAATTCTCTGGCACTCTTCTTCGGTGTGGTTGGTGACAAAAGCATATAAAAGATACGGAACGACGGCGATAACCCAGTAGCTAAAGAACGTGGTGGTGACTCGTATTCGAAATTGCCTAAAATCGATACTTACCGACAGAAGAGATATGCAGTCTTAACGGGCGTCCAATGAGTCTTCCAGATCTTTGATGGGTTCGTCAGTAGGAATACCCGGGTGAACAATTATAAAAAATTACAAAACGCCATTCTCTAGGCAAGCTAATGGCCCAGTCCCAGACAACGACAGCATCTACGAATTACTGATGAGGAAATGTCGACGAAGAGCGTTTATCTATTTCAATACGTACACATGCCTAGTGGACAGGGGGGAGCGAGGTCAGCAAAACCGCGTTTCCTACAATGTTGTGAGTCCTTACAGCAAAAGTAGACCTGTGTGCTGCAGAAAACGCGTTAGAAGTAGCTTTCTGGTCGGGAAAGTTGCCTACATGTAAATAAAATGTTGAGCTGTTTCCAGTTCCCCCATCGTGTGTTGAAGGAGTTCAAAAGATGAAAATGAGGATGCTAGACGACAGTAAAGAAAGAAAGAAAGATTTTGGGAAAACTTGGTTGAGGACAATGACAACACGAAGGGCAGTAACTAGTACGGGGGCGACAATTGCGACGCCACGGTAAGGCAGAAGGAAGCCTATTTCAATATTGGAAGATAACCCAAACTAGGCCGGCATTTTCCATGTTCAGCATATCCAGTTGGTGAATACAGCAGCCAGAGACCATAGGGAGTCCCGAATCTGATCTTCCGCTTCGCGAAGCGTGACAGAAGCATGCGCGCTGGAACCGACGATGGCTGCGAATCAGCCTTTACTAAGTTATTGATCACCCTTCTACGCGTCTTTTGACTCTATCAGGCTTTCACCTTGCCAATATCGTAGATCTGGCAGTCCTCTTCAGTACGGCAACCGGGCTCAGCTCCATCCAGAGACTACCGCTTAATGGAGCAACTTTGCCGAACTGCGCAATTTCTAATTTCAGAAAACAAGACGAGAGAATTGTTGCAGGTCAGCTCGACGACGCGCGAACGACGCCAGGGGTTCGAGAAATCGACACATGTTGGTTGGACGTTCAGGTGAGATTGAAAGTCACATGATCAACAAAGTCAAAGCCGCGGAATTATTACGTAAACGTTATGGCACATCAATCACACGCGCACGTAGTTGATGTTAACCAACATCGCCGCTCCTGAAACTAAGAGAAAAGTCAGGTCTTCATGGCCTCAAATGTTCAAACTTTACGCTTGAGACGCAAAAAGGACCCAAAACCATCTTTTCCGTCCCTTGCACGGCATTCTGGCATTCTGCAAGATCAGCTTCGCAGGTAATTTACTTCGTCTTACCCGTTTATGATTTTCCACCCATGATCTCCCAGGTCCGCTCGTAAACCATGGAATCCAGACTTTTTAACAGCAGTGCGCATTCTGTTGCTCATTCGAGTAGCAGCAGCCATGTACACCAATATACAAGATTGTGATGAGGGTAAGTAGCACAGAAACTTGTGTTTATTAATTCTCTAAGTTACGTGTCACGTCAGTGTTTAATTTTTGGGAACCATTACACTACATCGATCATGGTTATGGTTTCCAGACATGGGAAGTCACCCCGATGTATGCCATTCGAAGTTGGGCATATGTCTTGTTACACCTCATACCTGCGCGCCTCCCCCTAACTCTGAACCTTGGAAAGGTGAGTTTTCGTAATATGATTGCATTTACTATCGCCTTGAACTTACCGATGTAGCGCCCTGAATTCTTTGCAGTCCGCATAACTTTAGCCGTTGTATCTACGCTTTGCGAAGCCAAATTATGCCGCACTGTAGTCGAAAAAGTTAACGAAAGGGTTGGTCGTTACTTGTTTTTTATGCTGCTGTTCAGTGCAGGCATGTGGAACGCTGCTCCAGGTAGGGTACTTTCTTCATGTTTTCATCAAAATCTTCGTTTTGACCGAGTACCCACATAGCCCTCCTACCTTCTTCTTTCGCAATGTACGCAACCACGATCGCATTTACGTATTCACTCGAACCATCGAGCATCAAGAACAAGCGGAGAACTTTATTTGCAACAATGCTTTTCGCTACGGGAGCTATTGTTGGATGGCCTTTTGCACTTGCTCTTTCGCTGCCTTTTGTGTCTGAAGAATTACTCGTTTTTGGTGGAGATCGAGTTGATCCAAGCTCACGCAGATCATGGATGATTTCTCGCTGGAAACGCCTCTTCATTGCCGGTCTTGTATCCGCTCTGATATTTGTAGGCATTCATTATCCATCATTCGCTCATAACTAATAACTGCTTTTGTCGCAGGTTCCCGTCATAGCGATTGATAGTGTTGCGTATGGCGGATGGAGCATCGTACCTTGGAACATTGTCCGCTACAATGTCTTTGGTGGATCCGAACGTGGTCCTGATCTATACGGCACAGCACCCTGGTACTTCTACATCCTCAACCTCCTCCTGAACTTTAATATCCTCGTGCCTCTCGCTTTTATTTCCCTGCCTGGTCTCGCAGTTACCTATAGGATCGATCGCAAGCGGCTCGGGATGTCCAAACCTGGCCCAGACCAGAGTTCTCCGTTCACGTTACTCGCCCTTCGTCTAGCACCACTATATGTCTGGACGGCTATCTTAACGGCGCAAGCGCACAAGGAGGAACGTTTCATGTTCCCTGCATATCCCCTCATCTGTTTCAATGCAGCCGTGGCCCTATACCTCATCCGCGGATGGATGGAAGTCGCATACATCTCCGCCACCAAATCCTCATATAGGGTATATTTGTGCTTATTGTCCACACATGCATTTGCTTACGTTTGCTTTGTTTTTACTATGATAGGCTTCAAGATCTATCATATTTGGTGCAATAACGTGCACCGTGATCGCCGTGACGGGGCTTATTTCTCTGTCTCGCGTCCTTGCCTTGTGGCATTACTACCACGCACCGCTTTCCACGTTCAACCACCTCGAGGCAGATGAGCTTCCGCGGCTACTGAATGTTACTGGGCTTCTCCCACCTCTTCTTCCCGGGACAGAAGAGATTGACAGGCCTTCCATCGACTTGGCACCAATAAGGGCGTTTGATCTGAGGCTTTGTCTAGGGAAAGAGTGGTATCGCTTCCCGGGTCACTACCTTGTTCCCAACGTCGTGAAAGTCGACTTTGTGAAAAGCGAGTTCGGAGGACTGCTTCCTGCGCATTTTGAGGAGAGTCGTGTAAAATTGACCTTCAATGGATGGTGGGACAGGCCGGGTTCGAGGATCACCCCAACGAGCTTGAACGACCTTAATAAGGAGGCACCAGAATTTTATGTCAGTAGACGAATGATTTTACCCGAGGCATTTCGTTGATTCTCTTTCAGGTGCCCATTGAGTCCTGCGACTACCTTGTAGACCTAGACTTCCCCGAGCACCCGGTGTCATCACTTCTAGAACCACGATACGCAGTTGACAACGAGACCTGGGAACGAGTATCATGCCTCCCATTCCTCGACGCATCACATTCATCACTTTTGACCCGCACGCTCTGGCTCCCTGGTTCGTGGTGGCAGGACAAGAACGAGTTCGGAGATTACTGCCTGCTGAAAAATAGGGAGAAGGTGCACAAGAAAGAGGTCGAGATTGCGTCGCGTGTGCAGGAGGGAAAGCTGTAAAATGTTGTGCGTGGCGACGCCATGTGGATATGTGTGCAATAATGATTGTTGTCAGCCACCGTGAGCATTGAATCCGAGAATGCGGCTGACCTTCGAGAGAAGGACGGTACTGCTACTTGACACTTGACTGCTACAGTCATTTTATCTCACTCCTTGCTGGCCCACTCATTCGTGGAAAGTATGCTGTCCTCAACGCATGTCCGTCTGACCCGCACGTCTTCTGACTTGCGTTTGCTTGCCATCACGCTTTGCCCTCCGTCACCTATTCTCAAATCAAGTGACCTATTATCACCAAGCACGTCTGGTGAAATACCGCTCATCATCGACTTTGTGATCGACAAATTTTCTACGCCCTTGAACTCGCCTCTCAGGTTTGGATATGACACCGACGTATGCACCCCGCCGAAATCGAGTAGACTTGAAATAGACATAGCAGCTACACAGGGAAAGGTCTCGAAGTTGCCTAGGTCCCAGATGACAGCCTCCTCACTGGCAGGACTGTCCTCTAATCTTGCAAGCCCCCGCAGTATCAGCGAATCGCTGCTTGATGAAGTCTTTTTCACTCCAAAGTCGTCTCAGTCATCCCAGTCGCTCGTTTCTGCCCCCTCTCCTTCCCCAAGCCCCCTGTCCAAGTCTCTGTTCCAGTTGACACATATTCGTAGCTTGGCTGTATCGGACTCAGTCGGCTCGTCGCTGTCAGAAACCCCCAGTGCTAGGACTGTTCTCGGAGGTGCAAACCGACAAGCCTGGGTTTTCAACTCGAGAATGACTTCCAATTTAGCTGTTCCTGTTCCTATAGAGGACAAAGAGAACGAGCAAACTATATACCTTGGCACATCAGCGACATTCTCGACACTGCCGACACCTTCCTTTGCTCCTCCGTCGCCGTCGCCTAGCGTAGATGTGATTTCCCCGATATCTTTTACATACTCCAGGAGACATCGCAGACCACTGGAGCGCTCAGGAGCCATTCATCACTTGAAGACCCCTCGCTCAATCCCAAGGACCTCTCGGTTACATCTACATGCCCGTGAGCCCCAGTCCCCGGTCATTGCACCTGTACGCACAACCCGCCGGCAGCTCACTGACTCCCCTTCGGCAAGCTCCATACATTCGTGTCCTTCTGCAAATACTACCGCAGGCGACTCAGGCATCTCTAAGCATCCCTATCTTCCACGCGATCTAGCTTGGCTCGGAGGGACTGAAGTTGAACTCTGGATCGACCAGGAAGGCTTCCGCGCGATCCGGCCCATGATGCGACTTATGGGGTATTCCCCACGCTCCCGTTCACTGCTTCCATATGGCGAGCGTGGCGTCTCCTCCGACGTGAGCGGAGGCGTTGCGGAGTTTATGCCAGTCAAGCGCGAGAGCTTCGCATTCCACTATGCGACTCTCGATGGTCCGCCGATGCTACGGCGCGTCAGTGTGGGCGGGGACGAGTCGCGTGACTATCTCTCCCGGCACGCGGCGTTGAACATCAAGACGAACGGTGTGTATACCGTTCTGGGGAGCGAGAGCATGGCGCTGGGAGGCTCGCAGGAACACGTGAAGATGCAGTGGAAGTTCGATTACCTCGTGGACGACCGTTACACGGACGGTTCGCGGCGGGTCCTCCCCGGCGAGAAAATCATCACACCACTGACGTTTTCGTGTTCTCCATTCCTGCTGCACCCAATGCAGGGTAAGAAGGTCGGGTTCGTGCATCTCATGAAGAAGAGCGTCGTGCCGAAGCTCTCCGCGGAGAAGTTGGAGCCGCCTGAGCGTCCCAAGAACGTCGGACAGTTGAACCAAGTACAACGAATGGCGAGTCGCAGGCGGATGCGCAGGCATGGGCCGTCCAGGTCGGATGCCCATGCAAACCCGGGAGGAGTTCTTACATTGGCAAGCGATGCCCTGGTTGGAAGCTCTCCCTTGGGACCGTCGAAGGGCGGCAGAATACTCGAAGGCACCAGACAAATGCAATACACTCGGAGACGGAGGGCCTCATCAGCTGGAGAACACGGTTACGTCCGTTTGCATGAACTTATGTCTGCCCCACCAGTCACTATTGCCGAGCTGACCGAAGATAATCACACTCAGAAACGAAGACCCACCCCGAGCTCGCCTGAACACAACACCGCGGTCTACACACCATCATGGATATCTGAAAGGATGCCAAGATGATAAACGGCCGGCCCGATTTGGAGAGTGAGAGAGATACTTAAGACACTATTGGTACATACTACATATACAAAGGAATAAATCATGCACCGAAACCGTATAGAGTGCGCCCCGACCGCTTCAGGGCATAAACAACGTCAAGAGCAGTGACCGTTTTACTACAGTACGGATGAATGAGGGAGTACTGGAGTGAGTTGTAGGGCTTACCGCTTAGCGTGTTCGGTGTAAGTGACAGAGTCGCGGATAACATTCTCCAAGAAAATCTTGAGGACCCCACGGGTCTCCTCGTAGATGAGACCTGAGATACGCTTCACACCACCACGACGGGCAAGACGGCGAATAGCCTAGAGACATTATGAGCGGACGGTTGAATGCAGAGGTCTATAGACACACTGGCTTGGTGATACCCTGGATGTTGTCACGAAGAATCTTGCGGTGACGTTTGGCACCACCCTTCCCGAGACCCTGTTGCACTGTGAGTCGGAGTAACAATGAGGTGACGCCAACCAATATAACACACCTTGCCACCCTTTCCACGTCCAGACATGTTGTATGTAATGAGTTAGGTGGTTCAACGATTTATAGAGAAGGCGGATAACACTTGTAGTGTCGATGACGATGGTGGTGGAAGAAGGAAGGCGAAAGTTCAGTCAACATTCGCCAGTCCGTCAATTATACGCGTGTGGTCGTGTTTGTGACAATTCACGTGACTGGCGTCTAGCTGAATTCATTAATTTAAAATTTACTGCTGCCACTTGCCAGGTATTTGAGACTCGAGCGCTGAGCGCTAGCTTTGAGTCGCACCCGGCCTTGAAATGGACCAAAGACTTTATTTTGACTCGTGCACTCCCGCAACTGTCAACTGGATTGTCATCTGCAATGACAAGGAATGGCTACTAATGATCAATCACGTCCAGTGGCTATAGTACGCGCGCGCATTCCACTAGGCGACCATGACCCTCGATGGCCCATCGATGCTGTGGTGCATCAATGTGGGCGGGACGACTATCTCTCACGGTACGTGACACTGAACATCAAACATGGCGATGGGAAGCTTGCAGGAGCACGTGAAGATGCCACGGAACTTCGACTACCTGGACCTCGTAGTCATACGGACAGTTCGGGGCAGGTTCTCTCCACCGAGAAGATCACCACGTGTTCTCACGCTGTACCCAATGCAGGGCAAGAAGGGAGAGTCCATGCATCTCACGAAGAAGAGCATCGTACCGAAGTTCTCCGCCGAGAAGTTGGAACCACTTGTGTGTTCCAAGCATGTTGAGCAGCTGAACCAGCTACAACGAATAATAATAGGTGCATGAGCAAACATGGGTCGTCCAGTTCGGATTCCCATATTGGCAAGCGCTACTGCAATGAAGGAACCTCCGTTGAATATCTTGACAGGATCCACGCGTCCCTTTTTTGTGTAAATAATGCTCTAAACTTGGGCAGACCAAATAGAAGCCTAGGGAAAACTGTTGTTCCTTCCTTATCAACGCTGATGCGAGGAAACAGGCAGTGGGAGCAAAACTGTATAACAATTGCAAGTCCAACGATGCTTTTGAAAACCACCCTTGGACTCAGTAAATATGCCTATCTTCGAAGTTTTGTCCTTTAGCATTCGTCTCATTACACGCGCTACCGCTGACGATTATCTATTTTCTTGTAGAAGCAAAAGATCGTCAGGATACAAGGCCTCTTCGAGAGTAGCTTCACTGCAGTATCGTGGCCAACCGGAATCCGGGACAAAGGTGCTGCGTACGTATGTTCACAACTACACGCTCGGCTGATGGTCTTCGGATACTATTATGCATGCAAGAATCCTATCAGCTGGCTCTGATCACGCTCATGCTCATCTATCACAGCCTGAGACTTGGACATCAATAAGTACTGTTCTCATTCGACGTTCACCATACATCAGGCCATTCACCAGACTAGTGCGCTGCCGATAAACTACGAGCCATATTGCCCCTGCCCAGGTTAGGATCGATAGTCAACTTGGGCGCGTACATATCAGTCACTGCTTTGCCTTGCAAGCTAGCACCTTGCTTCTAGATCTCTGACCATAGAAAATCTAAGGATAAGGTGCCACGTGGAGGACAAAAGGTCTCATGGACCATGCACTAGCTTGATATTTTGTAGTTCTCGTTGGTCCCGTGTTCTATCCGCGGAAACAAGACTCCGCACATGTTCAGCAGAAAGGAGCAGAAGAATAGTGGAATCAGTGTCATGAGCGCTCGAATATTGCTTTCATCTGGTCGACCTTCAATAGTAGCTGCTTAGCCATTCCGATCCGTTCAGCCCGTGAGTGGCACCTCATGTGCTGAGTGGACTTGCTGGCTGTCTTGCTTCCCTGGTGCTGGATAACGCAAGGCCGAACAGGGACATATTGTCACGCTTCAAACACTGCCCAGTCCCGACAAGAACAAACAACCCGTGAGGATGCGATGACTCTGGCCAAGAGCATGCTGGTGTTGTAATCAAGATATCCTTCGTCTGGATGATGATTCAGGGTTATAGTGATACGGCAAGGAACGTTTGTGTAACAGTGTGAGCGACTTCACCCACATTTTTATTTGAGGCACTCTATTAAATGGGGGGAAATCGAGCAAGACAAATGGGCGCAAGTAACAAGGTGAACTCAGTGCACGATTGTCTACATTTTGATTTACCCTTCCTCCTCCGAGTCTGACAAACCCTGGCCAGAATAAGGCAAATATTCATCCTCGCTTCCGTTATCTTCCTCGGAACCCTCTCCACCCCCACCAACGTCACCAACGTCCGCCTCCCCATTTTCAGTTTCCTGTGCTGGCTGCGCAGCCCTGCAACGGTCTTCATCAGCCCATTCACCTGCATTCAGCACCATTCTCCTCCCCTGCTCGCGAACCACGGAGAAGAACTTGACCAAAAACTGGACGAGATGCCACCTTGAGAAGTATTTGTCGAAGTCTGGATCTTCCGCGTACATATCAATGTCCCATGCCTCAACTGATTTCATATTAGGTGCGATGGCCGATATGAAAGCAGCAATCCTTGTCGGATGGCGAATTTTTGATGTACTAAAGAATGCATGAGATAGCGCCTTGTGTGCAAATCCATGGTAAGGAACATCGGCGGGTATGTTATCTTTGTCTATAGCAGACCAGTCTACGGCAATGCCAACCGAGACTAAATATGGGCAATGTTGCAACAGCGAGACGAAGGTATTTGAGGTGACATGATGTCTCATGCGTGATTTATTGAAGTGCAACTCTTCCAGAAGCGGCCAGGCCTTGATCATCTGCAAAAGGGCAGCATCATCTAACTGCAAATAGGGGTCTATTTCGAAGCCAAGCTTGCGAAGATTGCGAAAAACGGAGAGTGGTTGAAAGGATACAATTGCGATTGTGTTGTTGATATCAGTAGACCAATCAGCAACGCTGAATTGCACCTGTTGCAGTGAGCTGTGCGCGCATACATTGGGTAGACGCGAAATCAAAGACGGCAGGACCAATGTGGTAGACGTCGTTTCGTCGGTGATGGTGAAAGATAGCACTTCTGGAGAAATGGAGAGTGTTTGGAAGAACGCATCTAAATCTTGTAGTGTTTCGGACTCTACGGTTAGCTCTTGCAGCGCACAGAATGCATGTCGCTGCAGGCGCCTTTGTGTACCCACAAATAGGGGCGTTGAAGGTAAGCGAAATTTGAGAAATCGGAGTGAGGTCAAGTTGGACAGGTATTGTATGGCCACCTCGGAAATTTCTCCAGTGCTCACAGAGGATAGATGAGACCAGTATTGCAACGAGGTCGATATGTCTCCTGCTTCTATCTCCCGATGAATACTGAAGTTCGAGACAGAAGGGCACAGCATCGGGATACATAACAAAATGGACTGTTCGGAAAGACCAAATATGATCTTATGGGCGATATCAAGTGTCGTCAATTTTGGGGTCACAAACAACCGGATAGATAGAAACGTTTCGCTGGCAGTCTCACCCCAAACTAGAGACACCAAGTTTGGGAGCAATGGAAGGGGGAAGGGAGGACAGTTGAGGGTACGCCAAATGCCGGTACCAAATGTATTAGCCGCTGTTTTGAGTGAACGGACACGGTAGCTGTATTTGCAAAAAATAGACCAGTCATCGATGGTCATGGTCCTTTGAAATTCCTAGCAAATGGAGTGAACTGATGAACTCTCGGGTATGAGTCAGTGTTTGACTTACCAGGTATCCGTTACTAACATTTTTCCATAAGTCCACAGGTAGACATCTAATAAGTGGTGCAAGCCCAGATAGGTCTTCCCATAGAAGGTCCAGTGCAAGTCCAGTGAATGACTTGCACGTCAAAGCAAGCGCCAGGAGCGTCTTATTTCTCCAGTGCTCCGTAAAGGCGTCATGGATCAACTGGAAGATTTTCCACTGAAGGTCAGGTATAATCATGCAGCGTATAGACGCAGACGACGAAATAGTAGGAACATCACTGTTCCTTTGTCCACCATGAGCTTCTTGAGGTGAGCAAGTTTCTCGTTGACCCTCAACGCTTTCTACAGAATACTGAGCCTCCATGCACTTGTTTGAGCAGCCGCCGGTAGGGGCCTAGGTCACGGTCGAGATAATTCACGCCTCGGCTACACAGCCACATCTCCGAACTTCCAAGTAGATGGTGATTGACCGGGCTATACTTGAGTTCAGGTTCATGTTGACATAACCTCCACACGCTGTCAATCAGAATACGATTTCTGCCGAGCCCTATTGTTCATATGCCAGAGGTTACCCATGTCGACTCAGATCTGGTCATATCGCAAGTCTTGCATAACAATTTTAACGATATCGTTTGCACTACTATGTCTTTGAGCTCATCACCAACTACGTTATCACGTGTTCGGTTACTCCCATGCTGAAGACGCTCGGGACGTTCCACAGTTCGATACTACTATCAACTAGGTCCCCATATTCTGCCAATCACCGATTGGAAGCCACGCAGCTTTGGGCACTTCCTCCGCGGGTTTGGTTTTCTGAACGCAGACAACGTACCATCTCTAGATGCGTTCATGCGTCGTTGCCTAATGCTCATACTCGATCCAGCTCCGCATCCTAGTGCGCTGGAACTCCTAAATGACAAAAGGCTCGAAGACATGTAGTTATCCCCTTGCTCTTTGTATCATCCTTCAATTTCTTCAATGGATGTAACATGAAGCGGGCCGCCACATTCTGTATAGATCTTCTCGTGTCTTGTGAGATATCCCCCAATGCCAGCAGGGGCACCAGCTTTTCTTCTTTGGGGGGACAGGGTATGATATATTCGATGTTTACACCCGTTGCAACCGTGACCGTGAAACTCAAACTGCACCAATATGAATTCTGGGGGATGAAACAATGCCTGTATTGTGCAAGTAGAACACAAGGAAGATGATACAATCAAGAACACGAAAGCACTAATAGATGCATAAACAAGAACAGGCGAAGTTCTACGCAGTCGGTTCCGGCTGTGGCACTTGAGTTGACAGTAAGGAAAGCGCAGAAACGATAGTGTCTGGAACTCACAGGTCCAACCAATACTTTGCATATACAGGTACGCCTCGTATGCCGCTAATTCCTTTGCTATTTTCTGGTTTCTACCGAGACCAAAACCCCGCTCGGCATCGTTTACTACAGAAATCAACAAGTCATTCGAGACTGGAACCAAGTTGTCTTACCTTTACATTTCACTTCCCATCTCGGATCATGCTGCGGGCCGTTTGAGGAAGCAATCCACTCGACAGAAATCCCCCGTTGATGACAAGTTTGATTGAACAAAGCAAGTGTGCCCTGGGGAACTCCTGAAAGTATGGTTGACGCTTGCGGAGGGGCCGGATAATATGGAGGCGGAGCGGGTTGCGACGTACCCGCCGTCTGAGGGGAGGCCGGGAGTGACGCCGCGGCACTGGAAGGTGACACAGGTGATACCGTCGACAAGGCGTTGTATTGCGAGTCATCCACTAAAGCCGGTGGTTGGCCCTCGGGCTTCACAAGTTTACTGACCCAGTCAGTTGTCGCCTGTAAGCCATCTTGGAGACAAACAGCTCCAACGTAACTGTTAAAAAGGAAGCGAGCTTCCTGAGGAAAGGTGGTCATGCGGCGTGCATCTCACATACATGGTCGATCTTCCGTACCTCGGGGCTGTCGAGAGCGCCTCTCGCTCCTCTCACACGTCTCTTCAGTTCGATATCATACGCGGCAAGCCAAGCAACCATGCTTTCGTTGCTTAAGATTTGCTCCTGTTTGGTCTAGCCACGGCATCATAGCGATTAAGTAGGAGTGATCACGATATCACGAGCATACCTTCAGCTCTTCGCCAGACAACATGGGTCTTTCTGCGAATAGTATATACGTCACGATGGTGTTCAACACCGATTTTCCAAGTTGTGCAAGTCTATCGCTATTTCCATGTGGCGTGTGGTCGTTAATGACACCTTGAGTCAAAGCGCGATGTGTGAAAACATCGAGCATCAGATCTCCGTGCAGCGGAGGAAGTGGAGGAACCATATGTAGTCTGGTAGTTCAGTGACGGCTTAGGGCAAGGGATGTTTCGGCGAGCTCAAGATCAGTGGCAGAACTCAAGATATTTATCGATGCATCGGTATAGCGAAGATCACTGTAAGCACAAAGGCGGAGGGCGTAATAGGAGCTCCCAAAGAGGGACTTATCTCACCGCATGTATCAAAATGTCATTTAAATAGAACGAGCCTATCCGACAGTTGTAGTAGTGACTTTGGTATCCAAACCGATACAAAAATAACTGTCTAACCAGCGGAAACCAGGTGGAGGTAAGGAGGCTTTGAAAAGAAGAGACAGTTGGGTAGAAAATCATACGAATACAGAAGACTCAGATGACATACTGATACATTCCGTTGATATAAGTCCGAATGTTGTTAGAGAACTAGAACAAAAGGTCAGAAGTTGGGCGCATTGGCAATTTCTGGCTACTTACGGCCCCAGCCTGTGGCCTGCATGTACTGATATGCCTCTGTCGCTGCTTGCTCCTTTGCCTGCTTCTGGTTTCTACCTGCCCCGGTTCCACGATGTTGTCCGCTCACTTCCAAGTTGCTCAGATAACCAAGCACATAAAAGAAGGCTAAAAGCTCACCAATACACTTCACTTCCCACCTCGGATTGTGCGGTGGCCCCGTCATCTCCGGTTTCCACTCTACTGTGAGTCCTCTTTGCATACACGTCTGATTGAATATTGCAAGTACACCCTGAGAGGGCACAGGCGGCGGCATCGATGGCATCGGAGGAGGCGCAGTGCTTGGCGGAGGCGGGGGTGGGGGCTGAGAATAATACATTGGAGGTGGTGGAGGCGGCGTTGTAGCGGGCTGGTTGTTGGTTGTATCTCCTGGGACTGTTGGAGGCTCCGAGGAAGGGTTGACAAGGCGTCCGACCCAGTTCATGACTTCTTGCAATCCTTTCTGGGTGTACACGGCACCAACATAAGAATTGAAGAGGAAACGAGCTTCTTCAGGCCTGTCAAGTACACTTTTGTCTGCACAACGAATTTTAGCCTTTAATCCGTAAAGAGAAAGCCAGTCTCCGATGTTCTTGTCGCTCAGCATTTCAGCTTGGCGCATCTATGGTGCCATCTCAGCAATACACAAAAAGGATATTGTTTTGACAATTACGAACTTTGAGATCATGGGCGGGAAGCATCGGTTTCTCTGAGTACAACGTGTACACGACGAGCATACTGAGCACCGAGCTACCCAGCTCAGCCAATCGCTCGGTATTTCCATGCACGGTATTCTCGTCGATGTCTCTGCCCAGCATAGACCGATGCGTATATACGTCGAGCATGAGCTCTCCTTGGATGGGAGGGAGTGGTGGTAGTGAGTGCTTTAAGTTGTTCATGGCCATCGTGGTATGAACAAGACAAGATAGGACTCCCTTGTTATCGCTTGATAAACCTGCTGAAGGCACGGACAACTGGGTTAGGCGTCTTTTGATACGTTGAAGCTTTTAATGTGTCATGTTGGTACTCACAAGGACGGAATGTGATTGTAAAGTCTGGCAGACCACTAGGATCGCAATGAATGGTCACAAACTAAGAAAAACTGGCCACGTAGTACGGCGTCTTTCTGTCTGTTGTTTGAGCGCTTCGTGTGAAATCAAAATACCTGCAAAACAGATCAGCTGTATGTAGAGAGAGTTCAAAGGCGCTACGGGCCTACGGCCGGGACACTAGTCACCCGTCAAATCCAATTGCCTTTTTTGACCAAACAATCGACGGCGGTCACGTGCATTCGTCCTTCCTCCAGACTTTCAGGTTCGTGAATGCAGTTTCTTAGGACTTAGTGTTGGGGCTGGTTTATCTGACCATAGTATAATAAGCTAGCATTTTTATATGCCTGGCGAACCAACGCCGCCTCCAGGCGAACAGCCACTCATACCAGAGCGGCTCCTCGACGTGCCCTCTCAGCGTTTATATTACTTGAGTTTGGGCTTGCTGCTGCAGGTGAGTGGCTTTAAACAGGTTTCAAGTTCTTCCTGCGCGAGGTCTTCTTTTATATTCCGTGCCTTGTGCATGCTACCAAAACATCACGGGTCTGACACGTTCCTATTCTCGGCAGGCCATCAAGGTGTTCGACGTCCTCCAGAACATCTTCGCGTCCGATGCAACGACATACTATGGCAGAAAATGGCTTATAGTTGATTTTGCTTACATCGCAACTCTCTCTCGGCTCCGAATACCACGTTTAAAGTATAGCAGGGCTGTCGTCTTACTCCAAATTCTATCCATTTGGTTTCTCGATGGCATGTTGTTCGGAGGAATTAGCTTAAACCTTGGGTTAATGGGATCCTCCGAAATAAGTAGCGTACCCTCGGGAATTCCAAGTAAGTTTGCCATAAATTTATGTCTTTAACTGAGCTCATTATACTATACAAGATCGACCAGACCTTCCATCTACTCCAGAACCGTTCCGTCTATCTGATATCTTTGCTCCACTAACATTCGGTCTCTTTTCGTTCAACACAAATTCCAAAGATGCCCGTCTGCTTGGCCAACACACGGTCCGCATGTCTCCTATCAGCACTGCTCATTTCAATCCACACTCGCATACTTTCTGCCTCCCACCTGTCTCGCCTGCGCACGTGCTCGTCCCAATCCTTGTGAACAACACGATACCGACTAATGTGCGCTATTCTTTTATTCCACTTGGCTCGGGGCGCGTGGAATACCTTGAATTGGGAACGAAGGAGTTAAAAGCAATCGAGCAAGCTAGAGTAGAGGGGCTGCAGGTTGTGCGAAGCAAGGATGCGAGCGGGTATGATGCGTACGATGACGAGGATGATGAAGAAAACAGATACCGGCGCCCGCCTCCAAAAGACACAAAGCTTATTACATCTTCGCTTTTCCAAGCCAGGGACCATAAGGCTCGACCGGGTGCTTGACAGTTCGAATGTTGCCGCACGTCTTGTTCACCCGGTTGAACTGACCGTTGTACCCTGTCCGACTGCCCAGTATACCGACGATGCTGTGCAAGATGTTCGCTGTGCAGGTGAAACATCTGATGTGGACCTTACCATCGATATACGAGGTGTTCCTCCGCTGAGCCTACAGTGGTCGAAGGATGTTAACGGGAGGAAAGAATATTTCCTTGTTGAAGGCATTGAAGACAGCAGCCACTCGCATACCGCACAAGAGGTCGCTCGCGCTCGTATACCTCAGAAACTCAAAGTTCCATTGTCTTTGTCATTGGATGTTCTCGGCAAGCACACGTATAACCTGGAGAGTGTTATCGATGGCATGGGAAACATCGTGCACCTCAACGAAGGGCATCGTGACGCGAAAATAACACGGTCCCTCTCTGTTCTGCGCCGTCCGAGCGTGTCCTTCAAAGCATGTGGTCCGGGAAATCCAACTTCACTCCTGATTGGCTCAGAGGCTCCGGTAGCACTAACAGTATCCAACGCAGACCCAGTGGATGGGCCATGGGATATTGATGTAAGGTTCGAGCCTGCCAGTGGGGACGGCAAGCGCATGAAGCCATGGGACAAGAAACTACAGACCCAGGAAAACAAGAATGATGTCGTGCTAAGTGCAGGTGTCCCAGGGGAGTATATTGTCACCGGCATCAGAGGCAAGGTAGGTAATGCACAGTTCCTTTTCATGATGATCCTGACCATGTCATAGTATTGCGATGGCGATGTGCTTGCTCCTGAAACCTGCAAGGTCGTTGAGAAGGCGACGCCCACCGCAGAAATCGAGTGGAAGAGGATTCATGAATGGTATGTGCCCTCGTTCTGGCAAGCCTTCCTTTCTAAAGTCTACTCAGTTCCGGCGACACAGGTGTTTCTGCATCCCTTGTCATGCACGGCACACCTCCATTCCAGGTCTACTACCGCACGCAACGTGATGCAGAGCCCCCACGCGATCTTTTCAAGACATTCACGTCATCCCGTGGCGAGCTCACTCTGCAGCCGGAGGACAGCGGTCACTACTATTACACCTTTGTACAGCTCAGTGACGCCTACTACAAAAAAGTCGCGCTTGATGGCCCAAGCATTGATCAAATCGTACATCCTTTAGCAGCAGCAGACTTCGTAGGCGGTCGCGGAAGGAGAGTCGTCAGCAGTTGTGAGGGTGTGACAGTGGGCATCGAGGTCGATTTGAGGGTGGGCAGTCTCGTCGGGTTTGACGGGCTGATACTAATGCGTATCCATAGGGCACGCCTCCTTGGAACTTGGAGTTGCAGGTCGTGGGTCCACGCAGTACAGATGCATTGGAAATAACCGACATCAAAACGTCGCCCACGAGGGTATTGGTACCTATACCCAGTGTTATTGACAAGGAGGGTGGAACATTTGATGTTGAATTAGGTAGGCTCGAAGGTTATTGTTCGATGAAGCGAAGCTAATCCATTCACTCAGTGAGCGTCGTGGATAGCTACGGATGCAGACGATCGATATCAGTTCCTGGCGTCTCTGTGAATGTCAGGAGAGTGAAGGTAGGTTGTTATGACTGTGATATAAGGGTCAAGTTTTGATTTCGTGTTCAGCCAACTGTCAAGTTCTACGGCAAGCGTGGCCAACGGGAGATCACTATTCTAGAAGATGATGGTGCAGACCTGCCACTTCGGCTGACAGGCGACGGAGTAAGTCAGATTATTGAACTCTCACGAGCAGAACTCACGTTCGCCTACCTTAGCCATGGAAAGTCAAGTACCGTCACATGGGCAACCCAGATCGACTGTTCACTGCTGTGCTGAAGTCTCCTAATGACCATATACATGTCACACAAAAGGGTGTCTACGAAATTCTCGAGGTAGCAGTCCATCGCATAACCACGGGATATCTTGTTCACATAATATGTTTATTCTAGGTTACGGATTCTCAATGTCCTGGATCCGTGATCGAAAGTGAAAACACTTATACCGTTGACTGGGTGCCACGACCATCTGCTCGACTGGATCCTGCAACTGTCTGCACCTTCGAGCCATATAATAGGTCACATATCCTTCCTCCGATTTGCAAAGGCCAGGATGCCCACGTCGACCTCGAGCTCACGGGTGTGTCCTCTCAAACGAAGTTCATTGCACTGGCTAACGTTTTCAAGGTCGACCTCCCTTCCAGATTATGTACAACATTGCACGCAACGACGAAGCAGGGGGTACAATAGTCCTCGACCAACCAACATTCAGCAGCATCCAGCCTCACACACGTTTCCAGCTGCACACGTCCATCATCGGGCGCAAGTATTATGAAGTCAAGCAAATCGGGGACAGCGCCTATCCTCTTGCGAAGCACAAAAACGCTGTCATCCCTCGTTCAGATCGCCTTCTTTTCGAGCAAGAGGTCATGGCAAGGCCGTCAGCGAAGTTCAAGAACGATAACAGAATTCTTTTCTGCCTGAATGATGCACTTACCTCTCGTGAGGCAATCTCAAATGATGGTGGTGTTATTCAGTTAGACGGGACCCCGCCTTTCCAGCTCGCTCTGTCCATCAGGAACCTTGCCGCGAGCCATGTGCACAAGGAAACAATCGAGGTACACGATAAGACCTGGATACTTGATCTTCCCTCTTATCACTTCACGTCCATTGGTCCGCACCAAATCACAGTGGAGTCCGTTCAGGACTCGTCGCACTGCGAACAGAAAGAGCTCTATCCCTTGCATCGCTCTATATGGGTTGACGTTGCAGAGTCCGCTGCGATCACCCCCGTCGACAAGAGAGTAGATTTCTGTGTCGGTGATGTGGCTCAGTTCCAGCTCGAAGGCACGCCGCCTTGGTCTGTCGGGTGCGTTCGGTGACTTGTCACACTTTGATTTGCTGACGGGAACGACGCTATAGGTACCGCATCAATGGCAAGTCTTACACCCAAGAAGCCAAGAAGTCCCCATTTTCCCTTATGCATCAACAAGCGGGGGAATTCACAGTTACATCCGTGTCGCAACAGCAGAAGCTATGCAAGGCTACAGTCACTGACTTGCAGTTTAGCATCCATTCTCTCCCAGCTGCCCAGGTCGGTCACGGGAAACGGATATTCCAGGACATTCATGAAGGTGATTGTCGTTTCGATACATGATGATTGTGCTGTGCTGACGTATGTGTAGGTGACCAAGCAGAGATAGTCTTCACGCTGATTGGAGAACCACCATTCACGTTCACATACCAACGAGCCGAGCCAATTCCCAAGAAAGGAGGCAAGCCAGGAAAAGTCCTGGAGACGCATACCGTATCGGGTGTCACTACGCACGAATACTCTATATTTTCCGCACTTGAAGGTCTGTTTCTACTTGGTTACACGACCCAGACACAGCTGACTTGCGTGTTGCAGGGACGTGGACAGTAACATCCATTTCTGATCGTTACTGCCGATACCCCACACAGTCAGATGGCGTGGTAGAAAAGACACGACACTAGGCTTTGAGATACGAGCACCGTCTGATTTTAGTATATCTCATGCCAGTAGCCACTGTAGCTTTAGACTAATAACACAGCATCAAACGTTTCGATCGCGTACGTGGCTAGTCTCGTCACTAGCCACCTAATCTTGGCAAAAAAAATTGAAGGATATGTAGTCGTTACGAATCCAAGTACATCAATTTACATTTACTACTCTGTCCTTCCTCTAAACCTGGACGGATGAGATGTAGAACCACTTTGAGACTGGGACAGAGAAGTTATACTATGCAGGACGAAGGGGAGGAACAAGTACTTACTGGAAGGATCGATGGGTGCAGGAGGTTGCCTGGAGTCGGTAGGAAGGTTAGCGTACGTGGGGTCGCCACGGGTAACGAAACTTGGCGAGCTCGAGTTGGAGAGGTTGCGGCTGCAAAATTTTTAGTTTTCAGCAACTAGGACAAAACAAGGAAAGTCTACGGACACAGAGATCTCGTAGGTAGGGGTTTTAGCAGGGCTATCACCGGCGATGAGACGGCGCCATGCCTCGTTACATTCGTGGATGATCTCTGTAGCATATTTCTTGTTCTTGGCCTCACCAGAGAAAGCAAAGGCGTTCTCGCCCTTGCCATCGGGAATCTTGTAGATCCTAGCAGAGACTATAGCGCCTTCTTAGGCTAATAGAATACAGCACATACCTGAACCACTCATTGGTGGCCCTGATCAACCCAGGAAGATGACGTTCCACATCCTCGATGTCGTTGAGCTTTGATGCAAGGGGGTCGTGCACATCAACGACGATAACTTTCCAGTCAGTCTCGCCCTCATCGAGCAGAGCCATGATACCGAGAACCTTAACCTGCTTAACCTGACCAACGTAGCCGACCTGTTCACCGATCTCACAGACATCCAATGGATCGTTGTCACCCTTGGCTTTGGTCTCTGGGTGGAGAGCAGCCGGATCCTCCCAAGTCTTACGATGATCGTTGGCGCTTAGCCAACCGAATAAGAGCGAGAAACGAAACAAAGCCCACCTGAGGGAAAGCACCGTAGTTCCAGATGTAGCCATGATGAGGGAAGCAGTTACGGACGAAACGCAAGCGACCCTTTTTGATGTCCTGTTTGATGGGGTTGAAGGCCTCCTCCTTGGAGATCTCCATCTTCGCGTTAGTCCAACGAGGGACCTCGACGATCATGTTGAGGATGCCATTGCTCTGGTCGGCAAAAAGAGGAACGTCGTGAAAAGAAGACACGACAGAACCATTATGCTCAATGAACACTCGGTGTTCTGATGATATGCGAGCTGATCAGCTGGCATGATAATTGTGGGTACGATCGCACTCACCGAGGGTGTTGGGCGCGCCAATGAGACGAGTACCAAATGCTAGAAGCGTGTTAGTAAAAATTACAGGTTTGGACGACGAAAACCGCACTGGAGACCATGGATGGATGTGATGAAGAAAGTAATCTAACTTGTTGGGAGAGACGACGAACTGCTATTGACCCTCCGGTCATATCCGTCAACTTAAACTTACCTGAAGTAAATCGACTTTCACTTGTGCTATTAATTACGAAATTATATTAAGCTGACACGTCGTGGGAGTGGTGTCCACTTGGACCCAGCCCGCTGCGCAGTAAGATAAATTATAACAGATTACTTGACAGGACCAACAATGTCAAGACTGCCAGCGGAAGGTGGAGGGTGAAATCGGAGACTAGATCATATGATAAGGTCGGATATCATGATCTTGGCGCCCACGAAGTTTAACTATTCGAGAATTACAAATATTAAAGGATATCTATTCCACCTTCCCATTCGCTGGCACCAGCTCTGGGCTTCGAGAATGCCCCGTTGAAGTCCAGCCGAAGCAATAGTCTCTCAACATGCCGGCGGACTTCTCCCTCTCCCTCAAAACCCTTGGACCCCTTTCCTCGGATGGACGTGCGCTGTAATGTTGCATTTACCACACTAGCGTTCATCAAGATAGGACTTTGAGGATATCACCAGTGGCCGTGAAGGGCTGCTGAGAAGTTGAGAGCGACAGCTGCTCGTAGAACAAATTAAGCAGCTTATGAAGGCTCTGTTGTATGATATGATCAGAATCAATAGTTAATGCTGAGAACAGGATATAGTACCTCATTGATTTCTGACACTACTTGGAACCGTTCCTGTACCATAGCACCCACCTTATCATCCCCACCAGGTGCTAAACTCCCCTCAAACAACAATGCAGGCAGGACGTCTCCACCCCATCTCTCGACCTGCGCAACAAATCGTTCACACACCTCGAAAATCGGCCGAAGAATCGCAGTAAGAGCGGGATTGCTCAGCAAGCACCCCGTCAGTAGCCGTTCAAGATACGTCGTATGGATATTTCGAAGCGTGGTGAAATCAAGGTAAGTCGAGGGGTCTGCATTGGCTTGGCCGGCAATGTTCTGTGAACTGGGGTGCTTGCCTACGCTCTCTGCACGTCCGCGACTTGGGTTTCCCAAGAGATCTTTCAGTCTTCTGAACTCGACGTCTATGACGTCGACCATGACATAACCGAGAAGCGTGTCAAGGAACCATCCCATATCCCTCACGACGCCCCACCCGCAGCGTAACAATTCTCTGCGCGCTTCGAGGTCTTCGGCAGTACCACCTTCGCCAAGACCTGTCCATCGCCGTCGCGCACGTTGTGCGTTAGAGAGCGAGGTCCAGCAAGTGTGAATTTGAGTGTGGGTTTTGCGTAAAGAAGAAAGGTAGTTGAAAAGAGCTGCGTATATCTGAAGATCCTGAAGCGTGCAGAAACTAGATCCAGAGGCCAGGTGACATTGTACGATAGTACGAGATTTGTGCCTAAAAGGAGATCATCAAAGGATGTGGTTTCGGGTGAATTACTAGCGACAGATGAAGATAGTGCTTTGGAATTCGCCAATGAGGGTAGGAGGGGTCTGAGGGGCCCAGAGGGGAGCTCGAAATGGAGATGTAAAAGGGATGGATCATGTTGGGCGGCTTGTGCCAAGAGACGCTCGGAGGAGCGCTAGGTTTAAATCTTGTTCTCGAATCACTGACGCGACTCCTGATCGTGTCGTGAGCCGTGATATCTTCAAGCGCTCAATCTCACGAATGAGCGCCAAGCTGAATTCGCCATTGCGCAGAAGGAAGTAGCTTGCCCTACCGGTCAATTGTTAGTCTACCACATTCAAATAAAAATAAAAAAAAGGAGGGCTCGGAAGGATCACGCACAGCGATATAACGGCATCTTCGACGTCCTTCCGCGTCAGAACGTTGAGCCATAGCCATTCACTGACATTTGTCCTGATCTGCGAGATCACAAGGTCGAATTTGTATTGATCCTCGGGTAAGACGGTCTCCAATAGATTGGCATATTCAAGCGCCTGCTCACGCGGTAGTTGATTCTGCCACTTCTTGGCTTTTATGGTCGCAATGGCCCGACCCACATAAACGATGGATTCTTTCGTTTGGGGAGAAACGCAAGAGGGCATAGCGCCATCTAAAAGCGTAAAATCTTCCGATGCTAAAGGATCAGAGGAAGCAAGGGACCCATGAACCACGAAAGCGGACAGCTGGCTCCGCCAGACACGTTGGACGGCGACAGAAAGGCGTGATATGATATCGGCAATTCGATAGACACCAGTCTTTGAACGGGCGAGCAACATGTCAATCAGGGGACCGGGCTTCCAGTGCTTCTGAGCCTGTAGCTGATTCATCAAGGTCTCTAACGCCGTGAGCGGAGAGTCCCATTCTGCAAAAGTCGCTCGTACAGCTGAAAGCGGCACGAAAGACCCGTTTGCAACGAGATCAGGGTCGCGTTTTAAGACCTTGGCTTCTGTATCTACCACAAGTTTTTCGTACTCGTCCTTCAGGATCTGGTTTAACGTCGCGCAGAGCGCGCAGACATAACGCGACTTGGACCGGGAGAGGGTCGCACACGCTTTCTTTATATTGCGGTATCTGGAAGCTATGTGTCCAAGGGCTTCAAGACTATTGCTCCTCGCCTGGATGCAGTAATGGTCTGAAAGCAGGATGTAAATTGTGATCTGTTGGGAATAACGACGAAGAGTGGCCTGCGAGAACTAGCAATACCTCTGCAATCATGTCAATATAGTCCTAGACGTCAGTTCGGCTGAGAGATGAGCACATAAAACAAGCAAAACTCACTTAAACGAGGACCTAGAATCTAAGACTTGGTTGACTGTCGAGGTGACTGCCAGTGATATTAAACTCGGAAGCTATTCTGGTCCTGGACGAGTAAATCAGATCATGTGATCATTAATACTAAGCGGGCCGACATCTGTAACTTAAAACGTATCCATACCACCATGGCAGATGACAAGCACGAAGTCGTAGAGCGTCAAGTAGGCAAAGGATTCGAGGCCCGCTTCGACCTCGACGATGCATTCTCAGACAGTGAGGATGCTGATTATAACCTCGAGTTCAGCTCCGCAGCTATCAGGAAACATCTCGCCGAGAACCCGAGTTGGACCGGAAATAATGACCGAGAAGATGACGGGGAGACAGAGAATAGCTCTGTGCGCGACCACGACACGTCGATATCAACGTTTTGTCTCGATGGGAGCTCAAACTCATATTCAGAGTCTAGATCTTCTTCCTTGTCATCACCACCGCTGACTGCGGAAGAGCAACCTGATGAGCAGGAGGTTCCTCAGGACTTCTCTGATATCACACTCTCAGAAGAACCGAGTGTAAACGGACACTCGACTAGCCATGGAGATACCCAAGAGGGGGATGCCTCCCCTCTACGGGATACCTCCCCTCCGTGGGATACTTCATATCCCGCCGTTCACATCGACGTCAGTAGATCACCGCCAAGTCGCGTAATGATGAGTACGGGCGCAGAAAGCAATGGAAAGGATCATCAGGAAGACGAAGCGGTACACCCAGTCGAGAATGCATCTTCTTCCTACCTCCCTGCGCCTAGTCATGATATTCCACCACTTCCTCCATCCCCATCTTCCCCGTTACCCCCAAACCCCAACAACCCCAACCATCATAAGTCATAGAAGACAAACGTACTCAGCGGGACCGAGTGCCTTCCAGAAAGTAATGAGCCAGACACGCCCTCATTTCCTGCCTCCGAAGAACCGTCAAGAGACCAGAAACATATGGCGGACTGGCAGGCCATGATGAAACAAAGTCGCGCTGCAGGTCATTTTATAGTCATATAAATCGTGGCTATATGCTAACTTGATATCAGAGGAGAAACGGCGGAAAGCACTGCAAGAACGACGTTTAGCTCGCGAGCTCAAGATCGAGCAGTCCATGTACAAATGGGAGAAGGAGATCCTCCCTGATTGGCGAGTCGTTTATAAGAATCCCAATCTTCGCAGACTTTGGTGGAACGGTATACCTACGAAATTACGCGCTTCTATGTGGCAGCAAGCTGTCGGTAACGCACTCGCTCTGAGTAATGGTAGGCATATGCACATCTTTCTCAGTGCGGTAGCATTCATTGTATTTCAAGATAACTACAGGAACTGTCTCAGTCGAGCTAGTCGCGCACTCTCGTCCGGCTCATTTCCTGCCGAAACATTACAGGCCGTCGAGCAAGACATCTTGTCCACCCTTCCCGCCCTGCACATCTTCCACCCTGAAACTGGGCCACTCTACAAAGACCTCAGGGACATGTTGTGCGCATGGGTCGTCTCTCGTGCAGATGAGGGTCTGGGATATGTGCACGGGACCGCCAAGATCGCCGGGATGATATTACTCAACATGAAGCCACAGCAAGGCTTCATAGTGATGAGAAATCTCTTGGAGAGACATTGCATGAGGTCATTATATGGCAGCGTTGCTGCCAAGGATGACGTGAGTACCGCAGATTGGCTTGGATCAGAGTCTGACTGAATCCAGTGTTTTAGGTTGAGGCCTATTATCGGTGAGCATAAGGACATGAGTGAAGGCATCTATTTATGCTGCTTTCAGGATATTCGACACGCTCTTAGCTGACTGCATGCCAAAAAGTAAGACTCCATATATCATCTTTCACCCTCGGCTTAATTCATTTTTCTCTAGTATACTTCAATTTCAAGCAGCACCAGATATCACCTAGTGCATATCTCCCTGACTGGCTTATCCCGTTATTCTTGGACCACCTGCCCTTCGAAGCATGCGCACGCCTGTGGGACGTTCTCCTACTAGAAGGGGACTCTTTTCTTTTTCGCGCTGCTCTCGCTATTCTTGCAGTCCTTGAACCACGACTATTCTTCCCCGACCGACAGGAACTTCTAGACCTCCTCCGGTGGGTAACTCCTTGATTTTGTTATTACACTGCTCAAAATCAGCGTTGCCATTACAGAGGTGAAAATAAGGCTGCGCTAGAAGTAGCCAAACGGGAGGGGCGTCCACTGGATGGTGCAAAATATGACATCTACGGCGTGGACGAAGAGACGCTTTGGGAACGCATTGATAGTATGGAGGACTGGTGGAAGGAGTCTACATGGAGACGTCTGACGCAGCGAGAACTGCCAGATTTGTAGATTGAAGATGCAGTGTACTCGCGAGAACATCACGCTCGAGTCATCATGGGGAGAAAAGGGATTGTCATTATATTACAAGGATGTGCAGAGCAGGCAGCTCAAGTCACGGCTACAGGTAATGCAGATGTCAAATAGGATCAGCGAACTGTTTACGAGGTTAATCAATTCTCTGTAATCAATCTATCAGCTGAGCAAGGGAACTACTAGCTTTGCAGCTTCATCGAAGATAGTGCATTCGTAACGCAACATCGAAGCATTACAGGTATCGTATGAGTTTATCCAGCACTGTCCTCATCCTCATCATCTTCCACCGCATCCTTATAGAACGCGTACATTCTCCGTCGATTTGCATCCCGGGTTTCTGTTTCGCTTGCGACATCGAATATCTTTTGTAATATCGACTTACGCACAGCATCTACATCCATTGCTTGATCACTGTCTGAGCTAGAGGCGCAGACGTTGCCCAGTAGTTCTGAGTAATCAGAAGATGATGTGCGTGCTTTCTTGCGGCTTGGAGGACCCGATGATGATTTCAGTGAATTACGCAATGGCTCAAACAACGACGATTGAATGTATTTGTAGGTCGTGTTTGTGGGCGTTCGTGCGGCGAGGGTAATGAAAGGCGACAGCAGCGTGGACAGTGGGACTGGAGGTGGTGACTCCGAGCTTGTTAGCGCTTTTTCAAGCTCCTCGAGGTATATTTCCGATAAGTGGAATGCAAGACTGGCTGGCACGCGTATATCGTTGGGACTGCAAGAATAGCTATAGTCGGCTTTCTGATATTTGTATAAGGACTTCTCACCATAGCGGTCCGTTGGGGCCAGATAATATTGAGTTGTGCTCCTCAACAGTGGCACTGTCCCATTTTGTCCGCACAAGCAATCTGAAGCTTGCATTCACGAACTTCCTGACGAGCATGTAGTACTTATCCATACTTGAAGCCAATATCAGTATCTGACACATCACGGTGTAAAATCACCGCACGTACCGAAGACGATCGATCCCATTCCATTCTCTAACCGTCATTGTCCAAAAACCTCGCAGAAAATTGAGTGACGAAGGTACGTCAGTGATCGTAAGTATGAGCTCCGCTAGCTCCCCCGCTAGTGCCTGCTGTACGAGTGGTTTGTCTGACATCCAGAAACCTGGAATATGACATCAAATATGACGCGGACGATCGATGATGGATGTGGAGACATACAGTAGAAGATGCCCTTCCATAGCTTAGCCATTTCAAGATCAGGCAATACATTTTCGGAGTCACTGGACAGGAAAACAGCAAGGTTTTTTACGGCTTTGTCCCGTGTTTTCTTTTCTGCATGAAGTCAGCGAAGAAGTGTAAATCTCACTCTCTTTTAGCACACCTGAAGATGCAAGGTATTTGCCCAGAGGCGGAACGGCAGGAGTGGACGCAGCAGACATGAATATTCGATGTCACAAAATCTTAACAGTCAGATCATTACCTGAAGGAGCACGTGATTTCGCGCCAAACCTATTCAGAGCCAACAGGGGAATGAGGAGCAGGTGATCATCAATCGTACTTTCAACGACGAGGGCGACGGGCAGGGGCATTTCTCGGCATTTTGGAGCTCTTTCACGTGGCTTTCAAAGCTCGAAAACTACATATAAAGGGTCTTACAGACAGGAGGACTCCCAGTATTCGTCATTATGTCAAAGGGACCCATCACATGCCACGGTGAGCGCTATGTCAAGGAGATACTGCTAGTGTTCATCGACACCATAAAGTTCTTGATATCTCTCTTGGAAGACCAGCAGAGGGAGTGGAGGTTAACATTCAGACCTACCATAAAGGACAGAGAAATGTTGACATCTTCAGTCCATTTGCACATGGGTACGTTGATCATCTTGAATACCCACTTGCCGGCCGACCATCGTGGCTCTGCAGCGTTACGGATGCCGATGGGCGATGCTTAAACATGTTGCCTCCACGAGGATCCGACGAGGCCAGGTTGCAGAATAAACAAGTGGATGCTGGGACTTACAAGATCGTCTTCAAGCCGAAGGATTATTTTGAAAAGACAGGCAGAAAATGTTTCTATCCCTGGGTGGAGGTAAGATTGGTTTGCTAGCCAGACAGTACTTGTTCCATGACATCTTACTAATGTGCACAGATCACTTTCGAAATCGAAAACCCAGAAGAACATTACCACATCCCACTTTTGATTAGCCCGTATTCCTTCACCACTTATAGGGGAAGTTGAATTTATGTGGAATGAAACGATCGAGGAAATCCGTGATCCAGACAGACTGTCACAGACATTGTATCATATCGTTACCTTGTTATCATAATGATCCCCCACAATGAGTCTTCGAATACAAAATAATGCCAGTGGAAAACAAAGATCATGGTGAACAGATGAGAACATCTACACGCGTCTAACAAACATCATACAAGGACCTTGTGATATGTCACACCCTTGATATTACCACCGCGCATGGATGTCTTAACATTGTACAGGAATTGTTCGCGATTCTTTCGTAGTTCTTCTGCTGCCTCTGTGAAACGTAGTCAGATAAGCTCATGCACCTGGAAGCAAATGCAGCGAACCTTTGTTCAATGGATCATCTGCATTAGGCTCCAAGAAAAGGTATTGTAAGCCGACCATGACCGAATTCAAATTTAAGACAGGTTTCCAGTCTTCTCGGAGAATATTCAAACACACGTTTCCCTCGAGGTCAACGTTTGGATGGTATATCTATATCAAACAGACTTAAAATAGCTTAGCTTTTGAGGTAAAGAAAACACACCGTTTGCATGCACTTGACCTTAGGAGGCTCGTGAGGATAGTTGGTGTTGATGGTGAAAGAGAAAGTGAAAGCACCACCCTTGTACATGCCTGGCGAGTTTGGTCAGTAAGGCAGGTATTTCCAGTATCCAGTAGAAACACCTTCATCAGGAGTGATGGTGAGAGTGAAGTTCAGGAGGTCGGTGGGGTCCGGGAAGTCAGTCTTCATAGTGGGAGGGAGATCAAGTTCGGTCAGATCTGACATCGCGTACATTAAATTCATGAAATCAGGAAACATAAAACAGGAAGGCCGGTACGAACCTTTCTGCACTCGTATCTGTGCAGCACTTGTTTTCGGTCGCTTCTTGGTTGCAGCGTCCTCATTCTTCTTCATACTCCATATCTAAACTCATTAGGATCGTGCGCTTATTGTATGAAACTCTGGTGTGATGTACAGACCTTGATCATGATGGCAGCCTAAAGGGAGTGTACCAGTGATAGTTGTGGCGAAAGATGCCTACTACTCACAGTGGGAGGTAGATGGGGAACAGGGCGAACTAGTGCGGAATGTGCCGAAATAGCGGCTGCCTTCGATCACTGCGGTGCTTGCTTGCAAGTCTCCTCGAGGCCTCCGAGGCCTCATGCACGCTTTCATGTTCGAATGGTAGAAATGTCATCGGAAGAAATTGCCTCTCACATCAAGGAGAGTTTCGCTACCAAATTCACACCGCCTTGCTCGGAACAGTTCAAACCATAGACTACTTTTACATAGAAAATCGGCTACAGATAGTATAATCTAGCCGTTAGCACCCCCTGAGGTCCCAGGAGCAGCGCACGGCTTGAATTGGGGATGACCTTGGATGGACGAAGGTATCCTTTGATGGGTCCTACCTTGAAGTTGCTCCTGGAGTAACTTCAGAGAGCAAGAGCCCAGCAGTCTACGATTAGAAGCTCTGACTTGTCTCTATAAAGATCTGATCATCACCACATCAAGTTCACTAATTTCCACCATGTCAACGCTATCAGAAACCCTCCCAGTCATTGACCTTGATATCTTCTTATCTCAACATACACAATCAATCAGAGTGCAAGAGGAATGTAACAAGGTCTCCGTCTAACTACCCACGGTCTGGTTGGTTCTGATCATTCAAGTTACAGGCTGCTGATGCATTGATCACATACGGGGCACTCCTTGTTCACGACTCTCGCGTATCAGAGGAAGACAATGACACTTTCCTTGATCTCATCGAAGACTATTTCGCGCAGCCTATCGAGGATTTACAGAAGGATGAGCGACCAGAGATTCATTATCAGGTTGGTGTCACCCTTGAGAATACAGAGAAGCCCAAATGTGCTGTGGATGAGCCATGCTTGGATATTATCGCCAACTTGGATCCAGCCGAACGGCCATTAGATGTCTCCGGGCACCATCCTGACCCCAAGTGCAGGTTCTTCTGGAAAATGGGAACTCCCCCTCCATATGAGACCGAGTTTCCGGCGCTCAATGCTCCAAATGTCGTACCGCAGGCCCCTGGCATCAGTGAGAAGTGGGAATTCCACCATGGAGAAATGGGGACATTCCATGAAGAATGCGTGAGTCTTGCAGGCGTGTTATCTGTAGGCTGTCGCTAACACAGACAACAGTGTTGAGAATATTGCTGAAATGACAGCAATTGGTCTCGGACTTCCTCGAGAATTTATTAAGGATGCAGGGAAATATGGGTCAGTCAGGTTTCATACAGTCATTCTATGGAATTTTACATTGATGCGGTGGATAGCCCTCATCTACTTGGCCCAACGGCTTCTGATTTGGTGAAGTACGGGCAAAAGGATACCATACTTGCCGGCTTTCATACGGACCTCAACTGCTTAACGATCCACGGTCGTTCACGGTATCCTGGACTTAACATCTGGGCGCGTAATACCGGAAAGCGCATCCCCGTTAGATTCCCACCCACTGGCCGTTACCTACTTGTGCAAGCAGGAAAACAGATTGAACATCTCACCGGAGGCCTTATCAAAGCTGGCTTCCACGAGGTAGTTGTGAACAAGGCTACGCTACAGGTTATACACTGCCGAAACCTATTGTGCAAGTGAAGAGCTGACTCCTATTTTCTAGACTATCGAGCGGCGGAAAGAGAGTCATCCTGACCGGCCAAATATTCGCATATCATCAACATTTTTCTGGCATCTCTCGTCCGATTATGAGCTGGCTCCGATCCCTAAGCTATCTGAGCGTGCAAATGTGTTCAATTCGAGTCAGACAGCTAATCAGCATACGTCTTATGAACGGATGAAGGTTGGACAGCAGGTTCAGAAGTGAGTGCCAAAAGTTTCCACCCCGAAGTCAGATCTTACTCATATCTGGTAGTGAACTCAAACATATTGCTCTCATGGCATAGACACTTGATTATTAGATGTGTAGAGTATGTCCAGTAGTGTATGCATGGCAAGGTATCTGTAGGACGTAGCACACTCATGCCGGCAGGCATGCGTGCTCAATAAATATAATATAAATATATATCAGCAGTGGCAAGAGGGTATCTCTGACTTCATCTATCATACTTGGTAGTTCTTCTCCCCTCTGTTGCAAGGCATGAAACTACGATATCGTCCATATAGGGTCGTCCCTTCGAAGTAATATCTAATGTCTGAAGCTCCCCCTTTTTTTTACTTGGAATGAATGTAGCGAAAAGATCCCTGCTCCGAGTGCACTGGATAGATATCACCTATCCGCCAAGAACATCCAGTGTGAGTAAATTGCTCATTCGCACCATGACAAGAAGTCGCACTTTTTTTCCCGAACGATTTAATTTCCACACGAGAGGCATGTCCTTCAAGTTGTCAAAACGCCACTCAAATCGCATCTGTCGGGTCATAACATATGAAAGTCATATTGATCGAATGGGGCAACGACTTACCTTTTCGCGGTCTCCCATTTGAAAATGTACCTCGTCAAGATAAGCCATCTTAGGCCGTATTGACCCTCTGTATTCAACCGTCCCGCGATATCCATCATCAGTGTAATATGGACCGTCTATATCATATGGAGGTGTGATTCAGCAAAAGATCATCGAGGGAAATTCGAAAGACCAAACTGAATTTCTGCGACAACCTGACCTTGCTCTGTTCCTCTGCGAATAGTTGTAGTGTATATCTGAGGTCTGAAACAGTCGTTCGAGACTAGAGATGTGATATAGAGGACGTGAGTTTGAAGAGAGAGCATGGGGCAAAAGTAGCATAGCGTTTGGACCAAATGGTGAAAATGTGAATGGACCTCTTGCTTCCACGTCAAATGAAGATTGCCCTCTTGCTTCTACGTTAGCTGAATAGTTTCTGTTGAGAATGTAAGACTAAGACTTTAGGGACGAGGGATGCTAAATAAGACCTCGCGATGGCTCCAATGAGAGTATCAGTCGATAGATTGGTTTGGGGCGCTAACACCACCAATGGTGCTTCCGGTACAACTTCTTGGGGGTTCTTCTTCTTCCTGTATTGAATGTTGAAGCACAACACTATAGCTAGACGCTAAGGGTCAGGATTATAGCTAGAATTGATTGAATGAAAGGACACACCTTGGAGGTGCACTGCGTGTGGATCTGATGGAGACAGCGTCCGACATGGTGTCTTACAGCGAAGTTGAAAGCAAAGGCCGCACAACCTGTGAAGCGCGAGCTATTTATCCCGTCTATACCAGTGACCCAGACAGACTATAGGCACTAGATTCTATATACGAATCAAATTGTGTATCCAAAAAATGATCAATGATCACAAGATACCATGATAACCATCCAAAAAGTACTCCCACCTACATTTAAGACTACAGCATGTGCAAGGCTATATCCGTGTCAATATGGGGCAGAGTGGGAGACTGGAACTAACATCCATATTTAGACGATGGGTATAGCAATCGGAACTGTAGACTCAGCTGGAAATGGCTCGGCATGGATAGTCACGGTGTCCAACGTACTAATACTAGATGTGTAGAGTATGTCCAGTAGTGTATGCATGGCAAGGTATCTGCAGGACGTAGCACACTCATGCACTGGCATGCGTGCTCAATAAATATAAACAAGGACTCCCCTTCGGTCGGCTCTACGACAATACGATATTGTGTTTACAGTAGCAACTCAGGAAATACTATATCAGCGTCGTCTCTGCAAATAGATAGTGTCTCTTCGCGTTCTCACGTTCGAAACACCGTGCACAATCGACCATGAGCGAAGGGATCGGTCCGGAGGTCGAGCACGGTTTGCGTTAGCGTCAAACCTTGACATCCATTTAATGTAGCTGCATAGTGCAGGTCGCAGAGGAAACTGTCTTTGGTTCACTGTCCATGGCGAACGGTTTGTGTGGAATGCGGGGGATGCAGTGGCTTTCAAATGTATTGAGAAGTTAGAGATTGGTTGAGGAAGCGACGATGCAGCACGACGACGTGCACACGCGCGCTTATGATCAATTTCTATCGAGAGGTTACATACTCCAGGATGGGTTAACATTGCAAGATAGTTGAGTGTGTAGTCTCGTGCGTTCAATCAAGTCTGCCGCTCAGCTTCTTTCAGGCTGTCTGAACTAAAATAAGATCCTACATGGCTTCGTCAATGAAATGTGTGATTGATATCACTTGCGATACTCACAAAAATCGCCTGGCAAGTTGTCTAGAATTTTGTCACTGAAGATCCATCAACATAGACGTTGAGAGGGGAAAGGAATGCACGATCAAGACAGCTTTCAGCGTCTTCGAAAATTGCTGGGAAGAGGACGTCAATGGTGTCGTCGAAATTTGTGGTCCAACAACGCCGTGAAATGAAGCAGAGGTCCCCATAGTCACTACTGAGCAAAGAGCCGTAAAAAAAAACAGAACATGAACGGTAAGAGGAGACAGAACGCAACACAGGAATGTCTCCCATTTCTGGAGTCGCGATAAAGCCATCATATCGCCAATAATTCTTTTTGTCGATCACATATCTACTTGCATTCTGAAGTCCAACCACGCCATGATGGCAATGAACAAATAGCAGTAAAAAGGAGACACAATCATGAGCGCATAACAACACAGCATGACGCGGTGGACACAATAGCATGTATTAAGCAGCAGTGGCAAGAGGGTATCTCTGACTTCATCTATCATACTTGGTAGTTCTTCTTCCCTCTGTTGCAAGGCATGAAACTACAATATCGTCCATATAGGGTCGTCCCTTCGAAGTAATATCTAATGTCTGAAGCTCCCCCTTCTTTTTACTCGGAACGAATGTAGCGAAAATAACCATGCCCCGAGTACACTGGAGAGATATTCCCTATCCGCCAAGAACATCCAGTGTGAGCAAATTACTCATTCGCACAATGACAAGAAGTCGCACTTTTTTACCCGAAAAATCTAATTTCCACACGAGAGGCAGGTCGTCCTCGTCAAATCGCCACTCAAATCGCATCTGTCGTGTCCAGGGATAACATACGAAAGTCATGTTGGTCGAATGGGGCAACGACTTACCTTTTCGCGGACTCCTATTTGGATATGTACGTCGTCAAGATAAGCCATCTTAGGCCACATTGACCCTCTGTATTCAACAGTCCCGCGATATCCATCATCGTGTAATATGGACCGTCTATATCATATGGAGGTGATTCAGCAAAAGATCATCGAGGGAAATTCGAAAGACCAAACTGAATTTCTGCGACAACCTGACCTTGCTCTGTTTCTCTGCGAATAGTTGTAGTGTATATCTGAGGTCTGAAACAGTCGTTCGAGATAGAGATGTGATATAGAGGACGTGAGTTTGAAGAGAGAGCATGGGGCAAAAGTAGCATAGCGTTTGGACCAAATGGTGAAAATGTGAATGGACCTCTTGCTTCCACGTCAAATGAAGATTGCCCTCTTGCTTCTACGTTAGCTGAATAGTTTCTGTTGAGAATGTGAGACTAAGACTTTAGGAACGAGGGATGCTAAATAAGACCTCGCGGTGGCTTCAACGAGAGTATCAGTCGATAGATTGGTTTGGGACGCTAACACCACCAATGGTGCTTCCGGTACAACTCTTGGGGGTTCTTCTTCTTCCTGTATTGAATGTTGAAGCGCAACACTATATCTAGACGCTAAGGGTCAGGATTATAGCTAGAATTAATTGAATGACAGGACACACCTTGGAGGTGCACTGCGTGTGGATCTGATGGAGACAGCGTCCGACATGGTGTCTTACAGCGAAGTTGAAAGCAAAGGCCGCACAACCTGTGAAGCGCGAGGTATTTATAGACGGCCCCAGACACTAGATTCTATATACGAATCAAATTGTGTATCCAAGAAATGATCAATGATCACAAGATGCCACGATAACCATCAAAAAGTACTCCCACCTACATTTTATCGAGTCTTACTCGTTTCTTCCTGGTCTCAGTCATTTCGATATTAGTGTTACTTCGAGCTGTCATATCTCGGTGCTAAAATTGATTGCGGGTCCTCCGAGCATTGAGCTGGAGGACCCCGCTTGCCCTAAACTCATTCTTCGAGTGCCAATACGAAGTGCAAGATGATCCAAGGGCTATATCCGTGTCAATATGGGGCAGAGTGGGAGACTAGAACTAACATCCATATTTAGACGATGGGTATAACAATCGGAAATGACTCAGCGTGGATAGTGCCCAACGTGCTACAGCCGAGACAACGAGAACATTATGGCACGCTTTATCGACAATCAAGCGGGTGACATCGTAGCTTCGTGTGATCTCGTCATATGCCCTTGTTCATCGGTGCTTGCACTCCAAGTAGACCTGTAGTGGTGGTCCGGAGAAGAAAAACACGAGAGTTTGAGCCTAGATGAGAAGTCCATCAATCTAAAAGCCCATCGCGTTCATGTAACAAACAAATAGAATATTTCAAGCCAAAAGTATAACACGCACCATGGTCAGACCTTGTAGAAATCGGAGAGTCCTTGTGTTCTCGGACTGGATGCATATCCGGTGCATGACTCCGTACTGCGGTATCATAGCTACAGAAGTCAGCACGAGAGTATGCAATCGGCGGATAGGCTGACCTTGAGGTGCAATGGTTAGGGTGCAATGCTGCTAGGGTGCTTACGGTGATGATGACGTGTGTACAACATTAGATTGCCCAGAATAAGTCTCCTGCAACTAAAGATGGAGCACGGGCTAACACGCTCCTTCGGTGACGACCAAGGTCTTAGACTTACGATCACAATGGCTTGATATTGAAGGAAGATAGAAGACTGCATGCGATGCAAACTCACCCACAAAGCCAATCGTGACTGAAATTCTTCAGCGGCTGAAAAAAGGCGGTGAAGTTGAATTCAGAAATTAGTGTGTAAGACAGTGCAGACCGGCGATGTAGCAGGTAGCCGTCAAGATAAGATAAATTTCCACTAATTCCCGCGAGGTACAGCCGCGCCAAAAACGCGGAGGACCGACTGAAGTTTCGCCAACATCTCATCCCACTCCCCATCAGGGTCCGACAGAGCAGTGATAGCCCCTCCAGCGCCAATCACCCACTGCTCTGGCTCGTGTACACCAGGGTAGAAATCGGGATTAGTGAATTTCGTCCACGAATGAGCATCGCATTCGTATCGGTCATCGTATTTGAAGCAACTTCGGATGGTAACAGACCAGTCACCACCACCTCCAGCGCACCAATAACCGAAGACACCGGAATAAACATTGCGTTCCTCGTCTTCCAGTGTTTGGAGGATCTCAACACTGCGCTTCTTCGGGGCTCCAGTCATGCTACCTATGAAGTATATTAGTAACAGTTGAATCACAATTCTACGAGACATACCCGGGGGTAAGCTGCGTCTGAGAACCTCCCACCCCAGTGCGCCATTAGCATAGTGGCTGGCAGTTTCGTCGGCACCGTCTGCCGACTGGCCTTCGATAACGCTAACAAGCTGCCACACTGTCTCGCACTCCTCCACAGTGCAGAACTGTTTGACTTCTACATTCTCTCCAACAGCTCCATGCATATCATGCCGAATAAGATCGACAATCATGAGGTTTTCAGCAACCTCTTTTTGGCTGCCCCTGAGCGCTTGCTCAGCAACAGCACGGGTGATACGAGGGCCCTTCCGTATAGTACCTTTGACGGGACATAGCTTATATGTGGTTCCAGGGGGACGAGTGTAGGAGAGAAACCGCTCTGGTGACGAGGCCAGTAAGGTCGTTGGATGCAACCGAAGGTACGCAGCGTGAGGGGCGGGGTTGAGCTCGCGAAGATGTTTATAACGCTGCCAGGATGGGGAGTATGTTGATGAAGCCTTGGGTGCCAACGGGTCGCTCAAAGTGATGCGAGTATTAGCTGTAAGACACAGCTCGTAGGATTCTCCGGCGAAGAGATACTCCTTCGCAAGATTAATGCGGGATCTGTAAAGATCCCGGTCTGGTAAAATGACAGTAGACGTATTTGGTCGCGCCTTGGTTGAATAAGGCGTGGTATTATACGAAGAATATGTTGAATAGTTACGGGCGGCAGAATGAAGCTGTTCGGCCATTTCCGTCAGCCATTCGTCGTCGTCTTCCATGATAGATTGGATATAAACGTGTCCAGAAGTTGAGTCGAGAATTATGCTGCGCTCTACGAACACAAGGTTGACATCAGGATGTCGTGTCTGGCTACATGTCCCGTCAGGTGATACTCTGAGAGAGTCAGTGCCGAGCTCGTAGCTCAGGCAGCCCATGAGGCCACCCCAGAATGGTATTTCTGATGAACCGCCAGTGACCTTCCGCTTGTTCATAAAAGAAGTAAGCCAGGACCACACATCGTGAGATCCCAGATGTATTTGATCGCATGACTCCCCATTTGCCAAATGAACGAAACTATCTCCAATGGTGTATGTGATTCGGAGGGACGTCGAAGTCAAACAACCAATGATAGTGAACTGGCCTGGATGTGCAGCAGATTCCAGCATAACGAAGGGAGATGAGTCGTCGTCCACGCCCAAGACCTCGCATATCTCAGGGGCAGACAGGCATGGGATGCTCAATTTTATCGTAGAAGCGGATAGTGGCATGTTGATAGGAGGGGTGCTTGGCAATGGGCGAACGTATGGCCACGAAACGCCAAAGATTGCATCTGCTTTCTGATCCCATGGGCGTGTGACTCGCCCACGAGAAGAACTCCAAGTTCGCGCTAAACGCCAGAAGTTTAACATGACTTCAATACCCCCCACCCCGCGTGAGAACTGATTCAGGATGATACTGAACAGCCCAGAAGGGTCGAGTGCGATGTCTAAGGGCCATTACTACCTTCCCGTTCTCCTCGTCATGTGTCGATGCGAGTTCTTCAATATTCTTTGCACCACTCAGCTCGACGTGGAGGGAGTGGTAACGAACGGCATCCACAGGACCGACGCCCTTGAATATATCTGTACCACTGTGATCGACAGTAGATACATGACCGTGCTTGACGACAGAAAGCCTATGTAGATTAGCCCCGTATTCAAGAGCTAAACTCTGAAGGCCCAGGCAAACGCCGAAAACTGGCAAAAGGTGTGCGTCGTCAATCTTCCATAGGTCTTTGACGAGACCGATGTCCTCTGGAATATCTGGAGATCCTGGGCCGGGACCGACGACGACGCCAGAGAAGTAGGGCAGATATAATAGTAGATCTTTAAGCTCTATATCATCATTCTTGATGATATGCACATGGCAGTTTGGGATAGCCTGCCGACACAACGCTGCTAAGCTATTGAAAATGGTTGAGTCACATTCCTCAGAAAGAATACGAGGACTAACTTGTACGTGAAAGAGTCATATGAGTCGACCAGCAGAATCCTTGGGGGTTCAGGACTCATTGAAAACCGTGACAGATTTGAATAGAAAGGAAAATAAGAAAATGGCCAGAGGCCAAGCGAAGTTACAGCTACTTAAGATAATGAATCGGATAAGAAGAGAAAATCGAACAGATGCTCATGAGTAAACAAGTACCCGCAACGTATCGATAGTAGATACCCGGATGGCAGCGTGAAGAAGTGAAGCTTTCGGACACCGGAGTCAATACCGGGATCACAGTGCTAATCAAAGAAGAGCTGAGACACTCTCAAGAGGCGTGCGATCAGTAACCAACCCGCCCGGGCCGTTTTAGACTTTTAGTTCGGTGACCCACCATCACCTAAATCGAGTAGTTCTGTCGCGCTGAAAATTTTTACCGTTGAATGTGAGACGCGTCCCGATAATCACGCGTCGTATGCAATATAACGAGCCAGAAACATGCGTGTATCGATTCCTGAGTAATGACATACAATTGGAAGCTGTGAAATCCGCGAGAACATGAAGTAGCAAGTGTAAGAAAGCAGAATTATCATAGCGAGCGAGAGTTGTGCACGTGCAATTGTGAAAGAATGCAAAGGAACGGAAAGGAAACAAAAAAACTAACTAGGCAGAAGTACGAACTTTCTTCGCATTTGCGATGCCAGCGCTATTAGTTTTCCGCTTGCGAGAACCGGACACAACTTGAACATTTTACTCGAAAAGAGGCATAAGCCATCGCACCATTCGCGTCTTCTTGTTCGAGAGCAGTCAGCGTGAATAAGTTGAGAATCTGCGCAGGAAGAGAATAGCCAATGAGATTCTCTGGATGCGCATACTGTGGGTGGACCTCTTCAAGGTGTTAGATCATGTTGTAACGCCAAACAGTGTCAATGAATGTAGCGGCAGTGCGACTTTTCTTGCCCGTGATGGGCGCTAAAGATGGGTGACACAACTCACATTTGAGTGGGACATTGCGACAGGGTCTGTTGTTTGTCAGCATTTGGATAGCGGAATTGTGTGGGCATAACGGCAGGATAATTCGACCTTCGAAACAGCGCCGCTGTTTGTAATTTTGATTTGAATCTTGCATTCCTCGCAGCCCGATCATCCGCATAATCTGCATGGCTGATGAAGACCGACCCAAAAGATCAAAGTCAATACTTGAGGCTATGCAATTATGACATGAACTTACCTGTTCCTCCAGATTATCTTCGACGCTCGTTACACCATGAGATGATCGCAATATGTGAATGCCGACATGCGCACGCATTGAATCTGTCCTGTTCCACATAGCGGACATTCTACTAACGGGCCAGATTCACTGGCAGCAAGTCGTTCGCTCGCCTTAGTACAAATGATACCCGCCGAACCTATGTAATTGTATTAGTAGTGTGTCAAAATAAGATAAATTGAAACTCGCCGCATCTGGGAGTGCCTAAGGAAAAGTTGAAGGATCCGAGGAACTTGGGACATGAATGATAGTCTTGAGCATGATCGAATTCCCGCGGGCTTTGCTCCATAGTGCGTCACAGGCGAATGAGAGCACAGATTCTTCAACCACCCGGGTGTTCCTAATGTTGTTTAATGCATGAAAGTAGTTGATGTCGTCACGCAAACGCACACATGTTGTCTCGGGATTGATGAGTTCAACTAGAAGTCCAGGTACTAAAATTTCAACGACCTTTTCAGTTAAATGACTGATGCCTTGAATATCTGACTTTGTTCTGACATAATGATCACCTGTCCAAAGCCAGGAGCGTTGTTCGGCTGGCTGATGTGTAGGGAGCAAGGCGAAGATCTGGCCGGTGAGTTTGACGTGAGCTGTGCACACATTTAGGACAAGGATGTCGTGACGTGTTATGCCATGGTGTTTAATGAGAGTTGAACGTACAAGAGTGATTGTAAGAAGATGATTGGAACGGTCAGTGGTCAGGAAGATATCACCAATGATAAATGTGTTACCACTGCCCGGGAGCTCGCGTTGTCGGTTGACCTTCGTAAATCCAGTATTGTAGACCCACTCCTGTCGATTGAGGGACTTTGCAATGAAGTACTTGTTGAGCACACATTTATTGGGGTGTTGACTTTGTGATTTGTCGTGTTCTAGTAGTTTATGTTTCTTTCGATCATCAGTTTCGATATTGTGATTTCTGGGAGTCCCTAAGAGCTTGTTGGGCTCGTCCTTTTTGCTTGTAAAAGCGTGGGAAGAAACTGTACTAGGTGGTGGTACGAGCAGGGATCACATTTGCCAATGAATAGTTAAATAATAATTAATCACTCACTCACATGTAACTGTCAGTGAGCGCTGATGGGCCCATTCTGACCAAAGGCTAATGAACACACAACTCAACGATAGTCTATCACAACAATGGTTCACAAAGGTGCGTGAAACACAGCCTAGGTCCCTGCCTGACTGAATTGATCATCGATTTAGTTCAAGTACATATGCGTTCCGCTACTGGAGAAATCACAGCTATCTGCGGGGACCATAGCAACTGTCTTACCTCTGCTGTCCAATCTTGAAAGCACACTGCTCGATGCGAGTGGAACTGGCTTCACCCTATCTCACTCCTTGGTGTCTTACATATTTTTCCCATTATCCACGATCCTCCGCCGGAATGAGTCGTCTGCCATTCCGGACCAAATTCTGGAGAAGATATTTGGTGTTCTTGCCATTCTATGTGAAACATGGTGGTGGTACTGCGACATACAGATATGGGATCAGATATTCAAGTTATCCAGCTCCATCATCGGTGGTGTCGAAGGCAAGGGCAAGGGCAAAGTCAGGGACGATGAAACCAAAGAAGCAGCTGCACGATGTCTGTGGGCTATCCTTCGGGAACGTTGCGCAGAGGAAGCACCACAAGAATCTCCCGAGGAACTGTTGCACACGCGTGTTTCCCAGCTTCAAGCGCATTCTCAGAGCCTGCAATTCATGCCTATTCTCGGACAAACTATCAATACGCTCCTCCTCACCGCCAAGTCACCCTATCTCCCATTGCAGCGCATTTCACTGAAGATTCTGCGTGCACTCATCAGCGTATATGCTTCAGAGCAATTTTTGCCTTCCATCTTACCTGGTGTCGTGAGCAGCATGACCAGAATCGCTCTTGGGATGTCGAGCAAGAAGGGATGGGTCAATGGAGACATCGTCGCCCTGAGCCTTGGGACCCTGGAGCCTGTAATCGTGAGGTCGTTAGGAGACGATATATCCATCCGAGAGGGTGTCGTTCGGAGGGTCGTAGACCTTGAAGACTTCATCAACCTCGCAGACGCTCCTGCGGGGGACCCGAAACCACTTGAATTACCTCCCTACCTGACTCCACGTACTTCGAGTTGGCTGCGCGCGTCGGCATCCCAACTGCACATCGCGATAAATTCTCTGACACTTCTCGTGAATCATCCGACTCCGCTCGCTTTGGTTGCCTTGTCGTCTTTCTCAAGGGCCATCCTTACCTCCACATATCTAACTCTTCCCCAATCACGGCCTCTTCTATTGTCTTGGCTCTTGTCGCTATCAAACCATTCTTTCCCGGAGGTTTCGCAAGCCGCTCATCGCGCCCTATCGGAGCTGCTGGCAGCCACTTCGCCTGCAAGACTACCGTTACTGCAAGCACTTCTAGAAATATCAAAAGAGAACCTCAGTTCTTTGCCTCGATCCATCGTTTCCCAGGATGACACGAAGGTGGAGCACATTGCAGGCCAGATAGAGGCAATCTGCCAGTTGGCTACGTCTAGTAGCACGTCTTCTACAGGTCTCGGTCTGACATCAATCTCTTTGGGTATCGACACGCTATTAGGGCCAACCGGTGGAATCGAGAAGTGGGGTTTTACTCTACTTTCTGTCTTGGAATTCACAAGTCCACAAATGAGTGTCAGCCAGGGTTCCGTCGCTCAACTCTTGCTAGAGGACAATGAAGACAGCATGGATACAATTAATTTCCCTGAGGCGATGTTAAAAAATGTTCTCACAAGGTCCACACGCGATGCTCTGGCTCGCATGCTACGCGCTTTGGGGAGAAGCAGTGGCGAAAATAGCATCTACGCTGTTGAATGGTTCGTAAGTATAGGGCGTTATTCACGGACCAACAATGCCATTGCGGCATTATGGTGTGCTGCTCGCCTCCTTGAGGGGATCAGCGGCTTTAGCCTAGATGAAGGTGGCATGGCTATTTCGAGCGGGCCCCGCAGCAGGAAACTAGAGCGGTTTGCAAGAGGCTTGGCTCGTGACCTCGCTGAGTTATGGGACGAAGAGCCAGATTTCAATAGCCAGACTGATACCCCCCGCACGGATCGTCAGACGGATGACTCGTTGCTGAAGACGGAATTTACAAAGGGGTTCAAAACTATCCGTGTCACCCTTCAGGTTGCAGAACCAAGAACTACACTGCCTACTCTATCCGAGGATCAACCCATACTGCATAAGATATTTCGCTTGCAGTTACTTTCGATCAGCGCGGGAATTTTGCAGGCTCGCTATGCCTCCGTTCTCATCCAGGTCCTATATCCAGTTTTACATTCGATCGTATCGCCCACACCCTATCTTTCCCTGACCGGGCTTGCAACACTGCATTTTATGTCAGCTGTCATGTCGTACGCCTCTCCAGCCAATCTCTTGCTGTCGAACTTTGACTACGCATTGGACTCCGTTTCCCGTCGCCTTAGCCGCAGATGGCTTGACGTTGATGCGACGAAAGTGATGGTTGTCCTTGTTCGCCTCGTAGGGGCTGATGTGGTGCAGAAGGCTGGTGATGTTGTTGAAGAATGCTTTGACCGTTTGGATGAGTATCACGGATACGAAGTCATTGTTCAAGGCTTGGTGGGAGTATTAGGAGAAGTGGTCAAGGTCATCGAGGCTGAAGAACCTCCCACCCAAAAGGAAAGTCAGGATGACATGCAGTCGTCGATGATTATCAGTTCATTGGAGCCACTCTTCGAATGGCTTTCTCATCGGAAGGATCTCCCATCTCATGAAGATGCCGCTGACCACGTTCCTGCCCCTCATAGGGCATGGGGCACCGCCAAGGCAGATGAAGACTTAGTTGAAAAACAGTTAGATGGTCCGACCACACAACCGAAAATCGCCGAAGATGCCGAGCCTGCGCCCACACCGGGACAAGCCTTGACCAAGCAGATGGTTTCACGATCTATTTATTTTCTCACACACGCTTCACCCGATATTCGCGCTCGGATCCTGAACTTGCTAAGTTCTGCCACCCCGGTTCTCCCTGAGTCGGCCCTGTTGCCATCCATCCATCTCGCTTGGCCATTCATCCTGAATCGTCTCAATGACGCGGAGCCATTTGTAGTCAGCGCAGCTGCTGGTCTTGTGGAATCACTCGTGACCCACGTTGGCAGTTTCATGGGCAGGCGAGTGTGGGACGATATCTGGCCCCGTTTTGGCAACATTTTGAAAAAGCTAGATGCATCCGACGATCAGAATGCTCTTGCACGCCGTGGTTATGGAGCGGTAGGAACGGAATCAGCATACACCCACTCTCATCGCTTATATCGCTCCATTTTGCGGACGATGACAGCTGCCGTAGCTGGTGTCCATATGCAAAATGCGTCCGGCTGGCAGGTCATTCTCGCATTCAGGCGCTTCTTGCACAAACAGGCACACGAGGAACTACAGGCCTGTGCAAGAGAGTTGTATGTTGCGCTCGGCAGGGGTAATGAAGACGCCGTATGGCTGGCACTTATGGCGACATGTGGGCATTTGACTGGTGAAGTCGCTTACTTGAGGGAATACAGGTGGGATATACAAGACAATGTACGCGTAATCCTCAACGAGTAAAGCATGTCTTTCGTGTTATCTTATCTTGCTATCAAGCTTCCATCACCAATTTTATGGTTCAGGGGGTGGAACGTGTCGGAAGATGTCTACTCCAGCCTCCTGAAACAATCGTACAGAAGCGTCATCTCTGTAACAATTTGAGAGAAATGCTGTATAATAGGGTTGACACACTTACACCTTATAGCTCAAATTGTAGACTACTCTTTTGACACCGCTTTGGATGATCTTGATGGTGCACTTCAAACACGGACATCTAGATCCAGAATGAAACTCAATAGTATTATAATAGCAATGTTGTACCCACGTATTGCAATACATAGTGGCATCCACCCGATCTCTTCCTGCTTCCAAAAGCGCATTTTCTTCAGCATGTAGGCAAAGACATTCGGTACCATTAGTAGCCGATGTACGATTGCAATGTCCGCATCCCCCTACATTATTATTAGCAAGTAACGGGGGAGAAGGAAAGACAAATACCCTCGTTGCAGTTCTTGACACCCCGAGGAGTGCCGTTATAACTGTAGACCGAGATAACAATTTCAATGCCCGAGGTGCAACTTGAACGTACCCTGTGGAAACAATACGGTTTTCGCGGACAAGTATGGCGCCTACGCGGCGTTTCATACAGTTGGAGCGTTGCGAAGCAAGATCTGCGAGCGTCTGAAGCCCCTTTAGTCCATCTGGATCCATCAATGATGTAAATAACGTGCATACCATAAAATAGGTATCCCATTGAGGTCTAAGTCGATTTGTATTTGTGATATCTAAAGAATCCAGGTGATAATGGAGTTCTGCGATGGAAGCGAAGGAATTGACGATTTTGAGTTTGACCTGTGGGTTTGCGCGGCGGAGTAGTGAAAACCCTTCAGGAGAGTCTGGCTGTGCTCTGTCTCCAAACACTTCACGGTCATGTTCCCGCACGAAGTCTTCGAGAGTCGCCATGTTTATCAAACTAAATTGTTTTTCAGCTAAACGTTCACATCAGCTGACGAGATAAATACCCGTGACAGCGGTGGTAACGTTGTAAGATGGGGGCGTCTATGCTAATTAGCATGAAGAAAGGGCGCCTGATGAAGTAGTTCACTAGTCTATCTGAGTCGAGGTCGGTTGTAACGAAATTTGACTGCCAATGCTGTGTGACATGATCCAGCAACAGGGCTGGTGAGCCAAAGGAAAGAACTTTCACATTTGAGTTTTGGGACGAAGATGGTGATGTGGGCGGGCGTCCGTGCTTATCACCAATGATGTTATTGGTTCGCACTGGAAGCAATGGCAAGGGCTGCGGGATGACCGGATTTTTAACGCTTGCTGTGATCTGAGGGGACCATTGTTGGTCTTCTGGATTCAGGGAACAGGGTGTTTAGCAGGACCTGCCTCTACATCCTTGTCGTGCAAGTGGACAGACGTGAAGCCTTTGGCAATCAGATAATTTTCGACAGTAGACTTGCCCGAAAAACGCAAACCGATGATAGCAATAAACATAGGGCGCGATTCACATGAAAGATAAAGTAGACCAAGGTGCTATCAGACGAATCGAATCATGGTTCTCAGAGGCCTGATGTGGTAAAAAGGTGAATATCGGGAAGTCACGTGATTATTTTATTAATTAATGTAAATAAATGTCATGGTGTTCGTGTCAATCAATTTTAGCTCCAACTCTTGCCTTTTCCCTTCGTTCTTCTACAGGTACCAGTAGTGTGCGATTTTGACGCGAAATTCGAATGGAAATCAAGGGTCTCAGAAAATTCGGCCGGGCTAGTAGCGCATGCGAACGTGCACTGATGCTTAGCAGGCACAAATTGAAGTGTGTCACGGAGTGAATGCGGAACTTCACCCGACACAGAAGTACGAGTTTTGGCATCTTAAACATTTACACGAACATCACAGCCCGAGCCAAGACTCACGGCAAGTGCGGGTTCAGCTGAGCCCAGGATCCGACGCCAACTCGGAAGTCCGACAATACTGGGATTCAAGTTTCCATGTCATTCGGTGACATCATGGCCAAATGGTCATGCGGTTGATCAGAAGGCGGTACAGGATCATTAACAACAACCGGAGATGGCAAAGAAGCAGAACCTTCCCGGAATATTCAGAAGCTTGTTGGGCACTCCGACAAGTCTAGATAAGGGACGCCTGCCTTGGTATCTTCCGCGCTTTCCAAGTGGCCATGAAGACCCAAACGCGCATTTGAGGGCCTAGCTTGAGACATCGGGCGCGTAAGTTGGAGGGAGATCAAATTGAAAAGGCGCCGTGGCGCCGTCGAAAAATGCCATTGAATAGAATCCGTTCTATTAGAACCGAAAGTAATAGAACTTCCAGGCACTAGGAGACTACTACTTATGGGTACTGTTTGGCTCACGTTTGGTGTTGTATGCCGCGGCATTGCAGGACTTGGGTAACAACTGCTTGAAAGCTTGCTTGAAGCTCTTCAATCCATTCTGACAGGCTTTGAACACAATCCAGATTGTGATGAGGATATGATCTACAGTGGAGACACGATCATCCTTTTTTCCTCCCAGGAACCATGCATGTCGCAATAAAAAAAAACTGTAACATGCTGTACGAGCGTCTAGTAATTCACGCAAACATGGTCACCTCCCACTGGCACAGGCTGCCCGTCGATCGGTGTCACAATTACCTTATCTGCAGCTGTGTACACAGACTCTCGTGGGCTCCATATACCGACATTTGCTAATCTGCCGCCAGTCAATCAGGTGCATCTTCGTGCATAGCCTCGAGAATGTCGAGATTCTTTTCTGATCTGTGATTTCATATTCCTACCTGGTAGTCCATATAAAGAGGTGCGCCATATTGTTGGCTACTGAAAATTTGTCAACGGCGCCTCTTCTGCCGTTCCATCTATTTACGATGGTCAATATCCACGATGTAGCAGCCCGAAAACGAACGGAGCGCGAGGCAAAGCTATCCACATATCGCAAAGGGCGCATTCATCTTCCAAATGATGCCGTCGACGTGTCACAGTACCCGCTTGGCAAGCTTACAGAGACAGAGCGTATCATCGTTCATTGTGATGCAACGGCGATCGTAGATTTGATTCGCAAGCGAGTCTATACTGCGCAGGACGTTCTGCGAGCGTTCGTCAAAGTAGCGGTGGCTGCCCAAGACGTCACCAACTGTCTTTCAGAAGTTTTGCTCGATGAAGCATTCTTACAAGCCAGCAAGCTTGACCGATATCTGGAAAAAACTGGAAACGTCATAGGACCACTACACGGTTTGCCAGTTTCCATCAAAGATCACATCAAAATCAAAGGTCTGGATACTTCGTCAGGGTATCTTGGTGAGAAACATGTTTTCTGCCCAGACCGGTTGTTTATCGCCTTTTTTATCAAGGCTGGGCGTACAAAACCGTCGCGGACAATGACGCACTGGTGGTAGAAATTCTACGCAACGCCGGTGCGATTCTATACGTCAAAACACAGAGTCCGCAAACTTTACTTGTCAGTAATGTCATGTACGTCTTCGTGCATTCGCTTACCTGGCTTTCAGTCACTGGAGACGGACAACAACGTGTTCGGCAAGACTCTTAATCCGTTTAATCGCAATTTAACCCCAGGAGGAAGCAGTGGTGGCGAGGGAGCGCTTATAGCATGTCATGGTAGCCCAATGGGCGTTGGAACCGATATCGGTGGGAGCATTCGGATCCCCGCAGCCCATTGTGGTTTGTATGGGCTGAAAGGATCAGTGGCTCGTCTGCCACATTCTGGTCTTCTGGGCTCGCATGACGGGATGGATGCAATCGTGGGTTGTGTCGGACCGTTGGCAAGGTCTGCAAGGGACCTCGAGTTATTCTGTCGAGTTATGCTCGATGCAGAGCCATGGCTCAATGAACCTCCACTCCTAGAAATGCCATGGAAAAGAGGTGTGGCGAACGGGGAAGGATTACCAGAAAAACTTGCGATTGCTGTCCTTTTTGACGATGGCGTTGTTGCACCGCATCCTCCGATTACGCAGGCTTTGAACAAATACAAACAAGCCTTAGCACGTGCTGGACACGATGTAATTGAATGGCAAGCTGTGGATCATCAGAATGGATGGGATCTCATTGTAAGACACTTTTGTTTTCCAGTATCAAATCTAATGATCTTACTCTTCACATAGACGAAGCTATATTTACTAGATGGCGGAGCAGAGTACCACGAAACCATTAGTGCAGGCGGAGAGTCCGAGGTACCTCAGACGGAATGGATCCTCGAGCACGCACAGGGACGAGGCCCGTATACGCCCGCAGATATGTTCAAGCTCAACTTGGAACGGGAAGCGATCCGCTCAAAAGCATTAGCACACTGGAATGCTACTCAACGACGTACTGTTAGTGGGCGTCCTGTGGATGTCATCCTCTGTCCGGTTGCGCCCACATTAGCTCCGCCCCATAACACAACTAGCTGGTGGGGTTATACTTCTCATTGGAATCTGTTAGACTTGCCAGGCGTTGTCTTTCCCGTTGACCGGTTCACAGCCAAGGCATCTGCCACTTACCCACCTCTTCCACATTCAAGGAATGATGTTGAAAATTTTATTCATAGCCAATGGAATCCAGCCACATATGATAATGCTCCCATATGTCTACAACTCGTAGGTCGGAGGCACAACGAGGAGAAGTTGTTGGCTATGCTAAATGTTGTGGAAAAAGCGTTCAAAGAGAATGCCTTGTAAGAGGACAACAAGTAGAGGGTTTAACGTTCATTCGTAGTATCTAGTGTTATGTAATATGTCCGATTCCATAGAATGCAAATACGCTCAATGATTGAACATACGCTGTGGACAAAGACAAATACTATGTCAACGTTCCTCACGAAATTCACGGCCGCATGGTCATCGCACGACCACCATGGAACATTGATTTCATTACGGCATAGGTGACAAATTTTTGACCAAGTCGCTTAGGGACTTTGAAAAGTTTTAACGCCCCCACTTATCTTGAACAGTTCTTGAACGTGGAATTCCACCTATTCATCTATGTGCATAGGTTGAAGTACGTGGAGAACGTCGGCAATACGTTGCATGCGAGCTAGAATACATGATTTACAACGTATCTTCCATGCCATGCCAACTCCGCGCTGGCTTCCGCGATACCACTACAGGATGGCAATGGCCAACCACCACTGGCAGGCTGACACGGATGCCTGTGCTCGAATCGTTCGTCAGCATACACTGTCTCACGGAAAAAACACATTCGATGCTGTATCAATGTTAATGTAATCGCCGGAGCCACAGACAGCGGTGAGTGTCGTCTACCGAGTAATTTACGCAAGTCATCTGGTAGGCAAGTACCTTGATCCTCTAGGCTGGATACAGGATGGCAAGTTGTGGATCTTCCATTATCAGTGCCACAACGTTCAATTTCATTGTATTTGCTTTGTCCCCGTATAGTTGTTCTCCACGTTTTCACGTTCGCCGACCTTGACCAACCTGTGTCTATACGAGTATCGGAACGTTTAGGCCAAACTTTTGAGACCTAACGTAGTTCCGCAGGTGCTGTAGATGCAGAGATGGTAAGATATAAAAGTGAGTGATAGTCCAAGGATCCAACTCATTCCTATCCTTCCACCGTTCCAATCATGCCTGGCTTACTTTCCTCTATCCAGCGTTACGACATGTCCACAGGCATCCCAAAGGCCGTATGGACTGCTCTATACGCCAATGCTGCTCGTGCCAATCTTGTCCTTCCCCACGCCGAGAAGGTTTTCGGTCACCAAAAGTTCACGCCCAAAATTGTTTCCACTGAGCAACTTTGGTTGGTGTACTCGAAGCCTGGAACTTCCGAAATCCAGTTCGTGCTTTCCTGCACGGAAGGACCACTAGGCAAATACCCCCTCTACATCATCCCCACAGTCCCCGCCCAAGATTTGACGCCCGAGCTCCTCAAAAGTTCCATGGAGGCGCTATGCAGTGCGCTTCTGAGCGAATCTGGCCTCACCAGAGCGAGAGTCTTTTCTGTGTTTTCCATTGAGAAAGTCACGGAGGCCTTCGTTCGGGAATGGGAGGAAGTCGCAAAGATCAATCGCATCGAGGAGCCATATTACAGCGCAATTTTCTCGGTGTGTACCGCAAGCACATTGGTCCGACAACAGCGACCTCCTCGTCCATCAGGGGATGTGGTTCTTGAGCCGCGTCTTGCTGCAGAACAGGACGTCGACCAGGTTGCTTTACTGTGTTGCGATTTTGCCGCGACTTCGGTATGTTTATTGCATCCTTTCTAAAGGTCAAATGTTTATGGATGAATCCCTCTAGCCCCCGTTCATTCTCACCGACGAGAAAGCTCGTGAAGAAGCTAGGCTTCTGATTGCCAACAGACAATTGTGGGTACTCGAGATGCAAAAGCGCAATGGAAATCCCGAGATCGCCACTATTGTTGCTGTGACGCGGAAGTCAGAAGGTGTTGCCACCATCACAAAGGTCTATACACCAGAGAAGTGGAGGGGTAATGGCGGTGCTGAGAGACTGGTTCGCCATGTCTGCATTGAGTACGTACTAGCGGCTATGATATTGCGTCACGACATTAACTTCTTTTTGAACAGATTGCTGGAGAAGTACAAGCAAATCGTCTTATATGTCGGGGTTGACAATTGCGCCAAGGTGGTGTATGACCGCGTGGGTTTCCAAGGTCTCAGTGAGGGGTCTTCCTCGTCGGAGCGATGGCTAGAGATGGGTTTCGATGAAAACAAAGTGGAACTCGGACATTGGTAGATTTTTGTCATATTTTCTTGCATCTTGCTCCGCATGGTTGTTCACACGTGTCCCTCTGACATCTTGTATCTTGTATCTTGTATGTAGCATATATAGCGCTCACCATCATTCTCTATCGCTTCAATTAATATGTATTGGATAGCACGTGTACATATGTATTTCTTCTTGATTCTTTGGACGATCGGGCTACTTATCCGATATCAATAGATGTATGATCAAACCTCTCCTTGCTTGAGCCACCGATCACCAAAGGCTTCATCGTCAGGATACGCTGCATTCAGTTCTGGGCTCAACAGAAACCTTGCTCTCCCATCAACTTGGGTCAAGTCCTCGAAGTACCTCCCTGCCTCTGGTGCGTCTATGAAAATTCTGCGTACATCAGCTGGTTCCAGACATGTCGTTCCAACGTTATCCTCTGCAACATCTGTGACATCACAGAGACATCAGCCCTGGCATTAAGATGTAGGGAGTACACCTACAGCGCAAGGAGCCACTCTGAGTTAGAGCGCGATAAAAGGGTTGATGGCGCCCTCGAGAGAGTGAATCAACACCCATCTCACGGATCCAGTCCTCGGCCGCTGCACAGGAGGGCTAACAAAAAGCAAACAAAATGAGTGATGAAAACAGTATACGAACTCAACACCCACATCCCAGCCGTACACATATCCCACGTATCCATGGGCTGCATGCTTGAAAACCATGCCAACGAAGAATTTCACCTCCTGTGTGAGTGCAGAACGAGGATGGGAGGTAGTAGCCGTTTCCTTCTCGTCCTCCATGATAGTCTTACATTGCGTCGTGAGCTGCTCTTGGAGGTGCGGGTTTAAAAGAGGAGTCAATGAATCGACAAGCACCGGCAGCAGATCGAGGAGGAACCAATTGAGATGTTTCATTATATTCAAGAGATACCTATGGTTGTTCATAAAGATGACGTTGATCACGAGGCTGGCATAGAATGCTGTGTGCAGCACAACTTCAGGAACTGGTCCTGCGGGGAAGTCGTAGACGGACGCTAAGACATTCCGGGATGCCCGTACCAGCATAGAGGTGGAGGAAGCGGGGGTAGTCCAACGGAGCGTTGAAGTAGCGGTGATTCCTGCTTGAATGAGGAAGTGCGGAATATCGTCATGGAGCGTCAGAATGGCTTGTGTTCGTGAGCCAAAAACATCGACAAAAAATTCTGAGACATCTGGGTCGGGAGAAGACACGACGGCCAGAACTCTGGTAGGAAAGTCAACAGGTGCTGCTGTAATGCCCATTTTTCGTGCAATGCACACGAAAACGTATACAAGTGATATGGGTATAGTTGCCTTATGCGTAGTCAAGAAAAGGTGAGGAAAGCGGTTTTGCAACATGTGAAACCGTTGCCCTGAATTGTTGCTCGTTGAAAAATAGAATATCATATCTGAAGGGAGCTCACCATCCGCAGCTTCAAAGCCACAGCTCCACAAAAAGTCGCAGATCGAGGAACAGACGAGTCTGAGCTTTCCAGCATCGCTGGTAAATTCAGCCGGATCAAGGGGAATTTGACGCTCGATAAAGTAGGCATTGCAGAGAGCCGTAAGTTCCTCAAGTTGGGACAAGACCTCGAAGGAGTTTAGCAACTGTTAAGAGTACGCCAACTGAAGCTACGAACCTTCATGGGAGGGTATACGAAAAAGCTGGACACGCAAGCGAATGAAAGCTCCAACGCTTGGGGTGTGTCATTGGATATAAGCTCCCCCCAGGTGCGAACAGCGTCACTTCTAGCAATAGCACCAAGAAGCATTTGAGCCCAAAAGCGAATGGAAACTGCGTGAGGGGGAGCGGGACCCTGCTCTGGAGCTCCTGGCTCGCGGAATGCCTCCGGAAGCGGATAATTTGCGGCAATCTCGAGGGCATTCCATGCGTCAAACGAGAACATGGTGTTGACCTCTCGCGCTCTTTCCAGTCTTCTGTCACCCCGTTCTGTGACGATCTTGAACAATATGCCCAATGTCTCGAGGTCTATGCGCCGCCTCTCGAGATACATCAGTCGCCAGTCGCCACCTGTAGATTGCTTTCGCAATTGCTCTTTCGCGGGGTCACATATTGTATATCGGACACGATAATGTGGTTCCCATAGTCTTGAAACAGATGCAGCTGTCCGAAGGGAAGTGCTTGCCTTCAAGCAAGATATAAGCGCATTAATGCTCTCATCAGAATCTGTCAATGGTGTCAACTGCTCGAGAATCTGTACGTAGAGGTCAAAGGGAAGTTCCCGTATCGTCATCGTAGTAGACCTCTATCATGATCATGTGCCAATCCCATCTGGTTTAATCATGCGAAATTGTATGACAAATTACAATGTGGGATAAAACGCATGTTTTAGACACAAACGGTAAGATTAATAGAACATATGATCGTGATCGATCGATAAATCTGCCTACTGTTGCAGAGGAAATCGGATGTCCATTCGACAAAGATCCCCGTCCAATAGCTCGAGGGATTGTCAGTACACGAAAAGCTAGGATGAAGAATATTGTAGCAAAGATAATGTCCACAACTATCGATAACACATAGTAAATGTCTGGGTTATACGTAGGTACCAGTACTTGGGGTAATTCGCACAGTTCGGTTCCCCTTCGCTTCCGTCATGGTAGTATCATTTCACAGTAAATCGTCCATTGTCTGGAGCATGTTCTCCCAGAACTGCTCCACCATTACCTTATCAAAACCATTCACATCATATCCGAGGCTGACCCACAACTTGCCAGCGAACGTGTACCCAAATAGCAGCATGCCCCCAGATCGCTGCCGCGAACCAGTTGTCAATGTGTGGAGCCTGATAGCGGGGAAGGTTCCATGTTTGTATATCCCATCGAGATTTCCTAGAAGGGATAAGCCAATCAATGCGGTAGAAGGCGTACGTAGTGCGGTGTCCGCGGCCGGAATAGGAGGAGGGGGGACAAATGTTCCACGTTCCCTTTCATCGTCTTCTTTAGCCCAAAGACGAGCCCGCTGTCCCCTCTCTTCAGCCATCAAGAGACTACGTGACACGATCATCCGGTTTTTGGCAGCTTGGGTGCTCTGCTCCTTTGCAACCCGAGCCCGATGCCAGAATACCGAGGACAAGTCCGTCGATCGAGGTATAAATGTTGGAAGGATCACGTTGAAATAGCCGATCGCAAGAAACCAGTACGAATCATTTGCTGGCTTCACCGTGAAATATGGGCGCAGGTTTAAAGCCGAGTACATCATCCTGCCCAAAGGTTGGATATGGAAGGCATAATCAAAATGTCTTGACTTACATTGACAAGTCTTGTTTCTCAGAGCACATCTTTGCCCAAGCAATGTTACAAGCGGCGAATATGGCTGCGGAGACGGAAACACCATGTGTTTTGCATCTTTTTAGAATGGCTTTCGTCCGCTCAGGGTCATAGGAAACAGTCGGGACAATGGTATGCCTGGGCTGCTTTGTTTGTCGACGGAACGAATGTCCGCCCTACCAAGTTGTCAATAGACTATCCATCAAGAAAAGGCACAATATTCACCACAAGTCTTCGCTGACTCAACTGGAAGTCGACCTTTTCAGCTGCAGTGCGCATTTTACTAGGACCGACGGTGAAGTTGTCTTCCATGGCATTCGGTAATACAGCAGTCTGAAGTTGTTACTCAGCTAATTTTGAGACCGCACAAAAGATGCATACCCTGGTAGAGTCTGCGCCCCATCGAGAGCTGAGTTCTTCCTTCAGCTGAGCTTCAAGTTCAGCAATGGTTTTGTCACCGCCGAGCAGTCCAAACAAGTCGTTTGCAAATTGGTGGAGTGCCATACCATCTCCCAAAAAGTGAGCGGCACAAATCATGATGTCATGATTATATGAAGGAGATTCGCGTTCATTAATCGGTGACGTAGAGCGAGGCGTTATAGGGGGACTAGGTAAAGATGTGCCTCCTTGAGACACAATAAGGTAGGACAAACGGTCATTCGACAACGTTCGTGTTCCATTTAGGTACGAATCAATGAGTTCTACAACTCGCATAAATATCAAAAAATCGTGACATCAACATGGGCTTACCATCTTTGGTCGAAGTTCTGTATTCCAAATTGCAGTCCGCATCAACCAAAGCATATTCCGGAGATTGAGGGGGCGTGAACCTGGAGAGATTAAAGCCGTGTTGTTGTAAACATTAAGCTGGGAGCTGCCAGTGCAACTTACACAAATTTGACGTCGTCATAACCTTGCATAACGACCTTTGAAGCCAAGAGTGGATGGCGAATACGAAGGATTGCCCAGACCATACGAACACGGGCCCGGCGAACGACGTGCTCTGGAGCAACGAAGCCCAGATGAAGGTACCTACGGAGGTCATATAAGATCTCCGTATAATGAAGAAATGTCTCGGAAGGCTCACATGTCATTAACGCCGCTCGCGCGAGACGGAAGAAAGTAAGATAGTTCACTGTTGCCCAATGGGCGTTCTACCCACCATGCATCTTTCAGAGATGAGCAATAGCGGCTTCCTTGAGGTTTCACCTCTGAGTCCTCGTCGGAGGCACTGCACGAGGCATCCAACGGCACTGGAAGCGAGGAATCCATATCCTCTTGATCGCTTGGTAGGGGAGGGGCATCTTATACCATTTCATTTTGCTTGCCCTGCAATCGGTTTAGTGCTTTTACAAAATTCTTGAATGGGACGTGCCGATCAAACTTAATCTCGACCCGGTTCGGGTTCGTTGAAGTTCGGTTTACAATGAGCTGTTTACTACTATTTGGACGTCATTGTTGCGGCGAAAGAGCGCACGTATTTTAAATACTTACTGTCACCAGCCTCGTCGATGCATCAACCAACGGATCGTCACGGCCCAGGATGGCCGAGGCAGCTTGTAGATGAAGCTCAATGACGCGTGACGCGTGACACTTGACGTCTGGCTATGTCAAAAATCGCCCACGGCGCCCGCGATACGCCTTGATTTGAATTTTGGAAGCCACCCATTATGACTCACTCAGCATATCACTGCGCTTGTCATGGGTTCTCAGGCCCTCGAGGTCTCGGCTGTCAAACTGCTCCCCCTTGTCCTAACTTTTATCCATTAGGAACTACCGGATTCCAGGGACTTCTATGACGTGATTCCTTGGCCAACCCGTGACAGACGTATGATAACAGCACGCCTCGGATGTCAAGCTTTCAAGGCTCACGAGTCCACAATCCTGATCATGCGACAGCAATCGCGTGATTATCTGGATACGATCGACGATGGAGAACGTAAATTCGAATCGCAACACTGAGGCTTTCTCAAGACTGTCGTCCCTGACGACTCCGAACATCAGTTAAAGACCTCAAGGTATCTGACGGATACAGCCTAATATATTGCGCAGTCAGGCCATCATCGTTTCGAGAAACTGATGATCAACTTAGCTTCAAGAAGCTGTACCAGTGTAGTTGTTCGTGACGTGTCACCGACAGTAATTATAGACACGCAAACACGATAGATATAGCTAATGACTTGCAAGTGCGTAATGTGCGTAAGTGTCTGTAAGTTGTCCGTCGATGGTAAACAAGAGTGCTACTAGTAAGAATTGTCCCGGGTGAACATATACCCGCTGTAATGATCACTCACGACAAAATTCCGTGCCTAATAGAGACACGAGCGTTAACGTTCAGGCCCTCAGGGACAGTTTGTTACACTTTTTCATCTTCCTACCGGCTCTCCGAAAACCACCGTAACCTCACCATCGCCATCACCATGGTCATCATCAGAATCTTCCTCGGATTTCCTATTTCCTATAGCCTCGAGGTCAACATCCTTGCGCGGCGGAGGGGCGGTTTCAAATGATTTGACCCAGGTATAATAACTAATTGCCAGGAACAAATGGGCCATCAGTGCTCCTACAAGATCGAGGCTTCAACAGTACAGGCACGTACATGGTGCCTATCGTGATAACCAGAATAGACCCTGCGCGATTGCTGTGCGAAGGTAGAGATTATCTCGGAGTCTTTATGGATCCGAACTGAGTACATACACCGTCATTAAGTCTTTGAGTAGCCAGACGCCCAACAGGGTTTGAATAACAGATCGTAAGGCCTGCAGCAATGAAATGGTCCCATAAATGCTCTGTATACAGTGAAGATGACTTACGCTAGAGAACATATGTGTGATAGGACTTGTAACCTTGATGCTGAGCAGGCCGGCAATACAAAGTAAGAAACCGAAGACGCCGGTCACGATACTCCCCCATAGAAACACTTGTCCGTCCCAATTCGAATCGTGGATAAGGATCCTCAAGGGTGGAAATTTCTCTGTAAAACAAGACAAAAGGGAAAAGAAAAATTGCCGAGCCCAAGTTGGTCCAGTATGCAAGTTGAATAGTTGAGTTGTTACAATAAGGAAGGGAGGACTTGATAAGAACAGCATGAAAAGCGATGAAAAGCGACGAAAGGACGCCATAGAACAGAGAAAGACCTGAAGGCGCAACATGGGCGGGCACTGTCGCAGAAATAGGTGCTACGCCGAGCAAGAAACCTATGGCAACTGTCCCAGCAGCAATTCCAACTCGGACAGAAGGCACAGTACGAGTGTGCACTGGAGAATACAATGATGGTCAGAGGTAGGACAAGGCCACGCGCAATCTGTGGAGTTAAACAGCGATCTTTGCATTTCTAGGAGACCACACACCTGGAAAAAAGAAGCCTCAACATCGCGAAGGCAAAGAGTGTTGAAAATGAGTCCAATGATGTTGACAAGGACTACAGGCGTGAGCTTCTTCGCGGTCTCGAGCTCAAGCTTGGGTATCTCGACACGTGTAATGAACATAGCCGCCACGTGGAGGAGCACGACTGCGATAAGCAGCTGCAGGAGGAGGAAGAGCAGCGGTAAATCCGGTGAACCTATTAAGAACAGTTTTATTCCTGCGCTCGGAGCTTGAGTCAACGTCCACACTCTAGCTAGACCATCTTACACAAAAACCATCTGCCAGTGTGTTTGTTAGGGGCTAGAGTCACGTACAAACCACTCACCACTAGTGCAGCAGACATGTAAAAGCCCACGACCGCCGCCACCTTTGGTGTGTTCGCGTCGAAATACCTGTTATTCATCCTTTCCAGAATGGGGGATACTGGAAGAACACATAGAGATCAACTTGTGCTTTTTAGCGTGGAAAGCATGGTGACTGTATCTGAAACTGTCGGAGCGAGCTGGTTCATCGTTCGGGTGAGCCAAGTTACCGGAATTCTCGAAATGGTAAGCGTAGATCAGGGGCCGAACGGGGTAATATCACCGTCACCACTTTCGCACGAGACCCGTCAAGTCAAGTCAACGCGTCACACCGGAACGTGATAATCAATATATCGGTCCCCCTAGCGCATTATACAAATGGATAATTCGATATGAGTCTCGATGCTCCCACCCTTGTCTAAACTTGTCATGGACAGAACTTCATCAGATGAGTTTCTGCTGGGAGCAAGCTCTAAACAAGATCCATACGACGACCCAGACTCGGAGAGCCCTTTTATTTCTACATTCCGTGCTAGACCTATGACACCCGCTAACAGTAGAAGGCGAACTTTCAGGACGCTTTGCACAGTTCTGGCAGCTGTTTCCTTGCTCAGCTTTGGATTTGTCCTGCTCAAGCCCTTGAGCTATCTTGACATTGAGGAGGCGCCCATGTATCCGGCTACCTTTAACTCGCAGTTGTATGTCCAAGGTCCGCCCACTCAACGCTTTCGAGGTCAGTTAATTCGTTCGAGACATTCTTCTCGAATCTCACAGCACTGACCCCAGATAACCTTCGTAACGACACAAAGTACATTACATCGTGGATTTCTGCGGGATGGAGTACGTCACCTACCCACCGCCATGTACGCTACTGACCGCAGTTACTTGCTAGCGAATGACGTGATGACCTATGTAAGTCAATGAACCGATTTTTTTCCGCTTACTCACAGACACTAGGGAAATTTGATTTACCTCGCACTCATAACAGAAGCGTATACCCATAATTGCGAAGTTCATCCCTTCTCATGTCGACAACAGTGCACCTCCATTTGCTTTTGGGGAGGTCATTGACATTCCTCGGCTCAGCCAAGCCATAGAGAGTCCTGTAATTGAATGGCACGAAGTAAAGGACTCGGAAAGCGAGGTTCTCGACGACCTTGGCTGTTGGAATGTCTGGGAAAGCGTTCAAAAGCTGGAACCCCGTCCTCGGGAAAGTCCTTCCCTCGGTTTACTCAGGCTCGGTGAGACAAATTTGGACATCTTTAGTCGGTGATTATCTGAGCGGCGATTACAGATGTCTCATGGACGCGAACCCCAGATTGGGTCAAGCTGAGTCCTCCTGCCATAGGAGACAACCATGCTTCCTTTTGGTCACTTGCAACCCTTGCGTTTCCGGAGACTCGCTCAAACAGCCTGGAATTAACGAACCGTCCTTCTCCACAGCATCAGGTTTCCCTTCCCCCGGATGATCAGCTACTATGCTTCGATTACCTGTACTACGTAGGCGCCCAGAATGCGTGGGAATGGGAATCGGACTATTCTCCTGCATGGAGATTTGTAGGCCAACACATGCACTGGAATGCGAGCCTCGAAAGGCTTGCCGATGAACATGCTCGGCGCGCTATGAATGTGCCAATTAATGAACCAACACCACCCGTGAGTGATAACTTCGGTTCCAGAATTGTTCCATGGATCTAACTGTTGATAGTATATATCTATCCATATACGGCACGGGGACTTCCGCAATTACTGTAATGATCTGCCTTTGGATCAGTGTTTTGCCTCGTTGCCTGTCATTGCGCGCAGGGTGGCCGAGGCGCAAGAGGAGCTGCGCACACAAAAAAGTATCGAGGTCACACAAGTTATTATGACGAGCGACGAGCGTGACCCGGAATGGTGGTCGGGGGTCAGGGCAATGGGCTGGACTTGGGTGGATTATGCAACAGAGCGGACAGAGGAGATCTACGGAAAGTGGTGAGCCGAATAGATGCCGTATTTTCCTTCTGATGCTAGAAGCTGTGATTGTCAGGTATCCAGTGTTCATTGACGCTGTTATTCAATCAAATGGAGCCGGCTTCGTCGGCACTCATGGCTCCACAATGACCACTCTAGCCCGTCGCAGAGTGGAGTCGTGGCATGGTGGACCAACTCGAGTCGTCAAATGGGGCTCGCCAAACGCTGATGATCACTGATATCTGATCGGTGGAATGGAAGATGATCTTGCGCCGTAGATATTATTGGCTGGAATGGATCTTTATCTTTGCATTTTTAGACTTTGTATCTAAGTCGATCACATGGACACACCTCATGTACCAACGGACTATAATGCGCACATTGTATAGAGTACAGACGTGATTGACATGTCTCAGTCGATGAGGATATCTTAAACGTAGGGACTTCTATCCTCGGATACCATGGTAGGTCGGAACTTTCCGCCGTTAAACTGCCTGACGACGCAGTGCATCCAACCCCTTGTACCAACTTGATAGCTTATCAAGGCGCCTAGTAAGGCCGCCGACTGAGTATATACACAGATGACTCAACCTAATCATGCAGAAGTAAGCAAGCAGGTGGACGAGAAGACAGTAAGACCCACTCAAGATACCCCAGAAGAGTCTAAAACGTCTGATCGATGGGTATGGAGCACCGCATCTTGACTAATTGAACAAGGGCCCTATTGACTGGCATAGGAATATTATATTGTTCCCCTAGCCTAACTAGGTAGCCGTTTAGGAAGTCGATTTCGGTTGGGTTGTTCTTCCTTATGTCGGAGAGCATAGATGACATGTTGCCTCGTGTTACGTGTGTTACGCGCAAGACTTCGCGTTCAAGAGCATCTGCTCCCAGTTCTTTTGGAACACGTCCCCACTGGCACCTGGCTCTTATCTACGCTGGGAGCTAGAGAATCGAGCCATGATTGCGTGTCCGCTTCAATCTGTGCACAGAAAGCAGCAGCAGCTTCTTCGCAGACGCTGCGCATCATATTCTGTGACGACTCGTCCTTGAATAAACCGCCATTCCGGCAGCCTAGGACGGCGGTGAGCGGATTCACGATGGCATTCACCACGAGTTTCTTGCGCATCGCGAGTTGGACCTCTGTAATAGGACTCCATTTGCATCCAAGAGCATCGAGAGATCGTAATACGGCTACCGTATGGCGTAGGCTGCGGTACTGGTCGAATGAAGGGTCATCTGGATGTGTGATGTCATCCAAAACGAGTGATCTCTCATACAGCGGCTTGCTTTCATCCGCCATGGATGTTTCGAAATCGCGCTTGCGGCTATCTGGAACAATCCCAAATGTGATGTCCCCAATTCCCGCATGAACTACATGGAAGGCTGACTTGAGCCATGCTCCGTGGGTATTTGATGCCAAGATAAAGTGTGGTCTGCTTTCCGGGTTGCGGAATATCCGCTGGACGAGGTCTTCATATAATCCCATGCCATTTTGTAAGAGCACGACGGTACTACGAGAGGTGAGGCGTGGAGCCAGATGTGACAGTGCAGGCGCAGTACTATGCGCTTTGGTCGTTATGAATAATGCGTCGATAGGTTCTGTCCGTAAATCTCCGTCGCTGGGGGTGAATCCGGCGCTCTCCTCCCTTGAAAGTTTGGGATTGAAGCGCACTCCACCACCTGATCCGCTATGCTTGTCGAACACCTCGATATCGAAACCGTCTGTGGATTGTCGGATTCCTTGATTTTCAACTGTTATTTTCGCAGCTGCATTTTGTGGCGTCCACGCCTGCTTGGCAGTCTTTTGGATGAGAGTGACTGGGTGCGTGCGTGGAAGAAGCTGATCGTAAGTTATGTGCGAGAAGGCAGCCGATGGGCCCGAGCCCAAGCACGTAGAAACGCATGTCACCGATACTAATTAATTCCTCAGGTGCCAAACTAGACATTCACGCTGACGGTAAAAGGTTCATGTGACATTCGTTATAGAATAAAGGAGATCGGACGCACTCGACGGGAGAAGGAGAAGTTCGTGGTGTGAATGACTGCCACGAAATATTAATGAGTCACACGGGTGTGTGCATGTAACGTTGGTTAAAAGAACGTCTTCGAGTTCGTCGTCGTCGTCGCCTGCCACGTTGACAGGATGAATGTCGGGGAAACCCCAGGCAAAGTTCTATTTCCCGCGAGACCACGTGCCAGGACGAATGCATTGGCGACGGCGGCCAAGCCTTCGAACGCTCATTGTGAGCTTGAAGCTTAGCATGGCACCCTAAATTATTATATTTGTGCCTCTTTTCTAGTCACGAGAACGTTGAGTCTCCTGAAAAAGTATAATCTTCTATCACGAGGTGAAGTTTCGGACCGTTCGATAGAAATTTAAAGGTCTCTCAGCGATCCCATTGTTACTCTGATACTCCCACTTCATTTTGTCCATTTCACTAGTCATGGCCTCGATTGTTTTGAAGAGAACTCAACAAAAGGTCGGTGACACACGATTTGTGTAGATCAAATGCTGATTCCATGGATTCGTAAAGATGCCCGTGGTCGGGTACGTACTGATTATCGATTATACACAGGATCAGAATTGCATTAACCTCAATTTACCTACAGCTTCGGGCTCTGGAAGGCAAGTCTACTGAAATTAAATTGGACACCTGAGCTGAAGTGCTGTCCAGGTAACTAAATCCACGTGCGCTGACGTGAGTTCCAGATCTTTAAAAGTGATAAGGCGTTCTTATCCTGTTTTCTAGACCGTGTACAACGCGATTAAAGCGGGGGTACCGTCTTCTTGATGGTGCCGGTGACTACGGAAACGAGAAGGAGGCAGGTGAGGGTGTGCGCCGAGCTATTGCGGACGGCCTCGTCAAGCGAGAGGACCTATGTGAGTATTTCTCGCCCTTGAACCAGCTCACGAATTGATTTGCTTTTCATGAATCAGTCATTACGTCCAAGGCAAGATACCTTCTCACACACGTTGGATTATAACTTAGTGAATTATTGTTTTATAGCTATGGAACACCTTCCATGCCCATGATCATGTCAGTCATTTTTAGTTATTTGTAATGCAGATAATTTCTGACCGACGAATCAGGTCAAACAAATCGCCAAGATGCAACTTGGCCTCTGGGGAATCGACTACTTCGATTTGTTCCTCATCCACTTTCCCATCGCACTGAAATATGTCGATCCTAGCCACCGCTATCCCCCTGAGTGGTTCGGTGATGATGGCAAGGTCTACACCCGTAAGTCAAGCCAGTGGGTTACGATGGATGTATCTCAGATTGACATCATATCTCAGAAAACACGCCTATGCACGAGACTTGGAGTGCAATGGAGGAGCTCGTCGATGGGAAACTGACGAAAAATATTGGTCTGAGGTGATTATTGCGAATTAAGTTGTACAGTGCGTTTTTGTGAACACCCTCCAGTAACTGCCAGGGATCTTTAATCCTTGACTGTTCTCCGGTATGCCAAGTACGAGCCCCAGGTATTGCAGGTTGAGCTGCACCCATACCTTACCCAAGAAGCTCTCGTCAAACTTTGCAAGACGTTCAGCATTGCCGTGACTGCCTACTCATCGTTTGGGCCTCAATCCTACGTCGAACTTGGCGTTGACAAAGGTGCTCCTTCGCTACTCAAGCACAACGTGACTTCCGCTGTGGCCAAGACACACGGAAAGAGTGGGTGTACAATACCACTCATCTGTGACAAAACCTGACACAAGATGATTAACAGCCGAAGCTCAGGTTTTGCTGCGTTGGGCTACGCAACGAGGTATTGCTGTCATTCCAAAGTCCAACGATCTTGGCAGATTGTCAGCAAACTTGGACTGCAACTCTTTCGACCTCTCGGCATCCGAGCTTGCAGCCTTGAGTGCACTGAATATTAACCTCAGGGTGCGCGCGCACTGATGATACTTATATGACAACTGATCTAAACTTTTCGCTCCACAGTTAAATGACCCCGCTGACATCGATGGTCGCTTAGCCATCTTCGCATAAAGGCGTGACGGATAGAAGTGTAGAAACAGTGTAGAATGAATGTATACTACTGTCCAGAATGCTCGAGAACCGAGAACACTGATCTTGTTGCATGCGCAGTGACCTTGTAATTTGCTTGCTGTGCGGCCGCAGGGGCCGCAGCACCGTCGGAGTTTCAAAGCGGCTTTATCTCCTGATAGTTAGTAACATATTGCATTAGCGCCTTCCTTTCATCCCCCATGGCTACAATTGCACAATTCAAGCTTTCGAAACAAGGCGGGCTCACTCGTCGCCTGACATTCCCTGCTCACCCTAGTTGGGCCGCTTTATCCTCAAAGATTAATGAAACATTCGGTATTGCGACTGATAATATTGGCGTATCCTACCTCGACCAAGATGGGGACGAAGTAACTTTCAGCTCTGAAGAGGAGTTGCAGGACTACTATAGTACCCTCGGTGACACCAAATTCAAACTTATCAGACTTTCGGTACAGGACCTTAGCTCCCTTAGGTCCACTGATGTAGCACCCCCCCGCAACCATACCGCACCCCCACAGCACTTCCGTAACACATTCGGAGAACAGGATTCGCTGCCTTTCGTTTGGGAGGTCGATGACGAATGGCAGCGTCTCCCTGGTAACTTGGGCAGTCTTTTCTTGTCCAGTGACTCTCCGGAGAGTCCACACGCATTCGTGGAGGTTCTCGAGAGTGACGTCAGTGTCTCCAAGAAGTCTGACAACGCAGACGAAGAATCTGCCATTGGAGACACTACCCGCTCAGACGGGACATTTACTACGCCTACTTTCCGTGCAGACAAGGGCAAGTCGCGCCTCGCGATGCAGCCTACAGTTGAAGACGATGCTTCGTCTACCGATTCGGTTTTCGGCGACGATGCGCCGCCGCAGCCAAAGGCTCGTGTTTATGACTCCGACGAAGCTTCCACATTCGGCGGTAATGTCAAGTCTCCTGTCTCGGTCAATGGGACAGTGACTCCCGCTCAGGCGCAGAGTACTCCTGTCATTTCTGGGCAGGTTCTTCCTGAGGCTGTGCTGAAATCCACCGAAGATTCTAACGCACCCATCGTTGATGACCCTGCCCTCCCCGCCTCGGGCAGCACAGGGGCATCGTCTCTCACTCATGACGTAGCCGTCTTCTTGAACACAGTTTCCGGTATTGTCTCCTCTCACCCAGAATTATCAGAGGGTCTTCGTAACATCGTTTCCAATGCCACAAATGGGACATACTGGACCGCGCATCGTGATGCACTCTCTCGCGCTGCCGAGAAAATTCAACAGGAAACTGGTAGGACCGTGGAAGAGATTCAGAATGCGGAAGAGGAGGCTAGCGCCAGAGTTGCAGACGCCCTTGGTGGAATTTTCCGTATCTTCGGCGAAGCCGTCCAAACTGCTAGGACAACAACTGAGCCATTCCGGTCACCTGCCGCTCAAGATGTACCTATAGCCCCAGAATCTGCACCTGAGCCTCAGTGCTCCCGACCTCGCGAATTTATCCCATATCCAGGACCTCCTCCTCCAGGTCATTTCCCGCCTCATCCTCATCATCGTTGGGGCCCTCCCCCTCCGCCGCCGCCTGGTCGCCGTCATGGGTGGCCCCGACCCCCTCCACCCTTTTGGGGTCTTTCAGGCGGGCGCCAAGAGGAGGTTGGTCCACATGTGGATCATCACAATGCAATCCGTGCAAGGATGAGCGATATCCGCACTACGTTGGCGGAGGCACGCAACCGGCGTTTGGGAAATTTAGCACCGGGCAACCCGCCTCCCACTTCTAACGCACCTGCTGCGCCACAAGCGCCTGTTGTACCACCCTCTCCCGTAGTGCAGGGTGGGTTGTCTGACTCCAGCATATTCAGGAGCACTTCACCCACCCAAGAGGAGCTCAGGGCTGATGTTGAACGCGCCAAAGCCGACTATAAGATGCGCAAGGAGAGGTATCGTCAGGCTAAGGCCAGCAGAAGATTGGCAGAACGCGAACAAGTAAAGGAATCTAGTGGAAGGTATTTCGCTTCCCTTCGTTCTGATCAGGAGGATATTAACTCGCATCTGTAGCAATGATATTTCCGGGCTACCTACCGCTTTCGACATGACGGAGCCGAACATGAGTGGCGCAGATACATCTGTGTCTCAAGGGCCTCCTGCGGCAACCCCAGCCCATGAGCAGGTGACAGTACCTCTATCCCCTACTCCTGCAGCCGCGCCTGTGCCCTCTCAGCTTGTTACACCTGCTACACCTCAGGTCCATATCGTAAGCAATGCGAGGGGCGTGTATCCCCAACTCGAGATGTTCAGCGTCCCTAGGCGCAGCCACACCATTGGACACACTGCACACCGTGGCCTCGAGGACCGTTCCAGGCAACGCATCATGAAGAAATTGTCTGAGGTACGCTCCTTATTATTTTCTGTCTCTTAAATATCTCACGAAGTTTTTGTAGATGGGTTTCACTGAGGGCACGTATCCGAAATTGAACACCAAGGTATTGGAACAGATGGTCGCCCATCCTCCCACCACCAAAGACATCGAAGATGATATTGTGACCAACTTGATTGAGGAGCTTATTCCTTCCGCTTTTACACCTCAGGCTAGCAGCTCTAGGGAGCCTATCCCTGGCGCTTGGGCCTAGGTGTGTTGTTGTACGATGTGTGATGCAGATTCTTGACTCTATTCTGGGCTTTTAGTCTGACTTTCTGACTGTTGTATCATAAGTTCTTGTATTCTGATTAGTTATGTCAAAGTTATGGGATCGGTACAGTACTGTAAATTCAATACGTTTGTGCAACGTATGTGACTCTATTATCTCTTGATGTCCTCGGCCGATATTCTTGGGTTTTATGACTTGATCAATGGCAATCATTGTCTTGTCGGATCTTACAGACACGTCACAGTCCGGAAAATTTGATGGTAATAAGTAAATCACAAGACCATTATCCTCAAAATCCACTATATGTTCATGCAGACACCCGGCGAATCTACGCGTTGCAAACGTTTCGGACAATAGCGGGCCGCTGGTTGTTCGTGATAACGCATTTGGAGTGTCCGTGAACAGAGGAACACTCGGCCGTACCTCGTGCATCATGTTGAAAGACCGCGATGAGACAAAAAACAAACCATTGACTTGCGGGGGCTTTCGAAGAACAATTGACGGACTACAATTGTTGATCACGGATGTTACGAAGGAAAATACAGTGATAAAATTCAATCGTGCCAATCATGTCGATCCTGAGACACAGAATTGAAGTAAACTAGTATTTTCAAAGAAATATTGTATAGAAACTTATAAGTAAGATCACGGTTTCCGAATAAAACAAACATAAGTTACCCATGATATTGCGGACGTGAATTGTTTCACGGAAACAAATTTTGCCGTCGATTGCCGACGTTGTTGCTTTGTAGCCTCGTCACCTTCCATGAAATGGAAAAAAAAACCTAGCACAAAGCAACGTGAGTACTCAGTGCGGGCGTGTTATGGGTCACATACACGCCCTGAGCACTCATGGTGCTTTGTACTAGGTTTTTTTCCATCACTTGCTGACTAGAAGGAATACATCCATTGACGAACGCGCCGTGGTGGAACGTTCCGTGACGAGCACGCGCCCTTTCCCCTTTCTGTGATCACGGGCACCTATGGAAGAGCGGCATCGGCTTTGCCCATAACATTGTGTCAACCTGCTATGTTATCATGGAGGTGCCCAGTGGAGACTTGCGAACGTACGAATCATCCCTTTATTATCGTGGTACTTTCAACGAATACAGGTCGCGTCTTCCTGACATCCGGCACGCATTGCGCTCTTTGAAACGCGCTGCACCGTCTTTGCCGGGCAAGTGCAGCTCTTTCCGAGCTCTTTCTCTTGGCAGTGGGCTTGTAGACTGAAAGGCATAATCCGCTGCTTTCCCAGCAACAAACAAAGTGATTTTGGAGCGCCCACAAGGACAAACAACACGCTTTGCCTGTGAAACAGGCCACCAACCGGGTCACATATCGATTGCCAATGATATCCAGAAAATCGACGTGCCACTGTGGACCGTATAAAACCACACCGTCTGTGTCTCCTCGTTCTTCAACCGCTACATTATCAGAAACTAAAATCGTTACTCTGCTCATTTTCTCTCAATCCTTTATCCATCCCAACTATCTTAATCCGCACTTCATCGTGTCCATCTAACGCCAGACCAACCGAAAAGACAGTTGACGCCGTTATGTCAGACTTCAATCCGGCTCGACCCGCTCCGATGGTGCGTAACTTCATCGTCTTTTTGTGACTTGCTTACGAGGTGTGCAAGCAGCATCCTGTGCTTGATGCCGTTGAAATGCATATGACCGTGCCTCTGGACCGGTGGCCCAAATATGCCATCATGGGCACAGCAGATTACAAGAGACGGCAGGAATTTCTCATGAGAGACCATTTGAAGAAGCTTCCTGCGCCTGGAACAATAGACACGTCTGCCAAGGATTTGTTGCTGTCCACAACGTTCGCGCACAAGATGGCGCAAATACAGCACATCATACAGCGTCAGGGCTCGGCCGCGAATGATGACCCCCGTTACATTTACCTTTATGACGACATGCGTTTCAAACGTGACATCTTTTACTGGCGCAATTTTCGTATGAATGACTTGCCACCCGAAATCATTACGCACATCTTCCGCATCGCTGCTTGGTCAACTATTACCCCAGCTGAAGGCACGCACGTTCGCCTATTGCTCACTTCGGCGTGCGCCAAATGGCGCAGGTTGATGATCGAAGACTGCACCCTTTGGAGTGCTATCTGGTTCCGAGATCCTCCTCCGTATGAACGGTCGCTGGAGTGGTTTAAGAGGGCAGGCGGTGCACCGTTGGACATCCGCATCAATGAACATGATGCCGACTGGAAGTCCAAAGATGATGATTGGAGGTACAAAGAGGACGATCATCGGTTTACTACCCAACAGATGGAAGAGCTCATGGACAAACTCTTCGCCAAACTCTCTCAGATTCGCATGCTTGTGCTTGTTGTCGACAACTGGCCCCCTGCACTCGTAGTTTTGGACAAGCTGCAGGAAGCAGCTTATGCTGGGAAGGCCATCAACATGGAACGTTTAGAAATCCATAGGATGGGACAACCTTTAGTATGGCTCGGGCCAGGGCGTACACCTGCTGTGCTTTTCGGGGGCCAGACTCAGGCCTTGAAATATCTCTGCCTCGCCGGCGTTCACATTGACTGGAACGCGACTCCCCTTAACAACCTGTCTACTATTGACCTCAGGAAAATTGCGATGAATGTTGCGCCAACATTGGATCGTTTTCGCGAGGTTCTCCTTGCTTGCCCTCGCTTGCAGAAGTTGTCTTTGGACGGCGCAGGCCCGCAACCCAGCGCTAGAAAATCCGATCACATTCCAATTGACCTTCCCCACCTGAAGGTTCTCGTTATAGGCGGCTTCAGCATGTTGTACTCGTGCTACATTTTATCTCAGTTCAAGGCACCTAACGTTCGCGACCTGACGTTGATGAACCTGACAGGCGAAGATTACACGACAATGATCATTGCCATAACTGGTCAGTACAGGGAGCTACGACTCCTGACGCTCTACACGGTCAACACTAGTCCCACAGAGGGGGGGACGAAGGCGATGGTGAAGTTCCTATACGCGATGCCTTACCTCAGCTATCTACGAATCGCCTCAATGAAGTGGCATGTCATAGAGGCATTTAACGAAGACCCTCGAGAATATGGACTTGGGAGAGACACAGTCACTCAGTCGTTTCCCGCAGAACCGTCTAGTTCTGTGTCCAAAACTTCAGACGATAGAGTTCCAGCAATTGTCTGGAACGAAGATAGCGGAGTGGGCGGCTAGGAGGAGGGAGCTAGGCGCCCCGCTGAGAAGGGCTTATGTGAATTCTCCATATGTCAGCCAGGTAACTGCGGAGGAAGCGGAGATGATCCAACAGGTCGTGGGTCTGTTCATCGCACCTCTGGGGTCCACTACCCCCGAGGAGAGGGCATTGGCGACTTGCGACCGTTATGGAGAGACGATCTAGAGGGGAAAATCCGTACCTATTGGAATGATATATTCTAACGACATGCATAGGAAACATCTGTATACCATAATTTACCAATTTCTGCATTACTCACTATCGCAATTTATCATCTCATTCATCTCAAGACTCATTCGCGTACTTAAAGTCATCGTTTGAGCCACACGTGACTTGAGTTTTTTGGTCACGTGGTGACGTACTGTGTCGCGTAAACGCGTGTTGAATTAACAACAGGCTAAATCTTATGACCTCCTTCACACTGTCACCACCATCAGCACACAGCAAACGTATGTGCTAAGTACATATTGCCATTCTTTGTAACACCATGCCCCCACTCCAGCGTTTTGCATCCTCCTCAACGATCTCGACTGTAACTCATTCAGACACGTCTATTGCTGACACGTCGATCTCGGAATCAAACCCTCCTGTTAGTACACATGTACCCTATATTAGACGACGCAACACCCCACAGCAACTCAATGCTCTCCAGCAACTGCTCGAACTGACTCCCCATCCGACTCGGGAGCAGCGTCTCGCTTTAGCTGCAGAGCTCGACATGTGCGTTGATACGATACGAGTAGTAATACACCTTGAACTGACCTTTACATCAGGGAGCTCAAGTCTGTGACCAACTGGTTCCAAAACAGACGCCAGACAGAGAAGAGAAAATCACTTGTCTGGAATGAGAATAATCCTCCAAAAATTCACGCACCTCAATCGCGTCGTCTGAAACAACGCCATCCTAATAAATCAATATCCTCCTTCTCTGTTTCGCTTGATAAAATCGCTCAGTTGTCTGAGAGACCCTCGTCACCGTCATTACTACTATCCGCCAATCGAGCACCCCTCACTCCTTTCACTCCACGGGCTACTAACGTCCGTGGCCAATCGTCTCCAAGTCCCTCGGAGTTATGGAAACACATCCCATCATCCCCCGCTGTTCCGCAATCCTCCCCAGGTGCTGAGGAAGCTAGACTGGCTGGCCTTCCCTCACGATCAAAGACCTGGCGTTCGTTAGAATGGGCCTGTCTCAAGGCGAGGCGAGACAGGCGGGTTGACAATGAAGAGGAGGAAGACGACCTCCCTTGTCTCCCCTCTTTGAGTCACGGTAGTAGGCTCAGATGATGGGTCGCATGAAGCCCTCACCCCTGATTCTAGCGTCCGAAGCATCAACCTCTCTCCCCAGAGCAATTCTTCCTTGCTCTTTGGTGGAGAGGAACACAACAAAGGCTTAGTTTTCTGACTTGAGCAAACCTCATCAGTCAGAGGATGTCGAAGCTGCCTTGACGCTCCTTGGTTTTATGGCGCGTCGTTAACATTTCATCATCTATACCTTTCTCCTCGTGTGCAATACCTATCTACCAAGGAACCTGTTGTTGTATTCCAGTCTTTATTCGGTTTTTATTTGATACCTATGGAATGTTTGCTTTACCACATCATACCTTTGAATTCATGGCATGTATAGAATGATCCTTATTCATTGTTGCGCCCATTTTTTCCAGTCATTGGCCATAGAATGACATCCAAAATTCTAAATATAGGTCGTTTGATTGATTTTGTCCACGTGACCGCGACGCGTTGGACTTGTTAGCCGCTAGGTCATATCACTGTTACACATTTCTTTGGACCATCACTTTACTCTCGCATCTCTTTCACAGCCTATCTTACTTTCAATATTCCACATGTCTATGACATCTACTACCCGGGCCACTCGTTCAACACGGCGATCCACGACCCCGACTCCTAATCAACACAACGAAAATATGATACCCACTCCGCAGCTCGATGTCAGTCAGCCATCGCCAGAAGTACGGATCGATTCTTTGAGGAAGAGGCACCGCATGTCATCCACACAACTGATGTGTCTGGAATCGCTCTATCAAAAAGACACGCATCCGTCAAGGCACAGGAAGAACCAACTTGCAGGCGAGCTTGGCATGTAGGAGGCTGTCAGCGAACTATCTCGCCACAGGCCACTTACCTTGATAAACAGGGACTACAAAACCATCACGATCTGGTTCCAAAATAAGCGCCAAATCGCAAAACGTAGCAAACCGAGCGCACCTTGCCTACCACTTCAGATTCGGAATGCCGTTTCTCAAACCCCGGATCACCAAGCTTCCTGTGCAGTCCCCATCAGTACTCTGGCGTGTCTCTTCGCCATCGGTAAACGATACTCTACAGCCTGTGATTCTGCCACCTGTTTGTTCTGAGAAGTCACGCATAAGATCATCCCCGCAAGAACAAGAAAGTGATGTCGATGATCTACCGAAGAAGTCACTGCAGGTTAAACCTCTCCTAAACTCCTTGGGTTCATTGATGTCTTCGCGATCACCCAAAGGCTTTGCACGAGAAAGATCAAGCACAACCGACAGTGGAAAGTAAGACCAGCGTCCAGGAACTATGGCAACACCTCCCTTCATCACCGACAGCTCCAAGCTCAGTGTCCGACAGACGAAGTGAAGTTCGTAGCCCTACCCACGATGAAAAGGACACACGATATAGTAAGAGAGGCCTGACACTCGAGTGGGCTTGCGACAGACAGACGAAACGCAGACGGGCAGGAAGAGACAGTGGTAGCGGCGCCGACAGCTTGAGCAGGTTCTGGCCGCCGTTTGGGTCGTCACATCCACGTACCAGTTCAGCACTTTCGTTACTCTCATTGGTTGCGGAGAAGGTCAGCACGTCTTTGCCTGCCAGTCCTGCCCCTTCACAGGACGTGATGCACGGAGCTTCCCTCCTGTTGAACTTCAAGCATTCCTTGAGAGGACTGCGACACTGGGAAGGAAGTGGGTGTAGTACTAGCAGGTTGAGAAGGCTTTAATTTTTATGACGAGCATGAAATGACACACAACACAACATCCTCTATATCGACAACTGGTATGGAAACTTGGCTACATCGGCAACATGCAAAGCGTGAGGGTACTGGCGATGCGAAGGAGCGTTAAAATGCAACAACGGCTTAAAAATAAAATGTGATGGGCTGAAACAACAATCTCAATGAGAAATCCACGCGGCAGGATGAATTACACCTTGTGCCAAATAATAGATGTTTTATATTCAAGCTAAAGAATGTCTACTTCTTTTTTTGCCAGTTTTGGCGGGGACGGACGGCGTAGAAGCTTGCTTTTTGGAGGATGCATTAGGGTTTCGGCTTTTGGGAGGCAACTATTCGGGGTGCAGGTTTCGCATGATGGGAAGATGGAGTAGTCGGGAGTGTCAATGCGACCGGACGGGTGTCGGAATGGAACGGATAATCAGGTAGACCTTTGTGTAAATCTGCTGAGTAACCGTTTACAATAGATGACTGAGTGAGAACCATTTACCTGTGATGTCCTTGAAGAATGGTATAAATGTGTCAAGGATGTCATCATTCGATACTCTGCCCATCTCTATAAAAGCGGGCTCTTCGGTCTCCATAGCTTCAGCGGTCATATCATCAGCAACGCCCTGGATGCCACTCTGATGCTCTTTGTCCACGTTTTCCTTCAGCCGCAGCTTGAGGAAGCCGTTGATCAACGGCTCGAACAGACTTTCCATCGGCGGCATGAGGTAAGCAGGGGCATCAAAGACACTTCCTGTCTCACTGCTTTTCCAGGGAAGGGAGGTATCGCTTGTGGATGAGACGGGATTGTGAGAGACGTCGGTAAGAGCTGGTACACCAAACATCTCTTCGAAGAGAGACCGCTTAGGAACCGCCAGCCCTTTCTGGAGCGCCTTCGTTGACGAACTTGCCTCATCGGCTATGTTGATGTCGTGCCCTAGAAGCACGACACCGAAAGTGTGCGTAATTCCTACAAGGGAAAACATCCGGCTGCGAGCGAAGCGACTTGGAGCGGGGTACCAAACTAAATTCCGTATCCCGAACGGTAACGTTTGTGAAAGCAGGGGAGTCGACGACGAGATGGAGTAGACCATGAGCCCATTAGTCGTGTCTGATGATGAATGATGAATCGTTGCGAAGGTATCTTGATAAGGATGAGGTACAAGATTGACATAAGGGTGGTTGTGTCGACGATGCCAACGTACTGTAGTGTGTTCAATTCAATGCAGATCGTTAATCAAGCGGAGAGACGCACCAGAGCGATTAATAATATCACAGACAGCAAGATTGGGGCCGCCAAGAACCGCGATATACTGGCCATGATGCCCAATGAAGTGTATGGACGAGATTTTTGGGCATTCTGAACACACTATGGTCAAGTGAAGTGCATTCGATCTTGAATCATACAACGCCACAGAAGGCGTCGAGCGCAACGGCCAGAAGAGATCCATCCGGAGACCAAGCAGAGTCTCTGGGCATCTCCAGACGGAAACCGAAAGACGATCTTGAGGTCCAGGAAACTAAAAGCGGTCACAAACTGCAGGTTCAGCATGAACATCTGCACATACCTTCTACATTGCCCTTCTTATCCTTCGTACTCCGTATTCTCCAAGTTTTGACGTTTCTATCCTCACCAGTGGTCACCAGCTGGATGTCATCCGAAGGACTAAAAGATATGGATGTGACCTTGTTCAAGCCATGTGGCCGGTCTACTCTGGTATTCAATATCCAAAAAGCGGACTTCTTGTCCCACCACCATATACTTGAGGTATATCTCGCCACGGAATGACTCATTTCCTTCCCGCCGGTCGATAGTCGCCATCCACTCTCCTGATGGCGAGATCACCACGCGTTCTACTCGTGAGGGCTCTAACATCTTTTCTTCTTGCCTTGACACTCGATTCGAAGGAGACACCTCCAGCTCTGCGACGAGCATGGATGACGAAGGAGAATAGGTTTGTAGTGAAGAAGGATGGGAAGAGGGGAGAACGAGTGTCGATGATAACGAGTGAACTGCTAGTGGTGTGGCAGAGGATGAGGATGCCCAGGCACTTGACGTGACGGAGTCTGAGTTCACGATACAATTAGGTAGGTCCGTATAACACATGAAAAGGACACACCTAGTTTTATGCGAGAAAAAACTCGCGATAGCTTGAGTGTGGCAGAACTGACGAATGCAAAACTTGCATCCGCCAGCCCAAGAAGATATTCTTCCTCAGCAGTAGAACTGCGCGACACCACAACACTTTTGATCGGGGAGCCAACTCGGGGCACGAACTCTTTCTTTCCAGAGTACAGCTGCCATATGACAAGAACAGCTTCTTCACCACCAGATAACAAATATGCCCCATTCCTCGTGAACGCAACAGATGAAACTGCATGGGCATGCCAATGAAGCTCAGACGTTTGCGATCGCTTTTCTACATTAGCAACTGCTGGCCTGCCCTGATTCAAGCAGTACCATAACCGTACGACACCTTTTGCGTCACCCGTCGCAAAATAATCCTCTAATGGATGGACTGCCAAACAAGTCAATGGATCTGGTGAAACGTATTTTGTAAATCCAGACTTCAGTGCAGACACTTGTGCAACGTAGGCCTTGTGACCAGCGACCGCAATCAGCCATTCACCGCTTGCAGATACAGCAAGTCCAGCCGTATACCTGGTCTTGCCAACTGGTATGATCTGAGATGACTTGTGCAATTTTGCGCCTGAAGCAGGATTTTGAGGCTTGAGTGACACACGCAAGATGATGCAGCTCTCTTCGGAAGGAGCCTTTGCAGACCGGTTTGGTTTTGGCTGTTCTACACCGCAAATGAAAAACTAGTCGTACGTTACAGATCATATCACTCACCATCACCATCACTGCTTCCCTTCTTCTTCGTCTTTGCAGTGGCGACAAAAACGTAATCTTTTATCTTTTCATGCCCGCACACGTGATGGATAGGCTGTTCGAGATTGATCGTGTGCAACAAAATGCCCTCGAGAAAATCCCAGACTTTGATAGTGCCATCTAGAGATGCGGTGATGAGCTGAAATGAATTATGTGCACTGAGTATGGCAGATGTGATGATATCCTGGTGACCATCATCCTGTGGCCTTGGTAATGTAGAAACGACCTTGCCAGATGATGTAGAATGTATCTTGATTCTTTCCCCGACGATAGAAAAAAAGTGGCTGATCACAATAAACAGATTGATTAGATCACAAACGTGACATGTCCATGAAATCTACGCACCTCCCGTCCTTCGTGAATATTGGTGGATGTGAATTGGAGTTCGAATCAGTCAGGGATGTCCATGTTAGAGGTTTCAGTGGCTCTAGTTGTGGCATCTCGCTTTCGGGTTGTTCATTCGCATTCCCCCTCTCTTGCTCTCCCTGCTTCTTCATCCTCTGCACGCCTTCCTTAACTTTATCCTTCTCTTTCGTTTTGCTCTTTTTACTTTTCTTCTTCACCGGGGGTGGCGGACTCGTTGATTCTGCGGGACTTGGTGGGAGTAGGGACATCCTTTGGTAGACGGGGAACGAAAGGAGTGTGATTTATGACCTTGACCGCGGCCATGAGCGTTCTGAGATTTCAAGCGATCGCGAAGCATTCACAGGACTTGCAAAAAATGTCACCGCCACTTCGGCGGCATTTTCCGGTATATATCCAGAAAAGGAAATCAATCGGGACTTCACTTTCAATCATCATGTTCATTATTATAGCAGAACACGGTATCCCTATACAAACCTCGTATACGTATTGCTACAAGAACAACCTTTTAAGCTCATATGTGCAGCGGATAAACCTCGAAAGAGTTAACGCTCCAAGAGGAATATACATAAATACCAAAGCAATTAACACGAATGAGAATAGAAACATCAATCTAGGAAGCAGTGAAATCACTGTACATCCTTATAACCCACGAGTATCCGCACAGACCGGGAAGGTGTGTACAGGTCCTCCTCAGAGGCAAATTGTCGCGCTTCAAGCATCGCCCGATAGAGTCTCTCCTCCTCCACAAGCTCTGCCTTCGACATTGCCTCCCGCGGAGGAACGGACCACCCCAGCTCAGCAAGTGAGCACCACAAGGATATTCGCGCCTGCATATCACTACGTGACTGGTTCAGCAATTATAAGCATGCAGCAGAGAAAGTGGTACTCACCGCTTATAGCGGTCTATCAGTATCTCGAACTTCGTCCGACTCTCCAGTTCGGACAGCTCCTGATCGGTGTCCCACCCCCATTCTGTCAATTGCCCTGTCCGATTCCTCGTGCGATCCAAGAGTTCTTCGTACATAGCCTCTTGGCATGCCAGTACACTCTGATACGACCAGTATAATTGCATAGCGAGTGAACGTTCGTCAAGCTTGTCGATCTCGTCGAGAGGAATCAAGGACTGTGAAGCTGCAACGCCCATAGATGTACTCTCAGCCGCTGAACTATCAACTATATAGAGCGGTTTTTTTATGACATGAGCTGTTTCTGTTTCTGAGCTCAAAGTGTTGGCCGTATCGCACGAGAGCGCTGGTGAATGTGGCGAGCAATCTGCAGGATTTGTTGTTGGGCATGAGAGCGCAGAACCCTCCATATTACTGAATAACGATGATTCCCTTGATGACGCTGATTTACTCGTAGCAGAGGAGTGAGTAGACGAGAATGAAACGGCAAGGGGACGAGGCGTGGTGGACGCGTGAGGTTGTGAGGTGGTTTCAGATCTGTCCGAGGATAACGAAGCTTCCATGAGAAGCGCATTTGGTGGCAATGGTTGTGGCAATGGTTGTAAAGGGGGTAATGCAGGCATGCGGAAATGGACAATAGGTGCAGATATTACTCGACGAAAATTCGAGGTGAAATATATTGGGAGAATAGCTAATGCGCGTCAGATGCAAATGATATCACACACATACAGTGCAACCTACCTGTTGGTCGCAAGTTGATAAATCGGTTCCTCAAATACAGCGTAATACAAGCTTTCGAGTAGTACATGGTCATGAGGTAGGGGTGAGATGTCTGGTTGTGACGAGGGTGTCTTGCCATTGCGGTGATGCGAGCCGTTGGGATAGTGGACAGAATCTGAACGCTTATTGCGTGCTCGCAAAGGTGCCGTGAACCAGGTAGGCAGTGTAGGGAATAGGATATCTGGGAGTAATCAGTAGGGAGACATAGACAACATAATGATGTACCATGTTCGAGGACTTCGACGACGCCACCTGGTCGTAGGACGCGGTTCACTTCCTTGGGAGACAGTCATGATATAGTTGCAAAAGAGGGGAACGATCTCACCTCAAAAAGAACACCCCACTGGAGCCGGCATATTTAGAATGTGTTCATTGATACAATGTGAGTAAAATTAACATACCTTGTTCTCAGGAATACCCCGGCCTAAGCCGTGCATGTGAACATGGTCGAATTCGTCATCGTCAAACGGGAGTTTCGTCGTCAGACTCATCAAGGAATTCCTTAGACCCATTTACACGTTGGTTCAAAAGTATTACTCACAAGTTCCCGTGGACCCAAGAGACGCGACTCGCAATATCTGGCTCCAGTAATGAAAACGGGACTTGTACATCCACGAGGTCAAACCCGACCTTTGTGGCGTTTGTAAACTCCATTCGGGTATCAAGAATGGAGGTACTTACGAATTCGCAGTCTGGCCATTCCTTCGCAGCATCGAGTATCCACGTTCCCCCCCTAATGATGAAACACACAAACACTGTCACGTAACTGAAAGAAGGTGTGATGTAAGATGTGACTCACCCCACAACCAAGATCAAGAGAGCGTTTTGGAAAGATGTGATCTGGAAACTGGACGACGGAAACTGATTTCTTGACGTGCATAACGAAGCTGTGGTCCAGGTTTTCCCTATAACGGGCTTAACCACCTGGTCAGGCACACAGTAGCAAGACCAACTCACAGCTCTAGGACTTGTCTATCATAACTTAGAGGATACGGAGCTTTCTCTGGGTCGTAAGAATGATGGCGGTGACCATGTTTATCGAGAAAGTCCCTGTTTCGATGGACACGCCTGCCGCTGGTAGAATCAGATGCCATTGTTGTGGCTGTGCTTGGACGTGGTGGGGGCATGGAAGGAGCAACAAAGAGAAAGTTACTCATATTCCTGAAATAAATCCTAGGCGTAGGCGGGAATCGTGAGTTGAATGTTGCGGAAGACGGAACGTGTGTTTAAGAAGGGATATAATATTATTGCGAGGGACCGAGAGCGACTCGGCGTGGGACAGACTGTGATATTGAAACTAACGTTAGTGGGTAGGGAAAGTCAAACTGACCTTCCTCCTTATAGTCATCAAAGCTTGAACAAGCGGTGTTCGAGCTGGCAAATCATTCTAATAGTTGATATCATCTGATACACGCTCGTCACAATCCCTGGACAACTTGATCGGCTATCTCCTCGATGCCGAATTGCCTCCGCGGACCCTCACGCACTTGCCAATTTCAATCGCTCGTAATGACTAGAATGCAATTATAAAAAAACTTAAGCGAAGTACGATATGCCGGTCAAAGCTAGGTAGAAGGTATGCAGCTATCCAACGTCCAACGAAGCCTTCCTAACACAATCAGTAACCGAGATCCTTCCTGAAGCGTGAAGCCAGGAAATCTCTTGACTTGACCAGCCAAGCAAACCAATCACCTAGGGTAAACCCTCCAAAGAGCCCGACGTAGCCCATGCCACCTTGCTATAACAACCATGTCAGGGTCAAGTCACAATAACTCCCATGGCTTCTGACTCACCCTTCCATTCGAGATCAGAATCATCTCAGGAGCACCGGTATATTTCTTCGTCGGGGTGATTCCGTTCAAGAAGCCCACTACGTTCGTCACGACAACGGGAATATGCCACATGAGTTTAGCGTTCTGCTTCTGCTCGGTCCAGTCGATGATATCGCCTAAAGCGAAGATGGACGGGTGATTGAGCAACTGCATGGTTGGCTTAATCTTAACGAAGCCATGTCCGTTCAGAGCGTCTTCACCAAGGGAAGTCACGTAATCAGGTGTTGGGGCGGCCGCCACGAGCAGATACCTACATATGTTGGTGAGCTAGGTAAACGTGCACATACAACTAACGCACGTACCACTAAGTCGGCGTCCGAAATGTGCTTTCCACTGCTGCGTACTGATACCAACAACACCCGCTTCTGGAATGTTATCGATGTATTCATTGAACATGAACTGCACACCGCGAGCATGGAGGCGTTTCTCCAATCCCTTTCGGAGCGAGCTGCCGTAGGTAGCGTTGATAAGCATCATTACCACCTGTGAACAATGGTAACCTTCTTTGTCTATGTTGCGGAAGTCGTCAGAACTGCAGTGGCCTGACATAATTAAAAAGAGCAATTTACCGGGTAAAGATCCTTCACTTCACCAGCCAACTCTAAGAGTATTGTGCATTAGGTGACGACACAATGATACCTCACGCGTACTCACCGATACCAACGGCACCTCCACCAACGATCACAACGTGGTTTGCTTTGGCGAACTTTTGGCGCCATGCGTGGACAAATGGCAGGACATCGTCCTCGTTCTCTGGGATGCCACAGAAACCAGTCCATTTTGAGCCAGTAGCCAAGATAAGCACTGCATATGATATACGTTCCCCCGGTGGCAAGGACCACAGCACCCCCAGGGATGCCTGGCCGTGCCTCAATGCTGGTCACAACACCGACTTTTGTCTCTCCATTGCCATTCGCGTAAAGTCTGTCAAGCTTGACGAATGAGGTTTCTTCCTAACTTCGACTCTGCGTCGACGACAAGACGGACGGTTGCAGGAGGGAAATGGCGTAAGAGCGGGGGTTAATAAGAATGAGGTTGTACCTTTTCGCGTCCAATTTTTTGCTGAACTGTTTAGCAACTTGGAACCCAGCGAATCCACCGCCAACAATGACAACGTTCTGTTCTGCCTTCCCGGTCATTTCTCAGGATGAGTAGTGGTGGTGGTGGTGGTGATGGTGAAACAAGGACGTCTACCGCCATTGAGGAACTGCGGGTGATCGTATTTGCTACTGGCATGATACAATGGTGATGCTTGTTGGATATTCAGAGGTGCCTGCAAGAAGCAATTTCTGCCAAATATTAAGGCAGTGGGTTTTCGCCCTTGTGTCAGCATTGTCAATGCTGAGTCGTAATGCCGTAGCTCGGTTCCGGCCCGCTCGGGTTCGAGCTTCCCCGGTTTACTGGTTTGGCTATCCTAATACAAATCGTAGCGGTGGCTCGCCACCAATCCCCGACTCTGCCTGCCTGATCAAGGTCGTATGCTGTATTCAATACCACGCCATTGTGCTTGATGCTGGACATGCACCTTGTTCTCGTTGCCTCCTGTGTCCAATGATTTGTTTTCTACTTTTCCAAGCTCCTGTATGTGGGGAGGAGCAGCCACCGTAAACAAAGTGTGACATTATGTAAGTGAATATCGTCCCAATATATGGTCAAGACAATCATAGGAGGGTAAAGGCATACAAGATGGCGATATATGAAGCAAAATAGGTGCATACGAGTATCGAGACTGCGATTAGAATATTATATGCATTATATGAGTGTTGAAAGTCCATATTAACCCTACCACAGGCCCTCTTCATCATCAGAATCTACCATGGCGCACTCTGCATCCTCCCGTGGCACATTCTCGTCCTGGGTCTTGGGTCCGGCACCACAAATATACCTAGCTGCAGCAGCTGCCAAAATAGCCTTCTTTTCCGACTCACTTTTTCCTTTCAGGTGTTTGGCTGCAGGCACTTCTGCATCAAATTGACAATGCCACCAAATCTGCAAGTCCACCTCAATGACACGCATCTTCGTGATTTCATCTGGTGTCACGCGAGGTACCACAGCTGCAAGTTTTGCCGATGAAGCTTCACAATGCTTCTTCCTCTTTGCATCAGTCTCGCGGTTCTGTTGTACCACCCACTTGTCATATTTCACCTGTGCAAGTTGTTGTTTCTTCTCGGCTCCAGCAGTGTCATTGATATGAGCCTTTTTGTGCAGGTATTTGTGTGTGCCTGGACTGAGCACCATTTTCATGTATGTTCCTGTCTGATTCTTCTTGTACGTATTTTAGACGGGCATTGAAGTGGGCCAGGGACATTCGAGGTGCACGTTGCATTGAAACTTGAAGGGTCCCCAATGCACCCTTGTTCACATCATTGGTGGTATTCATGCGAGCTAGCTTGCGTTCCTCTGGTGATGTGTGTGCAATTATACTGTCAGTGGCAAACTCGCAACAGAAGCAGATAAGAGTTTTGAGCGCTCCTTCAAGGAAAGCGAGAAAAAGAGAATGAAGGTGAGGGTATTTTGTATTGTCCTGGGCAATCTGCTAAATGATGTAAACTGATTCCGGCCGCTCGAATGGTTTTCCATCAAATGTGGCAGTCTCATAAGTGGCGTCCATGCTGAAGACAAGCTCAATGTTATCGATAAGCTTTTTGATGTGGGTGATGAGCCAATTGTGGAGAGGACCAAGGTCAAGGATGTTTCCTGAGGAGTTACGGACAGTGCGAAAATACGGGTGGCTGATGCACTGTCCCCACATGCTGAAACATACCATCTCCTACTTCGTTTTGTCACATTCAAAAGCACAATAGACATTTTGCTTGATGTTTGTGTGCATGCGAGCATCCTTCCTGTCCATGATGATCTTGAGGTAGACAACATACAAGTTTTCATGTATGAGCCACTCGCTGGCTCCATCACAATTACTGTGGTAGCGGGTGTTGCTTGTGTCGGGCCAAGGCGAGAAGTAACTGAGTTGTGCCTCAAGGAAAAATCGAAGAGAATCTTGTTGACCCTTCTTGTTGTCTTTATGACGGAAGACAGAACCTGCGAGTGCGAGTGCTTTTGCAGCCCCCCCTTGGGAAACATGCACTGCACGTGCCTGTGCAGTGGAGGGCCCCCCAGATGCAGCTGCTGCATTATCACGGTTCATCAACAGAACCAGTCCATCAACACCATTACGTCCCCACCAAGCTTGCATGCAAGTATTTCCACCCTTGACAGCATTCAGGTCCTTATGCATGCAGTATCCTGCCCATACAAAGAAATCTACAGACTCCTTTTCAGGTAGGGTAAGGGCAGAAAATTGCTCCTGGCCAATCTTGATGTGAAGCTGATGGCGAGCTTCAGATGAGCGTCGATCTCACTCTTCAGCAGGCAGTCATGGTGCTTCCCACCCTTCAATTCCTCCCGCAGCTGCAATAGCCCCTTCTGTAGTCTGCCATAACAGGGCAACAACATCATCAGGGGGTAAAGTGGCCAGCACTTGTTTGCCTCGCACTTCTCTCTCACACACTTCCTTCCATTCTCTGAAGAGGTGGACAAGTTTTTTCTGATCCTCAGCATGATCTGTCAACATGCCCTTCACCTTGGTGACAAGCTCCCTTGGGTCTGCAACACCTGCTGTGGCACCAACCATACATTCATTGTACACGGTACACATCTCGTGTATCACGTCCTTCCAGCCTTGCAGCTGGGTTTCGCTGGTATGATTAACCTCGTGCTGAACACCAGTGAAGCGAGTAACCCCGGTGCTGTCATGGGCGGTGTATGTGATACAGTGGCTCAAAAAACTGTCCGCATGTTTTGACATTTTTCACTATCTATGATATTGTGTGAGAATGAACAAATTCCTCAAGGACATACTTATACCACATTGTAGTATGGCTTCAGGGCTTTTATTTGAGCCCTACACCGTGGGAATCGGCGGAGATATGGTGGAGATATAAGGCTTATAAAATGATGACTCATGTGGACAGTTTTTTGAGTGTATATTAAAACTATATAAATCATTATTTATGAAACCATAAAAATCATGCCACTATTATATAAATTATAAAGTGGTGTCATTATGTTATTTTATGACTATATCTAACTATATAAACCAGAATATCTCATGTATCATAGTCATAATCACCATGAAAGCCATCTCCTCTGCTCAAAGAGATAATATCCTCTCTCTGTCTTATGCTGGCCTCTCTGCTCGCCAAATTTCCTCTAGAACTGGAATATGCAAGTCCACTGTGGCCAAGTTCATCAAAGAAAGCCACCCAGACAAGGAAAACTCTTGTGGAGGACGTCCATTCAAGCTTACCTCTACTGACAAAAGGGCTATTATCCAACATATCACTACAGGAAAGGCTGATAATGCTGTCCAAGCCACCCATTATATCAATTCCACCATCACTACCCCTGTCTCTTCACAAACTGTGAGGAATGTTCTCAAGGCAGCTCATCTCAAGGCAGTAACAAAGAAGAAAAAGCCTCTTCTCTCCATCAAACATAGGCAGAGAAGACTAGCCTTTGCCTTAGCTCATCAACACTGGACTGTAGAGGACTGGAAGCATGTTATATGGTCAGATGGGAAGGTGTATGTATGGAAAAAGAAGGGAGATGGCCTAACAGACAGAGAGGTTAATGGGACTATCAAGTTTGGAGGAGGTTCTTTAATGGTATGGGGCTGTATGGGATGGAATGGTGTGGGAATGCTTGCTGAGGTTGAGGGGAAGATGAATGCTGAGCAGTATGTGGACATTTTAAATGACCACTTGCTGCCTAGCTTGGCAGAATCAGGGATTGATGAAGAAGATATCATTTTCCAACAGGATAATGATCCCAAGCACCACATCCAGAAGAGCTAGGGAATGGTTTGAAGAACATAAACATCAATGTTCTTGACTGGCCAGCACAGTCTCCTGATGTCAATGTCATTGAACATCTCTGGGGAACACTCAAGAAAAAGCTTCAAGCCTATGAAAACCCCCCTAAAGGAGTATGGGAGCTTTGGGAGAGAGTAGCAGTGGAATGGGGGAAGATCACAGCTGAGGATTGCCAGAAATTAATTGAGAGTATGCCTAGAAGGATAGAGGCAGTAATTAAAGCCAAGGGAGGTCATACAAAATACTAGAATACCTGGTTATTACTGTAAAATACTTGAGTCAAAAAACTGTCCGCATGAGTCACCATTTTGTGAGCCTTGTATCTCCACCATATCTCCACCGATTCCCACGGTTGTAGGGCTCAAATGAAAGCCCTGAAGCCATACTACAATGTGGTATAAGCATGTTTTTGAGGCATTTGTTTGTTCTCACACAATATTATAGATAGTGAAAAATGCCAAAACATACGGACGGTTTTTGAGCCACTGTATGATGGGACTGGTAATTGATATTCTTGTGAGATGTTCCATCGGCCGCTTAACGTGATGCATTCATAATCATTTTAGCCCGAGGTACAAACTACTTCAGAAATTACCTACCATCAACTTGCATAATTTTGCCCACCATCTGAACCTCTGCTGCAACCTCTGCCTCCTGGAGTGCATGCCGAATACTGCATGTGCTAATGTCACCTTCAACAACCATTCCGAGACAGTTGGCAACAGCACTAATAATGTCTCGAACACTCGACACCAGTACATCATGTTTTGCCACAAGCTCACAAATCATGTCACGGACCTCGTCCTTAATCACATTCTTCTCCTTCAGGGAAAAGGTACTCTGCTCTGCTTGTACTGCAGTGCATGCAAGTGCTTTATTCACAGCCCATGCTTTCTGAAGAGGGGCACGAGAAGCACGCATAGCAAGAGTATGATTGCGCCTGGTGAGCACCTCGTTACGTTCTCACAAGTACCTCAACTCATGCTCTGCAGTGACGAGAGCAATTTGAGTTGTCTGCACTTGCAAGGATGCCTCAGTTGCAGATGCTCGTGCATCATTGAAACTTGACTGGAGTTTGTTGGTACAGGTTTTTGTGCATTCATGGCATCGTTTTCATTCCTATAGCGTGTCTGGTATATAATCTTGCACTTCTTCTCTTGCTTGAGCCTTGCGACTAGTATTGACCAAATAGTTGTGGCTAAAGGAGTAATATTCTCCTTATTTTGTGTGTGCTGGTGAGTTGTGTGGGCCTTCAGTTGTGCAGTGACTTGTTGCTGAGATACAGAGCATTTTTTGGAAGGTTTCCAGTGATTGTGCTTGGAGTATTTGGACATGATCAGCCTGTGGGATGACTTACAGTATGCAATATAACACGTCAATTGTGCTTACCAATCACGTTTTCCATGCATTCAAAGACTTTACACTGGCCTCTTACCACGGAGCACTGCAAAGGAGATGACCACCAGGATGACAGTTGCATTACTCACTAGATGTATTGTAGGTAAAGTTGAATAAAATTTTCACTGTCCAAATGCTTCTATTGAGAGTGTGGCATATCAGAAGCAAGTTTTTTAGAATTCTGTTTCCTAGAATACCATCAACTAGTAAATTCATGCACATCTCTCATTATAATCCCTGTCTCAAAATTGTGTTATCGTTCTACAGCAGACAATACATTTCTTGACCATCTGTTACGGTGCTACACTGTAAGAGGTAATCACAGTCAGACCTTGAATTTCACTGAGCGTTGCCCCTCCCCACTATAACGCCTCCTTGTCACAAGCTGCCACAAGCTCAAAAGCAGATCCCCTCCTCTTGTTTTTGTCTTTTGCGCACTTGTTTGGGCTTTTTTACCACTTGTTCGAGCATGAACTGCACTGCAATTGTTGATTGCCTCATTTTGTGCACTTATTTTACACTTAGTTGAACTTAATTCATACTTGTTTCAAGCAAAAACAACTGCATTCAAGCCAGACAAGGAGATTAAATAGCACAGAAATAAAAAAGGAGAGTAAGTAAGAAACAAGTACTAGCAAGGAGGTATATTTTTTTATAATGAGCTAAAAGATGGTGAAATGTGTGATATAGCTGATAATATAATGGCAATAGTAGCCAGTGACATGCACGAAACCTGTTTTGTACATGATCACGGACACATAACATACTCTCGTACAACCTAATACTGCCAATAAAAGCAGTTCTAATTTCTTATGGCTTTATTACAATTTACTATAATTTTCTTGAAGGTTTTTCATAGCTACATGAATTAATCATTCATATTACGTACTTAGCACAATCAACAAACTGTGTTAAAACCCTTATCCTTTCATTAGTAAGCACATTCCCGCACCTTTCGGGATTTTCTCGTACATTTTCCCACCTAATGAGCCATATTCGTGTTAACATCTTAACATCTCAACATCTGCGCAGTCATCATCTGAGCAGTGTCAATCTTCTTACGTAATCTACATTTTGTTTAATGATTAGTCATAGTTTCTGGACAGTTCCGAAATAGCGGTAATCTCTAAGTGAACATTTGGACACTGAGTCATAGTGAGTCACATGGAGTCATTATGAGTCATTTCCGTTATGACTCATACCAAGTCATTATGAGTCACTATTCCATATTTAGTAGTTGCATAGCCACCTGTAGAGTAGTATATAAAGGGACATAGTTTCCCTCTTTGAATAATAAGATCCCTTTCTAAAGAGTTTGCGTATCTCTCAGAAAGTTTCTCACCCCTTAATATCTGTGTGAATACTGAGTGAATATTAGTTTATTCCCTCCACTCTTTTGTCACTGTTTCCCACGACGTTCTGACTACCTGAGGCCACCTCTAAGTCACATTAAATTACTCTAGCTAGTGCACGGTTACTAGTCGTCTAGTGTAGTTTCACTGCAATTCTCTTTATGACACAGGAAATCAATTCTGTGGGGAGAAATCCATGTACTTTAACGATTGAGGACGATAAATAGGACTTATACTTTAGTCAACAATATTAAGAGCTTGGCCACTTAAGACTACATCAAGAAGGTGTATTCTAGTCTGGACTGCGTCATTACTCATTGTGAGATCCTGAGCAGCAGAAAGGTCGATTTCGAAGCCAAGTATTTGATTGATTCAACTGTATCCAACTCCTAGTTTGATCTCCCCTGATTGTGAGAATAAGGAGTATCCCAGAGATATCGCTCTGACTCACCACGTATCACTGTAATTCACGTAACTTTCCGTAATCTGTGTACTGTCGCATCATTATCCCTGAAGAACCCTAAGTACTGCATTAAGCCAGTTAACGGGCATTGTTCCTAAGATTCCCAAATATCTCACCCCTTTTTTTAGTCATTGGTAAATTTGCTCAAGGAGAACACAATCTATATTTGCACCCCCACGAATGACCACGTTATCAACCATTGGTATTTGTCTGAACCATTGACCGTGGAGGATAAGTGAAATTTGGTGTTTTTATTGCCTTTCGCATCCTAGTAAGACACTGGGTCACCGACAATTGAAACTAACTCGTCATGAGGGGGTTGACCACATCAACTGAGAGGTCTAGAAAGGTGATACCGTCTCTGGTCGATGTGACCTCCCATTATCGTGGCGCAAAGGTCGCGACAATGCACTTTTGATCCTTACCACTTCACAGCTTAATCCGGCTCATTACTCCTATGCGGAACTCTTCACTGCTACCTCTGGCATCGACATGCTATGTCCGTTTGGACAAAACAAGTATCTCGGCATCAGTGGTACAGACGACGAGCTCGACGACCCAAGCCAAGTGCCCAGACCTCCCCCTCCCATCACAACGTCTCCTACCTCACAGTGCCTACTAGAAACGGTGTTGAGTGAGGATGGTGTTGAGGGTACTTGTCCTAGAGAGTTGCAGGGAGAGAATGACGATGAAGAAATCATGTTGACGTTTCAAGAGGCCCTAGTTGATAACTCGCCTACTGATGCCCCCCCAGCTCAGTCCAACCAGCCTCACACTCTAGATTCATTGTCCCCTCCCTTACCACAAGGCCCAGGTATCCGTCCCGACAACTATCTGCTGTATAGCAGACGCTGGATTCACAAACAGACGGTCTGCTGTCTAGTGGTTAATAAGGACTTTGTTTCAAAATCGCTCAATCGACTTGAGTGCGTCCATGCAGGCTATACGAAAGTCAACAAACGGATTGACATGTCAGCAGGGCGTATCACTAAACAGAACTTATTCCTCGTCAGAGATATCTTTCTTACCATCCTTCATTCCGCTTGGACTCTTTCTATTGGCATACTTCATTCAACTACAGCAACTCTCAGCGGTATTTCTTGCTCATCAATCAACATAGGCATGATGAAGGCTTCAAGAACCACAGTGAAAATTACCAGTCAACTCCTCAGCATCATTTCTACTCGCCCTTTACCTGACATCTCCCAGGTATTCTTATGGGATGGTGGATATATTACAGCGTGTTCGGTGATTCAAGGTTCCTCGCAGTCCACAGAACGTGTCGTTGTTGTGACCGTCCCAGGTTCTCTCGTCGAGCCTGTCAATCCCAAGCCTACCTTCATTAGACTATGCAACAACATCAATGTGGATGAGTTCTTGCAAGTGAATGGGGGCCAGAGCACGTGGCAGATATCGCGAGACGCTCTGCAAGCAGCTTGTGACCTGCTATGGGCAAAAGCAGTGGAGATAAATCTCCCCCTTAAGTCAATTGCAGTTGTGACTCCTTTGGACGAGACCAAATTTCCTTACAGACATTCAGATGGTAAGTGTTTCGTGTTTGTCTTGCCAATTTGTTCCTAATGGTACATTTTCACTTACAGGTACTCCCGCTGTCATCTCTATGGAAGCTAGTAATTTGCTTGGAGCATCCGAAGGGGATCGAATCTCTGTGTGTCCCCTGTGCGAGTCGAGGGTTGTCAACATGCGCAATCATATCGGTCAACATATCCTTCATGCACTAAGCAACTCACCAGAGGAGGTCACATTGAAAGAACCAGTACATTTTATTACATTCTGAGTTCACTCTTATGACTATGTACAAGGTCGGCGACACATTTCTGTGCAGCTTTTGTGGGCGTTGACACGCACGAAACCTGTTTCGTACATGGTCATGGTAAATTTATGACATATGCTAGTCCTTACTATAGCCTATACACTTCCCTTAAATTTTCTATACCTTACTTCAATTTACTTTAGACATTTCTGAGCATGTATCATCAAGATACGACTTAGCGGTTCAAACTAAATACTTAATGTACCCTTTATCCTTTCTATAATTCTTTATTTTATTTACCCCTATGCCAAGCATATGTACACACACATTCTATGCACACTTTATTTACATCTATGTACTCAAGGCAGTGGTGCCAACCAAACCAAGTTGAACTAGTTGGAATGGATTGGTAATCAATGCACAGCAATAAGGCAGTGCTAGAAGGACCTAGAACACAGCCTTTGCTGAGTAATCTAGAACATTCTATGAGTATCTTACTAATCATTCCATAACATTCCATGACCTTCTATGACATTCTATAAGATTCTATTGTTCTTTCTCAAACATTCTGGAATATTCTATAGTATATTAGTAATCAGTAGCACAGCCACTAGTCTAGTAGTATATAAGGGGCTCATTTTCCCCTCTTGTGAAGTAATCAATTTCATTCCCAAGTATTATCAGAGTGAGACAAAGTTTATAGGGGAACACAGGGGAACATTCTTTCGCCCCTAAGATTCTTAGCCCCTACTATTTGAGTGAACATTCAAGTGATTATTAGGAGAAAATATTAGTTTATTTGCTCCACATCTTTGACATTATTCTTCACACATTCTTCAGAAGTATTTGGCCACATTCTTGAGCCATCTTTGATTACATAATCATCCTTTATTCTAGTTCTCTTTTAGACACAGGAAAAGTTCTGTGGGGAGAATTATACGTATTATTCATCAATTAGGGTAGACACAAATAAGACCTACAATCTGTCAACGAATATTAAGAGCTTGCCCACTTAAGACTACATCAAGAAGGTGTACTCTATTCTGGACTGCGTCATTACTCATTGTGAGATCCTGAGCAGCAGAGAGTTGGTTTCAAGGCCACATATTGGGACGATCCCGCTAGTGAATTTGTTCTCCATTGCTGAGTATAAGTAAGATATATCCAAGAGGGATATATATTAAAGTTCAAGCTCATTGCATACAGCTGCAACATATTATTCTGAAGTTTATAGCACTACCTTGTGCTACTATTGTTTCTATCGTTCTTTGCCTCTTTTACATCACTAGCGTTCGCTTGAAAAATTCAACACATCTTGTCCCCCACGAACGACCATGTTATCAACCGTTGGTAATTGTCTGAACTGTTGACTGTGGAGGATTGTGAAATTTGGTGATTTTCTTGCCTTTCACATCCTAGTAAGACAGCGTTCCGGACGACCAGAGTGTGCCATTACTATCACCGTGCCTGCAAAAGCTGCAACAACCTGGGACACCAAATGCGCATACCAGCACCAATTCCAATATGCATCTGCCGACAGCAGTTCAAAGAATCAACCATGCCTCAATGTTCCATTGAGGTGCGAACTCTGTCACCCTATTCTCCCTGCAGTCCCCGGAAAGACAACGAGAAAGACACCTGTTGTCCCGGTCAGGGCCGTTTGGCACTACAATATGCATGAGCACATCTTCCAGGAGCATGAGGAGTACGTGGTACCGGGACAGAGAGAGATTGGTGTACCACTGCCCGCAAGCATTTGGAAGGAGATGAGGCTCACAGACCTGGAGCAGACTGCTTCACGCATCCCAAAGACTCATTGGCAACCTTCCTACATTCCTCTGGGCGAAATCGGCAAGGAGAATGTGCCTCTGTTAGTTTCTCGTGGATCCAAATGTGCTGGAGCACAAGCTGGTCCATCCTGTCCATCAGAGAAGGCCCAAATGACCGTTGAAACTGCAGTTTCTATACTCAGTGCTTGATTTCTTACTTTACAAACCTATTCCAGTCGCCTACGTACCTGTCTCCATCCATTATATCACTGCAGCTGTCTGTTTTGCTTTGCAATAGTTGAATCGATCCATTTTAACTTGTCATTTTGCGATGAATGACTACCTAATATGGCTAAATTACATGATCGGTCATGCTGTCATCATGCTGTCACGGTAGTTGTAGGGGGTACCCAAGTTACGACAGGTTAGTGTCTTGAACTACTCGATCCCACACCTCTTGCATTAGACTATGGATAGACTCTCCTTGACAAGGGCTACAACATTGGTTTTCATGAAAAAAGTTCCCACAGTCTACCAGAGATGTTGGATGCCATGTCACTGAGTTGGCACTTACTATTTGTGCTTATATATTGTCACACTTGAACACACTTAAAAATTCAACATGTACTTAAATTGCAGCATCTGATGTGTTCTCATTTTAAAATTATATAACTATCTGCTTAAATGTTATTATCATACTTAATTCTGGCCATGCATTACTTACTATTATTGTGTTTCCTTGGTGAACAATTCTCCAAGCAGAAATTAAGTCAGAATGATTTGCTTTGACAACTTGGTGAACTTAGCATTGAATTAAGTCTGTTTAAGGGAGATAAGATGGCTAAGACTTTTTCCCGTTTCCTGATGTTCTGATGGTGAGGTGCCACTGCTGTGACTGATATGATAGCAATGCACACTGCTTAAGGTGGTCCAGTGAATGGCACCACCAGTGGTTTTGGAGTGCATTCCAGAAGTGTATGTGCATGTCGACACAGTTGTCTGGCCAGTTGTGCACTTTCATCATGCTGATCATGTGAGAAGTCACTTCATTGAACTCCTCCCAGGAGAGGTTCTCATCTCTCACAACAGCAGCTGCTTTTGGGTCCCCCACAGCAGCTGCTGAGACCTAAATGTGTGCCCTGTTGGCTTCTGGTAGCATAATGAGCATCTCAGGTTCTGCTATAAGCACTGTGGCCTTGGCATCACTTAAACCCTTGTTGGTCAAATCGTGCAGCTCACAAAAATCACCTGCTTTCATTTTCCTGATGGCATAGGCAGCAGGTATGATACTAGGGTCAGATGGAACCTTTCTGTGCTTGATAGGTGTGTACTTATTTTTGTTCTTTTTTTTCATTCCTCCAGGCATGCTGCCTCTTGCTCATCTTGTCGTCACATGGCTTCTAACCTCTGTTGCCTGTTGGCCCACTGTTTTTTGGTTGCATTGTTAGTTATGGTCCATAACAATGTCAGTGAACAGGCGGCCTGTTTGTCCATGAAACCTTCTGCTATGAGTTGTTGCCTGGCCAGCTGATGTTCTTCTAGCATGTAGTCTGGAACAATCTCTTCATTGAGGTTTTCTTGGAACAGTGCAATAACGAGAGAGAATGCAAAAAGACTGAGAACTAGTAGCTAGGACTTAGAGTGAGACACAACTATGAGGTGGTCAAGAGCAGGAAAAGCTGCGCCACCTCGCTTAATTGCATGTAGACTATATTCTACGCAGCCTCATGCCTCGGTAGCTTAGAAAGGCAGCCTTGCAAGCAAGGCGATATCTGCGGCAGTTAGCCGTGTACTTTAAGGCCAATTTCAATCGCTCGCAATGACTAGAATGCAATTATAAAAACATAAGCGAAGTACGATACGCCAGTCAAAGCTAGGTAGAAGGTATGCAGCTATCCAAAGTCCAACGAACCCTTCCTAACACAATCAGTAACCGAGATCCTTCCTGAAGTGTGAAACCATGAAATCTCTTGACTTGACCAACCAGGCAAACCAATCACCCAGGGTAAACCCTCCGAAGAACCCGAAGTAGCCCATGCCGCCTTTCTATAACAACCATGTCAGCGTCAAGTCACAATAACTCCCATGGCTTCTGACTCACCCTTCCATTCGTGATCACAATCATCTCAGGAGCACCGGTATATTTCTTCGTCGGGGTGACTCCGTTCAAGAAGCTCACTACGTTCGTCACGATAACGGGAACATGCCACATGAGTTTACCGATCTGCTTCTGCTCGGTCCAGTCGATGATATCGCCTAAAGCGAAGATGGATGGGTGATTGAGTAGCTGCATGGTTGGCTTGATCTTAACGAAGCCATGTCCGTTCAGAGCGTCTTCACCAAGGGAAGTCACGTAATCGGTGTTGGGGCGGCCGCCACGAGCAGATACCTACATATGTTGGTGAGCTAGGTAAACGTGCACATACAACAACGCACGTACCACTAAGTCGGCGTCCGAAATGTGCTTTCCACTGCGCGTACTGACACCAACAACACCCGCTTCTGGAATGTTATCGATGTATTCATTGAACATGAACTGCACACCGCGAACATGAAGACGTTTTCTCCAATCCCTTTCGGAGCGAGCTGCCGTAGGTAGCGTTGATAAGCTCATTACCACCGTGAACAATGGTAACCTTCTTTGTCTGTGTGGTGTAATTCGTCAGAACTGCAGTGGCGTGACATAATTAAAGAAAAACAAATTCACCGGGTAAAGATCCTTCACTTCACCAGCCAACTCTGAGAAGTATTGTGCATTAGTGACGACACGATGATACCTCACGCGTACTCACCGATACCAACGGCACCTCCACCAACGATCACAACGTGGTTTGCTTTGGCGAACTGGTTGGCGCCATGCATGGACAAATGGCAAGACATCAGCCTCGTTCTCTGGGATGTCACAGGGACCAGTCCATTTTGAGCCAGTAGCCAAGATAAGCACTGCATATGATATACGTTCCCCGGTGGCAAGGACCACAGCACCCCCAGGGACGCCTGGCTGTGCCTCAACGCTGGTCACAACACCGACTTTTGTCTCTCCATTGCCATTCGCGTAAAGTTTGTCAAGCTTGACGAATGAGGTTTTCTTCCAACTTCGACTCTGCGTCGACGACAAGACGGACGGTTGCAGGGAGGGAAATGGCGTAAGAGCGGGAGTTAATAAGAATGAGGTTGTATCTCTTTGCGTCCAATTTTTTGCTGAGCTGTTTAGCAACTTGGAATCCAGCAAATCCACCGCCAACAATGACAACGTTCTGTTCTGCCTTTCCGGTCATTTCTAAGGATGACTCGTGGTGGTGGTGGTGGTGGTGGTGGTGATGGTGGTGGTGGCGAGTCTAGCGCTATTAAGGAACTGCGGGTAATGGTATTCGACATGATTCAAACGCGTTCTTTTATATAATTGCTTCGGTGATGCTTGTTCGAGATTCAGAAGTGCCCGAACCTATCGCAAGAAGCCATTTCTTCCAAATAAGGCAGTGCGTCAGCAATATTACGCGAAAAGCTTACATAGCCAAGTGCTAGAGCGCTGGAGGCTTATCCATTGTCGTGCATTCTCCAGAAAATCGGTGATTGTAACCCTTCGTAGACAAGTCCGCAGTGTGATGCGATGTCCAAATTTTAATATTAGAGGATACAGTGCCTTGAAAATTAGGTACACCGTGAGACCCTGTGAGACTCCGAGGTCAGTTTTCGGCATTTCCCAGAAAGGACTAGAATTCAAAGGACCACTCAAGCTACATTAATCTACTCTGAACCTTGTCAGATGCGCAGGTCAGGTAAGCAACGCAAGGCTGAGCTGCAGCTGAAGCGCGCAGTCAAACGTGGTGACGTAGCACCACCTGAGGCACAACCGCGCAGGAAGAATTTCAGGAGACCTCCGAAGCTTGGTCATTCACTTGACGCAAGGCTTTTAGCAGATGACGCATCTAGGGCCGCAAGGAAGCTTCAATCACAGTTCGTGAAGCTTGATCCTGACTTCCTGGAGACCACGAAGCACTTGGCTGCTACCTTGCCCTTGACAAGGCCTATATCTGCTGATGTATGCGTCCTCGTTGTCGATCATGTACAGTCAGGCAACGATCTCGTGAACGATCAGCTCAATGTCCCGAGGAGACCCAAGTGGAAATATACCATGTCAAAAGATGACGTAGATGCCAACGAGCAAGGCTATTTTCGCAGATGGATGATTCAGACAGACGCCATTGTGGAGCGTTGGTATAATCAAAATAATCAGCCAGTTGTGTCGGGCATTGATCTAGGGTCGGCTAGCCCAAGTGTTCCTGACACCGCTGTTCAAGACAAAATGCCATGTCCTCCTACCCATTTCGAGCGCAATCTCGAGGTTTGGAGACAACTGTAAATACTGAATTTCTATGCATCTGATTTTTAGGCTCACAAGTTAGTGTGCAGCTGGCGAGTAACAGAAATATCTCAAATACTTCTTTGTCTTTTGGACTCCAGATGTCCACCACTCCACTTCCCGTCTTCGCTCGAGTCCTATTTAGCCTCTCGAAAAGCAAAAGTCATTCTCGTTCTCACAAAAGTCGATATCGCAGGTCCAGAAAGAGCTGAGGCATGGACTGCATATCTTCAGAAGCGTCACCCAGGACTACCCATCGTGCAAGTCGAGGCGTATCAGCAAAAAGTGGGCGAGCAAGGACGTCCAGTCTATGAATCACACCTCCCCCTTCCCTTCAGAGAACGTTTAGTTAACGCCATGCGGCAAGTGCATGAAGAAATGTTAATCCCCCCTGAGCGAGTCCGCTCGGTTGAGGCCAAGCTGAAGCGCTGGAATCCTCCAGTCAAGCGCGAGATCGATTGGAATGGCTTGCTGCATGCTCATGGCAAAAAAGTTGGGAGTGTCGTTGGAGGCGCAGCTATGCCGAAGGGAAAGGGCAAAGAGGATACCGCAGACGATGCCCAAGAACCAGAACAGGAAGGCAGTGATAATGAAGGCCAATTAGAATGGCAGGAGCCAGAATTTCTGACTGTCGGTTTGATCGGTACATCTTTCTTGTGCTTTCACGCACTTGAAAATTAACAGCTCATCCCAGGTCAACCGAACGTTGGCAAGTCATCTCTTCTCAACGCGCTGTTCGGAATACATAAAGTTCGAGCATCACGGACCCCCGGAAAGGTAAACAAATAGTCTTAATCCGTAAGATACAGAGCCTCGTCTTACATACTTGACCAGACAAAGCATTTTCAAACTCTTTTTGGACCCGTGATGTCCGTCTCGTCGATTGTCCAGGGCTTGTGATGCCCGCCCTCACACCAATGGACACTCAGGTTCTCTGCGGAATATTACCCATATCCCGTGTCTCCGCCATCCCATTTTGCATCCACCAAATTGGGCAACTTCTCCCGCTCGAGACTATTCTCGGTCTTACACACCCTTTGGCGAACAACGCACCCGTTGAGGACAAACGCACCTGGCGCGATGGTAAGCAACCTTCATTGAAGGACAACAAGACGCACTGGACAGCGACGGAGATCATGACCGCATATGCGAACAAGAAAGGCTGGGTTACCGCAAAGGCAGGCCGACCAGATATCCACCGTGCAGGCAACGCTAGTGAGTATCCTTGGAATGAATTTATTTATTTCAGATCTTTAATAATAATCATTGGCAGTGCTGAGACTCGTCGCGGAAGGCAAGATAGCATGGGCTTTCTGGCCTCCGGGAACCGACTTGACGACTGTTGGATCCAGTGGGGGCAACGGAATCTGGCTCATACGCGATGCAGATCAGCACGCCCAAGAACTAGATGAAGATGATGAGGGAGGATCAGGCGATGAAACTGACGAGGTCGAAAGTCCTGATGAAGGCAATGATGACGATGGTGATAAAGATGAAAATCTGACCGGTGAAGAAGAAGAACACCAGGATGCGGACTTCAAGTCTGTTACTGTTGGTCGCTTCGGTGTACTAGCGATAGATGATTGATTGAAGGTCGGTTGTCTGACTGCATTCAACTATCCTGCCAGCGCTGCAACAACGTTGCGATTGATGATCAACTTGAATACTAGCTGTACTAGACTACTATCACCCGGGAGTTTAAGCTATCTGAGGCGATCTGCTAAGCTTGATATTGATGACTGGAATTGGATGGACTGTTCAATGACATCACGGCGACCATGCGGAGTTCTCGTATCATACCGTGACAATATTAATTAGACTCCGATCACCGCAGTCCATCAGGCTATGTCAAGCTTCCAGATCAAACAGCCTGCAAGTTCGCTTCAAAGTCCGCAACTTTGAACTGGGTGCTCAGATCAGATCGATTACTGTGCTGGAGTTGGCTCGGTCTCGGTTTGTCCTTGGCGTTCGAACACGGTAGCAGTGTCACACAAGCTTGCATGTATTGAACTAAAGTGTAACAGCCAGCGCCAGTGGCGGCCAAGAGCATGCTCCCCTCATGGCTGAGCAAAAGGTCCAACAATCTACAGGTTATCAACCAACCAGATCACACATCTAAAGCTTCCCATTCAACAGTGGAACTAACTGGAAATTCATCTCAGTCTGCAATTCCCATCACAGACGACGATCACAACGATGTCCACGAACACATCTGGGATCCCAGCACATACTCTGCCCCAACTGAACAGGACGCTCTCAACCCAAATCCATCAGCTACTAGTACTAGTACATCAAGCGACTCGAAGTCGCTGGGACATTCAACTGAGCCAGCAAGGTTTCTGACACCGCATGATGATATTCTCACCGAACTCCAGGGATACTTGCCCTCGGGTGGTCATCAGGCTGCAGAGCAGCAATCTCTACGACTGGATGCTCCCCTAGGATCTTCCCTCAACATTGGCCCAAGCGTTGTTGAGAACTCGTTTTTCTCCTCCGAATCTTTGCCCAATCATGAACCTGCCAAGGAGATGATGTACGAAACCGTCCACTGGTCAGAGATTACATGACTATGTACCCACGCCGGTGCGCTCGGGCACTGACGATGAACTATGGTCCCATCTATCACATATTTTGGAGCTCCAGAGTGAAATTTCAAAGATGCATGTTGATATGGAGACTGTCGGCTTGCGGACTGCACGAGGTCATAATGCACCAGTTGTCCCTGAGCGCGAAGGAAAGGCAAGCACTATCAGGAGCGAGACGAGGAAGAACAGGACGAGAAGTGATACACTCGGAGAAGAGGAAGGTGATGATGAGAGCGATGAAGTGACCGAAGGAGAAGATTCGGATGACAACGACGAGGTATTTGGGAAGAGGAAACGGGAAGAACAATTTACAAGACTGGCGGAGCGGTTTGCGGACAGAAAAGTTTCCATTGACGCCGTCATGAATAAGGTATATAATTCTTGCAGTTCACTGTCCATGTCTAATCTTACTACTTGCCCAGTTGGACAACCTTTCGAGCGCACTCAAGGCCTTTCATGCGCTACCCACTCCAGTACTCGATCTTACATCCTCTCGTGCCAGCACCATGTCTTTCAATGCTCCACTAGTAACCACTGATCGCCCTACTGGTGCGGCCCCTGCGGGTACCCCGACGACATCAGCTCCCCCTCGTTTGTCAGTACAACCACTAGTAACGACGATTATAGATGACTCGCAACACGTGGATAGCCCAGTGGGCATGCATCCCCCACAAACCATCCTCGATCGCAGTGGCGGCAAGAAGTAAGCTTTCATACCCTTCTGGATGCATCATATGGTTTGGGAACAAGTCTTACAATACAAATAGCGTCGAGATAGTTGACACTGGCTATAGCTAATATATTACATTAAATCACAAGCAGATGAAGAAAAAACATGAGCCTTTACAGTGAAAAAGCCTACTTCCTCAGGAAAGAGTCCAGCTCCGGATAATATGACCAATCGACATCAATGCTCTCATCATCAGTTCAACCTCCGAGGAGAGCCAGCGCAGCCCTAAGTTCCTTTCTCGCTTGCTCAGCATCCTCGTAATCAAGCGAGGAAATAGCAAAGCGACAGTGCTTCTGTGCTTTGGCAATGATAGTGGGCGTAAGTTGAGAATCATTCAGTGGTAAAGGGGCGGGAACAGGGGCGGGAGCTGGGGGCGGGAGCGCCATGCGAGGAGGTGAAGATGGGGGCGGGAGCGCCATGCGAGGAGGTGAAGAAGGTGCAATAGTATGGGCATGGGTGGAGGAGGGATCATGGGTGGAGGGGGAATCATGGGGCGGGGGTACTGGAGTTGAGGGTACAAACCCAAGCGGAAGTTCTTGAGAGGATATTGAAGGACCACGAGCACGGGTTTGCAGTGGTGACCCTCTCGGCGGGGAGATTGAGGGAGGATGGTAGAATGCTGAGGGATCGGGGGCACATACTCTCTGGTTGTTGGTGTGTATATAACAGGCCGCTCTTTAGGTGGAGATGAGGACTCGAATACGACCGGCTGAGATTCGCTAGTAGATGACGAGAACGGAACCCAACTAGGGGATGATCCATTAAGTAACGGATCTCGGACTAGCTCTTCATCGCCAGTCGCGCCCTCCACGTCAGTGCTAACCCAGGCCTGACGGAGTTGACTCCCTCTGCCATTGAGAGGGGTTTCATGCCAGTTGTTTGCCTGATCCAAACTGACGCTGCTGCTATCCTGGGCAAGATCGAATCCTGGAGTCGCTGTCGTACTCCAACGCCCAGGGCTCAGCGACTCATCATCATGGCGAGGGAGATGCAATAGATTGGCACGAGTGATATCATCTGGACTCATCTTCGGAGATGGCGTCTGCCGATAATGCGACGTTTGAGGCAGTGTGGGGGATTGGCTCGTCGCTGAAGGAGAGGTCTTGGGATTTTCAGCTCGCGGAGGTAGCTCTGAAGCACCAGAAGTATCAGGGAGGGGTTCCAAGTCAAATTGAGACCCAGCAGGACCCGATATGGGCTTCCTGCCCTCCCGATATGCCTTTGCAATATCAGCTGCCTTCCATTTAGCATATTTAATCTTGCCATCTATCTGTGAATGTATGTTAGACAAATGTCGTCAGGCTGCATGACACCACGACGGCTTACCGTATCGGAGATATCTGCCGTTGGAAATACTTTCAAGACCTCGAAGAAATTTGCTGCGGCAAGAAACTTCTTCGCAGTTGATCTAGTTGGATGTGAGTTAATCTACCGGAAATTAAGATAATGATGGTCGGATACCTTGTTGCATGACCTTCACGGTCTTCATCATCGGCGATACGGAAGATCTTCAGGGCAAAGTTCTCGACAAACGCTGCACTCGCCGGCTCGCTATCTATGGTGTCAATGGGGCCAATCTGGGCTTTCAAGCGCTCGAGTGCGTTCAGGAGATTTAGAAGCAGTGTGCGTGATGCAGCATCCTTCACTTTCAAATTGATACCAAGCTGGGCTGCATAGTACGCGCCTACACACTTCCGTGAGCTATGTGATGTGCTCAGACGTAAAGATTACCCATACACCAGTATGCCACGACTGGTTGTTGATTGACCAGTTCCTCGGCGCGTTGGAGGTACGGCGCTATAGACTTGAGACCTGTTGATATTGGTGGTAGTCCAAGAGACATGATGATTACTGAGTCTTGTAAGTGCTGCGGTGGATGAATGTATACAAGGGTAAATTTTGGAGTCACGAGTGCTGTGGTACCGAAGTCTGGATGATTCAGATTTAAATTATAAGCCTAAGGGTTTTTATACCAATGATGGATGGGCAACCAAGCTGTTATTGGGTTTGTGAGAGGCCTCACGCCTGCAACGAGGACAATGCACGAAGCTGAGCGCTGAGCTGTGTACAAAGACGTCTAAAGCCAAAGTTCAATCATTGGAAGTGACCGAGGTTGTCGGGACTCGGAACATCACAGCTTGACGTCAAATTGTGTCCTTGTTTGGCAGTATGAGCGTCTACCACTACTCTGTCTACATAGTTCCGACTTGAGTCATTCAATGATAATCCTTTCGGGACTAACATCTACAGCAAAGCATGGAGCTCCCTGGCTGCCAACACGTTGCAATCAAACCAAGTGCCAATGCGTTTGTTCCTTGCGTCACTCGGAAGCGCGGCATCATTTTGCCCACAGCATCAACCAGCCCAAACCAGAACCATATGACATGGCCTCGGAGCAACGGCTACATTCCATCATTTTCAACGATAAGCCGCGAGGTAAAGGTGCTATGTAATATGTTGATGATGTTCCTGGTATTGATTTTGCGGTGGTGCGAACCTAACCTTTTTTCAAGAATCCCGTTGACAGCAGAACACCGCGACTTTCAAGTGCCGATCTGCCAGTGGAGTACTGGTCTCCCCCTCTGCAGATAAGGGAGAAGATGTTTATTATAGATCTGCAGCACCGTATGGACAGACTTGTCACAATGAGAAGGGGTTGTGCATCAGAACTAGAGCTCCACGTCATTGTGGCTGACGGGTGATATCCACATATTTCACATTTTCCATCATGCAGACACTTATCTGTGAGCAGGTCAGTCACTGTGATTTTAGGTTCAGGTGGAAACTGTACAATTCGGTGGATTTATCCTTGTTACATCACCCGAAGCACCCTTTTTCGGAGCATGATACTAACCTCTCCATCTATAGTGCCTTTTTATTATAACCTAGGTGATAATGAAGGAGCTGCGCCTGACGCCAATTTCAAATCAGACTGGTGGTCAGAACTGAAGTGGTTCCAAAGCTGAGATGTCAGCATCGTGGTCCGTATGGATTTGTGACTGTGTCTGCAAGGGACAATCACTCGCGAATGCCAATGTCAAGCAAGCACGAACCTCAAGGCGTTAATATCGCCCTTCAGTCACAGACTTCATCCCTCAAGCTTAAGGCAGTCACCAGTCGCTCAACGTTGAAACAGGACCGCGTGCCGCCCTCCAGCACTGAAACGGATAGCCAGATGGCCGTTCCAGCCTTGCGCTCAATGAGTGCTATGAGAGGTCTCCTCCTCGCAGAAGTCGGGGATTCGATGGTAGAGTTCGACGTGTACGGCAAGCCTGGGGAATCCGGGTATCGAGTTGGCCAACGCATAGCAACGGAGTCTCTCATGCCTCCGGGAAGCTCGAAATTTATCCCACCACCCCGAAAGGTCCTTTCCGCCCCAGGCCCTGTTGTCGGAAGCATGGCAAGCCTAGCCACCAGCGCGACTCTTTTCGACGTCGACGTCGCCCCTGTCCAGAGTGGACCAGAAATCAAAGCCCTCCTCGGAAACTCGAATCCCAGACTGAATCCCAGTGTCACCGTCCACCTACGCCCGGCATTACGCAACGCAGATAGCAGTGGAGATCTTGGCACCGATTTCAAGCCCATTGCGCTAGAAAAGGCGAAGTGGCGGTCGCGTGTAGAAGTGGACATCGTACTCGAGAACCACACTTGCGTGCAAGGCAGCTACCTCAAGGGGTCAGTCAAGATCCACATCAAAAAAAGCTCCAAGAAGGATGCACCATTGCTGCTTTCTCAGGGGAAAGTCAGGATCGTCGGATTTGAGTGCATACCGCAAAAGGATAGCAGGTGCACGTTTTACAAATACTCAGCTCTTCTATCAGAAGTTGCTCCATTGTGGAAAGGTCTCTTCAAATCACCACCCGATAACGATGACTGGGCCGAAGCGCAAGAGGGCGTCCACGTCTTTCCGTTCGCGATGCTCCTTCCTCCAGATGGTGGCTACGGCATGGCGAAAGGGGCTTTGAAAATAAACTCCGGAGTGGCGATTAAATACGTTGCTATGGCGTAAGTGCTGGAGCTTCTGTGTTCTACCACCCATTGGTTGATAACAGGTCAGAGAGATCAAAGTCAAGGACTCAGCAACATCCAAAGAATCCATCGCTCACTTCTACCGCGACTGTGAGGTATGGCCACGTCTAGACGTCGTCTCCACGCTCGCTACAAACTCCCGCCCACTAGTCGCAGAGGTTGCCACTAGAGTGTTCATGGGTGGCCCAGGAAAAATAAGGCTGTCAGCCCGTATCCACCGATTCTACTGGGTCGCTGGCCAAAGTTGCACCGTTCATTTTCGAGTGGTCAATGACTGCAAGAAAATGGTTAAAGGCGCCGCCATTGCGCTGATACGGACACTAACCGTGTTCAAACCGAAACCGCACTTGGATGCTGGGGATGCTGATCCGGATGCTTGTCAAACCTCAACAAAGGAAAAGTGGATAACGGAAAGCGTCCTTGAGTTAGGACAGCGTTGCTCTAAGGGACATGGGAATGCAAAAGGGTGGTGGACAGGTGTCGCTCCCGGTCAGACGAGCGAGTTCGACCACTCTTTAATATTACCAGTAAGCCGCGATCTCTTTCTGGCTGCATTGTGGTAGTTGAACCATGATTATTCTTGTAGCCCGACGTTCACTCTATTACCCGGACGCGACTGCTGGAGGTTGAGTACACGCTTCGCATAAGTGTAGGCATCGGAAGATGTTCCTCGGACGTACACGTCATCCTACCAATTCGAATCGTCAACTTTCTTTCGCTCGACCCTCCACCTACGGCGCCACTCCACATTCAAAGCAAGCAACGCCCCCTGCCAGACTTTACGAAGCGCGAACCGTGGTACCGAAAGTCACGTGCTATAAGCGGAGATCTTGTAGAGACTGACGAGACAGTCCCTGGTATGAAGTATACTAGGGACATAACAATTGCCACAGAACCAGAGAATGTCGATGAGGTGCCCGTCTCGAGTGAAGAACAGCATCAAGACCCGAACACAAGTGCAGATTCGGCGTCTATTTACCCGCCTTCTCAGTCTGCGGACACCATCGGAAACCCTCTCTACCCCGTATCCGAGGAAGACATCGATCAAGACCCGGGGACACCCAGTGGCACTGCGGGCTTCGCCAGACATATAACAGCTTCAAGCAGTGCGATAGAACCTCATATCCTTGCGCGCCCCCGAGGACCCCGTTCAACACCAATTCAGCTCCAACCCCCCCAGGCCGAAAGCACGCCCAACACGACGTTCCTTTCTCGTCGCATTGAGGAGCGAATGCAGAGTCCAGGCGCAAGCTGGGTGATCGTCAAGCCGTTTACCGAACATCGAGCAGATGCGATTAAGACGCAGAAGTCACGTATCCCGAACTTTGGGAGCTCGTCGATGATCCTTCCCAGACCACCCTGCGATATTAGATGAGCCTGCAATACGTCCAACGCCATCAGCGTTGCTCCCACGCAACCGACATGTATGATGGAAGGTGATCCGTCATGATCCGTGAGTGGTTTGCAGTTTTCGTATAGAAGGGACATAGTGTAGCAGAGCCCAAACTTGACTCGTCACATGATGATATAACTCTCCAACAAGTGATTAATTGATTAGTTGGCACAAAGCTGTTAATACATGTCGGTAATGCTGATAAGAAATGTTGAGCGATACATGATATGATTGTAGATGATAGCACTAGGAAGTCGACTCAACAAAAAAACAGTTAACGGCCTTATGTCTGCTTCTGCACGACCATCCTCTCTACTCTCGGGAGTGGAATTGAACCCTAATACATCTCCAAACTCATACCATCGTGGATTTCATAATCTGAGAGCGTGATGTGGTCTTTGTAAATAGTATACCTAACAAGAAGAACAGTGTCATCAGTATGTGTTCAAGGAGACGCATACGATGATTTGTTGGCACAGTCCTGCGTCAAAGGAGAGCATCGTAGCAATTAGCGGAAGCTCACCATTTCTTCAGCTGAATCTTCTTAAAATCTGTACCGATTTGAGCGGCGATGAGTTTTTTCAGGTCGCCCACAGTGTCATCTGGGCTGCACTTGACTCGGACTAGTAGATTGCTTGAGTTAGGATTCGGATCATGCAATTGTGTGGACTCGCCTTTCCGGCCCAGCCGATCGTTTGCAATCACCTTCGGTTAAGTGAGTGTTTGTGATCCCCTTCCAGAACTGCAGAACATACCTCGATCAAAGGCATGAGTAATAGTGCTTGAGATGGATGAGGAGATGAGATTCCGGCAAAGCCGTCACGTATTGTGTGATGGCCGACGTTGCGTCACACGTGACTGACGCGTGACTGCGCGTAACTAATGCGCCGAAATTAAGCTTCCAAGCTCTCCTTCATGGCCATCCCACCCAGGACGACGACGCCTGGCGTCTACAGGCAATATGGCCAGCAGCATCCAGTGCAGCGCGTCGGACCAAATGTTACAGATGACTATGAAAGTGGGTACCTGTTTGCATGTAAATTTCACTGACTAATGTGTAACTTCAGGGTGGTATACCGAAGCGACACCAAGCAATCGTATGGTCTTATCGATACGCTCCGGCATAAACTCGGAGATTGCATGGGCACTGGATAGGCTGTATCGATTATGTGCAAATGATCAATTCATCTTGAAAACTATTCCTGGTCTAACAGACGCACTGTTCGAATGGCCGGAATGGTATGCGACAGAAGGATACCTAGTGGCAGAGCAATACCGACTGTTTGCTATGCCTGATGCTGAACACAGAAGGAGACGGCATGCCCTAGAATCCATATTTATCCTCCGAAATTCGGCCACGAATGAACCCAATGCATATGAGCTAGCTAATCATTCCCGAACACTCCCACTACTATTCAACGCCCTCACCAATCTCGCTCCAGACACGGATATGAATGCCGAATTTGTTCTCAACGCCATAGAACTTCTTCAGGCCATATCCCTGGGTATTATCCTGCCAGATCCCGCTTCGAACAAGAAAGACCCCCTCCCCACTCTGCTGCAAATTGCAGGATACTCATCAAATCGCTCCCTTATCGTTTCAGCTTTGACCCTTTTGGCTCAACTTTTTTCTAACATACAAAACACACGTCGTCTGGACTCAAACTCGCCGGCGGTTGCTGCCTCCATACGTTACTTGCCTTTATTTGTCGATCGAGCATTGGTAGACGCTTCATTGAACTACCTATATGCCCACCTTTCGCATCCGCCAATGGTAAAGGCTTTTCTGCACCATCCTCTCATGCCAAGCACCCTTCGCGTGCTTGTTAGCTTTCTTCTATCTGAACAGGTAGAAGAGACCGTGAATCTGGATATTAGTGCAGTCACTCGCGCCATCCCAGCAACAACGGTCGTAGTCCCCGTCCATGACCTTACCAAGGAGGAGCTTGAGACCCTAGTTACCATGCCTGAACCCCAGCGCTGTTACGAGTGGTGAGTACAACGTTACGCAGGTTGTATTATGATGTGATAAAGTCATTATTCGTAGGATGAAAATTATGTTCGTTTCAACACCAGACGGAGAGCTTACTCAAGTCGATTTTTGGACTCTCTACAAAGATGCCTTCACACCCTTTGCGGATCGCCATCCCGTCTTGGTCGCATCAGACGTAATAAAAAACGTCAATGTCGTTTTTCCTCAGGCTCAGGCGATGGTCCTTCCTGGGCCGCCACAGCGCTTTGTCGTACGTGGTGTGGACAGGCGTAAAGATACAGAAGCTGCCCCTCGTTTCAAGTGCTTGTGGGAGCGCTCCCAGTGTTCAGCTCCACCATTTGAGGCCCCCGGCGAGTTGTACGACCACCTCCTTCAACATTTGGAGTCGTCCGAGAATCCAGAGCCGCCATGTCTCTGGGCTACATGTCCATTGCCATCGACATCAAAACAACGACTGCGACCCCATCTCCTCACTCATCTCTCAAGTTCCCAGCCGCCCGCAAAACATCCTTCTCAAGATGATACAATCACCGTCACCGCCGACGGAGAATCGTACCCCTTCACAGATCCCACAAAGCGACGGCCCCCTCCTCCAAGGCAAACGAACATATCCTACACCCGGCCCGTCGCCGATCCTCCTTCGGCTGCACTTACCGCGTTGCTCATTATCCGTATCCTCTTCCGCTCGTCATTCGTCGCCACTACGGACACTGCCCCCCGTGTGGATGGCGAGCACTTTGGGTTTCCTGGTGTTGTGGAAGACGACGAGGGCGACGATGTTGTGGAGGATATTGGGGGCGAACTAGAGGGCGAGCGGAGGGGCCGACGGGCGTTTGTGGGTGTTAGGAGGATGATGGAAGACGTGAGGATGAAAGATGAGACGTTGATGGGTTGGATGGTTGAAATGGCTTTATGCGGCGTATGATGGGCTGTTTAGGTCGTAGTATGTGGCCGGGAACTTTGTTTCGATGCCAAAATATGAGCGCCCATATTAGCTGCGCATCACTCCCACTGTACCATCTCTGTATATAACTATCGACGCGAGAGGTCACAAACTATCCTTTCACCATTGTACAGGTATTCATGAATGCACCGCGAAGCTCTTGGACTATCAGTTCGAGATATGTGACCATCATCAACAAACTATTTCAGGCAAGTGAACACTGACACGTACTACTCATACGGTACAGCCTGAAAGTCCTGACGTAGTAACATACAGGGTCTCAGTCCAGCACAAATCTCTCCTGGACACGACGAAGAGCGCTTCTGGCAAGAGCTGCTGTCCCTGGAACCCGAACGTGCCTTTCTAACGCGTCTCCTATCTACACTTTCCAAGGACGAGTGCCTCAGTTCACACAAGGTCTGTCATCCACATTGTCCAACATCCGGCGCTACCGTACCGACAGACCAATCCTCGCCAGTAGCTCGTGCTCCATGCCCTCTTTACTGTTTGCATCATATTTGCAGCCGACCGCAAGGGCACAGAGACCCGGCGCGCCCATGCCGTCGATACGCTCTCTATCATGCTACGTACTGTGCTCGCCAAGAACCTAGCAGGCTGGGAGGTGATGGAAATCTTTGCTAACAGAGTGAATGAGGCCGACAGGGTATTCATGGTACGGTCGATGTGAAATATTCATCTCCATTATAAACTCACTGACGCATATAGGACTTTGTTGGGATGATTTCAGATGTACTTGATGATGATGATGCTCCTGGTGCGCTCTGAAAATGATTGATGTGGCCTATTTGACTGACCGTGATTTAGAGGCTCTTCGACATCAGGTTCTCCAACTGGCTGTTGTCTTCACGTGTAGCATCAGCCAGTTAAGCCCGGGCGCATATTTCCTGCGTCGAGACCTCTTCCCTTGCATCGCTAAGGTACAGATTACTGTTTTATGGTTTTGTCATCGATCCTGAGCGAATGATGTTGTTATGACAGGTCATCACATCCCCAGATACCCAACGCTTTACTTTTGAAGCGTCACTCCTCCTCTCTATTCTGGCGAATTTTCACAAATCTGATGCAGCGAAACTTAATCCATACCTCCAGCGCATACGCGATACGCAAGACACAGAACTCATGCGCAAGATTTGTTGGGCAACGGGGTTTGCACTCGATGCTGCTGTGAAGTGCGCCTTCAATTCTGGACATTCACAGAAGATTTTTAGTTGACTTGGTGGTAGGGCATACCAAGAAATATCGGACGATTCGATCCCCACATTCGCAAAGAGCGTCGGAACTTTGTTCACCTCGCTCCTACCCGATCGCACACTGACAATGCAGCCACTCGACCCGCCTCGAGAGTTCCTTAAGACTCAGTACGTGAAACTATCAAGCTTCATGTCGCATTCCTCTTATTGAGCAAACAGACCCATCGAAGCGACTGTTTCACTTCTACCTGTTTTCGAGTTCCTTTTCTTCAATCCTCTTTTTCCGCAGGTGCTAGTAGACATGATACCCAAGCCATCCGACAGCAAGAAGAGCGCGCTGGTGCCCCCGCTAGCATATAACATCATCTCATTGTCATCCTATGTGTTGACTCATGCCTCGTCTTCGGCGTCACCCCCGCATGTTAGCTTATGCAAACCTTGCACTGAACACACTTCTTGTGATGTCCGAGAACGCGCATATAATGTCGGTCTTTTGTAAGCCTGTCTCCTCAAAAGAGGCAGTCAGGCTGTGTCGGCAGGTCATTGCTTGTACACGTCCAATTTCACAACTAATACTGAGATGAATGCAGAGACTTCCGCTCCTTCCAGTGCCATCGCCTACGCGTGCACCGATCTGCGCACTTCTGGATTGTTGTGTATTATGGCTACGCCATAATCTGCATAAGCGGCTCGAGGTGTACACGTTTACGTGCGTTTCGTTTATTTCCTGTTCCTTGCCAAGACTTACGGTTGATGGTGAGATAGTACGTGTATCTGGACGTGCCATCACATCATATGGTATCTACAGAAGGCAAGAATGCGATTAGGCGAGGCGATTTTACCTAATTTGCTTGCTCTTAATTTCTGACACGGCATTCTTACTCAGAATACGACTGGCTTGAATTGTGGAAGGCCATTGTTGACTTACTTGGGTTTCTTTCCGGTAAGCTTGACAGTTTGGTGACCACCGGAGGCATCGAGCGGCTAGTCCAAGAGGTATGATGTGTTCAATGTACATTTGAAGTGAAATTGATTGTAATCGACAGAGTGTCCGGCTACTTGACCTTGCGCTACGCAGAGCAGACCTATTTTTGCCCACACCCACCGCTGTTCATGAGTTCATCGTAAGTCAATAAAATAATCAAATGACATAAATTCATAGGAGTTTTTCAGTATGAAGTTGTCCGCTCCTCCGCGGTGATTAGGAAGCAATCGCTGCTTTTACAATCGCTAGGACAACCCACGTCTGTAGACCGTGGGGCGTCGCTGCGTTCTGACAGCGTGTCCAAGGCCCTGTCCCGTGTTCTTTCCACAGCTGCTTACTACGAGGAGAAACTCGCTTCTGCTGATACACGCAGCGCCAAGGATGCGTTCCGGATTGTCTCAAAAGACATCGAGCAAAATGGCTTACACAGTGCGCACGATGCGGATGACACAGACCCACCGTACGCATGCCCTGCATGTTCTTTCTCAACAAATGCTGACCCTGGTTATTAATGAAAGGAAACATGCGGAGGATGTCGTCAGTTTCATTCGTGTTGCGTGCGCAGATGGCCTGGCGCTGATGACATGAGCACAATAAAATTTATCCTCATAAATGGGTGACTATCCTTTATGGCAAAATAATGCAGAATATATTATTTCGGACTTCAAAAAAAAATTTGGTCTGTATTGAAAAAAACTATAAAGCATGGAAATATTTATAATACGGAATCTGTGGCAAGGACCTTATATTGCTACGTAGCCTACAGCGGCCGGTGATGAAGAGTTCTCGATCAAGCAGAAAGACACGAGAATGGTAGCAGCAATTGTATGTTACGATCACAGTGACTATTACCAAGTGAAAAGACTGTCATGTGGGGGGGACCTGGGTCATACGAGTGGGACAGGCAACGACCCTTAGAGAACCAGATGACAACAGAGTTGAGCCGTTCCTTGGAATGGGTGCCAGATGAATCGATGATCTGAGCAGGTCGGTGTCTCAGTGGCGTTAGTGGCCGAAAAGGGTAGTCAACCGTTTATTAATTCCCGCTGGGGCCCCCCTTGTAATTTGTAAATCTAAGGTTTGTTAGTTTGCAAATTGGACTCACATGAACAGCGTAGAATTCTATGTTATTTCGTATTATTTCACCCTGCGGATAAATAAATTATATGGAAAGCGGGCGGGACTCCGCTTCCGTTGTCTAGTTGAGCGTCTAGATAACCGCGTGCAAAGGTTAAAAAGTTTTTTCGAGTAACCATAAATGGGACTAAGAGGGGTCCCCGAGCCCCATCATCGAAATGATTGAAATAGAGGGCGTCAATGAATATAGTGCAAGTTGTTGGCCCATCTACTAGGACGCTTGACTGCTAGCGGTCGGATCGATGGGACAATTTAAATGCCTCACACGAAAATTGTAAGCGTTTCGTTTAGTCGGGCACTTATCAGCGTTTTCCCAGACCTATCGATAAGATGCCCGCAAAGTTCAAACGCGTAACGATACTACTCGGTGAATGAAAATCTGGCTCGGTGAACAAGGTCAGTGTCATTTCATTCCTTCTTTTCCGTACTCACCCGTCGTGACTCTTTCTCTCTTACAGCCATTATCTGGCCTCTTCATGGCCGCCTTGCGTATCGCCTCGACTCGTCTCAAGCAGTCTGCAGCTCGTTCTGTTTATCAATCCCTTTCAGTTCGCGGGCTCGCGACTGCAAAGTCTCCAGCAAATCTTTTCGAGTCACTGGACACTTTTACTGACAGGCATGTTGGACCAGACGACAATGAGACCGAGTTCATGCTCTCAAAGCTGGGCTTTGACTCCATGGAGTCTTTTTTAGCCGCGACCGTGCCCCAGAACATTCGCATTGCTGGCTCCACCGTCAGTAATGCGTCCATCCCAGCACTGAGCGAGTCAGAGCTTCATGCAACCGCGAAAAGGCTAGGTCGGAAGAATCAGCAGTTCAAGAGCTTCATTGGCATGGGTTACCATAATGCCGTCGTCCCCCCTGTGATTTTGCGCAATGTATGTCACGCTCTCACCTACCCCAGCATTATGTTCATCGTGTCCATAGATATTTGAGAACCCTGCGTGGTATACCCCCTACACCCCGTACCAGCCTGAGATCGCCCAGGGTTCGTTGTCAATTTTTCCACTAGTTTTTCTTCTAATTATGTCACCAGGTCGTCTCGAGTCGTTGGTAAACTTCCAAACGATGATCACGTCCCTTACATCGATGCACATCGCAAACGCATCCCTCCTCGATGAAGCAACCGCTGCCGCAGAAGCCATGGTCATGGCATACGTGCAGTTCAACCAGAAGAAGAAGACATTCTTCGTCGACAAGGCAGTCCTTCCCCAGACTATCTCTGTACTCAAGACGCGTGCCAAGGGTTTTGGTATAAATCTTGTCATCGGCGACGCAGCTGACGCACTCAAACACGACGCGTTACGCGCTGATCTCGCCGGTGTCCTCGTCCAATACCCTGACGTGAATGGCCTCGTCACCGACTACAGTGATTTCGCGAAGCAGGTGCATGAAGCAGGCGCACTGGTCATTGTCGCCACAGATCTTCTTGCTTTGACACTTCTTCAGCCTCCGGGTGAATGGGGTGCTGATATCGTTCTTGGCAACTCTGCGCGATTTGGTGTTCCTGCCGGTTATGGAGGTCCTCATGGCGCTTTCTTTGCCGTCACAGAGAAGCTCAAGCGTAAAATGCCTGGTCGTTTGATTGGCCGGAGCAAAGATACTATGGGTAACCCCGCATATAGGTTGGCATTGCAGAGTAGGTCCTCCCTGCTATCCTCTATTTCGTGTTCTCATCAATCACATGCAGCCCGAGAGCAACACATTCGTCGTGAAAAGGCCACTAGCAACATTTGCACCTCGCAAGCCCTTCTCGCCAACATGGCCGCTATGTATGCTGTCTACCACGGCCCCATAGGACTCCAGCGCATCGCAAAGAAAGTGCATTTCCTCACGCAGATCCTCAAGTCTGCTGTCGAGCGCCTCGGATTCCGCGTAATCAACGCGTCCTCCTACTTCGACACACTCACCATCGATGTCTCAAAGCATTGTGCGAATGCTGAAGTCATGCATGCCGCTGCTGCGTTGCAGGGTCTCAACCTCCGAAGAGTGGACAAGAATACCGTTGGTGTCACTCTCGACGAGTCAGTAGGCCAAGGGGACCTCCTATCCCTCATACGCGCCTTCCACATCGCCGCCTCGCAACCAGCGCCCAATCTCGCCGACCTGCCCGCTCCCAAGGAACCTGCATTCCCTCATCAGCTCGTGCGCGAGTCCGAGTTCCTCTCACACCCCGTTTTCAATAAACACCACAGCGAGACTGAGATGCTCCGGTACATATTCCACCTTGCGAGCAAGGACCTCGGTCTTGTGCATGCAATGATCCCGCTTGGCAGCTGCACGATGAAGCTTAACAGCACGAGCAGCATGATCCCACTTACATGGCCCGAGTTTGGTGGTATCCATCCGTTTGCGCCACACGAGCAGGTTGAAGGATACAGGAAGATCATCAAGGTTTGTGATATTGAGCCGTAGTAGGACAAAGGTACTAATTATTCTTTATAGGAGCTGGAAGACGACCTTTGCAAGATTACTGGTTTCCATGCTTGCTCTGTGCAACCGAACTCAGGTGCTGCGGGTGAATATGCTGGGTTGACTGTCATCCGGGCATATCAGGAATCCCGCGGGGAGGGACACCGTGACGTGTGCTTGATACCTCTTAGTGCACACGGCACCAATCCTGCGGTAGGTTTTGTCCTCGGTCTAGTAATAAAACTGATGGAGGCGATAGTCGGCTGTGATGGCGGGCTTGAAAGTTGTCCCCGTCAAGACACATGCCGATGGGAACCTGGACCTGGAAGACTTGAAGGCAAAGGCTGAGAAACACAAAAATAACCTTGCGGTCTTTATGGTGAGTTTTGTTCATATTAATTAGGATTAAAATTTATTCCAGGGCAGATTACATACCCCTCGACGTTCGGTGTCTTTGAAGATGGCGTTGCCGATGTATGCATCCTTGTCTCCCACGCTGATCTGGAGTACTCAATTATACGTCACAGGCCTGCAAGATCATTCATGACTGTGGTGGACAAGTTTACTTGGACGGTGCAAATCTCAACGCACAGGTTGGACTGACGAACCCTGCGGTCTGCGGAGGCGATGTTTGCCATCTCAACCTGCACAAGACCTTTGCTATGTGAGTGCAAGTGATGACTTGCATCGGTATATGCTCACGTACATTACACAGTCCCCACGGAGGTGGAGGACCTGGTGTTGGGCCCATCTGCGTCGCCGAACACCTCGCACCTTTCCTTCCCTCGCATCCCCTAGTCAAGACTGGCGGCGATGCCGCCATCGATGCCGTCTCAGCTGCCCCCTTCGGCAGTGCCTCCATCCTCCTCATTTCATGGGCTTACATCAAGATGCTCGGCGGCAACGGCCTTTCGGAGTCCACTAACATCGCGCTCCTCAATGCCAACTACATGGCGCATCGACTTGCAGGACACTACAGCCTTCGGTTCAAGAATAAGAACGGCCGAGTTGCTCACGAGCTGCTCATCGATCTTGCTGAGTTTGATAAGGCTGCAGGGTTGAAGGTGACGGATTTCGCGAAAAGGTTGCAGGTGTGTGTTCTTAGAATTGGGCGTTGTCGTCGTTGTTGCTGACTGGCGCATTTAGGACTACGGCTTCCACCCTCCTACGTGCTCATGGCCTATCTCCACTTGTATGCTGATCGAGCCTACCGAGTCCGAAACACTCGAAGAGATCGATAGATTCTGCGATGCTATGATTCAGATCCGGAAGGAAGCGGAAGATATCATTACTGGCAAACAACCCAAGGATAACAACGTGCTCAAGAACGCACCCCATCCGCTTTCACTCATGGTCGCGTCTGACAAGGAATGGAACCGGTCGGTGATTTCTCAAGGTCGCGCTTCGTGATATGGCTGACGTGCCCCTTCTAGTCCTTATACGCGCGAAGAGGCTGCATATCCCATGCCATCGCTCCGCGAGAAGAAGTTCTGGCCAACTGTTTCTCGTATAGACGATGGTGAGTTGCCTCGCGAGTGATATCTAAGGCATTGGCTTATTTTCATCATCCAGCCTACGGCGACCTTAACCTTATTGTAAGCAAATCAACTCATTAATCTTCCAAGCTGACCGTTCCTGTTTTCAGTGTGACTGCCCAACAGTTGAGGAACTTGCGTCCTCGTAAGCTACTCTTATCATATTACAACCATCTCGATATTTTTTCTTGCTCGACTGTTTTTCTACTCCTCTAGAACACACACACACACACTTGTCACGCGTAATGCTCAACCACACGCTCTGCACACTCATACCATTATTATTGTATTTACCATCACGAATAGATTTACGATGATCATTTTGGGTCTACTACTGTCGCCCGCTCTCTAATGAAATATCCGTCGAGTTCTCTCGGTAACGTATGCCATAGCTGAGGGAGATACCGTTTGATGCGGTCCATCACCTCGTCTTGCTGGTTTGTCCGTGCAGCAAACGAAAGAAGTACCTTGACCGTGTTAACATCAGGCGCAATGTTCGGCTGATCTTTCCCCATCTCCAAACACACAACCTTGAGCGCATCATCAAGCTTCCCAACACGGCACATGCACTCTATCCACGTATTCCACGTCCGCAAGTTGAACTTGAACCCGAGCTTGGTCAACTTCAGGCACACCTGTGCAGCCATGGGCCAGGCGTTCGCAAATCCACATGCGTCGAATGATAATTGCAACGCTCGCTTGATTGAAGCGCCCCGTAATAAAGAGCGTTTCCCAAACGCGATATGCCTCCGCGAATAGCCCAACGCGCTGATAGCTGTCCATCAGCTGGTTCCAAAGTACTGTATCGGGCGTAAAGGAAGGGTCGAGCGTCAGGTGATCATGTGCCCTCCGCACAGCCGCTGCAAGGGCATCACGCTCCTCGGGCGGCAGTTCCGCTGAGAGCAACGCGAGATGCCGGAGGAGGATAGTGTACACAGGAGCTGTGATCTCAACCCCTGCCTTCTGCATGTCCTTCACTACTTCGAAATAGTGCCAGACAGGACGGTAATGTTTCGTGGTCTCCAAACGAGAGCTGGGTCAGGGTGTGAAGGATTGCTTGGTAGCCTTTGGCATCGAGGCGAGGCGAATTGGGACGTTTGCATATTCGCTTATAGGCCTTCAATGCAGTCATCGAAGCTGGAAGCACACCGCATGACAACGATGGCCAGGGAAGAGAACAGCCATCGGGCTGTTGAGTTCAACATTCCTAGCCTCCATGTCTTCAAGGAGGGAAAACGCAATAGGATAGTACTTTTTGACGTTCTTGGAAGCGCCAAATGCGCGAAATAAGATGTTGTAAGAGATTGGCATCTGGGCCCGAGGAATGCCGGCGCCCTGGAGGTTGGTAGTTCTTGTTTTGATTGGGTGATGGGAGCGGCCTCAGCAAGGTCCTTGTAGAGTTCTAATGCTCGATCAATTGCAACATCATCAAGAGTACTTGAAGTGGTGCAGAGAGCATTGACTAGTGGGTGTACTAAGGGCGTACCGGGAATAATCCCAGTAGACTTGGACTCCTCGTAGATTGACAGAGCACCTGTCAGGTCGCCGATACGCACAGCATTACTGATCAAGATGGCCCACTGAATTATGGATGCCTTAGGTGTAGTTCGGCTTCCGCGTATCGAAGGTGGTCGAGGCGGTGTGTACGCCGGATGAGAAGTGTGAGGGTGTGCGGAGTGAGTTTGAAACCGTCTTTCTGCAATGACTTGCATAGAGTTACAGCTGCAGCGATTCCCCTTGTTCTCAGCCTCTCTCTCTATGCTCTCTGTCCACTCGATCATTTGGGGATCTGTCGTCCTCGACCTCTTGCTAAAACGTTTCCAATAATTGTCCTTCATCTCCTGCGCTCCGATCCGCAAGACCAAGTTTGATAAAACCATCGTAGAGAAGTTTCGCGAAGTTCTCATCGTACGTCAATGAGGTATGTTCCATGATATCTAGAGCGTCAGTAAATTTTCTTGATTGGAGCAGCCAGTAGTCGAAGAGAGCGTTGAATAGAATTTCAAATGTTTTGATGGTGGGACGACGTCCAGAGCGATGCATCTTGGAGACGCTATGATGAAGTACCCCCGCCAGGCCAGATTCAGCACACCACTCGAAGAACATGTGCCACTGTAAAAGGGTAGGCGTCATATTTTTCGGCTTTTGAGGCATGTTCATAAGCCAGTTGAAAATCGTTTGCGGGTTTCCATTTGTGATCAAGCCACGGAGGATGACATTGTACACTTTCACCCCCACTTCGACGCCGCAAAGCATGGGCAAGTCGACGAGGATTTTCATCACCATATCTAAATCATGGTGCCTACCCGACACAGCTAGTACTAGTAGCGCGTCGTGGATCTCCTCTTCTTGAGGGGTGGGGCCGTAGGTTTATCTTTCCCTTCCTCGCCCAACACGCGAAATAGGCCGTAAAACTGCTGGTGTAGAGCGCCAACATTTGTTGTAGGGATACATCGCCGGATTTTGTCAACAATGACACCGACATCTGGGACATAGGAAAGGGATGGGTCGTGTTTGACAGTCAAGAATCGTCTCTGGTCTCTCTTGACGCGAAAGGCGGGTGCTGCACGACGTAAAGTAGGGTGGCCTCGAGACGGAACAGGTGAAAGAACCTGCAGGGTATCCTAACCGGGCAACAGCGCGGCTAAGGGACATTCATGCGCGCTCAGATACCTGCGCCAATAGTTTTGCCTGTAAGATTGAATACGGTCAGCCAATGTCCGATTCTAAATGTCTTCAGTCCAGTCGTACCAACTTATTTAGTTGCGGTAAAGTGTCGTGGGAAATATATTGGCCCGGGAGACGTGGTCATAAGCTCACTTTGAACACATTTGAGACTCACTTGCAAACTACCATGTCTGAAAAATTGAAGGAATTCATTGACATTCCCCAGCAATTCGTCCGCGACGGCAACCAGGTTAGTATTGCTGAGCTCTGAATCATGTGTGAAGTTTGCTGACCTGTCCTGCCTACCAGTTCCTTACACGTTGCACGAAACCATCGCAAAAAGGTACGTTCTAAGTTTCATCCATATGACATGATACTGAAAGTACAATTACAGAGTTCATTCAGATCTGTAGGGCAGTCGCTGTTGGCTTTGCTGTTATGGGTTTCATTGGATACTTCGTAAAACTCATCCACATCCCAATGTGCGTCTTACACGTTGTCCCTTATACTTCGCAAACTGACGTCGTTCTTCTAGAAATAACATTCTTGTGTACGTGCTACTGTCTTCTAAAGTGCTCCTCTGTGCTCATGTTTGGACAGCGGAGGGGCATGACCTATTCATCTCGTTAATATGTGTCCCATTCTCGCGTGTCATATACCTCCGGCTTAGTTGGACACTGCCAGTAGTGTTGCCGCAGATGCGAATTGAATTGAATCGAGGTGGAAAATTCTGGTAAATCGACACAGTTCAGCGCTAACGAATTGAAACGAAGTGTACCTCGTTTGTCTCGCGCCGTGGAAACGAGTTCAGAAGTGATATGGACCGGAAGTTCAGCCTATGAGAAGCTAGGGATTCTGTATGCCGCCGCCGCATTATTTACAAGTGATTAATACATGACCAGCAGATATACTAATTACAGTCAATGTCCCTTGCATTCTCAAGCTTGCGAAGATTCCCAGGAGCCGTCAGCTCGTCGACTGCTCCGGGAGCCACAGGTTCAGATATTGTGTAGTCCCGCTCGTCGGCCACCAGGGTCCTCTGTAAAATTGAGGCAGTCTTGCTTGTAAAAAACATCATACTTAGTGCTTCGAGCGTGGTTGGAGATAAGTCACTGCGCCGTAGAGTGCAGGTCTCTTTGCTGGATGGAAATATGCGCTCGGAAGGCACAGATGAAGCTTGAGCAGGCAGGACATCCATAGCGATGCAGAATAGAAGAGGAAATGTACATTCTTTTTGCTAACGTGATACCACTTGATCCTATGAAATTGCAGCCAGACATACCAGAAATGACGACACGTTCAGCTCCTTCAAGTAGTATACCTGCATTAACGAGAAAACTCGCACTCGGCATCATTCCTATGGACCAGTTCGAGTTCCTCGCAGAAGCGTTCCTCCGTAGTTAACGGGGGAGTGCATCATTGGCTCAGAGTGAGAGAGGGATAGTGGCGGGGCCCGGGCCGATGTTGTAGTAGCAGAGTCCACTGCAGCTCATCGTAAGTAATGAGATATCCACATGGGCCCAGGGGAGCCATTCACGGGGGATTACGATGTATGGCCGCGACTGGATATGAAGTACACGTAAATCTCGAACCCAGCGAATTATAATTTGGTCATTTTCGAAGCGAGCCGAGTTCACATCCAGTTTAAATTTACATAACTCGCCTCGACGGCAACACTACGTATTGGACAGGCGCAGTCTGTATCATACCATCGGTTAATACGGTAACGGTCTACCATTTCGTGAGTCACACTGACCGAATTTATAGTCTGCTCGGCAGACGTTAGATTTGCGATTCGAGAACTTCAACAGCGATTGATTAGGATGCTACTAGTAATTCTGTGAGCTGCAATATGTACGGAGAATTTACGGTATAAAGCTAAATGTAGATCATTAACGCTGTGTAAAGCATTGCTGAGGGAATGTATGTGGGTATTAATACATAAATGGATTGTGAAGTCCTGACTCGCCGGATGTGGAGGTTGAGCAAAAAAAATATGGTGAATGTGGTGCGGGAATACTGAAACCAGTGTGAGATGACAGATGTATGAAAGGTGGTGGCTGTGTGTGCCCAGGCTGGGAGGAACTGGAGGTTGCAGGAAGTTCTGGTGGCAAATTTTGCAGTCGGCTTGAAGTTGAAGCTACCAACGCTGTGGCGGCACTCGTTCATTCGTCCCCAATAAGTCCTGCGGACCTTGGCTGACTGGCACAGTCGGGATTTCATGCAAGATGTTCTTTGATTCGTGCAGTCAGTTCAATCATTGTCCCATCTCTAGGTAGCGAAAGAGAGCCAGCGAACACCTTCATTTGGATGTCTTCCTCGATGCACGAGAGCCAAACATCATTTTCGGCTTTTTTCTGGGCAGCTTTCTCCCCGTCAACCTTCTTTATATTTCTTATCGAGTTCCACCCAAAGCTTGAAGTATCCTTTAACAGTCGTTTTATGTCCTGAGCATGTTCCGGGTCGAGATTCTGTGGTTCGTGAGTAGAGATAGATTTCTTGTGACGAGCAAGGTAACAATGACATCATGCTTTCCGTGAAGCTTCCCACTAATCACTTTAACCCAGGCACGTAAATCACGAGGGTAGCCAGTCCTCGACACCCTCTTCAGATGGCTGGAGGAGCTGCTGACTTTGCAAAATCCCATGCTCGGTCTTTAAGAGTCTGCCGCGTGACCTGTACAACGTTAGCATTGCAGGAACTCAAAAAATACATAATCAGCATGGCCAGTGAATCAACCAGCGAGGCTCCATTAATAATCAAATATAGTGGGGGGGATTGCGGCTCGAATATCAAGCCAGTGCAGCTGTTGATATCCTGCGGATTTAGCAACCTGCCCGCTGTTGGGCCAAGTCTGAATCTTGTTATTTACGTACGTTCCAACATTGTATCCGACTGCTGCAACGACGTCGCTTGCAAGAAATTCACAGAACTCGGAAATGGGTTTGAGGTGGTTCCAAACACGAGCAAATGCAGACAATCGTCGAATGATATCCTGAGAGCACAATATTACAATGTGTTGGTCGAAACAGATCCATATCGTAGAAATAGCCACGAACACATCCACTCCCCTATCGAGTCTCTACCAGCAGTAAAGGGAACCGAGTAGAAACCTTGACAAGCTCCACAGCTGACAAAAATGTAGTGTCTGCCCCAGGCACACCATAGGTCAGTAGTGCACTCGTCTTATCTGCACCTTCCTTTGCGGGTTGCATTGAAGAGGAAGGCGGAAGAAGCGCTGAAAGTAACATTTGAGTCCTCATCAAGTATTCCTTGGCAGCTTGTTCTGGATCGGGCTGTAGATGGCTTGAAGACTGAACCTGTAATTTCCCATTGTTAAGGTGTTGCATCACAACGATGACAGGATACATACTTCCGACTGCAACGCGGCGATAGTTTGTCAAGTGAAGATGTCTCGAGTGCCTCGGAAGGCCAGGCTGACGCAAGACATCGTAGGAAGGTTGCATCATTTAATATCTGCACATTCCGATCTGTATCGCCGTTCGGCATATCACGGGTGAATGTGTCGACAAATAGGCTAAGGAGTGATGACGCTATGCTGGTGAGTTGTGATGGATGGTGCGTGAGACCCAAGCTGTGCAAGGAATTCGATAAAGTATGTAGGCTTTCCATCAGGGCTGGTGATGGCCCTGTTACAGGTATGTGGACAGTGTCAGAAAAATGTTTTGCAAGGCAAACAGAGTACAGACCAGAAAGTATTAAATGAAATTTCGCGTTGTCATATACTGAGATGACAGAAGAAATAGTGTGCTCCTTCCACCGGTTGATGATCCGGTTAAATAGCAAACCGGTTTTGTCTCGAAATTCTAAACAACTCAGCTGTTAACAATCAGGTATGTATGTTTAGTGATATGATCAACATACGCAGTGCAACAATTCATCACAACCTATATTGTGAAGGAAAGGCGATGTCAATGATATTTCGACCGCCACTCGACTAAGGAAGATCATATTTCTCATCGCCCTAGCGGTGTCTTTTCGACTGGTGAGTTTGGAGGAGAGTATTCGGGTGAAGTGTCGTCTTACCTGACTGGTTCATCAACTCATCAGTAGTCGAAGCAAGAACGACGGCGATCATAGAACAAAAAGCCTTCGCCTCTGGGAGATATGCCTCAACTAGATTGCGGACCAACCTCCTAGATGCCGCAGCTTGATCAAAGATCATCGAGTGAAACAAAGATATGAACACACTTGCTGCTCTGGTCCAAACTAATACGGGCGTAGTCTTTTTGCAGTGAAGCTGCAGATTCCTCCAGAATGTTTAAAAAAGCCTGCAGGCGAGGTGTCCGACCACGAAGTTGTGATTGCAAAGCCGTTCTATATGTTCGGTACGGGAGTTCGTACGCTGAAGGTCCACTTCCTGTTAGGGGCGGGGGTGGAACAGATTGGGGCACATATATGCTGTTTAGAGGAGAAAACTCTGATAATCGAGCGGACCTTCTGAATCATGTTTTCACAGAGAGCACTAAGATACATACCTTCAGTAACAACCTCACTACTTGGAGTAAGTGAAGACAACGCCTTCAAGAACAGCTCTTTCGCCTCGTTAATGGTATCGGTCCATATAGCAGCAACTCGTTTCCTGACAGCTTCTTCGAAATAAAGTATTGAGTGCCGTCTGCTCCGTTTTCACCAACCCCGATGTGAGCAGCCATTTGCGCAAGGAGGACCTGACATTCCAGATGCTTCTCACACTGTCCAACTCCAGCAGCTGGCGGTCCAAATAATCCTGAAGTGTAGAGCAGGACTGCTCAAACCAAGTTTGTAGTTTATCCTCCAGAAAGTTTTCTGGTACGGAAGACGAAGCGGAAGATAACTCAACATAAGGTTTGTATGACCTGATGCCAGCTGGAAGGAGAGTGAAAGTATGACGACGACGGAAGTCCAGAAAGAATCGTCTGGGTACTCAAAGCCAGTTCAGAAGGAAGTGTAGCCTCTGGGTCAGACACGGCGGGCGATTCAGTATGCATCTGCTCCAGTACGCGGATTGCCAGGGCTGGCTGCGTGGGTCTCCGACTTTGGAATACGTGTCGAGCACAATTTACGGTCCTTGATACCACCTCGACAAGAATTAGCAGTGAGGACTTCACTTCTTGAAGTCTGTCATCAGGGGGGAATGTGTTTAGACTGCGCCAGCTTGGAAGCTCCCAGAGGATGACCGTTCGTCTGTATTGTAGGAACGCCATTGGGGATTGCAGTTGTCATGATAATTGGGTTTCTGGAAACCAGTGTATGCATGGTCCGCGTTCTTTGGGAGAGATACGTCGTCAAAGTGTCTGTCAAAGGTCTTGACTCGAGGATATGGAGAGTCAGAATGGTTGCGCAGGTGTCCTAGATTAAAAACATGAGAAGACAACTCGCACAACACAACAAAGCGGACCTCGGGTGACTTCTCGTGTGTTCTCAGAGATAATGTGGCTCTATGGACAATCTGAGAGCGAAAATGAGATATAGTCTCCCACTGTCGCTGGATGAGTGGAAATTGCTCCTGAATGCGAAACGTCAGGAGGTAAGAAAGACATTTAGTGCAGAATTTACCACGACATTTACGCCTTGGTTTAACCAACTATCCTCATCTTGGTCATCGTCACGAGAAAGTGCCCGGTGCACGACGCGTGCCAGCATGAATAACCAGGTGGCATGGAAATACTTTTCTCTTTCAATAAGCCGCCATAGATGTTCTGGGGCATCAAGAAGTAACTTTATGTGGGCAGAGAGCACTTGTAATGTGTGCAAATGCGAGTCTGAAATATGAATATGAAGTAATGGAGTGTTATTGGACAGACTAGTACTGACCTTCCTTGCCTACATTCGATGTACGATCTTCCCTGGATGGCTGTTGCCGAGACGCAATAGCATCTTTAGTTTCTTGGAATGCCTCTTGTACACGCTTTGCGGACTTTGACATGGAGATTATGGACGTTGAGGCTTGTAGGAGATCGCGATACCGTTCCCTGCGCTTTCAAAGTACAGTCAAGGCGCGAAGTGCATTCAGGCAAGAGCACGCACCCGACCATAACACGAAGCTCCTCCTGCTTGGCTTCAGCGTCCGATCTGAAATCTCGTTTTGAGCCAAGGTGACCAACACGGGTAGGTCGTGACGCACCTTAGCTGAACTTGTTTCGCCTTAACCTCAGGAATAGTACATTTCGCGAACAGTTCATCTGGGTCTATGTCTGTGGTCTCATCTTGTACCCTGGTGGATTGCACGCTCGAGGAATGAGTGGATGGGACTGAACGAGGGAACTTCAGTGCTGAAGGAGACGGCGCGAATGTTGATACTGAAGTTAAATGGGACAATTCTGCAAGGCTCTTGATCGAACCAAACGATGCGACCGACACTGTAGATGGTCGCCGAGCCATACATACAAGGCGTTAGTGTCCGACTATATGTTTCACCAGGCTGGACCTGGCTGGTGGACTCGGAAAACAGTCCGACACGTCAACAGACTTGGGATATTACGTAACCAGGAGGCTATTGCTATGTAGCTAGACAAATGAAAATGAAGACGCTCCATGGATATAAGCTACTGAAGATGATCATTAGGCCGTACACTATCTTCTCCCATCATCAGAGCCTGACGTGTCTGCTACGTCCATCTCCACAGGGCTAGATTTCCTTTCATTCTGTGCTGGTGCAGGCGCGGCAGGTGAGGGTCTTGAAGGCTGAGCTTGAGATATTCCGCTCTGAGTTGGTGAACCACTGGAGGAGTTGGCCAGTCGCTGGTCAAGTGCCTTCAGTGCAAGTGCCCTGGAACAATAGTTAACACGGTTGATTGGACAACGGAAGCGATTACTGACCGTCGCCTTTCAGCTTCGGCTCGAGCTCCACCTGGCACCTGACCGTACCCTCCAGACTCAGATGTCATGAGGCACAGAAGTAGGAAGAAGGTGGAAACGTGTTGCAAGTTTGTATACTGTGTTTCCTAGCATTGATAGCGGTGTGCTAGGAAAAAATCGGTATCTGCAGGAAAAAAAAATGAAATGAAATACTCACTGGAGGAACGGTGGGAACCAGCTTGTCAAAGCAAACGTTTCGCTCCGGTCTCCGTATGACACTACCCCTCCCAGGGAGTCGCTAACACTGCGCTTATAGAAGCGGAGGTATATCCATGACACAAACCAGCCAAACTGAATGAGAATATATGGGCTTTGGAAGCCAAGCAATGTCATTATGGTCGAAAAAGTCAAGTACGCCATAGGAAGCCTCTACAGACGGGGTCAGATTGACAAGTGACGGAACGACTTTATTTTTACCTTGACGCGGGCCTTGATAAAACCCAAAATTTGGACTTGGTGCTCGGGGATCACTTGAGTAAATGAAACAAGCAGGCTAATAAATAGTGCCATTTGACCGTGATACTCCATGCCATACCTGCATTGTCCAAGGATGTGAGGCACTGCCGTCGCAAGGTATGTGAGAAACCTACAAGAACAATTCGGCATTACGCGTCACAGCGAATTCAATCCAGTTGAAGGCACACCCGATGATATTCGGTCCAGTCACGCATACGATAATAAACTTGAGAGTTTCGACAGTTCCCCACAGGCGCTCAAAATAAGCTAATGAAGCGGGGATGACAAGAAGTGAGATAATGAGCTTTCAAGAATTGTTCAGTATCAATATATTTCGTCCTCGATTGTCGATAAACAATACTTACCTCAATGACGCTTATTTCGACCAGGGCTGAGGTTGCAAATGTCCAAGGAAAGAACAGGCTTGTTCCAGGTACCAATGTCAAGTAGGCAACCGGTGTAGGGCCTGTTGTCCATTTTATCCAAAGATACAATGTGGAGGAAGCTAAGGTAGCTGCAGTAAAAAAAACGCGTCACTGGTGGTACAGATTTGATGTATTGCAATGGCGTCGAAAGGATAGCCATAGTGACACGTCAAAACCAGGGAAGATCGTCGGGTATGGCTATAGAGGTCCCAGTTAGAACCAAAGCTCACAAGAGTACTAGAGACTGTCGCCGTCGTCGAGTGTCCTTGAAATTGTTGCACTGAATGAACCCAATGTTGCAAGGGCAAACTGTACTACTGGAGTACCAGTGCGAGTTTGCCGCTGTTTACTTGAAAGCACGATGATTTCCTTACGTCAGCAGGCCCTTCTTGCTTCACCTCGTCATCTGCTCAGGCAGCCCCCGATGGCGGACTACGATTTTCGGCCAGGAGGCTCACTCAAGTTCAAGGGCGGCGTTGCTGAAGGAGGTATCGTGAAGAAGTATGTATCATTAGTTTTACTATTCAGTGCACCTGACAGATAAGTAGAAAGAAGAAATCTAAACACAAATCAAACTCGCAATCTGATAGTGCGAAGGACCGCGAGCGTGAACGAGTGAAGGAATTATTATTCAAAGAAGAGGCAGAACTTGCTAGTGGTTCGGCGTCGGGGAGTAACTCTCCTGCTCTACCGGGGAGCGATGTCAGGAAAACGGACGCGGAACGACGTTTTGAGGAAGCGCAAAGGCGCAGGGTGAGTTTTGCGGTCGAGACGAAAGCTCTGCAAATATTGACGCCAATGTCCAGCTCGAAAATAAAGTAGCTCAATTGGCTCGCAAGACGCACAAAGATCGCGTCAACGAGCTTAATGCTAAACTTGAGTCGCTCAGTGAGCACCACGACATTCCCAAGGTGTGTACAATTTCATGGCGGTCCGTGCAAAGTCTCACGGCATTTGTTAGGTTGGCCCAGGATAATATTTGCAAAAAAATCGCGTTCAGCACTGCGTTCGGCTCAAAGCCCGGTTTTGTGCGGGCCTGCGGTGCAGATTTTCAGTGGCGACGACTATATTCATATCATCATCATGTCTTTGTAGACTGCTTGAAATTCATGTATTTACACGCGAAGTGCCTGGGGTTCCACTATTGCCACATATTTGTTAAGTTGGTTTGATATAAGTAGCCACGGGTGATGCGGCTCATAAATCCGTGACCACTCTTGACCCTTTCCTTCACGTTCATTCTCTGCATCATGTCTGCTGCACCGCAGACAGAAAAGAAAGGGCACATCTGCCCTCCCTCAAATGCTAAACACCCTTCCGATAGATGGGAGTCACTATTTGTTTACTCTTTTATATGCAAGTTCACGAATCTGAGGTCGAAGGTGGAGGGATTGGAAACACCGATGGAGTGAGCACACACCCGCACTACATGCACCTCACTTGCGTCAACTAAACACGCGATTTCCCCCGATGACAGCTTTGAAAATGCCCTCTTGACGCATGGTCCAGATCCCATACTCCAAAAGATTTTACAGCAATTTATACTGAATCTGCGACCGCAGACGCGTAATTTGAGGTGAGCACTGTTTGCCACAGCTCGTTCACACAAGAGGAATGTTTGACCGTCATTGTGCTTTTGTTAGTCTTGATCAGATCTCTGCCACTTTGAATGCTGTCCTTGCAGATGCATTCAAGGCATCGGAGCGAACTGTTTTCTGGGACGACGAACTGAGGGCGAATGTGAACCCTTTTGCCGATTTAGAAGGCGGGTTTTTCGCAGCCGATTGGGATCTCAAAGTTTGTCATTGTCTTGCCATGCTGTACGAATTACCCCTGAGCGCGCGTCACGTCACATTCCATACAGCTCCAAGTTCTTCGCCAGCTCGTGGAATTGCAACTCACGCATTCCATTGACATAAAAAGCACTGTTGATCGCGCGTGGGGCGTGATGCAGAACAAGCACAAGAAGAAAGACCCTGAAACTGCCCCTCCTGAATCCAATGATTCCAAGAGCCAGCAGAATCTACAACTTGTTCCATTAGGCCAGGATGCACAACGCAAGCGGTATTGGGTCGCAGATGGTTCGTGTGTCTTTCATTTCAAGCTCCTCGCCCTCTTTCCTATTTGCGTGTATTTGGTGCGAGGCCGCATTTTTTTGGTCCCCATGTTATCCGGCGTTAGCCGTCTGTAAGGATTTCCGGCTGACTCCCGTTTCTAATCTATCTTAGATTCCCCGCGGATATACGTGTCAACTAACCCCTGGAAAATCACTGCGACGTTCCAGGCAGTCTCTTCAACGCGTGAAGAGTACCTTGCTGTGATTGAGAAGCTGAAAGCATCTTCCCCGCAAGGCGATCGTAAAAACAAGCTAGAACAAGCCCATACCGCACTCGTCAAGGCACTCGAAAGCCGGATAGACATTGTTGACGCGGACTTAGCGGTGAGTATTCGTTTGTCCTGATCAGCGGTAAATAATAGATAGATTCTACTTTCACTTCAAACGCTACTTCAAACATTTACTTACAAATTGTCCAGCGCGTACAAAGGGCCCGCAAGAAGATCGAGCAGCGTCAGATACTCATGGCGCAAGCTGAAATTCGACAGACTCGCACACGACGACAAACTCGTCGACCCGACTACGTGTACCATGACGCCGAGAGTGGGGAGGCAAGCGGTTGGCATCAAGTTTAATTTCGATTGCTAACTTATTTTTATGATCAGGATGACGCGGATGAATATCAATTTGAGGAAGACAATGACTATGATGACGAGCCGTTTGCGGAGGATAACTTTGGTAGTTCCCGATCACACGGCCGTCGGCAGCCGGGGGCTACTGCGCAGCGGAGATCCACTCGCGCCACAAAAACCAAGCGACCCTCCCCTGATTTGTCTGCTTTTGAATGGAAAGGCGAAAGGAGGTCGGCTCGTCTCGGCCCTTCTGAAGAGACACCCGTGGAGCGTCCATCAAAACGTGCTCGAACGGAAGAAAGCACGATGAGTTCTACGTCTGCAGGCTGGCCTCCGGTCTTGCCAGCCGAGAATTTAAACGGCGTCTCAAAGGCAAAAGCGAATGGCGCAGCAGCTGTCAAACCGACTGAGATTGCAGTTGAGCAGCTCGGAGGGAAGAAGAAGAGCAAGTTTTGGTTCTACGCCGTGGAACCGATCTCTGCACCTTCTGACGTCCTACCACCTGGTGGCAGTGGTTCAACCTCCCTGAACGGTCATGAACACAACGGAGATACCGGCCGCTCCGGCACCAGTAGTAACACTTCGCTCCCGACACATGGCAAAGGAGATGCGATGGACATCGACGGCCAGAGAGAGTTTAGCTTGTCACCAGTTCCCCTGGAAGGATTGCGGGGTGCATAATTTTCTATCTCGTCGCTTCATTCGACTCATGGCATTTTATTCTTTTCACCATTTTACTCGCACTCCATAATATTCCACATACCAGCAAAGCCTCATCCATTGATCAGCCTAGTCTAATCATTCATCTTATTACACCTTCTGACCTATGTAGGTCTCGCAGTGATGATACAACAGTGGACTTTTGATCCTCCACGTTTGTACTATATATCTATTCATTTTTGCCAAAAAAACGCGGCAAGCTTATCACCTCATCTTGTATCCCCATGTGCAATCTATTAGCGATCACGATACTGATGTTTTTACAATTGTAACCAACCTTCCAATTGATACTTGGTTTTTTTTCTGAGGCAGATGCGCGCGAGCGTGTCCTTGTTAACTTGGTCGATTGCTTTTAGGTAATATTTATGCGGGTGCAATTATCGGACTAGTAGGCCTGGCCAAATTATACTAGTCACGCTGAAAGTTAGGTCTCAGTGGACTTTCCTTCAAGACCACGTCCAGCGCTGTGGAATGATTGCACGTATCGCGGAGAATGCTTTCAAGAAGATATCGCGATCTGTACCCAAGTTTCGTGGTGATCTTCGTGCTCACGAACTTGGTCTGGTTCGCCGAACAGCATCAACTCTGGTGAGACCTCCATCCTCGGATGATGCAGAACTGGCCTCTCTCTTCGACCAACCGCAGACAGGGCAGAAAGCCTCACCGTTATTTGTCACAGGCATTTTTCAGCATCCTCAACTGACAACGCCAGCTGCGTTCAGTGCGCTCGCTGACTCGACCCTCGTACGCGCGCAGCTCCTAACAGAACGAATATTGCGGGCTAGGGAATCTCGATCCGAGCTATTCAAAGTGATCAAGAATCTGGACAGACTCAGTGATCTCTTGTGCGGTGTTATCGACCTAGCGGAGCTCTTGCGGAATGCACATCCTGATGCTCATTGGGTGGATTGCGCTACGGAGAGCTACGAGAAATTATGCGAGTTCATGAATGTACTGAATACTCATGTCGGGTTATATGAAGTGAGTCATGCACTTTTCCGTATCTTCAAGGTGTCACCTCCTTTGGCAGGTGCTGCACACTGTACTACACGACCCGGAAATTGTCAAGTCTCTCAGTCAGGAAGCACTTCAAACAGCACTGATATTCTGGCATGATTTCGAAAAGTCTGCTATCAAACTTCCCCCAGAACAAAGGGAGAGATTTGTGTCCCTTTCGTCCGAGATTCTATCTGTAGGTCACGCGTTTGTCACGGAAGCTTCTGCCCCGCGACCGCCGGTGAAGATCAAGCCCTCCGAGCTAGAAGGTTTGAAGGACCGAGGAATGGGCGCTCGTCTTCAAAGACAAGCATTTTTCACGCAGAAGGACTTGCTGGTCTATCCGGGCTCTCACCAAGCCTATATGATCTTGCGCGAGGCACCTGATGAAGAGCCACGAAGAAAGGTGTACATGGCAGGTCACATGAGCAGTGCAGGGCAAATTGACCGCCTTGAGCGGTTGCTAAATGCGCGTGCACAACTGAGCCGCCTGGTAGGTTGGGACAGTTATGCTAGCATGACGCTCAGCGATAAGATGGCGAAAACTCCGGGTAAGCGGTTACGTGTGGTAGCATGTCGGCCAGTCCTGATGTCCAAGTTACGTAGAAAATGTCAATCATTTTTTGGGTACCTTCTTGGATCGGACCACGCTCGTTGCTCGTAAAGCATTGCATACATTGCGTTTGCGGAAGCAAGCGCATCTTAAATCGACGGACCTCCCTATTATCCAAGCGTGGGATAGGGATTACTATTGCCCACCCGAACCGCCAGCGCCACCGGTTCCCCTCCCTCCTCTTTCACTCGGACGTGTATTTATGGGCCTTTCAAGACTATTTAAACACCTCTATGGAATAACGCTACGACCCGTTGGTGTCGCATCTAGCGAAGTATGGCACTCTGACGTACACAAACTAGAAGTAGTTGACGAAGATAGAGGCGTCGTTGGCTGGATATATGCTGATCTCTTCGCACGTAGTGGGAAGTCGCGCGGAGCGGCACATTACACTGTTAGATGCTCCAGACGAACGGACGATGACGATGAAGCTGGCGACCTACGAATACCCGGAGCAGATGAATTCGTTGGTCCCTCTATTGAATTCGAAGTAACTAAGCGACACAGACTACGCGGTGAGCATGGTGAGTTCCAGCTGCCACTGGTAGTCCTCCTTTGCGATTTTGTACCGCCATCTGTTGCTCGGGGTCCTACCATTCTCGAATGGTATGAAGTTCAAACCTTGTTCCATGAAATGGGACACGCCATGCATTGTGAGAGTTTCTGGATCTCGCTGAGGTCATGATTATTGACAAGATACCAAATTTCAAGCCATGATCGGTCGGACAGAGTACCACAATGTTGCAGGGACGCGCTGTGCGACTGACTTTGTCGAACTACCTTCCATCCTCATGGAACACTTCCTCAACTCCCCCAAAGTTCTCTCCCTCTTCGACACTGACGGCTCTTCTATCATCAATCAAATCGGAAATCATCACGAAGACCCTTGCCGGTACATTGATACCCATAATCACATCTTACTTTCTCTGCTTGACCAGGTATACCATTCCCCCTCCGTCCTTGAGCCAGGCTTTGACTCGACGACCGCTCTCGCAAACTTGTACAATACTCGCGGTCTGATCCCGCATGCACCTGGAACGTCGTTCCAGACGCAGTTTGGACACCTGTTTGGATACGGTGCAACGTATTACTCGTATCACTTCGATCGTGCTATTGCATCCCACGTGTGGCGGAAGATCTTTTCTGCTGACCCCCTCAACCGCGAGCTGGGAGACAAGTACAAGCAGGAGGTGCTGAAGTACGGTGGTGGGAGGGACCCGTGGTTAATGCTCAGCGCATTGCTTGATGCACCTGAGCTAGAAGTCGGTGACGCAGAAGCGATGCGAGAAGTTGGTAGATGGAGGATGGAAGATGGAGTCGTTCCGGAAAGACATTAGGATCTATACTACTGAAACTATCCCGCTGCATTCATTCTCTCAGACTAGATTCTATCATTGCAGGAATTACAACACTGATCTCTTTTTTTGATTCCGGTACAGAGCGATTGTCAAGTGAAGGGGAATAGTACGTAACAAGTTAACAAGGGAAATGCGGGATGAGTGTCATACATGCATGATGTAGGGTATATTATGCAATGTGCAATGTGCACGATGATGAACAGAGATATGATATGAATAATATTACTTATATCTTGATAGACTGCACAACATATATGGACAGCGTAAACGAAGAGAGCAAATCGACGATCATCTATCTCGGAAATCAGCAAACAAAGTAACCATCAGGGAACAAGAACACATACACAGACACCGCTAGGTCCTGCTCTAGTAGTCGTGTTTGTTCTCTTAGAAGCTGAAGTTGCTCCAGCTTCGCCAAGCGAGCACTATCAGCAAGTGAAGAAGGCTGAGGTTGTGGAGGAGCATATAACAACGGAGGAAGCTGGAGCACAGAGAGATCAATCTCTGGTAATAGCTGTGAGAAGTCATCGCAAGATGATGGCAGTGAGAATTGATTAATGTCGGACAAGAAGGGTTGTTCAGAGTTCAAGAGATCCGTCCAGCTGAAAGGGTCCGAAGGAACGAGGTCTACGAGGTCGACTGGCGGCTGAAAAAATAGTGTCAATTGCTGTGGAGGGCCCCAAACTACCTCGCCAGAATAATCGGGAGGGATTGTGGACATCGCATTGAAGAAATTAAAATTGTCGAGATTACCTAGATCAGGTGCAGGAATGGGAGCGTGCGAAGGAACCTCCAAATTGACCAATTTTGCCTCGAAAGATGTAACTGTCGGACAATGAGTGAGGATCTTAGGGTATGATAGAACAAACGTACGGTCTCCAGAGCGGGCTGGATATACTTTTGTTCAATGGATTTATTTGGTTATCAGGGAATGTGTATCCGTTGTATACTTCAAATGTCAACAGGGGCAAAACTGATCGAAACCGCCGTTCTCGACTGGACCAGGAATCTCGAAGAAATTTGTCTGGAACCAGTTATCGATGTTTGACCCGAGAGGAATGGATGCTCTCGGAAGAGGATCGGACACGTATGAACACGGGGTCCGACATGGAGGCCTCTCGGACGCTTGGGCACAGAGTGGACATCAGCGTCTGATAGCCGTCGCTTTCGTGAAGACCCTGAGATGGCTGAGGGGCAACAATTTGGACCTCATCACTGCCATCCACACCACCGCTACTTGATGGGGGCGATGGCAAGGCGGAAGTATCCGCAAAGGGGGTCGGGACCTTCGCATTAGACCTGAAAAATGACAATCAGTGACAGTTGGCCCCAATGCATGATAAGGACTCACCGAAGGCGTTTCATCGGACGTTCTGGACATGAAGATCGTCCAGGATCAGTTGATTCAGAGGATACAGAAGCACGCCGCTTCCGACCAGCGAGAACGGGTGGAATGAAATCGTCTTCCTCGTCTTCACTCTCGTCTGTCCAGGATTCCTCGAGAGTGGGAACGGGAGATGCAGAGAGCGAGTGTCTGGGAGATGGACACGAAGCAAAAGCTGTGTGCGCCTTCTGGGCCTCCCTATCAAGCACTCTTTGGATTCTCCGCACCTCTTTTTCTTCCTCGCGTCGTTTCTTTTCCTCTCGTGCACGCTCTTTCTTCTCCCGCTCCAATTGCAACCTGTCCTCCTCTGTCATATCCTTGACCACTGCGTCTAGCTCACCTGCAAGCGCGCTTTTGGTAAAAGTAGAGGCGTAAAGATCCTGTGTAGCAGCCTTCATCTGCTGGAAATCATGAAGGATGCGGTTCAAGAACACGGGCATAGTCTTCTTTGACCAGAGCATGAGAAGCAGCATCAACAGTGTCAGCTCGGCAGTTTTTGAAGTGTTTGCGGCAAATGGTGGTCCAGCCGATGCGACGACGAGCGCTTATGAACCAAGCACCAACGGAACTCACGGGACATCCAGAGCTGCTGGCAATACTTGCTTTGGTATCAGAGGACGGGTAAGGGTTGTTGATATTAGTAAGAAGCCATTTGTACGCTGGTTTCGATGAAGAGGGGGAGGGATGATTCCGCTGGTTGTGCATTTTGTGCTGTAGGTATTGATGGAGGCGAAATGCTGACACGATTAAGGCCACGCAGAATGCTCTCCAAGTCATCAAGAAAATAGGTTCATTGATTCTTTGTGTGTTTTTGTGTAAGTCGGAGAAGCAGTTTGTGATGATAACGACCCTTGAAGCCACCGAGTTCGCGATTGATATAGTTTCGTCGGATAGTTCTCCTGCGGACAGACAACGGGAATAATCAGCGTATAATGAATCCCAAGATGTCTCGAACGACATCAAGGAGGCTTCGCCGATTGAAATTGAATCAAGTAGGGCGTCCTCCGCTTGTTGGAAGCGCTGTCGTATGTCTTTATCCATCCTAGAGACTTTGATAAGAGATGAGATGAAATTGGGGAGGTACCAGGAAGACCAGGCTGTCACGACGTATAGTATATATATGTATTTGTTTGAAGATTCAGACAATGCGGAACTTCAATTTGACAATCGCGTTATTACCAAAATACCAAAAAATAGCGATAAACACATCATTTCATTGTTCACAAGAAATACTTCAAGTTCTTCAACCTGGTCGCGATTGAGTACTGAGTATCAGTGCTAGTACTGCTCGAATCCAAAATTTTCGATGACGGCCGGAACGACTTCTCTAGAGATCCTAAAGCAGATCATACAGCGTGTTCAAGAAACACAACGCCTATGTCTTGCTCATCCCTCTACTTCGTCATCGTCCTTCTCGCTCGCTTCTCAATATCCCCTGCGACGACCTATTGCTAATGTTTCCCTTCCTGACCCGCCCCCAATACAACCTGCTCTTATGGCTGTTGGCGCCCGGCCAGAAATCTCCCTGGTGATGGACCAGGAATACCAGAAGCGGGCTGCTGAATTGCGAACTTTCTGTCAGTCAGCTGTAGCACATGTATGCTCAAATCAGGCGCAGCATCCGTCCATGTCTCCCTATGTCACCGAACAAAAAATCATCCCCGTGTTCACCGAGTTATATCTCAGACAGCTCGGCTCTTGGAGGCAAGATTGTGTCGACTTATATCTTAAGCATCCGTCAACAAGAACAAGTGAAAATGTACAACCTTCAAGTGCTACACCAAAATTTAATCATGTGCGTTCAGTGCTCTGCCTTCGCCTGTTCAACCTTGTGTAATGCCTTTGTAAAGGAATATGTTCCATTGCTGGAATACTTCTTCGCAGAGAACCCGTTCCCAACCCATGCCGACAAGGCTTTTCTTGCAAAGAAATCAGCAATGACGTATCGTCAGATTCATGTTTGGGTACGCGTATTTATCGGTATACTTTGGGTCTTGATGTTGATAATCCCAAGTTTCAAAACAAGCGCAACAGGATGAAGAAAGAAGGTCAAGTCTTAAGAAGGAAGACAGTGGCGGAGGGTGCCACTCTTCCATTGGATAACCTGTACCAGCGTATGGAGAAATTTATTGTGCCAGAAGAAAGGAAGGTGCCCGCGTCGCCTCCCAGTCGTCCGCATTCTCCTACCAAGCAAGGAGACGAAATGGTAAGTGCAGTACCTTTCTTCATCTTCGTTTTATTCACAAGGTCTTATACAGATGTCTATCGCAGACAACCGATGCAACCCACTCGAACCTCTGGCATCTTTGCACGCATTTCCATCGGAGTATCCCCCTTCATGCTCGTATGACCCTTTCCCATGGAAGAATGGTGTGACGAATTTTGGTGCACCAAAATGGCTCCGGCGCCCAACGACCACAGCTGTTCGACGTCCTACATTGGACATTGATGGGCTCGTAGACTGCTTCTCGAGGATAAACATTCTGGATGATTCTGGTTCGCGTTCACGCGGTAGTGTCGATTCATTTGCAGCTGTGGCTGCCATTACAGTTATACCCTTCCCTGCACCTCTACCTGCCCTCATTCGGGGGACAGCTACGCGTATTGCACCCATCCGTGTTCCCCTACTTTCCATTCCTGCAACTGCGTCTCGTCGTCATGTCTTCGATACTCCCAGTCCCCAATCAAGACCTATTACATTGGTGCTGGCCTCTGAGACCCCAACAGGGCAGAAGGCCTGGCGCCGAAAAATGGCACCATTGCCAAAACGCATTCCTCATGGGAACCCGGTTTCTCATCGGGGTGTCACGCCAGCCATTTCGGAGGCATCTGTTGCCTCACCTTCGCCAACATCGCCCTCGCGTTCGTCTTCATTCGGGTCTGAGAGCTCTTCACAGAGCCGCCTGCTCTCAAGCGCGAGCTCCGTGTCGAGCAGTTCCTCTGGTGTCACGACACCGCCTCCATTCCCATCACCTTCAACACAGCTTACGTCTCCTCCAATGTCCTTGTACAATTTCTCTTCAAATATGACCGATCTATTCGGCGATGCTTTGGAAAGCATTCCCTCACCGGCGGAGGGACTTCAGCTTGACTTTAATTCAAGCATATTCGGGAATGAGCACATCCTGAAGTCGCCGGCGTTGGACTTCTCCTTCGGTGCGGCCCCAGCAGCGGGTCCTGTTCGCGCACCGTCATGAGCTACTCTGCGGTGGGAGTCCACGGACTTCATTTTAGCATGCTCCAGATAGTGCTTGCTTTCTGCCTTTGGCACGCCAGGCCTCACTGCTACGGAACATCCAGCGGTGACGAAGGGCTACGGCAGCGCCCTATTGCATCCCTTCATATAATACCCTGAAGCGGACCCTATGCACTATGCAAGTCTTATGTATATGACAACGTGTCCTGACTTGCGCTGTTATTGCTGTCTAATCACTGCTTTTGCCTTTTAAGTAGTCATCTCTTCCATGCGATATCCTTTCTTTTCGCTCATTTGATGTTATCTAGTCATATTATTGTATCGATCTGTACTTGCTGTCTGTATACTTCGAGCAATTAGAACTGAATACGAGATATATCGCTGCCACTGAGCGGAACAAAATTGATCACAGCTCTCGAGCGTCAGTAAAACTATTGTTCTTTGAAATTGGGTATGAGTCCAAGAATTTACAAAGTTTCGCAGATGAGCACTAGATTTTACAAAAGTAAGTTCACGCATAGGCGAGCACCGCGCCCAAGATACAAAACTTCTCGAAGTCTTCTTTCCCCTCGACGCATTTACATGAATTTGCTTGCCTAGAGGACAGGGTCAGACGTCATGAAAGATTAAATCAGGAATTAATGTACCATGCCCATGATTCCACTCAAGCCTCCACTGCTGCCACCACCGATGAAGGAGCTCATCTCCTTCTTCATCATAAGCTGCATAACATAAGTAGCAGCGCTGTTCATGGCGCTTTGTTTGGCCTCGCTAGATCCGCCACCAGACTGGTCGAAGAGCGAGGAAGCATGTTGCATGGCCATGCCAACAAGCTTGCTCTGCATGTCACCTCCACCACTGCTTCCGTGACTTCCGCCGCCGCCACCGCTCATCATGTCTGTGAACACCTGCAAAATTATGTGAACTTGAACTTGATCGTACTTGAAGTAGCTTACTTTGAAGGCTGCAGCTCCACCCATTGCATCGGGTGCCATGCCTTGTGGGCCCTGGCCCTCAGAGCTGAATGCCTGTTGGTGAGCATTCCTGAGGTTTTGGACGCCATCCTCGTCGATTTCACCTTGGTGCTGGACAGTCTGATTCACAGTGATGAGGGATGTCTAAAGACATTCGACGAGGAACAACAAACCTTGTGTGCATGAGACAGTGCCTGGTTTACGAACCCATGGTTTTCAGAGTCAACATGCTGGTTCACGTCGTCCGAGTTGACTGTCTGCTTGTGAGCACGATGGGAGTGATCACCAAGTAAATGACATACACGAGGGTCTGTAAGACTGGGGAGGCCGGTTGTCAGGAGAGTTGTACTCCTGGCCTCCAGTCTTGTGGACGTGGGCTGTCGCTGCGTTTGAATATTCCTGCGACACGAACGGCGGATGCCTACTTACACTGATTCTGATTCTGAGACTCAGAGTACGACTCGTAACCTTGCTTCGCGAGATTAATGAAGGTATCCTATGTACGGATCTAATCAATTTATGAACAGTTTTGTGCTGCGCAAAGGAACTTACCATGATGATGGGAGCTTGATTGTAAGTAGATATAAGCAGATACCCTGGGCCTATTATCTGAGACTCAGACACTGCATTGATGCAGTCATCGTTATCCGGCTTTGACTGCGATCGCAGTTAGCCGGTTCTAATCTAATCTCAGCCATTTCTCACCCCGACCCTGCCGCAGTGGGTACCTGACCCTGACCTTGCACTGATTGAGCTCGAGTTCTGAAGGGGCGACCTATTATCGATTTATCATTCGGATCTTTCTCGGTTCCTTCCAACGACTTCAAACCCTACCCTGAGTGAAAAAAGTCTGGACACCCTTACGTCATTTGCAACGAAAGGACTCGATGATCAGACTCTTCTCAACAAGATCTTCACAATACATTTCTTTGGACGGTGCTCGCTTTCACGCTTAGTTTCGACATTGTGACCCGTAATTCCGACATGGCAGTTGAAATCCATCTAGCTTGTTCGTCAGCGTTTGCTCCATCTGCCCTCAAAGTTTGAGTTTGAGTGATGCGAGGATCATCCCGAACTCGTGTCCTGAGGAACAACTCCTCTTTCCCCTATAAGGGCAAACACGATAATGATGATCGATAAGAGAATTCCGATATAGTATGTGATTACGGACTATATATTGCTACGAGGGCATCAGATTCGGTATCTGACCAGACTTCACCATACCCCACTTCACTAGAATCGAAGACGGCCTTCGCAGGCGCAAATGTTGGCCGGCCTGTCACTTTGTTTTGGCTCGTGTTTTGTCTTTTTTTCTTTCTTTAACTTAGTAGTAAAGAAAAAAGAAAGACATAACCGTGACTGCCGATCAAGCATGGTCAAAACCAAGTGGACTGACAAGCGAACGAAGAAAAGGGCCAAATTTTGATTATAGAGCAAAACAAGTGGTTCGTTCAGCTTTGGACGTTTACCACTACTAAGCGATGTCTGTACATCACGGATGCATCACGTTTACTGTCACTTGTTGAAGTCGCCGGCGTTCGACTTCTCCTTCGGTGCGGCCCCAGCAGCGTCCCGATCCCGAACTCGTGTCCTAAGGAACTTCATCAGAAATTCCTCTTTCCCCTGTAAGGTCAAACACGATAATAATGCGATGAGAATTATGCCGATAGGCTCGTCACGTGATTATGGACTATATATTGCTAGCCTCGAGGACATCAAATTCAGCTTCATCACCTGAATCACCATACCCTAGCTCACTGGAATCGAAGACGGCCTTCGCAGGTGCAAATGTTGGCCGGCCTGTCGCTTTGCTTTGGCTCATGTTTTGTCTTTTTTTTCTTTAACTTATTAGGTAAAGAAAAAAGAAAAGACATAACCATGACTGCCGATCAAGCATCATAGGGCAAAACCAAGTGGAGTGACAAGCGAACGAAGAAAAGATCCAAAGTTTGATTATAGGGCAAAACAAGCACTTTGGTTCGTTCAGCTTTGGACGTTTACCACTAAATATTACAATAAGCAATATCTGTATACTACGTTTGCTGTTGTCTTTTCCTCCTCTTCTCTTGCAAGTAGCGTTCGAATGTCTTGTCGACATCGTGCTCTTGAATGTGCCATGAATTGCTGTCCGTGAGAAACGAGACAGAATTCATCGGACACTCTAAGCGAGCTCTTCCAGACGCACCAGAGGCTCCAGAGCAAACTCCAGACTACCTTGCAATGTTAACTCGTCCAAACACGCTTCCCCATCGATTGGATCTCAAAGTAAACGCTGTATGCGCAATACAACGAAACATGTCCGTCGAAAATGGATTAGTACGAAACGCGCGAGTCCGCATCACCGCTCTTCATCGAAGATTCACTGAGGTTCAAATTCCTCATACTGGAGAAGTATATTGCTTGCTTGAGTCGCATCACCTTCTCTTTCAATCCAGCGCGTTCCAGGACCGTAAATCGAAACAGTTTCCCCTGCAACCTACTTACGCGACGACATTCTCAGGTGGTACATTTTTACCGCTGAAATTGAAGAAAGAGATAGGAAGATCTCCAACGTTGTCTTCTGGATCAAACACTGGCACAAACCCATCCATGCTCCAAAACCTTTTTCTCGGCCCTAAAGCACAAGTAATAGCGTTTTGGATACCCACAATGCCGTTAGAAGAGCACGCCGAAGCCATGGTGGTGAACGAACAAGAATAAGAGAAAAATGAGCAATCGCATCTGGAGCTTCAAAGACATTTTGGAAAGGCTGACAGGAAAAGAGGAGTAGAGACACGGAGAACGACGCACGCACATAGGAGACTGCCGAGCGCATACAGCGAGCGATGGCGTGCATGTGGACATGGGCGAATTGCTTCCGCGGGATCAAACGTTCTGTCCCAAAGTAGCGGTGCCGGGCGCATTAGGATATGGCCCGCACAAACATCCGTTGACAGTTTCCGTATGTCTCCAGCAACCCAATACCATCATACTGGGTGCCAAACCAATAAATTCGCGCTGCCGGCCCTATACCGTCCTGCAAGCTTTATATCCGAAGATACATGGCGTGCATATCCGGTCACCACCAACGGCGATGAGCAGGCTCACCGCAATGTCAACCGTGATTAGCCAGTGGATCCGGGCTATATATTGCTACGAGGGCAGCATCTGGCCAGATTTAAGTTTCATCGCACACCCCAGCTGATTCACCAGAATCGAAGACGGCCTTCGCAGGTACAAATATTGGCCTGCCTGTCGCTTTAATGCTTTGGCTCGTGTTTTGTCTTTTATTTTATTTTATTTAAAATGATAAAAGAAAAGAAAAGACATAACCGTGACTGCCGATCAAGTATGGGCAAAACCAAGTACTGGACTGACGAGCGAACGAAGAAAAGGTCCGAATGACAGGCTACCATGACCTCTTGAAGGGGTTGGCGCCGGTGCTACTAATCTTGAAGAACGTTCTCTGTCACTGTATCGGTAAAAGATATCAGCTGCCTCCATCAGGTTCGAGACTAAATTACTTACGTCGATAGGTCAGGCCAGGTGACTCGAGTATGTACATTCAAATTGCATGGCCTATTGTGCTGTGACTCCTTCACACGAAGTTTGCATTTGCCTGCAGGCGCGGTCATCCAAGAGCGAGCTGGAGGAAGTCTTCAAGGCTATGGACGATAAACAATATTACATCTATGGCTACACAAGTCCTCGGTGTTATAGCATTCTACGCAACGTTTGACTGAGGCTCCAGCTTTCTCTCATCTGCACCAGCAGTGGTTGTCGTAGATGCGTATGGCGTGCCCGCAACATCTTTGCCACTCAAAGGCGTGTCGGTAGCCGGGCGCGCAGTTGATGGCGGGGTAACCGCATCAGAAGGCGAGGTACCAGAGTGCATCCCGAGGTAACTTTGCGCTGTCTCGCGTGCTTTCTCGACCTGTGGTTGCAAAGTGGACCGTGCAACGTCAATGTGCGGTTGAGCGGCGGCTTGTGCGGATGCAAAGTACTCCTGAGCGGTTCCAACAGCAGACGATGCTGTCGTCTGGAATGATGATATGGTGTCTCCTCCTGTCTTGTTCGAAGTGGCTTGCGGGTCTGTGCTACTGTGGAGATAGTCCTGCGAAACGTATAGGCATTCAAGTTCAGGGGCAATATAAACCGTTATCTCACCTGAGCAGAAGTGGCAACACTCTCCGCGAATGTCTTTGCCTGGTCCAAATAACTTGCGCTGGTATTCTTAGCCATATGGAAATCTCTCTGCCCTTCGGAGGCTGCGGCGTTCGTCTTCTGAGCCGATTCGCTTTTGAAGACGTCAAAGGCAGTACTAGTATCTCTTTCTCCTGTCAGTTCAGGCCCCATTCCCTATAATTTGTAATGTGTAAGTAAAGTTTCGCCAGGATGAATGAACGCAGCCCACTTGTGCAGTCTGAGCTGCTTTGGCTGCTGCTTGTTGAACGTGCTCTGCGTTCTCTTCCACTTCATGTGCAACACGGGCGTTTGGTGCATCAGCCTGCGCGTGAGCGGCTGTTGTCTCATGCCGAGCTGTCCTAGGGACCAAAGGTCAGTATCACAGGAACTCTACGCCAAAAGATTGCTCACTCGGTGCCCCGAGCCTCTTCGACATTGGAACCTTTGTTGATTGTGTTCGACATGGTTGTTCTGAGTAATAAGTTGATAGACCGTCGCGTTTGTCTGGTCTTATACAGCTGCGCCTTCATGACGTCATACAGCTGGCCAGAGGTGTAGCGGCGACGTCACGCGTCAAGTAAGACTATGATGACGTCGGCTCCTCCCCATTCCCGAACTCCACCCCGAACACCAACAGGATAACTAACATGTGTATCGCACATTTTGCGCCGGGACTCTCGGCGAAACCTTTCCAGGGATACCGCTGTGGCTGCTCCCATTTGCAGGGGCACTTCCAGATCGGCGTCATGGAGAGTTTCGTTGTTGACAAGGGGCTTATGAGTCGTAGATACTTTCCAAGTTATGCTATAGATTACCCATTCAGCCACTCTTTGTTTGGAATGGTGCGTTCTGATCGCCATCACCGTACCATCATTGATGATGGTACTAAATAGGGCTAGGCCTACGTCCTTGTGGCCGAGCGTAAGATGGTATCAATAAAGGACGGAGCGGTACTGAGGCTGTTGGCAGTGACTCTCAGTCACTTCCGCCTCGAAATTCCATCACATCGCCAAGGCAAGCTGTTCAACGTAACCTTGAATGACTTCAGAAGCTATTTATATGCACGCAGTGATCAGATATCAAGATCACTCCAAGCCACTCCACTCACCTCGGATCCGGAACATCCAGTTGCACTGTTCTTCACAGAATGTGCACTTTTCTTTGGAGGCTTATGGGTCTATAGAACTTTCGCCCCCATTGCCACTCGGCTCGGTTACAAGAGGCATCCGGCGCGACTATGGGGCGTTGCTGCGATCTTGCTTGTCCAGCAACCACATTTCTATTTCGGAGCGTAACTTATGCCTAGCGAATCGGGATGTAGCATCAACACAGGGCGCCTTCTACTAAGTATGGAGACTAGATAGGTAAACACACCCACGTGTCTATCAGAAATCCTGTTCGACGTTTGGCTTATCAGGAAGCTAGAGGCATAGTAGGGTTTGGAGGTGGGCGTCACAGAAGAACCAATCACACGCAAAGGTTATCGCTACTGGGCTTGTGTCACTCTTTGAGATTTTGCAGCTAATTCTGTTTAGACTATAGTAATGAAATTTGAGCTCTCGTCGCACTTGGGTTGGGGGGGTGCCGAATATGAACATAACGTGGCAAGAATAACCATAATGAAGAAAGAAAGAAAAATGAAAGTTCGTTGCGAGAATGGTTGCGGGTATATACATGCAAATGCACTTCACATAATCGTACAGGAGGAAAGGAAAAAAAAGGAGAAATTCTGTCTGCAATCACTAGAACATGGAAAGGGAAGCTCGTAACAGATACGTAATACTTAGAACTCGTTAAATCCGACGTGTGGGATCCTCTCGTGAGCTGATCTTCAGGAACCGAGCAAGTACCTCTTCTGAGCCACGTTTGAAGAGTTCCACTCCTCGAGCAGGATCCCAGACACGAGATGCTCGAGAGGGAGTACTAGGAGACCGCTCTTTGGCTGACAATGCAGGTCCTAGAGACGATGAAGACGGGGATTCATTGGAAGACAGTCGAGAAGGGGACGACAGTGGACTCGGAGTCGTACTCCTCTCTGCCCTTGGCGTCATTTCGCCAGGCGCCTGCGGAGGTAAAAGGGTCTCCCGAGAATCCATCATAGCTGAAGAAACGGAAGATCGCGGCGTTGACACCTGCGAAACAGCAGGGGACATCAAGCCGGTTTGTTCAGCACCCGCAGCAACATTCATCACGGGTGGCAACACCTTCAGGCTTGATGAAGGTTGCCAATGCTTCTTCATAGATCCGCTACGCGTGCGCGCTTTCAACGGCCGCTTTACAGCGACATCCTCTTCCGAAGAAACCTGCACACTCTGAGTGCGCATTTCCTTCGTGTGCGTCTGCACTCCAAATGATCGGTATGTCTTCCTTGCGGTTTCGATGCTAGAACTGCAAGATCGTACCTCTGTCACTGTTCGCCTGCCTTCCTCATCGGAGTCCACCTCATCCTCTACATCACCATCGTGACTGCTAGCTTCCGACGTCTCCTCCCAGGGTCTCTTCGGGTTTTCGAATGCGGTTGCTAAAGGAGTGGGCCCTAGAGGGCGTGCAAGCTTCGAAGTAAACTTTTGGATGCCAGGAACGGCATCCCATATGTTTCCAGATGTCAATGATGGGAAACCTGCTAATGGTGAAGGCATTGGCTGGTGCGCTCCAAACTCCCTGCTCAACTTGCGCTCAGGAGTAGATGGAAGCGCGGGACGAGGCAGGGACTGAAAGAACATCGACCCTTGTGGGCGGGGCTCGCCCTCTGGGAATACACGTGTAGGAGTAACACGAGGGCGCTCCTCCCAAGGGAAGACACGCTTGACCTTGGTGCGGTCAGGGGTGGGCGGCGTAGTGCCACTCTCAGTAGTAGGCCCAGTGACATTGCGGTAGTGCCCCAGCTGAAGTAGCATCTGAGGAATATCAGGTACAGGTGGTGGGCTGAAGAGTGTTTGGGGCGATGGGTCTCCCTGAACTTCGGTACTCGTTGCATCTGTCTCAGACGACATGCTCGAGGACGACCGTGATGATGATCCAGGATCTTTGTTTCTACAGGGAGAATCGTCCCAGACATTCGGGAAATAGGTGTCTCTTGGGAGTGCAGAGGGAGTAGATATGGTTTTTGGCGGCGCTTCGATCGCAGCATTCCATGAGAGAAGGGGTGGGGAAGTAGAGCGCAATCGCTCGATCCTTCGTTCTTGCAACGAAAGGGGCGACTTTGGTTGATTCAAGCGCACAACTGGCTTGGAGGATGAGGGGACAAAGTGGAGAGGTGTCGGAGGGAGAGATAACAGGCGCGATTGTGGCGCAGGAGGCACCTCATCGACATTCGGAGTTGGCAACGTAGTCCATCTTACAGGTGAATCCAATGATAGTGAACCTATCTGTCGAACAGGTGTTGTGGGTTCGGCGACTGCCTCGCTGAGATTTGAATCAGGAGGCTCAGGGGCAGTCTGGCGAAGATCATGATCCTCAGGTTTCATCTGCTTTGCGGGGCGTGGTCTCATAAGATCCAAACGCCCCTCAAGGGGCATGCTCCTGTACTCGCCCTCTCCTTTCGATCGATCACCAGACAAGAAGCCCATTGCGCTCATGCCCTGAAGGGCCAAACGACGTAAGACGTCGAAACCAAGTGGACTGCCACCTGGTGCTCCCGCAGACTCTACCGCCGCACGGGAATTCTCCTCGTCTTCCCATGCAGAAACATATTTGCTGACAGGAACCCCGAGATCCGGTGAGATGGGTTTTGATCGATAGTGCTTGTCATAAACACTGTACCACCGATCGACAAGCGAACCATAGTCGTAGGCTTGTTGAGGTTGCTTTGCTGGCTCTGACACTGTAGACTGCTGTTCCATCTGAGATGATGGTACTTGGGTGGAGGATCCTGGGGCACGATAAGGAATGGAGTGCCAGGGCTTATTAGGTCCGATGAAATGGACCGCTGATATCTGGGAACCGAACCGCTCATACGCAGGAGCATACCTGATTCGTAACAAGTATGTCATTAACCATGCGAACGAAAAAAGATGTGATATTACTGACGTATAAGCAGCAGTAGGAGTCGTGTTGTATGTGAAGCTAAGCCTATTCCAGTTGCTTCCCCTCCACTCATTTAAAATACCTTGATCGCCACCGTCCCAACTTCCATTTGTTTTCAGAAGCTCTTGAAGCTCCGTGAATTTATCTTCACTAGGAGAGAGTACCATCACACCCGAGTTGAATATATCGGGCCATCCTACGTCAGGTACCGCAGAGAACTCGTAGTCAAGGTGAAATAGGTGGGACAGGGGGCGCAATGGGAGAACATCCGCATCAAGGAATATTACCTTGGAATACTGCGTGAGGCGGAATACGTGTAGTTTGGTCAGGACCGTATCAAGGTCTGGGCGTCCTGCAATTAAATGAGCATGATATTAGCTTGGCTATTCCCACTGTGTGCTGAAAAGCTGGGTGGCTGATGAAGAAGCTTGGACACGATGCATTCATACCCCACATCTGGGGCACAAAGTGCAAAATACAGAAACTAGCCTGGGAACCGTTACAGATATTCCGACAGAGAAGTTTTCCGTGCCCTCAGCTGATGCCATTCAGACGCAACCCAGTCAACGCAGCAACGACTCACCCATTAAATTTAGCCCAGTAGGATCGGACTGCCCTATAACCTCAACACCAATGACAATATCGTATGTCTTTCTGAGCAGCTTGATGGTAGTGATATCAAGGGTTTCTGGTGTGGCCATGCACACTGTGTCGTATTTGACCTCATCATGATGAGGTTCAGTCTGGTGCACATCCTTTAAAGCACCCGAAATGGCGAGTGCACCTGGGAGATAGGAATCTGAAGTTACGAGAGTCACGAAAGCAAAATGAATGGACATGGCGAGGACAAGAAATGCCTTAAGCGCGTCGTGAGGGCCACAAGGACGCGTCAGACGTATAACTTAGCGAAACCAGATGAAAGAAATAAAGATACTTATCGTAGGAGGACGGTTGCTCCAAACATGTTGACAAAGTTCACATACTTAGAAGATAAACTATTTATAAAAATAAATAACAGACGTCATCTGTCATCTCCTCACTCTCTCCATCCAGCAGAGGGCTCGCCAAACCCTAGACTTGGCCGAGTTCTAACCCCACATTTGCCGATTTACAAAACGAAGAAATGAGGATTCTAAAATGAAAGTACTAGGACATGCACGACACACTGGATACTGACAAAAATAAGCTGCGTGAGAGTCTATTCGTCTCGGTCCTTGTGTATAAGACCCTGGCGTTCCTCATCTGCACTGTCCTGTCTATCACCGGATGCTCTACGCTCCCCACCACGTCGCTTCTTTACGGCCGTCTCACCTTCATCGTCACTTCCTATATCCTCATCGCCGATCTCAAATACGACATGATCCTCTGCAAGCGCTTCAGGTTCTCGCCGTGAGTTGACGAGTGTGATCTCGTCATCCTCTCGGGCAACCGTACGTTGTTGAAGCGTCTCGAGGTCATAATCCTCAGCATCTTCGTCTTCTTGTGCGATTTCGTCGGACATGGCGAGGCGGCGGTTATTCTCTGATGGCCGCCAAAGGTATGCAATGCTCCAGAAGGTGAAAAAGTAGAGGAGGGCGAGGTAGCCATCGAGGAGCCACCAACGGATTTTCCATGATTTTGCTGCGTAATCTACAAACATATATATTGAGATGGATCAAAATTTGGTTCACGGATAATGACACACCTTCAGCTAGCCTATCAGAGAACGACATTGAAGAGATAACAAAAAATACAGCGATAATAGCCACCGTGCCAAGGAGGATATAATACAGGCGTTTGAACATCCTGAGTTTGTATCTTTGCTTCCGCACACTGAGCTGTGTCATTGTACCTAAACAGATGGTTGAGAAAGCACGCAAGGTGAAAAAGGTATTGGATATACCATTCAATGAGTACAGGATCCACATCAGGAACCCACTCAGCGTGAATGCCAGTGGTATGACGAACATCAAGAGTACCAACGCTGACGTCGACTCGAGTTCCAGTTCAACTATACCCACGGCATACAGTACTGATGACGACGGTCATTACACCTCTGATATCATGATGAACTGAGCTTACCTCCAAAAACAAAGTGCAGTCCTGCAAGGATCTGACACTTGAGCATTGTGCGCCCCAGAGATTCGCAGACGACGCTGAGCCCAAGGGATACAACGAGGAGCATAAAGAAGGAAAGGGCGTTGCGCCCCGCGTCCAGAATGGCAACTGCACGGGGTGAGCGACTGAATAACTGATACATTTATTGTCCGTACCAACAAAAAGGAAGACGACGGACGCCGCGGTCTTCCCATGTGCGTTAAGATATCGGTAGTATACTGCGCATGGTCAGCACTGAGGTGAGGTAATGACAAATATCTTACCCCAGTTTGCAACCATTTCGATGACGAGGAACGCAACCAAGCTCGAGAGATAGTACTGAGATAAATATTAGATCGCCCAAGGTGTATAGAACATGACCATGACAAACCTGAATGGGTAATAGTTCCGTAACGTGTTTGTAGCAGAGCCATGCCCACACAGAACCTGCAATTGCATATATAAAGAACATGGCGAGGTAAAACTGAGTGTTGTGATTAGAGAGATGACAGCGGACTACGTTTTCGGCTCACGTTAACTTTGGGATAGTCGGTAGCAGGAAGCTGTCCATCAAAAGTATTGCGGAAAAGAACGACGCCGTTGTATGTAGGATGAGACGGGACATCTGTAGGGGCCTGACGAGCAGTGGGATTCAATACCGTGACAGGCAGGATAGCTGCGACAGAAATAAGCCAGGAGAGACAAGACAATATAACTTGGACTCGCCTACGCAATAATATCCATTCGTGCGGACTTGATACTGTATAGGTTGTGTATATGCAACGGTCCCGGATGGGCTCGGGTTTAGGAGGTCACTTGATTGTCGAAGACTGTGGTGAAGCTCTGGTGATCTCCATGGCGAAGTGTAATTATCAGCAGGCGGAGTAGGGTTACCCTCTGGGCTTTCCCATAACCCTGATGAATCTGAGGATGCGCCGCCAGTCTGGTTAAGGGCAACACTGGCAGTCCAGAAAGTAGTTTGGTTTGCGGTGGTCCCGTCATCAGACGAGAATATGAATTTTCCGACATTATCATATGCACAGAGGCCGCTTCTGACTGCGTCTGTTGTGCATACGTAGGTCTTCTGCTGGGGGTTCTATTGCTGAGCTCGGCGGCAAACCAGGTTGTAAGGGGTTACTCACGGGTAGAGAGTCATCCGTCGTGGAGGTAGTGACACCAAGATACTTGACATCCTTCCATTCATATATCACCATTGCTACCTGTCCTTGTGAAGAACTTTCATCAAACGTGACTATGACACGTAGTGTAAGTATCTGGCGAAATTATGTAGTACACGTGCTGCGCACCGTTGATGAAAGTGGATTGGCTTGCCCACATTCCCGAACATACTTGGCGAGAATAGTCCGCATCTGAGAACTGGACCTCATACCCAGCTGCAAGGGAGCAAGCAGACAGAACACCGAGCACGATCGCCTGCAGCTTCGAATTTTGGCGCATCCAGAGAGTGTTGTTGTGGTTTGTTTCCCAAAGGCTTCTCGTCTTTAGAGTCGACTTCGTTCACGCCAATTACTACGCTCAGCTTCAAGTTTTAAATAACCGGGAAGCACCAATCTACAGCACCAGCGGCGAGCTTGAAAGTTAATAGCCGATCCCAACATGCTCGGCGACGAAGAGGACGTGTTTGACAGTGTTACTTGGGAGTCCCCTTCGGCACCCTATGACGCCGATCACACCGTCCAACCGTCTGGCCCAGGCTTCAAGCAGAGTACGGCAGGGACAGAGGATGAACGGGGTCCACACGATCCAAAGTGGGAGGGATATCTCATTGTTACTGTCAAAGATCCTGTAAAGGAGCTTGCAGAAACTAAAGACGCATACGTCTCCTACCTAGTCTCGGCAAAGGTGTGTCGTGATATACCAAGCTCTTGTGCATAGTTTGAAGCATTTGCAGACCAATCTTCCAATATTCTCTACTTCTAATCCTTCCTCTCGTCGACGATTCCAGGACTTTGTATTTCTGCGAGACCACCTTGTGAAGGATTTCCCAGCATGCGTGGTACCTGCCCTTCCCGACAAGCACCGGTTAGGTATATGCTTCCCTCGTAATCTCAATATTGTCTAACCACGCATAGAGTACCTGACGGGCGATCGCTTTAGCCCAGAGTTTATGGAGCGCCGCAGACTAGAGTACGTATGTGTGGCGTGCGGACTCGTCAGCGTCTCATTTTTGACAGCCTCTACCGTTTCCTCGAACGGATATCCCGACACCCCACCCTACAACGTAGCACTCTCGTCCGTGCGTTCTTCGAGTCGACAGAATGGGTACGTCAATCTAGCGCAGTCCAAACGCCCCTGACACCTTCCAGCACGTTCATATGCATCAACATCTCGCACATCCTCCAGGGCCAGAACCCACACCAGGACTCATTGATAACATCTCAGACACCCTCCTCAACGCGTTTGCACGCGTACGCAAGCCCGATGAACGCTTTCTCGATATGCGCGAATCTGTCGACAAATTCGAGGATGGGCTTGTCATCTGCGAGCGCCTCTGGAACCGCGTCCGCGGTCGCACAAACGGTGAGCCTATCTTATAACAGCGCGAGGGAGTATCTGAGGCTGAACGAGGTGGCGGTCTCGCTCCCGGCGAAGATCTGACAGCGGATTATCACGATCTAGCGGTCGCCGTTCAGGGACTTGGTTTTCTGGAGTCAGGGATTACGGATCCATTGAACCACTTCTCCAATACCCTGCTCGAATTTTCTGCTTTGCTCAGACATAAGGTATGGTGTCTCGGTGGTATTCGAGTGATCTACTCACCACTTCTTTCAGACTCAAACGACCACCGACCCTTTCCTCGTCCATCTTCATTCGCTGCTAACCTACTCCCATGCAAACCGCGCAGTCTTGAAACTTCGTGACCAGAAGCAACTTGATTTTGAGGAATTATCGGATTACCTCTCTGGAGTAACACAAGAACGTGATCGGCTATCTGCCGTTATTTCAGGGCACGCAGGGAGTACCGGACTGGGGCTCAGCGCATACCTAAAGGACAAAGTGGACTCACTCAGGGGCGCTGACGATGATCGAAGCAGAGTAGAGAAGATGAGAAAGTTGGATATTAAGATTAAAGAGGTGCGTGCACCTGCTGCGATGCTTACTTGTCTGTTTTTTTTTTCAACATCGCGGTTAGCTACAAGACGCTGTAACAACAGCGCACGAGACATCAGATGCGTTCAGTGATGAGACTCTGCGGGAGCAGACCATATTCCAATACACAAAGGAAGCGGAGATGAAAGAGATGCTAGGTAACCTTGCAGAAGGTGAAATTGAATTTTATCAATCGGTATGTTGTTCTTTCAACCGGTCCAACCCTCAAGTTTCATAATTTGATACAGGCAATGGAGGAGTGGGAGCGGATTATACCTGTCATCCAACGTATACGGGTTGACGTTTAGTGTTCAGTACTAACCTGATCTATTCATATTCCGTTTTGCTGTTATCTCGCACGTCATGCAAGGACTTTTGTTCGCGATGTATTATAGTAATTTTAAGTATATTATGATCAAGTATGTCAACTAAGAAGCTAGCTTTGGCGTTTCTTTATCCTTCGATATCGTGCGCGGAATCATCTGGGTCCTTGGTGGGTTGGAGCTTTTGTTCGGATTCTTGAACTGCAAGAGAGATCTGTGGTACTGTGAATGACAAGCCCGAATCTCATCGACGTAACCTGCGTACATTGATGATACCTGTGTCCACTGCCCGAAGGAGGTGCAACTGGGCTTCTTCAGATGCCCCAGAGGTTGTGTACTGACGATCTGCGGGTACCCATGGTGGGGGTTCCTTTTGAGAGCTAAACTGTCTGTTATAATCATCTGACTAGGATCCTTACGTTGCTCTTGGAAGCTGAGGGCACTGTATTTTCCTTGAGTTCAAGGACTACTGCAAATGAGGCTTCGTCTACCTCAGCTAAGGTGAGAAGTCTACTGTAAGAGACGAAGAGATAAGCTTACCACCAATGGGAAGTTCGAGAAGCCCCAGTTGAGACTCGATCATATTCAGTTTGATGAGAAAGGAACGAAAATACTGGCCGAGTTGCGCGGAGGACATCGCGTCCTGCACACTAGGTAGACGTCATTGCTTGCCCACGCAAGTGAAGGATGCAGCGTACCTCGTATCTTTGTTATAGGACTCGACCTCGATCATGTTTTGGACTGAAAAGATGAAGCGCTCAAGGGCGACTTGGTTCTTGTCCTTGATAACGACTACCACCTTGTCGACGTTATCCTGTTTTTATCGAAAACTTCACTGCAGGGGGAATGAGAAGCTCATACTAAGAACTCACGAGTACAAGTTCATCGGAAACAGCTTTGACAGTGCCGGAAATATATTCATTCAACGCGGGGTGGCGAGACTGGAAGACGGGCGTGTCGTACTTCTTCCGTCGCACAAACAAATCTGCTGGGTATATTTGTCTGACGTAGAGGATGGTATGGATGGCGACTTCGACTAAATATTTAATTAGTTGGTGGTCATGGGAGTCGTTTTTGAACCAACTCACTAAATTCAGTTATCCCCTTCACCGCTTCTGTCGCCTCTCTCTTCAGAGATTTCTGAGAAACGCGGAGGATATCACTCACGATTCCAGGTGAGAGGTGTCTCCGACATGACCTATGTTCGAGTTCAAGTTTTGGTGATGTATATTGGAATTCGAAGGATATTTGATTCAGGGTTATCTTAGAACGAAAAACACTTTCACTTTGATTTGTGTTGCGAAATACAGGGGTTGGCGCGCGGCAAGTGAGTGCTTCGCACTGAACTGTGAAACGCGTAACCAAAGTTTCTATCAATCACGTGATCGAATTCGTGTATGAAGGTCATATAATCCTAGCGAGCCTGCGGCTCAGCGAAGCTTTCGACATTCTAGCAAGAGGTGTTCACCTTCCTTTGGCAAAACGAGGTACTTATGTTAGATCCCACTACGTACCTATTAAATGTCGACTCATAAATTGACTGACGCTGCCTCCTTATTGCCCAACAATAATTAATGCAAAGACTACAGGGTCTCTCGTGACGACAACTAATTACGTTCCATCCCTGACACGACCAGTGGAAACGGTATACAGACGAGCTGCGATGTTCATGCTTTGCAATTCCTGGCGACAGTATGAAATTAGCAGAATTCTACCATGAATTAAGGGTGAATGCAAACCTGGAATAATAGTTTCGCAGCATAAGGAATATACAACTGCGAACACGCCGTCTTGTTTTTGCATGCACGGCACTCGAAGCTTTGCTTTTTCTATTTCACGGACATTAGCAGGTGGCGACTGATGACATATGAAGGTACTCACAAGGTTGGCGATTGCAGTGAGACCGCAGCTGAAGATTTAAAGTAAGTCCACGAAACAAGATAAAATAAATCAAACGACTTACATGTCGCAAACATGCAAACGGTAGGCATCACTAGCCTCAAACAAGCGCTCTTTCAGGAAGCCAGCAACACCATGCGAAATCATACAATCACGTTCCATCTCTCCGAAACGGAGACCACCATCACGACTCCGACCCTCCACAGGCTGGCGCGTCAAGATCTGCACGGGACCTCTCGCGCGCGAATGGATCTTGTCGTCCACCATGTGTTTGAGACGCTGGTAGTATGTGGGGCCGAGATAAACCTGCGCTTGGAGCTTCTTGCCTGTGTGGCCGTGATACATGACCTCAAGACCTCGGGACTGGTAGCCCTTCTGGCGCAGGAAGGTTGATACGGACTCGACCGTGAGATCGGTGAAGGGAGTTGCGTCACCCTCGTTACCAATCAATGTTGCCACCTTGGAGAGCAGACACTCAACCAAGTGACCGATGGTCATACGCGAGGGGATGGCATGAGGATTAATGACAATATCAGGAACAATTCCCTCGGCGGTGAAGGGCATGTCTTCCTGTCGGTAAGTGATACCAATAGTTCCCTTCTGACCGTGACGAGATGCAAACTTGTCGCCAATCTGGGGAATACGCGTCGACCGAACACGGACTTTGACGAACTTCTGGCCCTCCGAATTGGTCGTGATCAACACTTGATCAACAATACCATTTTCTGTGCTCTTCAATGGAGTCGAGACATCTCGTCTTGTGTGCGTCCGAGTACGTTGTCCAAGTTCCTCGCTGTCAGGGGGAATGGGTGCAGTTTTCCCAATGATAATATCTTCCCCAGAGACACCGGTACCGGGAGCAATCAGACCATCGTCCTCAATTTTGTCGTACGTGCCGTGTTTCATCCGCAACGTAGTATCACGAGTAGGTTTCTCAAACTCCTCCAGCTGCTGTACACCACTCTTCTTCTCCAGGTCCATGTAACTGCGGTAGTATATACTCCGGAAGAGACCTCGGTCGATAGAACTCTGATTCATGATGACGGAATCTTCTTGGTTGTAGCCACTGTAACAAAGAATGGCCACGATGGCGTTTTGTCCAGCAGGAAGCTCTCTGAATTTCAGGTACTCCATGGAGCGCGTGGTGGCGAGAGGCTTCTGCGGGTAATACAAAATATTGGCCATGGTGTCCATGCGAACCAAGAAATTAGTGAGGTAAATGCCCATGGCTTGTTTACCCATGGCGGATTGATATGTATTACGAGGAGACTACAAACGGTCAACTTTCATACACAGAAAAAGCACACCACTCACCTGGTTGTGGTCAGGGAAAGGAATGATACTCGCGCAGACACCCAGAATCATGCTTGGGTGAATCTCACAGTGAGTCCAAGTATGCGCGCTGATCCCTGCCTTCAGCCGTGCAGCTGGGTCATAATCGCCATCATTCTGGTGCGGATCGATACCTGCTGACTGCAATCTGGAGTTCTCGAGGTCCTCCGGAGTCATACAGATCATGACAGTCTCTTCTTCCTCCGCATCCAACAACTCGATGATTCCATTCTTTACTAGCTGCTCCCACTTAAATTCCTCCCCGTCTTCGTCGCGATAACCTTGGTTCAACCATTTGATATGCTTCTTTTGAAGGGCAAGCTGCTGGTTCTCGACAATGAATAGCGGTCGGCAGACACGACCAGCGTCTGTGTATAATCGCAGCTCCCGCTCACGGATGTCGCGAACAACAGAAACTTCAGGACTGATATCATCCTTCCTACGAAGCTTCTTAATCGTCTTCACGAGATTCGCGGGATCACGATGCACACCCATCCAGACACCATTGACAAAGACCTTCGTACAAGGCGTCGACGAGTGCGCATTCTCCTCCAGTGATTCAAGACCCCACTCCTCCAAGAACTCGATGACGGGTGCGGAATAAGAACCGACGGAGATACATGCCATGAGGGCGAGATTCTTGACGAGGCCACAAGCCTGGCCTTCTGGCGTTTCGGCAGGACAGACCATACCCCAGTGCGTGTTGTGTAATTGACGAGGTTTAGCAATCTTACCCTCGCGACCGAGAGGGGTGTTGGTCCGACGCAAGTGGGAGAGAGTAGATGCGTAAGTGTACCTGTTCAACACTTGAGACACACCAGCCTTCGACGACATTGCCTTCTTTTGGTCGCCCCAGTTGCCGGTAGCAAGTGAATATTTGAGACCATTGGTGATTGTCTGGTGCTTAACAGCTAGCGAGAGATTGAACTCCTTGTGCGTCTCCACACACTATGAAATCATGAGCATATGCAAAAGTGCAACTCGACGGGAAGACATACCTTCTGGAGATAACGGTAAACATCCCTCGTCAATTTCTTGAACAGCATGCGGAATAGACCAGCGAGTAAAGGACCAGCCAAATCAAGACGTTTCTTCCCGAAATGATCACGGTCATCCAGCTCTCTCCGTTCAAGGGCGGCGAGGAGTAGTCTGTGGATCATGTATCCGAAGAAGTAGGCCTTCTTTGACTCTGAGCCCTCCGACATGGAGACGTGAGGAAGCATCTCCTTTTGCAAGATTTCCTGAGCGTAGCGAATACGCCGCTCTCGCGACAAACCAGTAGTGGTTCCACGGTTTCCAATGAAATCTAGAGCAACCTCGCGGTCTTGAATGACAAAACCGTCATCGATACATGGCTTGAGCATTTCAAGCATCTGGGCGTCTTGCATGTCATAGCAAATGTGCTCTAGGATGTCTCGGTCAGAGATAACGCCGAGAGCGCGGAAAACGACCCAAATGGGAATGTCGACACGAATGTAAGGGATGGTTGCTTTCATGACATTACCCAACTGTGGAAATAAGATGAATGGGGAACCCCCAGACAGCATTGAGCTATGCTTACCGATCGCTCCTGATTTCTGTGGAACATTTTGACCTGGAATTGACTGATAGTCTTGCCACCTTTCTCTACAGCACTCCGAATCTCGGCCAAGAAATTTATCGGTGATGGCTGTGCTTTGGCAAAGACATAGACGTGGTTGGTCGCCATACGCTCCTGGGCGATGAGGACCTTCTCTGAGCCATTGATAATGAAGTAACCTCCTGAATCATACGGACACTCGTTTAAGTCGTACAAGTCCTGATCTTGCAAGTCTCGAAGTATGCAGAATGTCGAACGAAGCATGATAGGGACCTGTACATCAGGCTAAGTTAAGAAAACACTCTTTATTGCCATGTGACACACCTTGCCAATCCAGACCTTCGTGGTATCCTCAGGTGCCTCATGTCGCTCTGCCTCCCACAAAATCTCTCCAGGTGCTCCGTCAGGATCTTCGCGCCCGAGAAGGACTCTCTTCTTCATCTCAATGTATAATGGGGCTGAGTACGTCAAGTTCCGCAAACGAGCCTCCTGAGGAAACACTGGGACCACGGATCCATCCGCTTCTGTGACAGTCGGTCGCGACAGGTAAATCTGGCCAAATTTGATCTCGTAGCGTCGCGTCATATCTGTGTCATGACCAGTGTGTTGATCGGCCTGGTCGAGGATAAGATCCGCATTCTCATCCACGAGCTCTTGCATGGTATTTTGTACAAACTCATCAAAAGAGTCCAATTGCTGTCTGACGAGACCTTTTTGCTCGAAAAAGCTGGATATGACGGTCCAACAATCTTCCTGCGTTATCTCTTCAAACTCATCCTCATCTTCCTCCATGCCATAGTTTGGGTCGTCATAATTAATCGACGGCTGCGAGGGCTCAATTTCTGGAGAGCGCACATCAGCCAGGACAAGGATGTGAAGGAAAAGTGAAGATTACCTTGGCTCATGATTCCGACAGTGAAACGACAATGCAATGAGAGCTTTTGAACTTAGGACACAAGTCCTAGTGACCGTAGCCAATGCTGAATCGACTTTTTGTGCAGTTTTTAAAATTACAGAGCCAGGATAACGAGTAAGAGATGTAAAACAATGAACTGGACGTCGACGTCGGTGAGCAAGACGCGTTAGTGAGCTTTGTTGACTGGTGTTGTTTACAAATGCTCAATTGTAATTCAGACAAAAAATATGCCAGGACCGTGGATTGAACACGGGACCTCCAGAACTTCAGTCTGTTGCTCTCCCAGCTGAGCTATCCCGGCTTATGGTAAAGGTCGTTTATTGAACAATAGAAGGTGTAAATAGAAATAGCTTCAAGTCTCTACTTTACAAAATTACAAAATCATAAGTCAGTTTATTATAAGTAACTGGATATATCACCGAGAACCTCCTCCCCATTATCTTCCAAAGCGGGGGTCTGGTCCTGTTTCTTCGAGATTGCTCCTTCGTCCCCCTCAGGCTCAGCAAGTGTAAGCACGGGCGGCGGTCGTATCTCTGGAGTTGGGCCACTAAAGTCCTTTCCCGTCATTCGCGACAGAGTCTGCATATCTGGTCACAACGTAAGGTCGTTTCCTAAGCAATGGGTCAGTGGGGGGACTTACCATATGGCTGACGGTTGTTCAAACAGTAATTTATTCTTGCCGAGTTCTTCTTGTCCTCTGCTTTAAACTTGTTCTTGCATGACTTGCGGTCGCGGCCAGGTAGCACATAAGATATTAATTCGTAGTTCTCGCCGAATTGTGATAGCGCCTACAGGTGTATATAAGTAAGATATCCTCTGCATTTACCTCGTTACTTACGTCGTAGAACAACTCCGTCTCTTCAGCACTCCAACGAGAACCTCGGAAACGCCTCCCATACGTCCCAGAATTGACAAATTTGGAGACGTCCGACTCCTCGACATGAGTGTAGTCTGCAGTCTCATCTCCAACATTCCTGTCCACAAACAGGGACTCTTCGTCGATAATGGTTTCCCCATTAGGCCCAATACGGATTTGAACGTTATATCGACTGGTAGCGACGTCTTGCGAATAGTCAAATCCGCTACCACTCGTATCTTCGACCGCACACTGGCCACCGTTTATAGGTACAGAACTGGGTCCTGTAGATATCGCAGCCTCATTTGTGACGGTGCTTTGATCAGGCGTAGAGTTACTATGGCCAGGTTGCGCCGTATCATCTTCATTTCGACCATACTTTCTCGCCTCCATGGAAAGTCTCATTCGCGCTCTCTTCTCCCGATTGGTTTTTTTTCCAAGCCAAGTGGTTATCGACAATTTGAGCTGCTTTACTACTGACACGACCCCATCCGGTATCTTCACATAATGTAGCCATAGTCACGGCAGTCGGATCTAAATCTTCTCCAGGGTCTACACTGGCATCGTAGGGCAAAGAAGGAGCACGTGTTTTGCGAGATTTCTTCGGACCTTCAGAGGACGCGCGAGATTGAGACCTACGTTTTCGGGAGCTGGATACTCCTGAGTCTGGTTCCGCGGGCGGGGGGATAACTACAACGGGATGCTCTTGAATGACAGGGAGTGCTGTCAGAGGCTGAGGTATCTGCACTTGATGGTTTCGGGTAGTGGGAAGAGGTATTGGAGTGTTTATAGGCATCGCAGGTCTCTGAGGAGCATGCACAGTAGCAATAGGGAGTCTGACAGGAACCACGATTGGCGGCGGCATGGAAGAAGATGCAACGGGTGGAGGAAGGGGCGTCACAGCTATCGCAGTTGGAGCATGCTGTTGTGACGAAGGCGGAATTGGAGGACGGGCTTCAGGGATTGATGCCAGCTGTTTCGGTGCGCTGGCCTCCACGGCGCGAGGTCGCGCTTTGGCGACCGGCCTAAATACCGTACCTCCTTTTTCTATTAAAATGAACACAATGAGGTTTCTAATGAAAATTGAGAAAGCACTTACGAACTCGTGTACTCATAAATATCAAGATCCTATATTAGATGCTATCAGTTTGCTTAAGGAAAGATGACTAGTTTGATTCAGAAGGCTTTGCCAAACATACGCAAACAACGCCTCATGAATCGTAGCCAAAACATCCATTTGCCTGTAGCGCAGGAGCCTGACTGGGAGATAAACAACACCGAGCAAGATCTCTCAAAAATTAAAAGTGCAGCAGACAGGTCACTTTTCTCTGCTCTCTCATGTATCATTGTCTAATATCCTCGCAGTTTTGTCATCCTACAGTCCCTCAGGCAATGTATGTTAACATTTTGTTCGACCCACAGGCTCAGACTAACTACTATCTACAGCAAGAGAGAAATGGCTACGCTCAACATTTCCAAAGTTTTCCAGCCGCTCAAGGGGAGGAAAGCCCGCCGATGCTATCCCTCCACCACATACGATGTATAATCGCGGCAGGTGCACTTTGGAGATTCGGTCCGCACATATTCACAGAAACGACCATGTTTGAAGTACACTATCACCCCATTCTTGTGCACACAGCACCTGGACCTACCTATACGCAGCAACAAGGTGCCACCAGTTCTGTCTCTGCGCCACAAGGATCTACTACTCCCCTCCTTTCGTCATTACCAAACTCTACAAGTATCCCACCAACGCTTATCAACCAAGTGAATGTAGCAGCTCTCTCCAATCCGACATTGGCCAACTTATTGCAACTGGCTGCCTCAGGAAACGCCTCCATGGACCAACTTAAAAACCCTTGGTGTAACGATACAGCAACTCGCATCTTCATCCGGGGTGAACCTGGATGCTTCTTCAATGCAATCCGCACAGGCGCAGAATACAGCAACAGCTGTAGCAAATGGTGCAGCGTCACCTATTCACCCGGTATATCAAACCAAGGATTTTGATATCGTAATCGAATTCCGTGAGTGTCCTACGGACCGTTGGATTTTCCCTCGTGGTCCTGCCGTAGGCAATTTCACCCCAGTTCCAGGGTCAATGGGATCATATGGCGAAATAACCCTGTCTACGCGTGTTCCGTTTGAACAACGGACTGAAGTAGTTTTGGAGTCTCAACCCGATGGACAAATTCGGTCGAAGACACCAGAACCCCGGGAAGTGGTCACATTTACTTTCACCGGGGCGGGTGCTCCCGTATGGGATTCGATATTACGCTGGATCGGCTCTGAAGACAAGTTGGAAGAAAACCGCAGGATTCTCGAATCCATTGTAAGCATGAAGTCCCTGTGAAGTAGAATCCTTTTTACATGTTTGACCAAGAATACACCTCGACGAGTTTACTTGGCACATAGAATTGCAGAAAGCTCTCTACTAGCCCAAATTCAAAACGTTAGTGCGCTGCAATCATACTAATCCTGGTTCTAACGGTCCACAGGCTGCAGTTCCTACATTCTCTACAAAGCTTCTCAGGTCAGCCGCAGAGAGTAGCAATAAACCGAAACGCAAGGCAGCACCTCGTAAACCTCCTCAGGCCCAGGCCCAGCCTCAACCTCAGCCTCAACCCCAGTCACAGTCCCAGCCACAGCCTCAGTCTCAGGCCCAGCCTCCGCCTCCGCCACAAGACGCAGGCCCTGTGCAACAAATCGGAGAGTCAGCTCCACCTCCGCCAAAGAAAAGGCGCCAGACACAACCGAAATCCACGACTTCGTTGCCCAAGATAGCTTGCTTTGCGTGCGGACAAACAGATGTCCCTTTAATCATGGGCGGAAGTAGGTTTTTATACTCTTACCTTGGGATTACTCTCTAACATCGATCGCGACACCTAGGATATTGTCGGCCGTGTGTTGAAGCCGGCTGCGCTATCGATGATATACCGCAAGTAGGCAGTAGCCGGTACTCTTACCAATCCTCCGCACAACACTCGAGGCAAAGCAGCACCTCGCACACTCCAGATGCTCGACATCAGTCCACTACTGCTTTAAAGACCCACGCGGTTTTTGTTCCGTATCCCAAAGCCTCAGCAACAGAGCAGACGAGTAATGTACCGACGCCCGATGCCAGACTAACCTAAATATCATTAGCAAGATAATTATGTGTACATCGAATGCGTGCGTGCGTGATATGCGATTACAGTGATGCAAATGACTAGAGTCCAAGATCCCAGATAAATGATAGGCGGAATAAAGGCTCACGTAAAGAGCCCCACTGACCAACCCAACCACCAAGCAATGACTCTAAGTTCCAGAATAATGATCCCAACCTCGAAGAGAACAGCAGACCAATGAATGAGAAAAGCGATCCATATGCACGGCAAGATCAACCATCGAAAACCCGAATTGTCGATCCAAGGATGCCAGTACATGAATGTACAAAAAATGGCTGCGCGCGTTTGCAGATAGGTGATGGCGAATGTGCACAAAAAGAGGAGGAAGAATACGAACCAGTGGCGGATGGAACGGCAAGGAAACGACGTGATATCGTACCGCTTCGCTTCTCCCGTGAACTCGTTCCGATACCAGGGTATAATGAGGAAGTCTTTGATATCTTCGCCGATGGTCCTCCCATAATTCCTCCAAACCGGCGCAACATTGTCGAGGATGAACGTCAAAGCGTCCATTCCGAACTCCCAAATATGTTGGTATTGATCCTTGTAGCTTTCCTCTAGGGCGATGATTTGAGAGAGCTAGAAGATAGTCAGTAGGTATGACAAAACAATTGACGATGTGACCATACCTCTGGGTAAGCAACTGAAGTGTGCGAGAGGGCATTGTTGTACTCGTTCTTGACTTGTGTGTGCAGACTCTTGACTTTGGCCAGAGCGCTAACCACTTCCAACTGCTTGTGCGTCAGAGCTTCCCTCTTATGACTCAGTTCACCCAGTGTATCCATAAGCGACGATATGGGCTCATCAAGCAAGCTATCTGGCACCACATCTTCCTCAGCAACAGAGAGGTACATCTTGAAAACTTGTTGTTGTCGAAGAATGCGAGTGTGTACGTCCTCGACGGCCCTCCACCCTTTCCGTTCCCGGGTCCCGCCAGTGACCGATGAAGGATCCTGGTTAAAAGCTTCTAAAAGCTCTACAGGTAGGCCTCGATGCGGAATACCATGCGTGTTGGCCATCCTTGCTTGTATGTTGTCGTATTCCCGGACCTCTGAAGCGATCCTTTGTAATTTTTGGCGTACCCGATGGTTCTGCGCCTTAAGTTCATCTAGCGTCCTTATCGGCCCTTTAAGCTATAGACGTCTTCAGAGGGAAAAGAAATACTTACTGCAACTTCTTCTCATATTCATGCTCTAGTGCTTCCTCCTCCTCGGCTTCTTCGCGCTGCTTTCGTTCTGGTCTCTTGGCTACGTCGGGGATAGGGAGGGACATCCGGTGGATTAGTCTCTGACGTGTAATTGCTTGCGGTGGAATGGCGGAAACAGGCTTGTCACGAGGCAGTTCAATCCCACGTTCTGAAGCCAGCTCAGAGGGCAACGGATCCTCCACAGGTGCAGAAGTCGCCTCGTGTACATCTGACGTCTGGCCGGGAGCATTGGTCTCTGTCCCCGATTCACGGGGTGACGGTAAATATGATGAAGGCGCATGAGGCTGCCTCCGATCGCGTCTCCTGCGACGATGACCAGTAACACCAGCGAACGACCCACTGTAGTCGTCTGACTGGGAGTGAATGATAGAGGAAGATCCTTCATCACTCTCCACCTGCCGATGCCGTATCCGTTGAGCAAATGGAAGGTGTCGACTGCTAGCTGGTGAAAGTCCACCTGGAGAACTCTGGCGACGATGAGGAGATGTGGTAGATGCGATACTATGGGCATCAACGAGAGACGGGATGACATGACGCAAACCTCGACTCTTTTCATTAGCCCTCCTGTAATCGCCGTCTATCGAGCTGCGCGCAGAGTCAATTCTGGGCTCGAATGAAAGTTGGCCATCTGAGGAGCGTATTCTCCTGAGTGAATCTCCGAAAGAATGATGTAGCGAGGGGGAGGATCTGATCGAATGAAAGTGATATGACGGAAGGATTAGTGACACATCCGAAGGGAGTGATCCCCCCCGAGCAGAGGTAGAATCGTCACGAATGATAGGCAAACTAGAATCTATCCTATTGGATTTAATATATTCCTCCACGGTCAAAGCCGATAAATGCCATTTCGATCGTTTACCGCCATGTTTGTCTAATAGGTGTTTTAGCCAAGTGAGTGGCTCAGCGCTATCTAACCAGGCTTGCGCGCTCGGATCAGAATCAGCGTACCACCGCGTGGCTTTCGCGAGGTTGATGGGGTCCTCGTTCGAAATGGAATTATACAGAAGATTATACCTCCGTCCTAATTGGTCGCTAACAATAGTTGCCTTGCGGAATGTGGGCTGTTTCGCTTTCGATCTGATCCTAGAAATCCTATCTGTGCAGCAAAGTAAGCATGTGATTATGTGGCAACCCGTCTCCAAGTGCTCACCCGCAAAAAGAGTGTCTTGCTTTTCCAATATGGCTTTGTTTGAAAACGAGGCTCTGTCTTTGCCTTTACGTTTTCCCAATGACCAACGTCTTTCAAGCTTCTCTTCTTCAGACTGGGACCCAGTCCAATCCAAAGTAGCACCCGCATTCGAAGAAAGAGGGACAGGGTGAAGGGGAACTGCCTGGACAGATGGGCTAAAGTCAATGTCCAGAGGAGGACGTGAAGGAGATGCTGGAGGAGGCTGCTGGAAAGATGTATCCTGCCTCAGTTCGGTGAGGGTTTGACCTTCTATAACAGTTGGTTGTGATGGGGCGAATGACTTGCGATCTCGCCTTCGAGATTGCAGTTCTAGGGCTCGCTGAACATCTTGGAGAATCTTAGGGTCTAGATGAACATGTTCATGAGTAATCACACAACTAACAATCATTCTACTTGCCCTCATGAGCTACGTTATGAATGTGGACCATCAGTGTTAAGATATAAGCAGAGGCATGGGACTCACACAAGTCATATTCATCCGAGAAAGCAGAGGGTTCGAATTCAGCGACAAAAGGGTCTTTAAGAGCAGACAAGCCTTTGCTCTGACTCATTCTCTTAGACCTGCGCCGTAACTCGACGCTGCGAGATGAAATTCTCTTCGAAGGAGAGATCTCAGGGAAGATCCCAGGAGTGACATCCTTGGAAAGAGGACGACCGTTTCCGTCGTTAACGTCTTTCGTTGGTGGGATAGGAGGACCAGGAGATGCTATGGATGAATGTGACGACTCTCCATGAGGTGATGCGGTAAGGAACTGGTCTGGAAAGCGGATGCGAGGAAGGGGTGAAGTATCGTGCTTAGGAGTTGTTGTTTGACTGAAGCTTGTCGATAGAGTAGAACCTAGGCCTGATTCTGCCATTCACTTGAAAGCAGGCTGAGGGCAGCACCAGTGCTATGAAAGGATTGGAGCGGTTGGATGCCATCAGGGCGAATTGCTTTATATGGAAATAAGTGATATTATATATATAACACATGCCAAGACATTTCCGTGTGATTACAACGAGGGAGTCAAAAGTGGTATTTGTTGGTACACAGTACAATCTAACAATTGCAAGACATCTAGGGTATGTTCTATGCATAATGTTCTATGTAAAGATAGGTTGCATGGATGTATCATGTTAAGGAAGAAGTATATCAGTCTAAATCAATGAATTATATACGGATGTGGGACACAAAAGCAAGATCATGCTCTGCCAGTAGTTTTGCGGCGGATCTTCTGCGAAGTAGACATTGTCGCCAAGCGCAGCTTGTTGAAGGGATTGAAGCGGGCTAGCCCCGACGGCTTGGACTTTTCGAACGGAGGGATCTCGGGGCTGAGGAAAGGAAGGCGACGAACCGCCTCCACCGAGGCAGTGCGGTCACGTTGTCGTGAAGGCAGATGTATCTGTGGAGCTGGAGCTAGGCGTCACAGATGAAAAAGTTAGAATAATCCATGCACCAAGCTATGAAACACACCAGTTGGAGGCAAAATATAAACAGGATGTTGGCGTCCACCAGAGTAATCGTGACCAGCCGCGTAGTCGAACGATGATCGACGAGGATGACGAGATCGGGGACCTGTGGTAGGAGGCTTGAAGGAGACGGCACAAACTGGTGGACGGGGAAATGCCACAGAATCCGAATCAGATTTGCGATGACGGGATTGGGAACCTGTGGTAGGAGGCTTGAAGGAGACAGCACACATTGGTGGATGGGGAACCGTCACAGATTCAAATTCAGATTTGCGTGGACGGGATTGGGGACCTGTAGTAGGAGGCTTGAAGGACACAGCACAAACTGGTGGACGGGGAAACATCCTAGAAACAGATCCATGTTGGCCATGACATCCAATCGACATGTCGCGCTCGCGATTGTGTCTCCGGCCCATAGAAGCATGACGCTCTCGTTCGCGATCAACGGATTCACGACGCTGTCGCTCGCGGTTAGCAGATGCACGACGCTGTCGTTCGCGATCAAAGGATTCACGACGCTGTCGCTCGCGGTCAACAGATGCACGGCGCTCTCGTTCGGAATCGATACATGCGGGGTGTTCTTGCGGTCGGTCAAGAGACACACGACCCCTTTGTTCGCGATCGACAGATTCATGCCGTGCACGCTTTCTGTCAATAGACGTGCAACGCCCTCGCTCAGTGTCGAAAGAGACGCGTTTGTGTTTCTTATTCTCACGAGCGTGATGCTCATAATTAGGGGAACGCTCGACTTGCAGCTGACACTCCGACTCTGGATTCCGCCATCAGATTAGGCCAACACATTACGAGCAAATAAAAAAAAGTTGACATACCTTGCCCTCTGGCTGCCATAGCCCAATCGTTCTGAACCTCGACATCATCCCACATGGATGAGTACTCTCGGCTGAGGATAGGTGGTTGGAAGTTGCCTGTCACATGCAATCCTGGCATTCGATGCGCATCACGGTGCCATTGAGTTTTTGCGTCCTGTGTCATCGTAGAAGCACGCGGCCGGCGTGAGGGAAGTGGCTCGTAGCGAGCCTGGTGTAGGGAAAGGATGGCCTGAGGGCATCCATACAGAACAGCAGTGTTGAAAGACATCGCGGCGGTTGTAGGAAAAGAAAGATAAGAGACGGTTGGAATGGTGACTTGGAGGATGTGAGATGAGAAAAGTGGTTTGCAGAGAAAGGGGATTTAAATAGGTGAGTAGCACTGGCAAGTGGATACGCAAGTGGTATCCATCCACAACTCTGAACAGTGGTAATCCACTAGTGTGCGGTGGAAAACACAAGCGATAGTGGCACAATGACATGGGATTGACACAGACCTGAAAAGATGCTTAATGTTGCGGTACGCTTGTGAGGTACACGCGGTGGCCAGTGCTAGTGTCCACAGTGGGTATTTGTTGTCGTTCCAACAGTGTTCACTTCAATGCATAATAAGCAACTCTCTTTTGATTATCTCACACTGTACGAGGTATGATGAGTCACTGGTGGTGGCGAGAAAACGGTAAACTATAGCTCGCGGGGGCCACCCTGCAGTGTTCGTCTGTACGATCACCTTGGTAGTGGGCGGGGATGATTTTGAGCTCTTCGCTTCAATACAAGTCGCGCCAACATAGCTGTAGTGAATGCAGAGAGGGAGAACCTGACATGGTTCATCAGTATGCTAATAACACACGCAGTTTCGAACCGATACTCACCAGGTGATAACATATGAAAGGTGGGCGTTGCGAACGTCAACAGAAGCCGCACGTCCAAGTGGCATACCCTTACTCAGGCGCGACGCGGCGTCCTGAGATGAACCATCTGAAAACTAATATTGATAGCTGGCACAATGTAGACACTCGGGTGCATACCATAAATCTGTTCTACGAATACTGGCTGTACATGTTCTGCTTCTCCACCAGCGTGGTCTGCCATAGCATCGACGTCAGCCCAGTACCACGTTCCTTCATTTGGTTTGTTGTCTGGGGTGAAGCTGTTTCGGGTATGCGATGTCCTTAACATCCCCAATATTTCGACCTCGCCTGTTTCCCCTCGCTCGAACGTATCGGCTTCGGTGAACTCTTTTGCAACGAAACCGCGGTCAACGAGGACGGTTGATCCGTCAGACCTGATCAATGGTGTGACAACATGATATCCATGCGAGCCCTCCCGGACGCGAGGACCCAGAAGCATCGAGTGTTTATGATCCCATCTACCACGGAGCAGCACTCGACGATAGACGAACTCTGGCACGACGGAGAGACTTACTCGGCGACCTACTCAGTCTCGACCCTGTGATGATGCTGTGATGTACGCACTTTACTCGCTTGGGCAGAAAGATCGGCTCTCGATGGAGTTTCTCCTGAAGCTCGTCTATCAAGGCCACTTTCCATTGTAAACGTTGCATCTGCCAAGTTCCCAAGGCGAAGGTGAAAACCGGGATAAATCCTAGCACAAAGATCGTCGGGCTAAACCAAGAATTCTTGCGTGCGGTATAAGATTGTGTTGCTTGTGAGTCCTCGCTATGAAGCCATCGACGCGTTTTTATAATAGTATCCCGCCATCTTAACCTCGACGCAGCCAACCGCTGCAGCATGTTTATGAGAGAGGTAGGTTTGAGGTAGTTTATGGTCTACTGCTGGCAAGTAGACTTCAATTCCCACGGCTGCTGACACGGCTGCGGGGCTTTCTCTCGCCCAAGTTCATTCGTTCCTTCTCTTCAATCTAATTATTGGCATTGGACATACATGTACGTGGAACCCAACCAAATGACGATTTGAAAATAACTCATAACCCAGATCATGCAGGTCTACCAGACGACGTCCGAACTTCGATATTGATGGTGACGAGGTCCACTATCCCACCAGGCCGGTCGACAAGGACAAGGCGGAGAACGAGCTTGTGATCAATATCAAGAAAGCAACAAGCCCAGAGGAGTCAGCTCCGAAGCAGAAGCATGTCCGAAGTATGCGTCCAACCTTCTATTCTCAACCAGCAGTCTCGTTAACCTCACTAAAGAATGCATCGTTTACACTTGGGATTACCACAGTTCAATGTCTTTCTGGAGCGGTTTACGGGTGCAACCTATCTTGTCTGACGAAGTCCAAACTTTCAAGGCTCTCATTACTGTACATAAAGTGTTGCAAGAAGGCCATCCTGTGGTGTGTAACTTACTCACCGATGGCTGCTGCCAGCACCTTACTATCGGGTTTCCCTCAGACAATCAAAGAGGCTCATGGCCAAGCGGGATGGTTGGAGACTTGCGCCAGGACTGTTGCCACAGAGGGTCAACGCGGTAAGGTTTCTATTTTCGAGCCACATATGTCATGTGACCCTGTCCATAGGTTATGGACCATTAATCAGGACCTACGTCCAGTTTATTCTGGCCAAATTGCGTTTCCACCGCTTGAGACCAGAATTTAATGGGTTGTTTGAATACGAGGAATACATCTCGTTGAAGGGCATCGATGACCCCAATGAGGGGTGAGTGTTTACCCATCACTAGATGCTAACACATATCGACATCTTTAATAGTTATGAAACGATCTCAGACCTCATGGGCCTTCAGGACCAGATCGAATCGTTCCAGCGGATGGTGTTTTCTCACTTTAGGCATTCTGCCAATAATGAATGTCGTATCTCTTCGCTTGTGCCCCTGGTCAAAGAAAGCTGGGGTATTTATAGATTCATTACAAGCATGCTTCGCGCCATGCACCGAAGTAAGGATGTCACAGTTATGTGTTGTCGAAGCTCATCGACTTTTATAGGAACGAATGACCATGATGCACTGGAACCCCTGCGCCAGCGGTTCAACTCGCAACACTATAATTTAAGAAAATTCTACTACGAGTGTTCAAATCTCAAATATTTGACTGGCTTGATAAACGTTCCTAAACTGGGTCAGGTATACTATGATGGCTCCTGTCATGTCCCAAATTTGATATTCCTGATAGGAACCTCCAAACCTGTTGGATTCCGGAAGTGCTCCCGACCTCCCTGCGAGACCCAAAACTGCTGTAGCTTCACCAGCTCCCCCAGCTGCACCTTCACCTGCCCCTGATGCATCTGTTGTTAATGAGCAAGCCCGCATGCTCAAACAATATGAAGACCAGCAGGCTGCTTTACGCGCACAACGTGAAGCCGAGGAACGTCAGAGGCTAGAGCTCGAGGCACAGCAGCAACGTGAATTTGAACAACGGCAACAGGAACAGGCAGAGCGGGAGCGCCTTGCACAGGAGCAGCTTATGCAGCAGCAGATGATGCAGTACAATAATCAAGCTGCTCAGCAGGTCAGTGATTATGAGCGCGAGCTGCTGGCTATGAGGGGGCAGTACGAGCGTGACCAGTTGCTTCTGGAACAATACGATCGAGTAAGTAATATGTGTGACTTATGTCCCACATGCTCATAAATTCGATAGCGGGTGAAAGCGCTGGAGGGCGAGCTCGGCGGAGTAACGTCCAATATTCATGCACAAATGGCATCGAAGGACGAATTGATCAAACAACTTCAGGATCAAGTGACCCTTTGGCGGAACAAATATGAAGCACTGGCAAAACTCTACAGCCAGCTACGGACTGAACACCTGGACATGCTTTCGAAGTTCAAGCAACTGCAGCTCAAGGCTAATTCAGCGCAGGAGGCCGTAGACCGCATGGAGCGTATGGAACGCGACCTGAAGGCTAAAACCTAGAGCTTGCTGATATGATTCGTGAGCGCGACCGGGCACGCTTTGATATCGATCGCCAGAAATCCTCACACAAAGACGAAATTGACCGCCTGCGCCGCGAGATCAGTTTCGCGAACGAGCGCGCGGAGGATGCAACACGCTCCAAAAGTTCGGAGGTATCGAATGTGTTGGGCAAGTATAACCGTCAGCTCACAGAGCTCGAGGATTCATTACGGGTATGTTATACTCATCTCTTCCGATTTCTCTAATATTTTTGTTGCAGTCCAAGCAAATGCAAATCGATGACCTGCTCGTAAAACTCAACAACTCTAGTGGTGACATGGAGCGTCTAAGAGATGAGAAGGATCAAGAGATTTTGATTCTTCAAGAGGGTATGGATAGCACCATCCAATCGCTTTCTGAAGCACAGCAGGTCTGTTGGCGTCCCTCTATTACATTTACTGATGCTGATGGTATCCTTGCAGAACCAAGGTCTCAGCGAAGAAGCAACGAATGCCCAAATTGACACCCTTATTCTCGACAACCGAAAGAAGCTCAACCAGGTCATTGGTTCGTACCATTTGAGCGCTACATGCACGTCGTAACAAGCTCACTTGTGTCGCAGATTCAATCCTGCAGGCCTGCGTGCAGAAAGTCGATGACGCCATTTACGAGCTTGAGTCACCAACTCAAGCTGGCAATATCAATTCCACGCCCGAGTACACGTTGTCAATGATCGAGAAGGCTATAAATAACGCCACGGATTTCGCGATGGTCTTTAATCTCCACCTCAGTGGCGATGTCGGAGGCGATTACGTCGACGTCATTAAGGGCGCCAATGAGTTCGCACAGGTCCTTTCAGATGTTCTCATCAACTGCAAAGGTGTCACTCGACTCGCTAATGACGACGATGCCTCGGACAAGATTGTTGCAGTAGCTAAGAGCGCCGGTGACGTTGGCCTGCGCTTCTTCTTGAACCTGCAGTCCTACAAGCTTGATCTCCTGCAACCCGCACAGCGGAAGGAAGTTTCGATGCGCAACAACAGCGAAGCGCGAACCGCCCTTACTCGTCTCTCGGAAGTCGTTGACACGCTCATACCCAAAGGTACCAAGGGTGGTGCTTTGGCACGGGCCAATGGTGACATCGGTGACATTGTCGAGCACGAAATGCAGAGCGCTGCGGCAGCCATAGAAGCGGCTACTCAGCGTTTGCAGGAGCTCATGTCTCGCCCCCGCGACTCCTCACGGTTCAGCGCAGTTGATCTGCAAGTCCATGATTCTATCCTGTCCGCCGCCATGGCAATCACAAGCGCCATCGCAAGACTTATCAAAGCTGCCACAGAGTCTCAGCAAGAAATCGTTGCACAAGGCAAAGGCTCAAGCTCCGTCCAGCAGTTCTACAAGCGGAACAACAGATGGACGGAGGGTCTTATCTCAGCTGCTAAAGCTGTGGCGTTTTGCTACCAACCTTCTTATAGAGAGCGCGGATGGTGTGCTGTCAGGCACACATTCCCTTGAACAGCTGATCGTGGCCTCGAATGAGGTAGCGGCAGCTACCGCCCAACTCGTAGCAGCCTCCCGTGTCAAGGCCAACTTGATGTCTAAGACTCAGGAGCGCCTCGAGCTTGCTGCAAAAGCGGTGACGGAAGCATGCAAAGCGCTTGTCAGACAGGTGAAGGCAGTCTCTGCGAAGCAGGTAGTTGAAGAGGACATTGACTACAAGAACATGGCTGTACTGGAATACAAGAGACGCGAGATGGAGCAGCAGGTTCAGATTTTGAAACTGGAGAAGGATCTTGGAGCAGCGAGACATCATCTGGGCGCGATGAGGCGTGCGGGCTATCACACTAATGAAACGGACTGATAGATGATCGGAATATGATGTATCACTTAAGTAGTTTTCTTCTAATTTACTTGGTTGTGGAATTGCCGGGAGGATCTGCGAACCAAACGCACCACATAATGTACTCTGGTCGAATACTTTTGCCGCTCTAAAAAGCGAAACACATGCCTAGCAAATGACGGTAGCACAGCGACCATTGATATAAGTGGTTGATAGGGAGCGGCAAAGATGTAGGACGGCTTAAACTACTAAGACAATGGGTTGAAGGTGTCAGTATATTAATATTCGAGCAGTAGGGTAAGTAACGTAAGAATAATAGACCGAATAATTGTTCAATTTAAAAGAACGTGTCTATCGAAAAAAAAGGCTATATCAAATGGGGATAGAATCCCCATCTTCTTCAACATCAGTTGAAGTCAGTCGGAGGAGAGATCAAAAGATTCTTTTCCGCTGTCAAAATCCAGGAAGCTGCCTTCACAGCAATGGACGTCATCTGTAATGTCCAGGAAGGAAGGCTTCCTAATTACGGATCGCTGCGGTACCGCCATGTCGCTCACGAGCGATGGTGTTCGAATTGCAATTGCATACTTTGGGCGCGGCGGCGGCGATAGAGGGATGAATGGGACATTGCTTGATCGCCTGCTAAATAGGTCTTCATGGCACATCGCCTCAGCAGTATGCGGACGAGTTCGTTGACGTTGTGGGGGCGGTAGACCAACTTTGGTGAATGATGATTGGGATGTCGACATCGAAGAAGCTGTTTGTGCCGTGGAAGGACGTGGAAATGATCTAGGCGTGGGTCCTTTGGAAACATTCGATACGCTGCGAGTGGGGGCCGAACGCGGGAAAGACGACAGAGTCGTCTTCAGGCCTTCTTTCCTGTACATGGTACCATACATAGGCGTCGATGCAAATGTGGGTCGCTGGGGATTTCGTACAGCCTCTCCGTACTTTGCGTCAAATTCACCCTGCACGATTGCCTCCATCTTCAACATTTCTGCGGGGGACATGATATATTGCGGGGTAAACTCCACGGCAGGGCATACTATACCCGATGCAAGCGATTCTGAAGAAGGCTCGTCGAGCAGGGACACAACAGCTCTGGGTGATGCTAAGTGGGAGCGTCCTGCGTCTGTCGGAAGACTGAATACCGAGCGCAAATCTTCATCTGTCAATGTTGTTGACGGTTTCCTGGAGCCTGAAAAAATACGTTTTCGCACGACAGTGTGAGGATGTGGGAGCGGTGGTATACGGCTTTCAGCTGATAAAGGATCGTGATCAAGTGTGGAAGGGGAGGCTGGAGTAGATGTAGGGGGTGCGTGGACACGTGAACGATGGAAGGAGTGTTGTTTTTTTAATCCCTTGTCTCCTCTAAAAAATTCTTGCGTAACGCCGGAACCTGATTTAGCCTTTTGCAGGGTTGAATGCGACATAGACTTCTTCAGCTGGTGGGAAGCTAGCGGTGGGGGAGACGATTCCACAGCGTCCTTGACGTGAATGCGGCTCGACTTCTTTACCGGTTGGCGCTGAGTTTCGAAGTCACGATCAAAGCCTAGGTCGATCTCTTTATATGGTCGATAACGATGATCATTAATTTCATCCATCGCTAGGTCTTGGATCCGCCAAATGGCTGAAGCACACGATATGTCGGAAGAACTCCCATCCGCCGATAACGGAAATTTATCTTCGGCACCGTCGTCCGCGGGGCTAGATGTGACATGTGACATTGCAGGAGGTGGGGGAAGTTCACAAGCTGGAGCAGGACGAGAGGTGGATTGCTGGCGGCTGAGGGTACGAGAGCGAACATGTACTTCGGCAGAGGGAGGAGTGGATCTTTTTCGAGGCCGAGACACGGTGCTCGCACCCTGGAACGGGCTAGGCGCCGCATAACCCCTTGGATAAATTGTAGGTCGCACAGCCACAGCAGGAAAATCTGGGGGACCTTTATGACTCTGATCAGTCAAGGTTACCGCAGATCCATGCTTTGACAACGGAGGCTTAGAGGATTTATTCAAAGAGCTGCAATGCACAGGGCTTTCTAGGATTTTTTGATCGCCTATTATCTCGTTTCCCTTGGACATTTCTCTACTGGACGAGTTGAGGACGAAAATTTCTGCAAGAGTAACGAGTCCCTACCTAGGCGATGTGCCCCGGCCGTCTGCTATCGGAGACAAACAAAACCCAGTAGATTCCAGTGATGGTGTCGCATAGTCACTGTCACTGTGAGACTGTGAGGACATCGAGAGATGCGATAGATGCTGCAAAAAATCGACTTCGTCTTTATTTGAAAATGCATCATGTGCTGAAGTGCCGGAGTAGACAGAGATTCTACCCCGGTCTAAGATGCTTCGCGGCACAGAGATACCACCTGATGCGAAAGGATCGGGATCAGATAGTGTGAAAACCGAGCGAGGGAATGAAACACGATCTGTCTGGACATCAGGCGGGGTCCTAGGTTCGAGGGAGTCGTCTCCGGAGCGGACAGTGGATGAAATAGATTTGGCGGGAGGCCTATTGGTGTACTGACGAGGGTTCGAATAGCCTGCAGGGGTAGAAACGAGGGAAGGTACTGGAGAATCAGGAATAGCTAAAGTTGGACGCGACTTTTTGGACTTTCTGCCCATGACAGACGCAAAAGGACTGAATTTGTAGTTATCAGAGTGCTGTGAATTTTCGACATGCACCGAAAGTTTTTCAGTTGATACTGAGCAGGAAAAGTCATTGGAAGTGGGAGATTTGGGAGTTGTGACACGTTTTCGAAAACCAATGTCTGGCGGAAGACATGACGAGGAATAAAAGAGTGTGAGGGCTTATGCCCTGGCAGCGTATAAATTACACAGCGGGTCGGTCCTGAGGGGTAATAATCTTGATTGTTAGAATACAAGCAGACTTCAATTGGAAAGGACAGAGGACATTGATCTCAGTGATACACTGCTGCTTTGGAGTGCCTGCAGGAGCAGATGAATGAAGGAAAGGAAAGGTCAGCAGCCAGGCAAGCAATCAAAACTGTTTGATTTCCGTAGATACCGTGTAATATTCGTCGGACAAGCGGATACAAACGGACAATTTGACTTCAAGCAGATACGTAAACAGTCTTCCGTCACAATATGTCACACGATCATGTGTTGCAAAGTGTGCCATCACTTTCTCAGAGATGACATCCATGTCAGATAATCCGCCGGCAATTCTGCTGGGAGGTAGACTAGCACTATGCCATACAGTACAGGAGAAGGGAGCTTGGGATATTGGTCCACATGTGTAGGGACTCTACTAGTTTGAAGGTCACAAGGTCAATTTGTGTCTTAGCTTAGATTTGGCGCACTGAAATCGGTTCAGCGAATGACGTGGTAGTATAACCTCAAATTTGACTTGATGTAGTGTACGAGGGTACACGTACCTGGACCTGTGAGAACGTGGCAACCAAGTTCATCACTGCTCAAATAATTAGCCCTGGGAAGTGGAATGAAGTCACAGGTTGAACGTTGGCCGTCGGCCCCCACCATATGTTAGTCAGCGCTTCGAATGACTTACTGCGGTCCCGATGGTCATCTAAATTATAATGAGCGTTAGAATGTTCAATAGGGAGCACCAAGGAGCAAGCCTAACGTCCACAACGAGGAGAATGAGGCGGGAGCACTCATGATAACTAACATGTCAAGTTTACAACGTGTCTGATATCCAATATAAGTCGAACCTCAGATCGCCAGGTAGCACCAACCGGGATGATCCGTGCCGACCGTTGATTCAGCCTGTAACTGTTACTGCTTGTAACTGGCAAGGATAGAATTAATGGCAAGGTTGTCTGCGTAGAGTGCGTTGCAGAAAAAGAAATGGAATATATAACTTAGGATGTGGATCATCCCTCGCCTCAACCCAACTCCGCCCAGACATCCTCATCGTCACGGTCGTGCACAGCCTGCACAGCCCGCGGCATATCTGACATGCGAGGGGGTTGCTCGTCGTCTTGTGCATCAAATAATACTGCATCTTGCACCAATGGCCGACCCAGTTCTGGATCATCATCTTGATTGTCATCCTCCAAATCATAGTCGAGGCTAGTATAGCCTGCTCTCCTGATTGCGGTGATATCGATTGGCTTTGGCCTAGAAAATATGGACTGGCCGGACCTGTCATCGAGGTAAATATGCGACACGTACACTGGAGATTTGAAACACACTGTCGCATGACCGCTGCTAGACGACCGAATTGTAGGACATTACGTGCAATAAGCAGTAGAGTGTCTAACAATTCTTCTTCCTTACTCCCCGCTCCACATCCCGCAAATGTTATTACCAATAAAGTGACCGCACAGAACAATGTCAGTATAAGATCCAGCACATTAAACGGTGATCTCCAGAATTGCTGCTCGTATCAAGTCACCTCGGCGACCAAAGTTCAGGATGAATGGATACGCACCCGACCAAACGCAACAAAACGCACACCGACCTCCAGGATCATGCTCGTGTTAATTATTATTTCCAATATATAAAACGACAACCCTGGACATCCGTCAGACAGACTGAGCACGACGGTTGTCACGGACAGGGCTGCCATGGACAAGTAGAGAAATATGTACGTGTGCGAGTGCACAAAGCGATTCGCAATTCCACGTGTTATTTCTTTGCGGGTTAACGCATAAATGGATCGTGTGGGGCTACAGATATCAAGCAATACATGAGCAGACCGGCAAATACATAACTTCAGTATACATACACAGGTTGCGCTGCACCGTTCGAGGTGTCATTTAAGGCATCCGACTCCGCCGACTCATACACGTCGGGCATGGCTGGAAAAGCAGGCTTTATGGTTGTGGACCTTCAAGTTAGTTGTGGTATGGGGCTCATATTGCTGCGTGCCACAAACAGCAACCGAGAAGAATAGGCAGTGTCCCCAAACAACTGTAAATAAAGGTAGGTCAATGCTCTTGGAGCCTAGTCAACGTCGGTCCTAATCTATTCAGTCCTTTGCTCATCGCCATCGAACACCTTTCATTTAACCTCGTATTAAGAAAAGCTAGCCAAGATGGGTGGTGGAGACTTGAACATGAAGAAGTCTTGGCACCCGCTCCTGCTTAAGAATCAGGAGCGGGTCTGGCTCGAGGAGAAGAAGGCTGTGAGTGCTCATTAGTGCTTGTAGGATCATCGTTGGCTGATTCTGTTTCATAGCTCGAGGAAAAGAAGAAACTTGACCAGCTGCGCAAAGAGAAGGAGGAGGAGAGGCAGCTGCAGGAACTTCAACGTTTACAAGAAGAGCAAACGGGAAAGAGAAAGACTGAGAAGCTAGAATGGATGTATGCGACACCTGCGACTGGGAGTAATCAGAACGCAAACGATTTGGAGGACTACCTGCTGGGTAAAAAGCGGGTTGACAAGATCTTGACTGCCGATGAGAACGCGCAGGTGTGTTATGATCTTTCTATTGCTTTCATTTACGGATTAACAAGTGACTTTGTAGCTTGGCGCCTCTCACAAGAACTTCATCGCCATTCAGAATGCTAACAATGCTAGAGACATTGCCGCAAAGATTCGTGAAGACCCGTTGCTCGCTATCAAGCAGCAAGAACAGGCTGCATACCAGGCACTCATGTCTAACCCCCTCCGTCTTCGTGAAATGCAGGAACGGAATGGTATAAAACCGAAGAAGACAAGAAAGAGAAGAAGCGAGAGAAGAAGGAAAAGAAAGAACGGCATGCCAGGGCACGATTGGACCGCTCAAGGTCAAGAAGTCCTGCAGCGGAATACAAGATAAATGATCGTCGGTATCGATGCTGACGATGACCGCCACTATCGGAGACGAAGCAGAAGCCGCTCTCCTGGCTACCGCAGAGGGTCGTGACTCTCTTGACGACGGCGTCCGGACTTGGCCCCGCTCGGACGAATCAGACGATAATGGCTATGGACGTCGCAGAAGCATCGAGCGTAGTGGCAGACGCGCGGAAGATGATAGGAAACGGAGACGCAGTCCTAGTCCCCCTCATCGTAACTCCATATCCCGAAGCGCTCCCGCTATAGTCCTCCAAGATCTGATTCCCGGCCCGGATCCTTCCATCAAGAAGCAGCCATCCAATGCTGCGGAAGACCGTGCCGCAAAACTGGCTGCCATGCAGTCGGGTGCCGCAACCATGGAGGTAGAGCGGCAGCAGCGGCTTATGGCACTGCTTGAGAAAGAGAAGGCTGACATGGAAGCGGAAGAGCAAGCCCGCGCAAAGTCAAAGGGCATGGGTAAGCTTCTTGGGGCAAGAACAGAAGAAGGTCTTTGGCGGCGTGGGTGGTTTAGAAGACAGGCTCAAGCGGGGAAGAGGTGGCCTGGTTGCCGATGCGGACTGAGATTTCATCATGGTTGGTGTATGTACTTTGTGCCTTGTAAATGATACGCTAAAATTGTATTGTACCCACACTGTTTGCTTGTTTTCTCGATAGCTTCGCTATCGAGTTTTAGCCGCTCCACCAGTTCCCTCCATCTGTGATTGCACATGCAAAGTCGCCCATCGGCACTATAGCAACCCCAATCGTGGAATCGTGTCCATCTGAGGTTGTCGCCGCAGCTTCCTGTCTTTGCTCTCAGGGAATCCAAGAGACAGTTGTTTCGACATCAAAAAAATGCTGCGTGTGAGGTTGGAGACACGACATTACGGTATTACCACAGCGGCTGGTGACAATTGTCCTCGGACTGGAGAATTTAACAGGGACGATATATCTTTCCCACTGGACAGTACAGTCAATGGTCATTGTCATTCCCACTCATAGACAAGGATGATGCTCTATTGTCGATCAGATTCAAATGCAGCCTCGTGACCAGCAAGGTTTCAGGTTATTCTACCACGGACAAGTCGAGCCACCACCGTCGAGACAGTTGTTACTTCCGCCTCATCTTTGCCCTGTCAAAGAATGACAAGTGACATCTACGTCTGGCCTCTCGCAGTCTCGTCGCATTTCTCTTGTTGTATCGTTGGTCAAGACTTCTACCTTGTCGAATCTTCGATCCCTTGGGCCCTGCCCAGGACAGGTGTGTAACTAAGTTAAGATTGTCGTCCGCTTAATTGTTACGCCAAAAGGTAGTGATACTGAAAGCTTGTGTTTCAGTATCACAGACAGTATTTATGTAGATTATGGGAACTCTAGTAAGCCAGCGTGCTTACAAGGTGGACTCACGAGGAGTGCATGGTGTTACGACCCCCTCTACACATTCAGCGAGATCTGGCAAACCACACCCTCGGAGCGCCATTATCTGAGCCTGGAAAATTCCGCCTCGTCACTGTTACACGCGCTGGTGGTGCAAGTGACCCGGCATACTCAGCAGCGAATTATCTCCCATGGACTCCAAAGCCGAATTGTAGAGCCTTGCTCGCTCCGAAGGTCCTTGTGTCGCTGATATGGGTCTGCATGGTTTTATGGGCTGACACCCGTGTTGGCGGAGTCGCAGATATATCTGACGCTTTTGGAGATTTAAAACGTGAAGCTTCCTGGGCGTCTGGCGTCGATGTGCAAGGTGAAGAAGACGCGCAAGATACAAAATGACGTGTCATATTGACTTTGTCACTTCACTTTGTATCCTCTGTCGCTGCAATCGTCATCAATACCAGACAAGCACTGCTATGCATGCAATAGGCATGTGTTTGCCGTAACTTACATATTGCGCTGACCAACACATATGAAGTCACGCGCATCAGATTTTCACTAAATTTTGTTATAATTTTACATTCTGAATCTTGCGGCCCCGTGTCGCCGGGGGACTATTTTGCCTCGACGTCTGGTCTCGTCTGGTGTGGTGTCATGTGCAGCGTCACGAATCCTAGTGAGCGCTATCTATATCAGCCCTTTGTCATCTTAACCTCGTGCTTGCCAAAGATGGAGCGGTTGATGGATCGAATTGACAAGAATTTAGCAACAAACTGCTCATCCAGTCATGCTCAGCACCCGAGGCTCCAGCTAGTACATACTCATGACATTCTTTAGCTATAAATAGTGAGCGGCCTTGGTAAGTTAGGGAGTCCCTTTATCATTCCGACCGGAGGCCGAGTTTACCATAGATCTAGTGGGGTGGTTGACACATGGATCATGGCCCTCGTTGAACAAACTCACCGTAACTCAGTTACCTCCTCCAAGACCGTGACTGAAGGTGCTGTGACACATGGACTCGAGAAACAGAAGGACAACGAACAGGTTGCAGAAAAGCCATATAGCATATACACCCGCCGAGAAAAATGGTTTATTGTAATGGTCGCCTCCTCGGCTGCATTGTTTAGGTGCAGTATTTTCATCCACATGTAGACCAGAGGGACATTCTGAATGCTTCTCTAGCCCGCTGACTGCAAATGTGTACTTTCCTGCAATACCGACAATCGCTTCAGCTTTCCACACGTCTATAGAGTCAATCAACCTGAGCGTCACCGTTTACATGGTCCTTCAAGGTATCTGTAAGCAAATGACTCAAACGTCTATCAGAGGAAGGATCTCTAAACCATATTAGCTCCTATGTTCTGGGGGACCATGGCGGACAGCGTTGGGCGACGTCCCATTCTTCTCGCTTGTCTCCTTGTCCTGTGTTTATCTTGCATCGGCTTGGCTTTGGTCCCGACCTCAGCGTACTGGTTATTAATGCTCTTGCGATGCATCCAGGCCGCTGGTTCTGCCAGCACAGTCGCACTTGGTATGCGTGAACTTCGTCGTTATACCTTGTCATCTTACCGGAGCTGTAGGTGCTGGAGTAATTGGAGATATAGGCACTCCTGCAGAACGCGGGGGCTTTTTCGGCATATTTGCCTTGGGTCCACAAGTACGTAACGTATCGCTTTTGTTGCACTAGTATGTACTCTAATACCCGCATAGGTTGGACCTGCCCTGGGACCTATTGTTGGTGGTATCCTTGCAGATAAGCTCGGATGGAGGTCAGTTCTTATTTAGTACATTAAATGCAGCTGAATGGGTTACAGATCTATCTTCTGGTTTCTATGCATGATGTCTGCCGCATGTTTCGCTCTCATGCTCATGTACGCAATCCATTTTCTATAGCTTTTCTCTGGCCTCATTCATAACATTCCAGTTTCCTACCTGAAACACTCCGTCGACTGGTGGGTGATGGCAGTGTGATACCGTCGCCTTTCTATCGTCCCCTCGTGCCACTTGTTGGGAAAGGGCGTGTGGACCGTGATGCTCAAAGGCCCCCCAAGTCCGCTAATGAACAATCCGCTACGCCTCTTATTCTATCTGGACGTTCTGAACCTTCTCGTATTCAATGGAATTCTATATGCGGTCTTCTATGCGGTGAATACCACGATATCCACGATATTCGCGACCAAGTACCCGTTCCTGAACGAAATAGATATAGGATTGTGTTTCCTAGTGATTGGTGGGGGGATGACGATTAGCACTGTTCTATCCGGCAAAATGCTAGATGCTGATTTTCAAAGAACCAAGAATAGGCTCGTGAAGAAGGCTGAAGAAGATCCTGAGAAGCGCATACGTCCCGAGGACGTGACTAGGGAGGAGAATTTCCCAGTAGAAAGAGCCAGGCTGAGGATGATACCCATATTCACCGCCATTTTTGTCTTGACATGCGGTGGTTATGGGTGGTCGCTTCAGCGAGAGACGAATATCGCTGTTCCACTGATCCTGCAATTTATCTGTACGTGTTTGTCTTTCCTTCTCCCCACACCCTTAGTTATGAGGATCAACAGTGGGTTATACATTCATGGCTATTATGAACTGCATGCAGACGCTACTCGTTGATCTACTACCGTCACAGAGTTCTTCCATTACTGCATGTGTAAGTTTCATCACCGCTTGATTTATCAACAATCTTGATCACTTCGTTTCAGAATAATCTGGTCCGATGTTCCTTGGGTGCTTTGATGGTCTCGGTCATAGACTTGCTTGTCAACGCGTTAGGTCCTGGTTGGACCTATGTACTGCTTGCAGGCATATGCATGGCGTGCTCTCCCATGATCTGGCTTGCTATTTGGATTGGTCCACGCTGTCGTGCAAAGCGACGGGCCCGTAATACTGCCGCTTGATTATGGTGTCTGCCAGTACGTACAGAAAGGAAGTTATGAGAAAGTGCAAATAGATATATACTAAAATACAAAATACTTCGGTGCAAGAAAGTGCCATCGAAACACATGCAGAACGCGTGACCTGCAGAGCTGCCCAGAGCTTGAGAGGGAAACCTACTTTGAGAACTGTGCTGCGATTTCGTCCCCTATATCATGCCCTTCCTTAAAAAACAGTCCTGTGCCCTCCATAAATCTCCTGATAGATTCTGCATCCTGATTGATTTTGTGCTTGCAGCACCCATGAAATCAGGATGTCGCAGACATCGATATTATCACTTGCCCAGAGTTGCAAAACGTTCCGACCAGTTTTTCATAACACAACAACTACACAACATTAAAATAAAGTCACACTACGAGCATGTTGGATTTAGTACAGACTCTAAGGCTATCTAAAAAAAATAAAGAAATCTGTCCAGCCTACGTTGCCAGAGAGAAGCCGGTGCGAAACAGTGTTTGAGCACAGAGTTGCAAAATTTCTCACCCACATAGAAGTCATCGTGTCACACTACCGTTTTAACTCTCCGACGAACGAAACCGGGGCATTTGACAAGTGGTACAGTTGTGGACAACCACACACTACAATTTTGGTAGCCATCCAGCGTGAATTTTTGGTGCCAAACCAAGGCCAGATCTGAACTCAGGCAGTGAAAATACATCTAAAAACAGTGGTCCGAAGTTTTTCCCACGAGGTTTGTGGCCTGCCAAATTTTTGGACAATTTGAAAGACAGTGTGTACCGCTTTTGGGTGTCTGAGGCACCATTTTGGGGACCCTATATCACCAAAATGACAGGTCACTGACAAAAAATCATTCTAATTTAGCTATGTAGACTTTATTGGGTATGGTATGATTTCGCCCATTCGCAGCCCAATCAATAGAAATTTGGGAGCATTTGAGGGACATTCCAGGGTTAATTACCTCAACACTTACCATTTTTAGCACTAAAACAGCTCTATATTTTGTAATATCTTAATGGAATCATGCACAGGATATCAAAAGGAAGCAATTGCCATATTTTTCGAGATTTTAGCAATTTATTTGTGGTACCACCAAAATTTTGCCCTAAAAAATCCTCAAATGAGAGTTTTTGGACAATCTGCTCATGCAAATCCATTGCACTGGTCCTCAATAAACATATTCTGCACTAAAAATGGGTTCCTGGTCATTTGTGGCACCAGGAAAAATTAGTCTTTGGTGTCATCCAAAATTGCTGATTTTGGCTGTCTGCAACTGTAGACGACATCCAAATCCAACCACTGCTCTCACGTAATCACGTGACCATTCCCACAGCCACATCTTGGAACTCGAAAGTTCAAAACCACTATTGTGCTCTGAAAATTACTTTGATAACATCAAAAAAAAAAAATTCAATCAAATTAACTTTTTTTCACTCTGATAATACAACCACACTTGTAAATAAGTTAAAATAACCACACAGCAAATAGTACTTAGATTTTTTTTTGTTACAACTGACTACCAGCTAGTAATGCTAACTTGAAACCAGGTGTTATATAAGCTACCATATATGGTTATATTGTTGTTTTTTTTTTTTTCTTTTTTTTCAAGAAAAAGAAAATTTGAGACCATCAATCTATCCAGAGAGGTCTTAGGAACAGATTAGTGCAAAAAGAATGTCTGGAAAGTGGATGAGGAAAGTGCAATAAGTTGTGCAAAATGCTGTCTCAAAATGTGGTTGGGTTTGGATGTCATCTACCTTATTGATGGTTTGAAAGGCTTTGTACAGTGTCAATTATATGAATATGCTGCAGGAAAGATTATAGAGAGGGTGACTGGTGTTGACTACAGTTGTGGGCAAGCAAACTCAACAAATTTGGTCTTCGATTTTTGGGCACTCCACAATTGCTCGAATCACACATTTAATACTACAGACATTGTATTTAGGGCCCGTTCGGCAACCGCTCGTTTACAGTCCATTTCGTTTGTTTTCAGTCCGTTTGCGTCCATTTTCGTTTGAAACGGACAATTGTGTTCGGCAAAGTGTTCGTTTCCTGTCACGCTGCATAATGCGGCGTTGCACTAGTACTTGTTTGCTTGCTCTCGTCAATTGAATATCCCACTGTCCCTACTCTGTTAACTGCTACTCACCATGCCACCTAAGAAAGAACACAAACTCTCGTCCAATACCAAGGAGAACATTGATCTACTTGAGGAAGCCTCGAGAGCAGGCTGTCAGCACCAAGATTCCACTGGAACGTGAAGTGGAGTTCTGGGGACGACGCAGCACTCCTTGACTCTCTCAAGACTTTTTCTGATGGAAACTCGGCTGATAATGGAACTTTCAAATATGCAGCATTTACAGCTGCTGCGAAGGCCCTCAAAGACAGCCACAAATCCAGTGGGGGTGCTCCAAAAACTGCGAAAAGTTGCTCACGTCGTTGGGGCACTGTAAGTAGCATTTTTTGTTCATTTTCGTGCTGATATATTGTTTATAGCTGAAGGCTAACTGTCTCGTTGTCCAAAAACTGCGAGAGTTGTCTGGATTTGGATGGGACGAGATGAGGAAGATTGTCATTGCCAGTGACAAAGTGTGGGATGATTACCTTGAGGTAAGTTTTGTTCGTTGTTCATTTCTTGACTAAATTACTGTTTAGGCACATCCCGAAGCCAAGGTTTGGCGTTCGACACCATTCCCCCTCTATGATGACATCATTGTACTTGTGGATGGATGTCATGCGACTGGTGAAGGGGCCTTGCATATTGGGTATGAGATGAGCCCTCCCTGGCCAAGCACACTTCTCGATGACGAGGATGATGTCTTTGTAGGTGAGGATGTACTTGGAGGGAATCCTGAGTCTGAATCAGTCGACGAGAAAGTGGTATGTACATCAACTTGCTTGCTTCATTGTCTGACTTGTATTCATACTAGTCTATACCTGTTTCTCACACTCCGCGTGTTCCGAAACACGGACGTGCTCCTTCAGTATCACCAACTTCAACTGGAGTCCATAAAAAATGTTCTAATGTGAAGCTGACTGGTCCAGCAGCAATTCTTGGAGTAGCTGATGCTCTCGAATCTGTTGCTACGTCGTTCACTGCTCCTACTAGTTTTCTCGATGATGTTCCTAGTACTCCGAAACGTCGCATTAATGCCATCCAGGCCGTTTGTACTGATGCTTCCTTATCATCTGATGAACGTGCAAAGGTTGTTGCTCTTTTTACCAAAGATGTAGCTATTGCAGATGCCTATACTGCCATTTCAGATGTCTCTCTTCGTTCTATGTACATTCGTCTTGAACTTGAAAAATAGATAGATCTTCCTACTAGTTCCCATTCATAGTATACTCAATATACTGTGCCCACATTGCTTCTGCTATATCATCTTGTTTTGTCCTGCCCTTGCCCTTTCTGCTGGTGTGATTGTATGACTGAAATCCTCGACCCTCTGCTGTACAACCTGAACAGCTTGATTAGTGTCCACCTCTGCCTCTCTATCCCCTTCCTCATGATCATCTGGATCATGAACTTGGATAAAATTATGCAAGACACAGAGGGCAGGAACCAGCTTTGTCTGCACAACAAGACTGTACTCTGGGGCAGCAACCATGAGCCTGGAATCGATGTTTCACCACACCAAAGATGCACTCAATAACATTTCGGGCTTGGGCATGTCGTAAGTTGAACAGTTCTTGGGGATTTTTTGGTCTAGATATTTTTCAGCATTTTTTGAACGGTTAATCAATAGAAAAAAATCATACCTTTGACTTGAACGGCCCCATTCCTTGAGGTGATAGTGGACACCACGATATGGAACCAGGAGTGAGTCACATAATGGAAACCCTGCATCAGCAAGGTAGCAGAGATTTGGGGGGATGGGAAAGTCAGTTTGCCGAGCATTATTGTATATGCGACTGTCAGCTGCACTTCCCTCCCATCCTGCAAGAACATATGAAAAGCGCATGTCAAATGTGCATGCAGCAAGGACATTCTGTGAGAGGCGGCCCTTCCGATTGCGGTAGCGAGCAGTCAGGGCATCATTGGGAACAAATGTATCAATGTGTGTCCCATCAATTGCACCCCGACAGTGTTGAAAAAATGGGTAGAGCTTGGGATTACTGTGAATCTCAGGGGGGACTACATCATTGGGTGGCAGGTTGATGTAGCACTGATAAAAGCGTGGTGATACAACCATGTCTAGAAGATGAAGAAAAATCCTAATAGTACAGTCACAGTGATAAATTAATTCTGCTGCATCTTAAATAGTTACTATGTGAGCACTCACTTTGAAATAGTATCTGCACTGTGCTGGAACCGCTCTTGCATATCCCGATTTGTACCCCCAGTATGGCAGATTCGAAGAAAAATTGCCAGCTGTTCTTCAGAAGAGATATATCTTGAATGTGCAAGGCCCGCATATGCACTGAGTTCATGGAGCAATTGGCGAAATACTGGCTTGGACAGGCCCATCATATTATGGAAGTGACGGGGATGTCCTGATAGGAGTTCTCGAACCCATGCATGGCCTGTCAAGATAGAGTTGTGCTGGGGAATCTTGTCGAGATAGGGCAAGGTGGCCACAGTCACAGCAGCAGCTGAAAATGCAGCAGCTAGGACTGCAGCTCTCTTTCTGCGAGTGTGTGTTGCCTTAAGAGAGGTTTTGAGAGCCTTTCTCTTCTGTGATGATGAAGAGGTCATAGTTGTAGAGCTCAAGCAACAAACTGATGGTTATCATTCATTATCTGATGTAGTATCTACTATCTACTGAGTTCGTACGAGTGTGACGACGTGTGACACCCGTGGGAGCGTCCGTTTCACTTCAATGTCCGTTGGTTTCAAAACGGAACGGACCCAAACAAACAAAACGAGCGGTTGCTGAATGGGCCCTTAGGACATTACAAAGTGATTTGCATGAGCCAATCTCTCTCAGGCAAGGTCCAACTTTTCAACTAGTCAAAATTTGGCCAACCCCCGAAAAAATCGGGAAAAATGCGGAAAATGTTCTTTGGGCTAGTGTGAATCTGATCCTGCAGTCATGTTTTATAAAAGGTTAGTGTATGCAGAGAGAAAAATTATCTAAGACTTGCTGTATTTGAAGTCAGTTTTGAGTTGACCCGAGTTCAAAGTCACTGAAAATGAGCCATGGATGCCCCTCCAAGCACAAATGACAAAGGAATATCACAGGGCTTCAAAACCAGCCTTGCACAGCCAGTGTCTCATTAACATCTGAGTCAAATGACTCCGAAGACTTGCCTCTGAAAAGAATGAGGCTATCACATTCACGTTCTCAAGCCCCCAGCCCTGCAAGCATCAGTGATCACACATCAGACAAAAACTGGCAACCCCCTACTGTCCTTGACAGTATAATTTTTTTTTTTTTTTTGGGAATCCTTGTTTATTGTCCGTTGGGGCGAAGCCCTATGTTAGACAGTACATGCAAGTATGTTACTCTATGGAGTTCGGTATTTGTCGATTCTGGTGTGGGAGTTCTGTAATCCTGGTCCAGGCTTGTGTGAGGACGATAATGCCGTCTTAAGGCATATAAAGAAGGGATGGCTAAGCACTTAGCGCATCGTGATGATTCTATTTCTTCTTTGGGGGGCTGACGTCTCCGAAGGTGCTTGCTAAGCGTTTGGTGCGAGCGATGAATTTGAGGACTGCCTTGATGCTTTTCCCCTCGTTTAGGAGGTCTTTGAGGCTATGCGCGCGCGTTCCGATCTCTGCTTTCATGATTGCTCTTTGTCTCGCGTATGCTGGGCATGATAGAAGAAAATGGTGTACTGATTCTTCTCTTTCCTCGCAGGCTGTTACAGTCAAGTACGCCCCTATTCATTTTCCTTCTCTTACATCATTGTATTACATCACGATCGCATCTTGCCGTTGCTAGATGATCTATTCTTGGTATCTCTGACTCCGTCTTATCTCTGACTCTACTAAACCGGCCCTAAAACACGGTCGCCATTTCGTATATAAACTCACTTTGTACTATGTAGTTCTTTACTTTAATCTTACTAGGTTTTACCTGGAACTTCCTTTGCTTAAGACCTCCAATCTTAAGTCGTATTGAATGTGATTCAAGTCAAGGACACTCTCCTTGTCTTGTCTTAGTGAACCACTGAACTTCGGTATACGCCGAAGTCTTGAACCAACTTTGGCCAATTACTCTTATCAAGTAGCCATACGTCTGAACTATCCTAGTTCGTAACACAGGCAGGACAGAGTGGGGAAGGCGTTCTCGATATTCTGTGGAGGTGTTTGTTCAGAGGGATATGGCCTGTGCGGAGCTGAATGAGCAGGGCAGCATGCTTTCTTGGGTACTCGTCTGCAAGTTTTGCAAAGCGGTTTGATGGGTAGGATGGGTCTATTTCCCTGAATTTGTCGCTGCGTGGTGAGTTGCGCAGGATGGTTTTTGCTTCTTCTTTGATTGAAGCGTTGAACACTTGTTTTATGGCTGATTTGCTTGCTGGGAGGGTGGCTGGTTCGTTGTTAGGCGAGCGGAGTGATTCGGGGAGTAGGTGGGGGTCTGTTGTTTCTCCTCTTGCCGCCCTTTTGGCTTGTTCATCTGCTTGTTCATTTCCAGGGATGCCTATGTGGCCTGCCGACCAGTGTATAACCAGTTTTCTGTCGTCCTCAGCAGGGAACAGAGTGCAGAGGTCGTCGTGGAATTTGTCCATCAGATAGTGGCCCGGTTTTGACTGGAAGGCGTGGGTCGCCCTAATTGCCGCTTGGTTGTCTGCTCCCAGAGCCATCGTCCTTCTTCCTCCTCTCGCTATCATCTCGTCCTTCAACAGCTTCACCACGAGTATCATTCCTACTATCTCGCCCTCGTACACCGTGTGTTCCTCCATCTTTCCTAGGTGGAATCTGCTGTCCCTGATCCTTCTCTCCCCTTCCATCAACACCACTGCTCCTCCTACCCCTCCATCTATTACCGAGCCATCTGAGTACACCCTCAGCATATAAAATTTGTTGCTCACAATGACGAATCAGATATTGAGTCAGATGAAGAGGATATCACTCACTTGGACAATCTGGATAACAGCAACTGCTGTTCAAGGCTAATTGATTTTGCAGCATCCATGGATGATGATCCATGTGACAAGACATGGCTGCCTCCAAGGGAAGCCAAGCGCAGGGCTGAACGAACAGGCTGTCCAAGTCATTACAAGAAGGGTCCTGATGTTGGGAGCAAATCAGCTTGTACTCAACAACAGTATAAAAACTCATTCGAAATCAAGAATCACTCACCAGCCTTGGATTCACAGTTAAACCAAAATCATACCAGTCAGCACACATCACATCTGCCACCCAGCCTTCAACATCCTGTCACAACCCAGTGGAACCTGATTTGGAGTTGAAAGAAAATGGTCTCAATGCAGATATCATGTCTGAGACACCAGCCCCTGACTCACTACTCAACACTGGTCTTGTTCGTGATGCAGAAGAAGTGTGGGAGGAGGAGTTAGAGGAGTGAGAACAGGCTGGAGTTGATATCAGAGGTTGGGATGAGCTGTGGGAGCAAATCAAGAAGGATCTTGCAAAGGGAGGGAAGACTTTACCACTGTCTTGAGTGAACCAGCTATTGCTGATTCAAAACTTTGCAACACTTCGCCTCAAAGGAATGGGCAAAATTGCAGCCAGCCTAGAGATTGCACATCAATGGCATGAAGGAGAAGGTGCACACTTTGCATGAAAGTACAAGCTCTTGCATGTCATTACCAAGTATTTGAACAGCTTCCAATCGAGAAGCGTGGTGGGAGAGATAATGCACTAAGTCCTCTCAAAGATGAGAGGCTTCAGCTGGCATGTTGTCAGTGGCTAACATCTCAGCCCATTGGTGAAATTACTCCACACAAATTCCAACATGCCCTTAACAACACCATTGTTCCCTCATTGAACATCTTTGATCTGTGGCAACTCAGTGAACGAACAGCACGGCAATGGTTAATCAAATTAGGATGGCAGTGCACCATGTTATGGAAGGGAGTGTATATGGATGGTCATGAGTGTGAGGATGTGAAAAGTATCATCAGGAGGTGTTCTTGCCTGCCATGGCTGCTTTCAAGTCATGTATGGCACATTATGAAGGCCCTGAGCTATGTCGAGTGGAACCAAACTTGGCACCTGGAGAAGTCGAGATGATTGCAGTTTGGCATGACGAGTCTTGCTTTCATGCAAATGATTACAAAACACATGCTTAGTGAGTTCATACATTAGTTCATAATTTAATGACACAGAAAAAATCAGTCTATTACCTGGTCAACAGATTTTGCAGAGGAAGGGCAGAGGAAGGATTATCCATGAGTCAGGATTTATTGATGCAATTGATGGTTGATTGGCACTGTGTGACAAAGAGGGTGAAGTTGTGGAGGAAGCACGAAAAATCATTTATCCTGGTGTGAATGGTCCTGATGCCTGGTGGGACACTGCACAATTGCTCACACAGATGAAAGATGTAATGCACATCTTTGAGGCTGCACATCCAAACCACCAAGCACTTTTTATCTTTGACCAGTTCTCAGCCCATGCCTCTCTGCCCGAAGATGCACTACGAGCATTTGATATGAATAAATCCAATGGTGGAAAGCAGTGGCATCAACATGACACAGTTATTCCTCAGTCCAACCCATCTGTCGAGCACTGCAGGAAGATCCAGAAAATGACACTACCTGATGGCTGGACGATCAACGTGTATGCGAGCTCGCAAGTACACCACGTTGATCTAGGGCTTTGCAAGCCGCATGTGAAATCTGTTTGACACTTCCCGCACTTTCATAGCAGCAGGCCCATGCACTAAGACATAGATAAGTGCGTGCTTCTGTCTACACATTCTTTGAATCTTTTCACCTCATACCACCACCTTCTGGCACTCGGCTCTGATTTTAAGTCATTTCTTTTGTCCTATTCTCCTCAGTCTTACAATATGTTTAACATCATGGTCAATAGCAATCCTCCTACTGGTAGAGTGTCCTTCACTCGGGACCAAATCGTTGCTGAGAACGCAAACATCATCACACGTAACCAAGCATGTCAAACGCGCCATAGTCAAGGCAAAACCAATGTGGAAAACGACGAGTCTCTTCTCGTCGTTCCTCCTTCCTTTACTAATGTCCCTGCTAATTGTCCCCTGGCCAATAATACTATAGTAGCCTCATCATCCTCCTCCAATACTTCCCCCTCCATTGCCAATAATATGTCTACCACCTTACAAGTATCTACTGTTCCCCCCTCTTCGTCGAGACCCAATACTCCCATACCCACTACTACTACCATCAACATGTCCAGTATGCTCGCTGCCTTTCAAAACTGTCCCTGTTGTCTTCTTAGATAGATGATCTATAGATAAACACCTATAAAACCAAATATCTCCACGGTCAGCGATTCAGACAAATACCAATGACTGATAACGTGGTTATTTGTGGGTGGCTGATTAGCAATACCTAAGCCACTGTCAGCAGAAGGTGCCTAGTGAGGTCAGTAATGTGAGTGATCAATCCAACAATGCCTGGACAACAGGAAACAACAAAAGAAACAAATATACCTTCTCGTACCAAAAGATGCTCAATGGCAATCTTACTACAAAGATTCGTGTGAAGCTACAATGGTCACTCCCACAACGCAAACAGGTAGGATCACTGGTCAGGACTAGTCAATGCTCAAAGAACTTTCAGTACTATTGAACCTGCTGTCAAGGAACTCGCTTCGAGTATTAAACAGAAAACAGGAACAGACGTCCTTGGTGTTCGGCACCAAGTCCCCTTTCAATAGCTAAAGCCGTATGGCAATGAAACCCTAGCTCAGTACCACTACTCAGATGTGTGTGGTCAAGCGCACAATTATCAACTTCAAAGCTCCCCCACTAAGCTATGCAAAGTCTTAGGTGGACTAAGGAGACAACACAAAAGTTGTAGGAAAATAAAAGAAGGAATGTGGAAAAACAAACAAATGGAGGCAGTACCAGGCTTGGTGGTTGTAGAGGATGATGAGCTCACACTAATGGTGTCTCACAGAAGAGTACCTTCACCAATCTTCAACAGCTCTTCACTGTTGTTTGGCTACAGTCACACTTCACACTCAAGTACTGGGGGATAAAAACACACACTTATATTGAGAGAGAAGGGGCTCTTATATAGACAAAATTTAAGGGCTATGCTACCAGTACTTTAAGGTTCCTGTCAAGCCATTTCCAGTTAAACTGAGTCATATAAGCTAGTGTGAGTCATACTGAATCAAGTTGAATCTTTGGGAGTCACTTCAGATGGTTGAGTCACTTGGTATATAGATGAGTCATCTTGACTTGTTAGTCATGTGATTTCTCATGACAAAGCAGAAAAGGTCTGGACACTGATTATGTAAGGTACCAGTCCATGTGTTATGTTTGTGTTTGTTTATTACATTTTCTGTTAGGGGCTGAACTGGTGCGGTGCTTTGTATTTAGCGTTTCCTGCATGTTCCCACAGGACAACTTGTGTGGGAAATAATTTTCACAGTCACCTGACATGTGAGAAGTTCATGCTGAGTCATTTTTAAGCCAAACGAAATGAAACTGAATCCAAGAATAAATCTCCGAAAATATTCATTCCTGTAAACCGGGTTTGCAGAAGAATGAGGAGAAAGAAGCAAGTCCTTTTTCTGGGTCAGGTGTTATTCAGCCATGCACCAGACTAGTTTGGTGCAGGTCATCGTCCAAACAATTATCTTTCCAAACCTCCATGAACACAGCATTAACTTCTTCCGCACCTGCTACTACTATCTCTAATGCAAATGCATCATCCTCCCTCATATTTGATATTACCAAAGAACGATCAACCCCAGCTTCTCATTCCATCAGAGACGTTTATGGTATCCATACATATATTTTAGGACTAGCCAGGAACAATCAACATATCCCCTTCTCGCTACTTACATCCAAGACCACAAACCTCTTCCTTGAGTCATCCACACTCAAATTCATCACTTTCTATTCCTCCCACTGAGGCTCTGCTCCCACAAAATGTCACCCTCGATATTTCACAATTCACCGCCAAATCCGACATTAGCATTCCCGAATGGCACGAGGCTTGGGCACACTATCTTCATTTCCTTCAGGAACATGCCTCTCCTGAGATTCACACTTGCTGGGCTAATCATTATAACATCTTACACAAATACCCTGATTTCACAGACAATTGGATGGCCATCCTCACATTCAACATCGAACAACGTGCCTCATATGCAGCTGATCCTCAAACTCTTGATGAAGTTAAGTACTTCCATCAGTTCGAAGATATTAAAGGCCGTGTTGCTAGGAAAGAATCTCTAAAGGCCATCAGTGATGCAATGACTGATCTCAAAAGTCATCGTCATGAACCCTATCCGTCTCAGGACTCTTCCTTTCGGAAGTCTCAAACCTCTGACAAGTCCTTTCAGGCCCCAAACAAACCTAATGATTCAGAATGCCTCCCTCCCCTCTGCCTTGCATGTGCACAGCTTGGTCACACCTTCCCCAACTGTCCTGACTTGTCATCACACTCGAAAGTCATCAACAAACAACTTGTCTCGCAATCCAACGCAGATGTCAAGTACTGCGTCGATTTCAATATCTTCTGTAATGGTAAAGCATCTGTACCAAATGTACACATAGAGGAGGCAAAATTCACGCCTGTTCCCTCTGCAGATCCACTGACCATGGCGCCTGCAGTCGGAAATGCCTGGGGGCCTGAACCGTCCTCCATACCCTTTTCTTGCTGGGTCACAGACCCCATTCCAAATATGTCTCCTCCTCACCATGTATACTTAGACAATCTTAGCATTACTCAGACCTCATATGACGACGACACAGACTTCACAAAAATCATTACTCCTTACTCAGCAGACAATCTCGACACCTTCTTGCGCAATGCTAATCTTCTTGACGATTATTCAGAACTTGTGTTCAAAATCAAGCATGGCTTTCCACTCAGTCCTCTTGAGCCCATTCACGCCACCTATGCACCTCCCAATCTTCCCAGTGCTAATGAACATGAACAAGTCATCAAGGAGTACATTGACTCCAAACTCGCCCTTGGACGCTTCAGCGGACCTTTCTCACAACAAGAACTTGAATTGAAAATAGGTCCTTTCTGTTCCTCACCTCTCCAAGTCGCCACCAAGGACGGAGCTCCAGGCGAACCTCCCAAACTTCGTGTCTGTCGCAATCTCTTCTACAGAGGCTCTTTAGGCTGCTCAATCAATGATGAGATTGATGCCAAAGATTTTCCAACTCGTTGGGATACAGCAGAGCAAGTCGCTGCTTTTGTACGTTCCTCCCCCTCTTCCATTCCTCTGTGCATTCCCCTGTTTACACTACCATTCACCACATGACCTCACAGCTCAAACCGCTGAGGAGTATGGTGCATCGGGCAGTCTGGGCTCACATTTCTTCCATTCCTGATCCCCCTTGATCTATTCTCCTTTCAAGTGCTTCCGCTTACCTTTGTCACAGGTTGCCTCCGCCCCTCCAGGCACTCAAGCAGCCTCTTTAGACATCAAGAGTGCCTATCGCATGATTCTGATGCTTCCTGATCACAAATGCTACTTGGTGGTGCGTTTCCACGATCTCTTCTATATAGATCATAACCTCCCTTTCGGTGCATCCTCCGCAGCCAGTATCCAAGGGGAAGTGGCCAACACTACTGTCACAACCCTTATAACGAATTAACACAGGGGCAGAGACTAGGACTCAAACAAAGGTATCACGACAAAAAGATAGAGGATAGCAGGTACGTCTTAGGATTGCTAGCAATGAGCTAATACAAAAGAGGTTTGAACTGGAGAACTACTGACTATAATGAGCTACCTATATACATATATTGAAACGGAGACTGAATCTGAATCTGAACTAACTAGCCAATCATAAAATAGGAAAGGGAATCGTACGATGATCTAAATATAACTACCTATGATGTCATGGAACATGTGATAGCTGTGCAATGGTTCTCGAAGGTTCTAGAGTCACGTGACTTGATCGCTTGAGTAAGGAAGTCGAAATCAGGGATGTCGGAGATAAAAGTAGTAGGCGCTAACGGAATAGAGAAGTTCGGGTTAGGGTTTGTGAAAGTTATAGGTACAGACGCTGACTGAGTGCTAACAACAGGCGCTTGTGACGGGCGCTTAATGGGTGTCTTACGAGTGTTCAAGAAAGAATAATGGTTTGTATTTGGAACTCGTGACATTACCCCCTCTCTAGGATGAGCGTCATCGCGAATGTAGGATGGTCGGATGTTTTTCTCTCTCCACTGTTTGAATGCATCCGTATCCAAAATAGATCCAAGAATTCGTTTGGATTTAGCAGCCGTGGGATTCTTTTTATGGAATTCCGCAATTAGAATCGGGGAGTTTTTAACGTTCTCTTCTGGCTCCCATGTCGACTCTTCTATCAGATATCCTTCCCATTTTACTCGGTATTGCATTTTTCCTCGGAATTGTCGGCTATCTAGTATCTCTTCTACGACAAATTCTTCCTGTTCATCAACAATGTCTGGAGGTGGTCGGGTGGGTTGCGAATGAGGGATCATTTGAGATGCGTAATATGGAGTAAGCAATTCCACATGGAAAACCGGGTGAATCTTGTAGCTCTCTGGCAATTTCAATTTGTAGTTCACTTCACCGGTTTTCTCTAGTATTTCAAAGGGCCCAAGACGACGATCTGACAACTTTTGACTTGGACGACGTTGTTTAATGTTCTTTGCGTCTAGCCAGACCTTGTCTCCCTTTTGATACTGAGGTGCGTCTTTAACTCCTCGGTCATAGAAGCGTTTCATGCGTTCATTAACCATCTTCAGAGTGTTTTCCTGCATCATCTCTTGCTTCTCTCATTTGATCGGCTCTCTCATCGGCAGCGGGAATAAGGGATGTAGAGTTCGGTGATACTGTGAATTTGGGATTATATCCGTAGAGGACTTTGAACGGACTGTGACCGGTTACTGTGACTGCATTGTTGTGTGAAAACTCTGCTATTGGCAGCCAAGATACCCAATCGTTCTGTCTGTACGAGGCAAACATGTGCAAGTACTGTTCAACTTCTTGGTTTACACGTTCTGTTTGTCCGTCTGTCTTGGGATAATAGGAGGTCGAGGCAGACCATTTCGTTCTTAATCTTTTCGATACTTGTCCCATAAACTTTGAGATGAACTGTGTTCCTCTATCCGAAATCACTTTCTTTGGTGTACCATGATGTTTCCATACATTTCTTAGAAATAGCTCGGCAATTCCCTTCGAGTCTACGTCTTTGGTGGTGGGAATGAAGTGTGATTGCTTCGAAAATCGATCCACGACAACGAATATACTGTCACATCCTTCACTCTTTGGCAAGTCCACCATCAGGTCACATGAGATCGTTTGCCAAGGTCCTTCTGGGACTTCATTTGGCTGTAAAGGTCCCGTTGGTCTACTTGGGAACACTTTCGTTTGTTTGCATCGATCACAACCGTCTACGTAATCATGGACATACTTCGTCATTGAAGGCCACCAATAGTTTCTGGAAATCAATTCTAAGGTTTTGGCACGTCCAGGATGTCCAGCCGGTGGAGAGTCGTGAAACAACTCCAATATCTCTCGGCGGATCTCTTTATCATTTGGAACGTATACCAATCCTCGGAACAACACCAATCCGTCCTCAACATTCCATTCTTCGATTCCTCTGCGCAATTGTACCGGTGCTGCTTTTAGCGTTTCTAGCGCTTTCATTACTTCGGGCTCTCGTTCTGTGCTCTTTCTTATCTTTTTCATGAGCGAGCTTTCTCCTTCTATGAGAATTTGGCCTCGTTTAGCAGCATTGATCTTGAAAAATTCTGGTTTCAACAAAATGCGGTCAGAATTATCGTTTTTCTACCCCCCCTCTGTGGTCTTCTCTCCGAGATAGACGATCAGCTTTGTCATTGACTACACCAGGCTTATGTTGGAGCGTAAATTCATACTCCGCCAGGAACAAACTCCATCTGGCTTGCCTTCTTGTCAACTTCTGACTCGTCATAAAATACTCGAGATTCTTGTGATCTGTCCAGATCTCCACATGTTGGGGTTTTCCCTGCACATAGTGCCTCCACTCTTCCAACGCACGAATGATTGCTAATAACTCTTTGTCGTGGATGTCATAATTTCTCTCTGCATCATTCATCGACTTTGAGTAATAAGCCACTGGGTGCCATAGGCCATCTTCCATCAGTTGAGATAGAACTGCTCCTGTTGCATAATCTGAAGCATCGGTTTCTATTTTCATTTTCTTCTCAACATCTGGCATTACTAAGACGGGAGCTTCTGTAAAACGCTTCTTTAACTCGTCGAAAGCGTTTTGCTGTCTCTCTGTCCAATCCCATTTGGCATCTTTTCTCAGCAAATCATTCATTGGTCTGGCAATGTCTGAGAACCCAAGTATAAATCTTCGATAGAAGTTGGCAAAACCCATGAATGCTTGTATCTCTTTTATGCATTTGGGAACAGGCCATTTCAATACTCCTTCTACCTTGACGGGGTCCATAGACACACTGCCCTTCTCCACAATCAACCCAAGGAACTCGACTTTAGACTGCTCGAAGCTACATTTCTCAGGCTTCAAGAACAGGTCGTTCTCTTTTAATCGTTTGAGTACTTCTCGCACGACTTTCTGGTGTTGCTCTCTACTTCCATTCGTAAAGACCAAGATGTCATCGATATAAACGACCACTGTTTTGCCGTCTATTAAATCTCTGAATATCTCATTCATCATGGTCTGGAAAGTTGCTGGAGAGTTCGTCAACCCAAAATACATTACGGTTGGTTCGTGGTGACCAAAAGGCGTTTTGAAAGGCTGCCTTCCATTCATCTCCTTCTTTCATCCGAATATTATTATACCCCCATCGTACATCCATCTTGGAGTACATCGTGGCACCAGTAAGGGCATCAATCAGGTCTTGAGATCTCGGTAGCGGATATGCATTTTAACCGTCTTCTCATTAAGCCTTCTATAGTCCATAACAGGTCTCAGTTTGCCATCCTTTTTGGCCACAAAGAAGAAAGGTGCTGCAACTGGAGATTGTGAATCTCTAATACGTCCTAGTGCAGTCTCAGCTTTTAACCAATCTTTCAAAGTGTCCATCTCCTTCGGTGACAAGGGATACGGTTTCGCATTCGGAGGAAGATCATTGTCGTCTTTAAGATCCACAGCATGATCCCATTTCTTTCTTTCAGGGAATCGCTTAGACTCTTCTTCTGAGAACACTCCCAGGTAATCGTGAAGCCAGTCTGGAACCATCTCTTCAACAGACTTCTTCTTCTTTGTAGCTTCTTCTGCTACCTTCTGCTCCGTGGCAACCGAGGCTTTATATCTAATCCATCTTTCAGGACTATCCTCGTCTTCTACCTCTTCACAGGTCGCCTTCTTCAGTGTCCATATCCTCATTGTCATCCTCTTCTGTGGGAATCAGATCCGGAACTACATATGCCTGTTTTTGTGCTTTTCTGTTTTCTCTATTTTTTTGTCTTTGCTCCTTTTTCAGTAATACATTTAAGCGGACACCTAGATAACGAAAACTGTCCTGCATTCCAGTCTATTTCCTGGATTATGATATCTTAACCAGTCGATGCCGATAATAACATCATCGCTTCCCAAGTCTGTAACCATGAAGGCTGCTTTGTCTTCCACATGGTCACCGATCTTTAGACCTAGTTCGGCGAAATGAGTCATCGATCCAGCGGCGTTTAAAGAACCATCTATGTTCTTGACCGGAATAGGTTTTAATAATTTACGACACCGAACGTCATTGTCCAACACAAACTTCCTATTAATAAATAAAGTAGACGCCCCACAATCTACAAGGGCTCTAACGTCCGCAGTCTTCTTCTTTCCTTTCAGCGTTATTGGAATGTAGAAATGTTCTGATTTCGATCGTAGGTATATTTCTTCTACATCCGCAAAGTTTGATAGAATCGAATATCTGCTTCCAGACACGTCTTCTTCTACTGGTTCTTCTAGGATTTCTTCTTTCCTAGTAGCTACCCAATCTCTAAACCATTTCGGCGGTTGATTTCTTTCGGCCTTTTCTTTTGCCAAAAACTCTTTGCCTTGTGGTGAAGCGGCCAAATCCTTGAACCACTTAGGTGCTTCTCCTCTAACTTCTCCGTGAGTTAGGGATTCTATGAACCAACTTGGAAAGGGTGTCTTCTTTCGCGGGAATGTTATGAGGTCGTGTTGTTGTCTCTCTC